TTGAACATTTCCAGGGTTGCATTTAATAAATGGAGATGGGAAACGATGTGGATCACGAAACGACGCCGATAATTCCGAGGTTAGATTAGCAGATGAAAAACTGATTGATCTGCATAAACTAGCAGCTCAATTGATTTTGAACGTTTGAAACCTTCAGATATGACACCGGACCACCGCAGCTCCAAGTTAACAGCCGCCGGTTTATGGTGCTCTCCTCCTGCATCACAAATGTCGTTTCCGTACGGAGTACAGAATGAGCGGAAGAAAGTGTTGATGATTAGGACGACCCGATGGTCACACAATTGTCTGACCTGTAACGCATCGAGAAAGTATGGCTCCACGGTATATTTTATCGAGTCTTTGAGGTTAAAAATTAACTTCAGCTTATCATAACGAATGCCTGCGACTGGAATGCATAGTGGAACGCTTACATCGGGGGTCAACTCCTCGTTCAATCTCCGCAGGACAACTTAGGAACTTCTACACTTCAGCAACACGTGCGCTCTTTTAATCAAATTAAAACTGTAAATGTCCCCTTAGACCCCCGAAGCTTATTTGAAGACTCGTATATTAGCCACGCTGACGGTGGGGTCTACTCCCAATAGGATTGCAAACTTACGTCCGCAAATCAGTTTCGCCCAGCGAACTGGTTTGATTAGTTTCTTGGGACTAGCCTATTTTTTTGTTTTGGTAGTTTTATTCGGCGATACGGTTTTCCCCAAACGCTTCAGTCATCAATTCGAAATCCATCACCGCTGCGCGAATATATACCCAGAAGAACTACATACATCGTTTTCAGGTAATTGAGTTGCTTAATACTTAATAAAGAATTATTGAATTTAATTTCAAGAATATGTATATCTTTAGGCGCTTGATAAATCGAAATTTGCAATTTGACTTCGAGGGAAATGTGGCAGAGGAACGAGCTATACGGGATGCAATTGCAAAGTGGGCTGATCAACAAATTTCCGAAATTGTGCATTCTGATTTAGAGAAGAAGAAAAGATGCTACTTGAAGAAGAAAACAGACTACCCACGAAAGGGGTTTCTCAAATTCAGTTCGCGATTTATATATTTTTATATTTGTTCTCTTGGTTTAGTTCTTGACTTCACACCAGCTAGCTTATCACAAGGAGCCGCCGTCTAAGATTCGGTTCCCTTGTCGAAATCTTCCACCATCGACTGATGATACGGCGGATGAACGCACAATCAAATTAGTATAACACAGTACGCATTTAATTTTAACTGAAAATAATTCAGGTACTTGAAAACATTGTAAATCAAGTATGTCGATGGGATAGCACTATGGATGGTATAAGATGCACCTCAATAAGCCGAAATACAAAATGTTTGCTTTCTAATCGATTATTGGACTTCAAAATTTTAGGGCTCGAAAGGTTTATCTGAAGCACAACGAGATTATGCTATCCGGAACATTTGGACTATTTACGCAAAGAAATTAACAAAAGACGGAGGTAATTGCTTGCTATTTATTAGACTAGAGCTAGAAAGGAAACTTTGTCTAATCATATAAAGTTATTCAAGAAAATTTTAGTCAACTTGAGACGCAAGCTGAAACTTCACTTGGCATTCTGGCCCTGTGGCGCCGTGCTCGAGGACGACCATCAAACAAACGTACGGTTGATTTCGAAATGAAACCCTTCAAATGTTGTCCTGGATATATCCAGACACACCCCAAAGAGCAATTCGTTCTTGCATGTTTTCGCAATAACCTTTTCACTCTGAATGTTGTTTACGGGGTTTCGGGGTTTCTCTTGACTGTAACATCTAGTTGACGTCATTTTCGTAGCCCCATAATGGTGCCCCTTTTCTTTTCATCCCCTCTTGGTTCGGCACCATTTGTCTCTCAGCTGACTGTGTCTCTTCCACTATGCTGCCTCCTTCGGAAAGTGACATCATTTTTGGAGTGACCTCTACGCGTAAACATCCTGGTGTGTACAGATGGATGCTCGATGAGGCATTGGGAAAGAGGAAGAGACAGCGAGCGAACATCACAGAAAGATCCTAGTCTAGTGGGGGAGGTTCTAGAACGTTCTAAAGAGGAGAAAGGGGAAAGAGGAAAAGAGGGGAAACCCTGAGGCACTCTAATCGTGGTAGTTCTTTGTGCTCTCCGCCCACCCCTTATTTAAGGGCTGGAACCCGGTGTTTTCGAATGCTTCATTCTTGCATTTGATTTTTCTTCGGTTCAGACTTCACGACTATTTTAGATAGTTTTCAAAAAATGACTGTTGGAGCTATATGCTCACCGATTACATCGATGCCTCGATGTCATTCATTCCCACCAATGTTCTCCCATTCCACCCTTTGCGTACCTATCATTCGAATTCAAGTCTATCCACAGAAATTGAGCAAAATTTTGCCTCTGTTGAAGAGGATTCGAAAGATTCTGGCTATGCTTCGGGTAAAGATTCTCCCCAAAGGTTATTGAATTGGAGGAACCCAGCGATGAAGAGTATGAACGCGGCCAATTCGCCCCATTCAATAAGTTCATCTTAGAAGATGATGAAGATTCCAGATCGGAGTGTGAAGATATTTCACTCAAGGACTTGTTGAATAGTAACTCATTCCCCTTGATCTGATGGCTGTATCTCCATCAAATCCATATCTTGGAGAGCTACACATTGAGATCCCAGTGTGGAAACAACCCGAAGAACCCACCCTCAGCTTATTCTTCTAACACCTAAAAAGCGTTTGCTTGAATGCAAACAGGATGATGAACCCATTACTAAAAGACTCCGCTCAAAATTACCTAATCCTCTCCGTGACTCTGATGGTTAGCATTGTAGATCATTCATAACTATGTAAAGTGTTTAGATTTCACCAAACGTCCACTTCCTACCGACAAAGACAAGCAGCGTCATCGAGAGCATCAAAGGAACAACAGGCCATGAATCCAGCCGATATTAGCCTGGGTGGTGACTCGGTTGATTGGAATGACAAGGTAAAATTGAATTAACTTTAAGTCTAAAAATTTTAAACTCTAAGATGTGAAAGAGGAAGACTCATCGTCAACCGTCGCCCAAGCGAATGCGTCGAGAAAGCAGCAAACAGGTACTCCTTTGACTTTTAGACCTCAGAATTTTGATATTAGAGCGGTCACGAACTAAATATTACTTTTTAGGAAAGTTCCGATGATGATGATGATGAGCAACAAGGAAAAGTTCTGATGCACATTCCACCTCCTTTGGCCAGATCTCGCGGACGACCTCGAAAGGCCGAAAGTGAGCGACGAAGGCGAGAGGCGGAGGCTAGGTATTGCTTAAAATAACTTACAATCAAAAATTGCCTATCTTAGGATGAAAAAGATGGTGGAAGAGGGAAATGATGTTCGCAATATGATTGATCCAAGCGAGTTGCATTGCATTTGTCGACAACCGTTTGATGACAGAAAGTAAGGATTTCAAAATGTGCAACAAATTATGGGCATCTTTTATGCAATAACTAATTAATAACTCTTAGATTCTATGTTGCTTGCAGTCAATGTCAACAATGGTTCCACGGAAAATGCATTGGATTAAGTGAGAAGAGGGTTTGCTGCTTTAACCACACTTAAATCTATTGATATTTAGGCTCGTCGTTTAAGCCGCTTTGTATGTCATGATTGCCGCTCACCACAAGATGAAGAAAGCGAAGAAATTGATGATGCTGGACGTGGTGAAGTGAAACATGATCCTGGATCTCATCCTGATGAAATGACGGAGGACGAGGATCAGGAGGAAGAGGTGGAGGTCGACGTCTTAAACGATCAACAAACGGTAGATTTCTAAAGGTTACAAATTTTATTCAAATATTCAGACGGAGGGTCAAGAACACTTTGAAATTTCTGACATCCAACCCAAGGACGAGCTCTTTGCCCTGTCACACTCCATACAACGAAGAAAAGTAAATTTTGTTGAGTTGAGTCGATACAACTGAAATATTTTTAGATTTTACGTTGGTTGTGACTCTTGCACTGATGGTACCATCCCGAATGTGTCGGTATCACAGAACGGTAAGAACATTAATAAAAAATATTTAAACTGTCGATGATCTCAGAGATGCTCAACAAATTGAGAGCTATCCTTGTCCCTCCTGTCAAAGCCATATGGAACAACAACAGCATAGCAATCAACAATTTGAACGGCATTCGTCCAGGTTACCCTTTAAATTTTTCTTACATTATTATTTCTTTAGGAACCTATTTCTCTAGGTCTTTTGAAGCTGTTTCCGAACATCGCAACACATGGCCATTCAAAGAAACCGTTGACGTTGACGAATTCCCAAATTATCATCAAATTGTGAAAAATCCAATTGGTAATCCTTAAAATATTTTAATTGTCTATTAATGTTGTTTTAGATTTGTCAATCATTGAGAATCGACTTCGGAGTCAGTGTTATAGTAGCCATATCGACTTGCACGCCGATTTACAGCTGATGGTCTCGAATGCAAAGCTTTTCAATCAGAAGGTTTGTTTAGCTATTACAATTGTACGCTCAAAATATTCCAAGTTTATTATGTTATTTCTATAGTTTATTGCTAATTAATGCCTTTCAGGGATCCGCTATTTACCAATGCGCTGAAGGATTGAGGCAGTGATCAAATCGAAAATCGCCGAGGCAAGAAAACGATCAACTCACTGAAAAATGCCTTTCAAAATGCGTTTAAATTGATACTTGTCTTTGTTCTGTAGGAATTTTAAGTTTCTTGGTGGTCTTTATTTCATGTACTCATTTGGTGCTTGTTTGTATTTTTCTTCATCATATTACTCACCCCCACTGTGTAGATCAAAAGTTCTGTCAAATTGGCAGTCTATCTCAAAACTTTATTCGGGTTTCATCTTTTTCATCATGATTGACTAATTCCCTTATGTGCACTTAATATTTTTCTAGTTATTGCTAAAATTTACTACCTTGATTATTCCCTGTACTTTCATTGTTATTGTGAATGTTGAAGTAAACATTTTTATTGAGAGATTCAAAAATGGCGAGTTATCAATGACAAGTTGGTATCGGTGGAAAAAATTCATTGAAAATCAGGTGTGGAAGTTGATTGCACATTTTAGATGAGGTACAGAATGGCCTGGAAGAGGCAAAAGCTGCTTGCTCGTTTACACGATAGGGGGTGCTCAACTCAACCTGGATCAAAGTAAACTTTTTTTGGCGATTAAGACTTTAGAGGTGTTACTGTAGCTATTTCGAAGTTCTAAATTCATGTCTGAGAAAGTGCTAAATTCATAGACTTTTATTTTTAGTAGTAAATTTGACGTCTCGCTGGTTAATGCCAATTATGTTGACAAAGCGCAACGAGCCGCGCAGGCACATCTTAAAAGAGACAATGTGGCGTTCAGGTATTTTTTGAGTGCATTTGAAACAGTCGAAGATAAGAGAGTGCTGTTAGGTTTTGTGCCAATTGGCTACCTACCTATCTACTCGTTTTCTTAGAATGGTGCTTCCTCCACCGAATGTTACCGGCCAACTACATCTTGGCCATGCACTTACGGTGACTGTCGAAGATGCGATTGTACGGCAACAACGGCTTCTCGGGCGTTCGGTAAGAGTTTTTAGGTTTGCTCAAAATGTAATTTTTATTTCAAAACGAAATATATTATTTGTCATTCAGACTCAATGGATTCCGGGATTCGACCATGCCGGAATTGCCACGCAATCAGTTGTCGAAAAGATGTTGTGGAAAGAGAAACGACTCCGCCGAATTGATCTTTCGCGAGAGGAATTTGTTGAAGAATGTAAAAAATGGGCTAAAAGGTGAATCTTGTGAAATATGATTTTTTAAGTGCTTTTTTTTTTTAAAGAAATTCCAATCAAATAGCCGAGCAACTAAAACGATTGGGTGCCTCTCTCGATTGGACAAGCCAGTATTACACATTGGATGAGGTAATGGGCAATAGATCTTTAAAATTAAGATTTTTATTTAGAGATTCTCCCGTGCCGTTAGTGAGGCATTTTGCCGTTTACACGAGGATGGTCTCATTGCACGAGGAAAACAATTTGTACATTGGTGTCCATCTCTTCAAACAGCCCTATCCGACCAGGTGATTCATTAATGTTTTTAAATATAGATCTTTTAGTTTATTTTTTGAATGTCTGAAGAATAAACTTTAGGAAGTAAATCGCGTCGAAGCAGGTCGAATTTCTATACCATCATCAAACGGAGGAACTCGATCAATTGAGGCTGGAGTAATGTACAAAGTCTGTTACGGCACGATGGATAACAAATGGTATGTTGTTTTTAAAAATTACTTTGACTTTCTTTAGGACTGTGGAAGTGGGCACGACTCGACCCGAGACTTGTTTTGCTGATGTGGCTCTTGCTGTACATCCGGATGATCCTCGACATGCACATGTTTGTACTCTTGATTTATATCGATCAAGAACTTTTAGTTGATTCACACCTTGGTTCAGCACCCTTTACTAGACAGACAAATGCCAGTAATCGCTGATCGTGCTGTTCTAATTGATAAAGGAACTGGTAGGGTTTGCGTTATACAACTGTTTCGAATATTTTTCCATTTTCTCCTCATCTTTAAGATTTAAGAAATTTAGGTATTGTCAAACTGACACCAGAACACGATCGTTTGGATGCGGATATTGTTTCGAGACATCTTGATGAGATTACAACCCTAACAAGGCAACTACTGATTATGCTGTTAATATTTTCAGATGTTTCAGCTCATGTATTAATGAACATGGATTGATAACACCGGGAACTTATCCAAAATTTGACGGCTTAGATCGATTCGCGATGCGAGAAATGAGGTGAATGCATTTAAAAAGTAAATTTTACGTTGTTTTCTAGGTTATTAAATTACTGCAAGACTTGAATCGAGGCGGCACAAAGATGAAACACGAAAATGCGCAGGTAAATTTTTAAACTTTTTAACTCTTTAAAACAGTTTTATTCTTGAGGTTATGATTTGCTCTCGTTCCGGCGATGTGATAGAGCCAAGACTCATGAAACAATGGAATCTCGATGTAAAACCGCTACACCTAGCAGCACTTCAAGCTATTGAAAGGGGAAAAGTAAGAAAAGTTCGCGGAAAATCGTAGTACATCAACTTGTTTAGTTGAAAATCGCTCCGATGGGCCAAACTCAGCGAGTAATCGACTGGTTGGAAAACACGGATCCGTGGTGTTTAAGTCGACAATTGTACTGGGGTCATCGAATTCCGGCTTTCACTACGGGAGACGTCACCGATGAAAGGTTGAAAGTGATCACCACAAATTGGAAATAATTATGGCATAGTGAGGTGGACAATTGCACGCGATTCGAATAAAGCAGCCACCACGTTAGGATGTCACGTGGAGGATTTGAGACAAGAGAGTGACGTTCTGGACACATGGTTTAGGTGAGTTTAGTCAATTTTTGATGTCCATAAACAAATACGATGCAAAAATACACGCTTATAGAACCTTCATTTTAGCTCTTCTCTGGTGCCGCTTGTTGTCTCTGGTTGGTGCTCAAGTTCCACATCAACAACGATTCCTCACTTTACAAGCCCACCACTGAACATCATGGAAACCGGCCACGATATTATTGGATTTTGGGTTACTCGGATGATCGCCATGACACTACAGTTGGTTTAACTAATTACAGGCTCATTTTTTTCTCTTTAGTTTGACAAATGGGACGCTCCCGTTCTCTAACGTGTTCCTGCATGGTCTCGTGCGAGATTCAAGTGGGCGAAAGATGAGCAAGGTTTTTTTCTTACTCTTTTAAGATTAACAATAGACATGAATAATACTTCAAATTTAGTCGCTTGGCAATGTTATCGATCCATTGGATGTATTAGATGGAATTTCTCTTGAGCAAATGCTGAAACGATTGGACGAGAGTAATTTGGATAAACAGGAAATAGGTTGGGATTCTTTTTTGTTGCCAAAATAGCTCATAATTTAGGGCTGGCAAAAGAAGACTTACGGAAGAACTATCCGAATGGAATCCCCAAATCTGGAGCAGACGCTTTGCGGTTTGCCCTACTACGGTAAAATCAACAAGTTTTTGGGAAAAATTGTTAAACCATTTGAAAAGATCGCTCAAATTTTGTTTTTCAGGCATGACGTTTCTGCTACCGATGTTCCGATAGCCGTGTCTCAATTAGTTGACGAGGGATTAAGGTAATCTTATTATCCTTTTCATAGCACCAGCAACGAAGTTTAGATTTTGCAACAAACTTTGGAATTTGACGAACTATGTCTTGATTTTGCACAACTCTAGTACGAGAAATTTTACCGATATATTCACCAATGAGACAGTATGTGGTTTGTTTTGCTCTTTCAAGCATATTCTTTTAGGATTTATGGCTTTTATCTCGATTACACGGTACACTCATCGCAATCAACGATCATATGGAGAAACTGTCGCTATCGAATGCTTTCCCTAGCTCTCTTCGATTTTCTCATTGGCGATTTGTGTGATGTTTACTTGGTTAGTATAGTTAAAAACACTCAAAAAGTACTCTCATCTTTTGTTCTAGGAAACCACGAAGAAATACCTCTGGTCAAAGGACCAAGCAAGAATCAACGAAGTGTGCTCTGTTTTGAACCACGTTCTTCCGAGGTCTCTTGCCCAACTCTCGATTTTTATGCCATTTGCTGCGCAAGCGATGTATGAGCGAACAAAAACACTGAACGATTGCGATTTTTACGACTTTATTTTAAAGGTATTTTGTTTGAGGCTTCTTTTAAATCTATTCGATAGTTGATCGATATGATCTATATTCTACCAAAGTAAAATCTTTGTTTTTAGCAAGAACCAAATCGTGTCAATCCTGCTCTGGATACTCAAATGAGATTCACTCTGTCAATTGTGTCAACGATACGGTCACTGAGAGCTCAACTTAATCTTCCGAAAACAATTTCCTTTGATGGTAGCTATTTTACTGATTTCATAGAACAATTTTAACTTTAGGGTTCCTTCGCTCAAACGAAAGTTCACCAATCCATCCATTGTTTAATGAGTTAAATTCGTTGTGCGGTTTGCGATTGTTACAAGTTTGTAAATGATTTTTGCGCGTGCGTAAAAATGAAATCTAGGAACAACCTTCATCGTCGAAAGAATACGTCATTTATCCAGTGCATGGATACGATGTACAGCTCAATATTAAGATCCAGGTAGTTTGCGCGTTTAAGCGTTAAAAATTTCAAATTTATAGGACGAACATCGCGAGGAATTCAATCGACTTCTTGAAAAGCAAAACGAGCACATAAATCAACGAATCGAGAAGCAAACTGAAGTGGTGAAAGGAGCGAATCAAATGGCCGAAAGGGATGCAAATGATCCAAAAGTTAGTTTTGTTGAACAAATAGAATGTAACTTTTTAGTGCCACAGCAACCCCATTATAAATGTTTAGAAGCGCTGGTATTAATGAGCTACTGTAGTCCGGATCAATGTATTGATGGGAAAACTCTTTCTGTTACATTAAGCGTGTGCTGTAACAGCAAATTTAAATTATAATGTAAATTTTATTTTGGTAGAGTGGATCAAAATGAAAGCTAAGTTACATAATAGACGCTTGTTTCAGGCAAAATCCGACAAAAAGGAGCGAAGTGCGCGTCGAGCGAAAAGCGAAATGATGAAACTCGAGGGATTGAGGGCTGAATCGAAACGACTTCAGACACTTGTCGATAAACAGAAAAATCTTATCAAGTAGGCAAATAGGTATCTAGGTTTAGTTAGATATGGACTGTGTTCCTTTCGACTAAAGCGTTTCGAGAACTATGGCAGCTTTAAAAAGTCACCGATCAGATCCAGCCTGAAAAAGCTACCGTACTCCGGCTGCTATTTGTAAGATTTAGTTTAAAAGCTTGCCTCTTGTTTGAGAGTCCAAGATAACCAGGATAATTTAGTAGTTTTCTATAAAGACAGGATTACGGTAGCTTTGCCTAAATGCACTTTTTAGGAAACGCTTTAGTCTAGAGGCAAACTGATTGTCAGATGTGTTAGGTCCGATTTTGGGATTGTTTTTAAGCGGTTTTTAGCTTTTTAAAAAAGTTTTTTTTGTTGTCATTTTTGATTTTTTAATAAACTCTATGAACACAAATAAAAGAAACGACTCTCTAAAAATCAAATGCCATGCATACTTTTTGCTTGGAGTGCAGGGGTTCCAAATGAGCGATATCATTTTGTAGTCTGATGTTATCAGTCCCGTTCTTTCTTATATTTTGATCAATCCCTATCTCTTTTCTTTCCATTTACTCCTTTTCTCTCTTCCAATTGTCACCCACCAAAGATGGGAATGAGAAAGGATGGCAAAAACGAGAAATCTATAAGCATTGATTCTCATATTTTTGTGCTTTCGTACCCACTCCCTTCAAAGCTTCTTTTTCTCTCTCAAATGAACAGAATTAATTTTTAAACCATTTTCTTGAACATATTCAGTTTTGGGTTTAATTTAAATACTTTTTATTTGTCTTGAAAAATTTTATTTTTCTGACATCTCATTTTCGAGGCAATTTCCCTAGTGTTCTTCTCAAGTAAAATTGGGATTTTTTTTACGTTTTGCATTTTTCTTGACTTTAGTTCATTAAGCTTTAATGTTAGACCGTTTAATATGTGCCTAATAGATGACGGTTCTCTCAAAATTGGGTTACGAGGCGACTCGTGTACCCTTCCGACAAACGGTGCCCTGTTTTGCCGGTTTAGCCGTGATCGCCTCGATTTGGAGATTCTATGGAAAATCGGCCTCTAGGTGAGTGTCAGTGGGGAAAAAACAAATGCAGATTTGATTTGGTTTATGAAGAATTTCGAGGATCGATACAAGCGTTCACACAGAACAATATTTTGTCATTATGATAGACGGTTAGAGTCTATCATAATGACAAAATTTGACCACAATGTGCACTTTGCAGTGTGCTTACTCTTCCGTGAAAAGACAAACATTCTACAGGATGTCCCAAAAGAAAGAGGCCTTTACAAACGGATTTTTTGAAAAAGTTTAAGAGGGCATGGCAAAAGTTTAAGTGATGGCATTCCTGGTGTCAAAACCGTTTTTTTTTTGTGTCTCAATTTTTAGACTTTTTGTAAGAATTTTTTGATTTTTATGACTCCCCTATTCGTGAAATTTTTTTTTCGCCATCACGAAAAAAATCCGTTTATAAGGCCTCTGTATCAATGAAAAGCCAGAATAAACCCCTTTTTTAAGAAATAAAAAACGAGCTGTGGTGACGAAGAGCGGAAAAACGGGCAATGGCGACAAAGCACATGTGAATGGAGAGTTCATTCGTCGACTTCGCTCAATACTCAAGATTTTATTGCCGAGATTTTTCTGTGCTGAGGTTTGGATGAACTATCAATCAATAAGAATGTATCAAAACTGCAAGAAATATCGTTTGTTATTCCTCTTCAATAGAAAAGCCTCCTTTAGACGATAATTATCATTTTTTGTCACTTTTTTTTGAATTTATCAACTCTCGGATAGGAAAATGTTCAACTTTTAGACTTTTAAAGGATTTAAATAATAGTAGGAATAGTAGGAATAGTAGCATTTAAATAATAGTAAATACCGTAAATACTGTAATAGTACCCCACTCCGATAATGACGGTGCGGAGCGTTGCGTAGTCTAGCTTTAGACGCGTTTTTCTCGACACTGGTTTATGCTACAATGCTCGGTTAGGTATCAAAAAATAGCTGAAATTCAGGGCTATTTTTTGATACCAAAGACGCATTTTTTTGAAAGTACGGGTGCTTTGCAAAAAATGAAATACTAAAAAACTTTTGTGACTACCCGACTGTACGAGGGGGGTGGGGTACTATTACAGTATTTACGGTAATAGAGTCAAAAAAAAGCTTAATAACATTGAAAATCGAATGAAAGCTCAATAAAAAAAAATGTCTATTTTTGAGCTCTTGGAATTGGATTTGAAATTGGATTTGAAATTGGATTTGAAATTGGATTTGAAATTGGATTTGAAATTGGATTTGAAATTGGATTTGAAATTGGATTTGAAATTGGATTTGAAATTGGATTTGAAATTGGATTTGAAATTGGATTTGAAATTGGATTTGAAATTGGATTTGAAATTGGATTTGAAATTGAATTGAAATTGAATTTGAAATTGGATTTGAAATTGGATTTGAAATTGGATTTGAAATTGGATTTGAAATTGAATTGAAATTGAATTGAAATTGAATTGAAATTGAATTGAAATTGAATTGAAATTGAATTGAAATTGAATTGAAATTGAATTGAAATTGAATTGAAATTGAATTGAAATTGAATTGAAATTGAATTGAAATTGAATTGAAATTGAATTGAAATTGAATTGAAATTGAATTGAAATTGAATTGAAATTGAATTGAAATTGAATTGAAATTGAATTGAAATTGGACATTTCATATTGAAAAATAAAAATAAAAGAGAAAGTGACACTTTTCAGACGTTCTACCTTGTTTTAATTGCCATCACTTTATTGTGCCGAACGTACGCCGATGTGTGGATGATCACAACCTCGACGAAGATCGAAGCGTACGTTCGAATGAAAACAATGAAATACAACTGACTGGCACCGGGAATTCTTCACATTGGATCCCCTTTTTTTTCAGCTCGATCATCGAACGAGATGTGCCCGAGTTCGCTCGTGGTGTCCTTCACTATTTCTTCGCAATGCCTGCGATTTCCGTTGTGAACGCTTTACTGAAATTTTCCCTTTCAGAATTGAAGCTCCGTTTTCGACAACGATTGACGAATCATTTATATCAAAAATATCTCAAGTTTGTTGATTCGAAAAGATAAAAAGACAGCTAATTGGTTAAAAGACAGTCAATTGATTAAAAGACAGTCAATTGATTAAAAGACAGTCAATTTTTAGCTCTACGGTATTTAAAAGATTACTGTAGGAAAGATTGAATATCATAAAATCATAAAAACATAAAAATATCGTAAAAAAGATATCATAAAAGATTTTCAGAGGCTTCACTTTCTATAAAATGTCAAATTTGGATAACCGAATCGCGAACGCTGATCAATTATTGACTCAAGTATTTCTCCTCAAAAAATCTCCGAATTCACTCATTTCAGGATCTCGAGAAGTTCTGCGAGGGATTAGTCGAACTCTACAGTAATGTTTCGAAGGTTTGTTTAAGTTTCGAAAGCTTTCTTAGATCTATCGAGTTCTAGCAAGCAAAAAAAGAAATACTTTTCAGCCACTTGTCGATGTTGCTTTGTATGTGGCGAGATTGGGCGGAGCGCTGGGATGGCAAGCACCCGGAATGCTCGGATTCTATCTTCTTGCCTCGGGCATTTTCCTCACGAATCTCAGGAAACCGGTGAGTTTTTGAGGGAAGATTAAAGCCAGCTCAGGTTTGGACCTGGTCCTAATTGGTCTCAACTGATCTTGCTTGGTCTCCAGATCCTCCAGGGCGAAATATTGGGTCAGCCAGAATCCAGCAGAAGCCAGATCCTGGCTAGATCTGGCACTTAGAAGACCCTGGTCCAGACCGAGACCTGAGCGGACTTTAACCTGGCTTACATGCTTAGAGTGCAGACGCTTCTTTGCTTAGAGGGGCTCTTTGAATGTAAGACTACGCGACGCTTCTATAGAGAGCTTCTATTAGAGTTTTACGGTAGTCATACTTTCAACTTTTTAGATTGGCCGTCTCACCGTTGAGGAGCAATCGCTCGAGGGAGAATTCCGTTTTGTAAACTCGCGTCTCATCATGAATAGTGAAGAGATTGCTTTCTATCAGGTAAGGAATCTTTAATAGAAATTATCAAAAAAAAAACAACAAATAGAATCTCTTTCTGATTTACTGTATCTTCTGATTACTGTATTTCCAGGGACAAGAGCGCGAAAAAACAACGATTCTTTCATCTTTTGACAACCTTGTCACTCATCTAAGAAAAGTGATCCTTTTCCGGTGAAAAAAAAGGAGAGATGAATAAGTTTATTTTTTAAATTTAGATTCAACATTGGATTCATTGATAACATTGTTGCGAAATATTTTGCTACTGTTGTTGGATGGTTTGTCGGTTTTAAGGTTATTCATTTATTATCTTTAGGTTCGCCGTTTCCCGGGCTTTCTTTAACAAAAACGATCAGAGAATGATGGGGAAAAGCAAAAATGAGCTCATTCAGGTATGGTTTAATTCAAGAAAAAGAAACTTCAAGTTTTGGTTACTCAATATTTAGGACTATTACAACTCGGGGCGAATGATGTTCCGTTTGGCGGAAGCGCTAGGAAGATTGGCGTTAGCGGGAAGAGAAATGACACGATTGGCTGGGTTCACTTCTCGAGTTGATGGACTTATCAATGTGTTGGATGATTTGGAGAAGGGTTTGTTTGGATAGAGTCAAGAACGAGATTGCTTTAAAAGCAGCAAGCAGCAGCAGCAAGCATCATCAGCAGATAAGGCCAGACTGGAAACCAGATCTTGGTCTGCTTTGCTGGTTGACTTTGCTGACTTCTGCTAAAAGTCGAACTCTGACCTTGTCTTGCCAGGCTTGGCCTTACCTTAAAGCCTAATCAATCAAGAATCAAGTAAAGTAGAGGTTTGTAATCTTTACAAAACAATAGTGATACTGTAAATACCCGAACACTACTCCCTAGACTACGCGACTGTACGCCTTTTATTTTGGCGTTCTATTAGAGTACGATAGGATGTGTTTGTTGAGCTTTTCAGCATCTTTTACCCTTTAGGTTCCTACAAAAGAACGATGATCTCCGAGTCAAAACTCTCATCTCCACACCTACCCACTCTCGATACTCCACTTGTGCCTGGATCTGGTAAAAGTTAAAACGTTAAACACAAACGAACGTACTAGATAACTTGTACAGTACTATATTACTTACTTTTGTACTTTTGTAAAACTTTTCAATTCTTAGGTGAATTGATCATCCGGGACAATGTGATCCGTTTTCAAGGAGTCCCCTTGGTGACCCCGAATGGAGATGTGCTCGTTAGATCGCTTGACCTTGAGGTTAACTCTAAAAATTTAAAATAATAGATTACCACAAAATAGATTTACATAGATTTACAATTTTTAAACAAAAAACTTTACTCAGGTGCCTTCTGGAAGAAATGTGCTCGTTTGTGGGCCGAATGGCTGTGGAAAGAGCTCTCTATTCCGTGTTTTGGGCGAATTGTGGCCATTGTTTGGAGGGAAATTGACGAAACCGGCAAAGGGAAATCTTTTTTATGTGCCACAGGTTTGTGAAAATAAAGAAAATAAAGGCAATGAGAGTTTTTTTTTGATAATTTAGAGACCGTATATGACTTTGGGTACGCTGAGAGATCAAGTGATCTATCCGGATAAACCGTTTGATATGATTAGAAAGGTTTGTTGTTGATAAAGGCTTTTTACAAGATAGGAATCGATTACGGTAGAAAAATAATTAATAGAATAATTCATCGTAATGGTTTCTATTTGACTAAATTGATAAATAAGCAAATAGTGTTTGGAGAGATTCGGAGCAATGAATACACTTACCGTAAATACTGTAATAGTACCCCACTAATGACGGTGCGGAGCGTTGCGTAGTCTAGCTTTGGACGCGTTTTCTCGACACTGGTTAACCAATGCGCTTAGGTATCAAAAAATAGCTGAAATTCAGGGCTATTTTTTGATACCTAAGCGCGCATTGTAGCATAAATCAGTGTCGAGAAAAACGCGTTCAAAGCTAGACTACGCAACACTCCGCACCGTCATTATCTTTGGTATCAAAAAATAGCCCTGAATTTCAGCTATTTTTTGATACCAAAGACGCATTTTTTGAAAGTACGGGTGCTTTGAAAAAAATGAAATACTAAAAAACTTTATGACTACGCGACTGTACGAGGGGGGTGGGGTACTATTACAGTATTTACAATAAGATCACTTCATTTAGGGAGTGACTGATGAGGATTTGGAGATGATGCTTGAACACGTGCAATTGGGACACATTTTGAGTAGAGAAGGAGGATGGGAAACTGTGCAGGATTGGATGGATGTGCTGTCGGGAGGAGAGAAACAGAGAATTGCGGTAGATCATTTACAGCAATAGTGAGCTAAAGTTTAACGTCCGTCTAAACGGTGAAATACTCCTGTTTTTTACACTCTATAATATCATAGTGACATTCACAATCATTTCCAGATGGCTCGTCTTTTCTATCATCGACCGCAGTTCGCGATCCTCGATGAGTGCACATCGGCTGTCTCTGTTGATGTTGAAGGTAAGAAGATTTTTGGGTTTTTGGATTTGGATTCAAGTTTCCGAAAATTCAACCAATCCAGTGCCAGAATAAAACTAGCAGAACTTGTTTCAATTCGAAATCAGAATCGAATTGATACTCTTTATAGAAATCTTAAAACTTCAAAAAAACAGAAGATTTAGCACCAGCAGGGTTCGAACCCAAGAGTAAAAAAAAATCTACGTTCCGTAATCAAGCCCACTATCCACTAAGCCAAGGCTGCAGCAAAAAAGCCGTTGAAATTTCAAATCAATTTTTCTGCGTGCTTTAGCAGATTCTGATTTCGGATTCAAAATCACCGTAGTCGATTTAGTAAGATGCATTAGATCCTGAAACGAAAGCTCACTGCCAGTTCGTGCCTTACCCTAGTGAGATTCATCCAGACTAAGGCCAAGCCAGCCAACTCAAGCCCGTTGGCTTTATTTTGGCTTGACTAGCCTTAGTTTTTGGCTTTTCGGTCTAGCCTTGGCAATAAAGACTTTTCAAAGCAAATTCTCGATTAAATCCCAAATCAGTGAACACGAAAATTCAGGTGCCATGTATAAATTGTGTCGCGAGAAGAACATCACCCTGTTCACCGTTTCTCACCGAAAATCGTTATGGGTAAGCGGGGGAAAACTTTCAAAATGGAGAAACAAAAACGATTTCAGGTCCACCACGAGTACTACTTGCATATGGACGGAAATGGTGGCTACGAGTTCAAGAAAATCGAGGACGGTACCAATCAGTTTGGATCGTAAAAATCAAAAACGAACTTTTTTTGAACTTTGTTCTAATTTATCTCTTGATTTTCATCGTTTAGACTCTCGTTTTGACAGTTTCGAGCTTGTTGTTCTTGTTGAGTTCACACAGTTCATGGGAGTGGGACAAATGCTACCTTTTTTTTGCGCACCCGGACATTTGCGCACCTTTTTTTGCGCACCTTGCCCATTAGCGCACCTTTTTCGCGTTTTAAAAGCTTTAAAAGCTAATATTAACCAATTTCTATTCCAAAAGTTGTTTTTCTAGGTAATTTGAGGGCGTAGAATCGAAATTTTGACATATCAGAGCTTGTGGAAAAAAACGGACGAAGTTATACAAAGAGAAAGATCGACAATTTTCTGCAATTTGATCTAGCCGTTTTGTCTTTCAAATTGGTTCCACACACTCTGTTATGTCAAAATTTCGATTCTACGCCCTAAAAAACAACTTTTGGAATAGAAATTGGTTAATATTAGCTTTTTAGAGCTTTTTTAAAACGCGAAAAAAGGTGCGCTAATGGGCAAGGTGCGGCAAAAAAGGTGCGCCAATGTCCGGGTGCGCAAAAAAAGGTCGCATTTGTCCCACTCCCCAGTTCATCCTTTAAACCATTATATTTTATTAGATTTTTCAATTTTATTCTTTCCATCACTGATTTTATCACCTAGTACCAGGCCTAGAGCTTTACTTTTTTTGAAGAAAAATTTTTGTTTTTACCTGAAAAAGCACAGTACACTTTAATAAAATAAAGATAAAATAAAAATAAAACAAAAATTCAAAAATAAACAATCAAAATGCTAAAAGCTTAGCTAAATGAAAATTTAATTAAAATTTCGCATTGTTGTTTTCAAGTTTCGATTTCCTTTGTAAGTTTTTGCTGTAGATAGGCATTTTGCACAAATTTTAATGAAATTCACCTCATATTTGGCTAGATATTTTAAAAAATATCTTGGAATTAAGCAAAAGATAGGAATTTGTGCAAAATGCTTGTCCATTCCCCGTTTTTTTGTGTTGAAATCCGTTAAAGTTTGATCTTTTTCGAACAAGTACGAGTCGTTACACAGAGCGCCGCCCCACTCGACCCGCAATCAACCATTTATGCCTTTGAAACAGCCGGCAAGTATTCAGGTAAATGTTTTTTTTTTGGATAAGCAATCTAGCTTTGAGAGTTTGCACAACTTTGCTGTAAAATAACCTACCTATTTTCGTTAATCTACCTAATAAAATTTAGCCAATACCTTAAAATATTGGATGAGCTATTTTTGCCGAATGTTTTTTAATGTATTCATGTTTTTAGATTGCTGACAAAATCATTTCCACAACGACCCACCCTTTCCGAAGCAAATGCGGCGAATTGTTGCCATTTCTTCGTACCGAATTCCCTCGACAACTACATGACTTCGAGAAACGTTTTTACAAAAAGGAGTACCGTGTGGATCTACAGCTGTTGCAAAAAGTGAGGATTTTTTGTTTTTTTTTGCTTAAATCTTTGGACAATAGTTTTTGTTAAGGAATTCACTGAAAGGTACTAATTTTATTCTTAAAACGTTGTTCTTACCTATTTTTTTATTTGCTTCTCATTATTAAGTTTCAGCGTCGATCACTGATGTCACAAGTTTGTGCCGCATTGACGCACCAAGAATTGAAGGCCGTACCATGTGGAAGCATTGCGTCTGGTAAGATTTGCGCTTGAAAAACAAAGAACTCGTTTTTAGGTTTGATGACATCGAATTCGGATCTAGACGCTGTCGTAATTCCTTTTGACGAGAAACGCTTTTTTGATCGCTATGAGAAGGATTTAAATTTCAAGAGGTTTGCAAAATCCTTCTTTTTTGAACTTGTTATTTTATTTTAGAAAACAGCTTGCCCGGTGTCATCGAAAATTGCTTAATTCCAACCTTGTCCGTGGATCTTTTACAGTAAGTATTTAGTATTTCATTGACAATCTGCTTTGAGGCTCAAAAAACTAGGCTTCCTAAGGTCTAAGTCTAACTAACTAGTCAGTTACAAATCGGATAATGGCTTTAATTTTTTAGGAATTCATACCTTGGGCTCGGGTGCCCATTGTCCGAATGGTGCTAAAAACGGGTGATCACTTGGATGTGCAATTTCATGATGCCAGAATTCTTAAATCAACGAACTTTATTCGAGTAGCAAATAATGTAAGTTTTTTTTAACAATCGCTAATATAAAATCAATAACCTTTTAGTTAGACCATCGTTTATTCATGCTTCGAATCCATCTCTTCAAAACGCTGACTGAGAACGGATTGCTAGCATCTCAAGAAGGAAGATTCTCGAGTTTTCACGTCACTTCTTTGTTAATTCACTTTTTACAAGTAAATCGCAGAATTTTGCAAATAACTGAAAACTTTTAGGTGCCATTTTTCGATTGTGCTGTCTATCCACCATTACTATCGACATTCCCGGATCTTCAACCGGGCATCAACTGGAAAACGATAGCTTATGATGTCGCAACTAATCGCTTGGTAAAATTTTGCTTTAGAAATAGAGCGTTAAAATTAATTACTGACTTTAATGAGCTCGTTTTAGTATCAAGGAGCTGAAAGTTTTGAGAAATCAATGGATTCGCTTGGCGCTCTTTACGTGAGACTAATCGACTACTTCAGTGGGATCAACTTTCACGAGGATGCACTCGATATCAGCAATGGAAGTGTAGTTAAAAAGTAAGTTAAAAGTAATTTTTTAAAAGACTAAATACATGAATAAACCTTACAAGTAGTGCTTAAAAATTAGTTTTATTTATAGAGATACAATCTCCGATCAAGTTGAGCTGCGGGACGCCTATTTTCCGGAAACTTCGACGTGTCGAGTTCAATCTGGAGCATCTCTGCTTTCAAATTTCTTTGCAACACAACGAGAACGGATTGAGGCTGGGAAACTAACGTAGTATTCAATTTTGTGCTTTCTCGGGTATTGTGTTTGAACTTGTACATTTTGAATAAACTTTTTGTGTTAGTAAATCTGTAATTGCATCATTATTCTTGGTATCATATTTGCAATGACTTTTTCGTAATTTTAAATACGAGCAAGCAGTTTGACAGTTGAACACAGGTATGATTTAGTTTTAAAATCCGTTGATGTTTGGCCGATTAACGCACAAAATTTGGATATGTTGTGACACAGCGAGAAGATTAAGTGGTAAGTACGGTTTTAGTTTTAGTAGTGAGTGGTAGTGTTAAAAGATTGGTACCAAGTTAATTGTAGCTGCGGCTGGAGTTAGCCGAAGCAGTACTTTTGTGGATATCGTTCAACATCGACATCGAGAACTACTCTCGACCCTGGATGCCAAAATCGATGCTGCCTTTGAGGAAAAAGAACAACTAAACAAGGTTGAGTTTTTTCAAATTTTTTGGGAACTTTTACTGTTCGCTATGCCAAGCATAGGAGAATATGCAAAATTTTTTATTAGAAGCTTTTTAGAAAATAGGACCTGCCACCTTGCAGAAATTCGAATCACTTTCCCAGCGATGCCTCAATACGGAGAAAGTCATACTCGTTCCAATTGGATCTCTCGTTTATGGGCTAGGATATCAGCAATCCGATTATGATTCAGTGCTGTTTGTAAAGAAGTTTATTTTAAAAGTAATTCAGATATAAGAAGATTTTTAGTAAGAAGGAACGAGACGCTTTTATGCAAATCATTCACTCAAATCAAGATCTTCGAGGGTAAGTTTTCAAAGCTATTTACATTGTTTTTTTTTTTATTGTAGGGCTTTATTTGAATCTTTGTCGGCCCTCATTGGACGAAATTCTCCCGAAATCCTCAATAAAGAAGTGTCGAGAGTTATCCCGTTAACTTTCTTGAAGATACCACTGCTAGTTATTGAGTAAGTCCTTATGAAAATATATGTCAGAACAAATTAAGCACTTTATTTGATCAAGCATTTTTTTTATTGAGCCACTTGTATATTTTTAGATTCACCGATGGATCATCAATTGACATTTCGATTCCCGATAACGATTTTCAGGCCATTCGTAATTCGAATCTCGTTCGATATTACTTAAAGGTGAGTTTTGAAGATTGTTATTTCACTCATGTGCTTTAGGCGGATAAACGATTCGGCAAAATGCTGCTTTACATTCGACGCTTATTTGAGGAGTGCGGGGTTTGTAGTTGGCTGGATTTTCTAAAAATTTCTATGCCTTTAGGTTAAAAATAGTAAGGCGGGTCTTCTTAGCAACTATCACATAGTGATGACGATTGTGCACTTTTTGCAAAGTGAACAGGTTTCTTTTGTGCATTAGTGGTAATCAAATACGTAATCTATTTAATAATTTAGTCACTTACACCGTGGCAAGTTCTTCCTGTTTTGTGTCAAACACACCCATCATTGGTCGGCCGTGATCTACCGATTGAGCAAATTATCAGACAACTCGCAATCCCAATCTCGAACTTGACTTTCGGTAATTTTACATTTAAGATAGGAAAAACTAAAGCCGATTCTAGATTATCAGTCGAATAACAAAATGCACGTTTCTGAATTGTTGATCAGATACTTTGACTACTACTCTCGTTTCAACTTTACGAAGGAGGCCATTCATATAGAGCAAGGGCAAGCAAGACGAATGTCAAGGTAAGCCATTCTTTTATTTGAACAAATAAAAATTTGTTCAGGAAAAGTATCGGTGACGAGCAACGTTTGATGATCATCGATCCGTATTCTCATGGAACGGTGGCTCGTTCACCCTACATTGTTGACGCTTTTAAAGAAGTCATTCGTTTCACTTGCGGGAGAATGCGAAATGGTTGCCTATTTACAAAACTACAATACCAATCCATTTTTAGGCAACTTGATCGAATCTTTTCCGATATTCCCTGAGGCTTCTCATTTTTATGAGGGAACGAAATTTCACACATGGCGGGTGCAAGCACAAGAAAAGAAGCTTTTAGGTGAGATTTGAATTACACTTTCCAATTTGCATATTAAAGTTAGAATTTCTAAATATCATTGAAAATCTCTCATTGTTTTAATTTCTTATTAAGCAATGCGGTTTTCCCTTCTCCAGTTGCCAGTCGCTGTTCTCTGCTTTGTCACATTGAAATTTTTCGTCGACGTGCCGCTACTCTTTCTTCAGCATTCTCAATTGAAAGTGGAGCGCGATTATTGCTTTAGGTGAGCTTTTGCCATTATCAAAGGGAATGAATATTTTGTTTATCTATTGGATTTCATTATTATTTTTAGAATCTCTCACTCTCAACCACGTCGATGTGTCGAGGTCAATTCGTCAACTTTTGTGCCAAATGCCACCCGCTTTCACGATCTAGGCATCAAAATAGCAACTAATCAAGTAAATTGGAATTTCGAGCTTTAAAAACGATAATTTTAGTCTAATCCTGTGAACACCGAAGAGATGTATGTGTATGATTGGATGTGGGCAAAATGGACAATTTCGAATCTAATTATAATGGCCGTCGGTAGAATTTTTTGTTAGTTTAAACTTCTTTGTGCCTCGAAGTTGATTGGAGTTCTTAGACTAATTCCAACGATAAATTTTCAACGTTTAGGCTTCAAAATTTTTCAAGGATGTTCCCTACTTTATAATGGTACAATCACGCAAAACCAAGTCGGAGTCGCATTTTATCTATTCACAGGTGACGATTTATTTACCAATTGTAATAAAATGTTCCTATTTTCAGTTGAAGCGGCTATTTATCTCATTTCATGTCGACTCTTGCCTCCAATTCCAGCACCGATCATTTCACAAAGATCTCCTTTTTCTGTACGCTTTTGTGGACTTTCAATTCATTTGTCGTTATATCATTTTGTTGTTTTTCTGATGAGTCTTTTCATTGTGCATCGACGGGTTTACGGTAAATGTTAATGGGTAATAAAGGGCTTTAGCAAATATCAAATTCAAACGTAATATGGACACTTAAGATCAGAAATTTAACAATTGAATAAAAACAGGCTCATCAGACTGGACCTGCATATTAGACGGGTACTGCACCGAAGTAGCTAATTAGGTAAGTGACAAAGACATTAGGAATTTGTGTAGCTCTAACAAAAAGAAGATGGCGCAAAGGCCGAAAGCTAAATCCCCTCGCGGTGGCTACAGTCGTCAAAAAATCTTGCAAGGTCAGTGTTCACTTGGTCCATAGATCACATCCAAATATATTGACCACAAATAGTTTTATGTAGCATTTTCAAAGGTTGTTAAAATGAACCATTTAGCTTTTCGATATCCTTTGAACTAAACTAAGTTCTATGATCGAAAAAGCTTATTTGAGCATGATTTTTAAAAATCCGTATTTCAAGAATGAATGGATCCCATCAAAAGCGGTTCCAATTATAATGGCATTGGATCGTCTATTACTTATTTATTCATTTTTTTTTCGTGAAAATGAAAGGCTACTGGCAGTTTTGAAGCTTTGAACAAAATCTGAGAAAAAGGACCTTACCCTCTTATGCAAGAGCAGCTTGAAAAATTCTATTTAGAGCGAAATCAAAAATCTAAGGATATCATCCTAAAGGCACAAAATACTACAAACTAATTGGGATCGATTTATTTGAATGCGAGCTAACGGGAGAAAAATCAGAAAACATTGGCCGGCCCAGACTTTTTTGACGACTGTACTTTGCGCCAATTTTTTTGCGCAACTGGGTCATTTGCGCAACTTGCCATAACCACGATTGTCAAAAGATTGGTCCACTTGTTAGCTGAAAGTTATGGCGAGTTGTGGAAAAAATTTGGCGCAATGTAGCCACCCCCCAAATCCGTTCAAAGATTTTGGTCATTATATACTTGAATTCGACAGCAATAAAATATTCAGCTAACTCAGCAAAAAGTTTATGACCCAGTTTTGGCGAGATTGTCGTTAGATGTCGTACGTAAAAGCACCAAGCAGCGACGAAGTTGAACCAGTTTTCATTTGCAACTTTTCCCCGACCTGATTGCGTTTGCGTTTTTTTTCTCGTTGAACAGTCCACGTTCATAGCTTCATCACTTATGTATATTTACTTTCTTAGATGTCTGCATCTGCTGCTGGTAATTCTGGTGATGGCGAAACTTTCGCTTTTCAAGCCGAGATCGCTCAGTTGATGTCTTTGATCATCAACACTTTCTACAGGTTTGGTTTAGCTTCCTTTTTCGTCCGCTATTTTCTTTTTTAGTAACAAGGAGATCTTCCTTCGTGAACTTGTGTCCAACTCTTCGGATGCTCTCGACAAAATCCGTTACCAAGCTCTGACGGAGCCATCGGAGCTCGATTCGGGCAAGGAGCTCTTCATCAAGATCGTCCCCAACAAGGCCGACAAGACGCTCACCATCATCGACACTGGAATCGGAATGACAAAGGCTGATCTTGTTAACAACCTCGGAACCATCGCCAAGTCTGGAACCAAATCTTTCATGGAGGCTCTTCAGGTTGATTTTAAAGCATAGTATTGGTTTTGGGTTGCTTTAACTTTGTTAATTTAGGCTGGAGCTGACATTTCGATGATTGGCCAGTTCGGAGTCGGATTCTACTCTGCTTTCCTGGTTGCGGATAAGGTAGTTGTGACCTCGAAGAACAACGACGACGATTGCCACATGTGGGAGTCATCGGCCGGAGGTAGCTTCCTCGTCACTGCCGTCAACGACCCAGAAGTGCCTCGTGGGACCAAGATTGTTCTCTACATCAAGGTATTTATTTATGCATGTATCGTTGAGAAAATTCCTTTATTTTAGGAGGACCAGGCCGAGTATCTCGAGGAGCGCCGCATCAAAGAAATCATCAAGAAGCACTCGCAGTTCATCGGCTATCCAATCAAGTTGCTCGTGGAGAAAGAACGTGAGAAAGAAGTGGAGGACGAAGAAGCGGAGGAAAAGCCCGAAGAGGCATCTGAGGTTGGTTAAGCTTTGTATCTTGGTTAAATTCATCGATTTAGGAAGGAAAGGTCGAGGATGTCGGCGAAGATGAGGATGCGGACAAGAAGGACAAGAAAAAGAAGAAGATCAAGGAAAAGTACTTCGAAGACGAGGAGCTCAACAAGACGAAACCGATCTGGACTCGCAACCCCGATGACATCTCAAACGAGGAGTACGGGGAGTTCTACAAGAGCTTGAGCAATGATTGGGAGGATCATTTAGCCGTCAAACACTTCAGGTTTTCCTTTACTGCTTTTATCTATGAACAAATGAATTTAGTGTTGAGGGTCAACTTGAGTTCCGCGCTCTTCTCTTCGTGCCTCAACGTGCTCCATTTGATCTCTTCGAGAACAAGAAATCGAAGAACTCGATCAAGCTTTACGTGCGCCGTGTCTTCATCATGGAAAACTGTGAGGAGCTGATGCCTGAGTACCTTAACTTTGTGAAAGGTACGTTGATTTTAGCTTTCGAAATTGCATTTAGTGGAACTACAATAGTGAAGTTTCTTTAGGAGTCGTCGATTCCGAAGATCTGCCTCTTAACATTTCACGTGAGATGTTGCAACAGTCGAAGATTCTGAAGGTCATCCGGAAGAACCTTGTCAAGAAATGTGTCGAGCTCTTCGATGAGATTGCCGAAGACAAAGACAATTTCAAGAAGTTCTACGAGCATTTTGGCAAGAACATCAAGCTCGGAATCCATGAAGACTCCACCAATCGCAAGAAGTTGTCTGAATATCTTCGTTATGCAACATCCTCATCGGAAGAAACCACTTCGCTCAAAGACTATGTCTCAAGGATGAAGGTTAAAAGACTATTTTTGAAATCTAATTATGTTTACTTTTAGGAAAACCAGACTCAGATTTTCTACATCACTGGCGAGTCGAAGGAAAGCGTTGCCAACTCAGCTTTTGTGGAGCGTGTCCGTTCCCGTGGCTTCGAAATCCTCTACATGACTGATCCCATCGACGAATATTGCGTCCAACAACTCAAGGAGTACGATGGAAAGAAGCTTGTCTCCGTGACCAAGGAAGGCCTTGAGCTGCCCGAGTCGGACGAAGACAAAAAGAAGTTTGAGGAGAACAAGGTGGGGATATTTATGCATTAGTATAGTTTGTTTGTGTATTCTACTTTGAGCAAGTTAAAGTCGCTGTTTAGGTGAAGTTCGAAGGACTTTGCAAGTACATCAAGGACGTGCTCGAAAAGAAAGTCGAGAAAGTCTCCATCTCGAACCGTCTCATCAATTCACCTTGCTGCGTGGTCACCTCGGAGTACGGATGGTCTGCCAATATGGAGCGGTATGTGTGTTTTATTAGCTCTTTTAAATCTATTACATTTTAGGATCATGAAAGCTCAGGCTCTTCGTGATTCAGCAACGATGGGTTACATGGCAGGCAAGAAGCACCTCGAGATCAATCCCGAACATCCAATCATTGTGTAAGTTGCAATTTCCACGATAAAAGTTTTCTCCACTTAAGGAATCTTTGCGATCGGGTCGAGGCTGACAAGAGCAACACAAGCATGAAGACTTCGAAGGATCTAATTGTCCTTCTCTACGAAACCGCGCTGCTTTCTTCTGGCTTCACTCTTGAGGAGCCCGGTCTCCATGCCACTCGCATCTATCGCATGATCAAGCTTGGTCTCGACATCGGGGATGATGATGAGGACGCAACCACTGCTGAAACTCCTTCCACTTCTGAGGTAGCTTGTCTTTGTAAAATTATTGCCTATTTTTGGTTTTAGGTTCCAAAGGTCGAGGGTGCTGACGAGGAGAAGAGCCGAATGGAGGAAGTCGATTAAGGAGGATCCCTGTGAATTGTAATTGGCTGGTGTTTATAATAAAATTTGTATTTTCTTTTACAAAACGCATTAAAAAATCAATGTAAATTAATGAGGACTGCACGAGGTGGAGGCCGGGGTTATGTGCATTGCTTTCGCTTTTACTGGAAAGTGCTTGCGGACGTCACTGACTGAACTTTCCCGCCCTTCGACAACTGTATCCTAAACTCTCGATGAAGCGGGCAGAAACTATAATTGTTAAGCCAGAAAAAAATTTCTGAATGAGGAAACCTTTCTAGAATTTCCTCCATGGGGAAACTTGGCAACCAGCTAAACATTCAAAAATGAACACAATTACGCTAATCAACGATTCGGAGTGGCTTTGCTGAATGTCTTTTTGCCAATCCGACGTTGTGAAATCTTTCGCGTGAACCCCATCACCCCTGAAATTAGCACTTTTTCAGGCTTTTCCCTCTCACTCCGAATAATTACATTTGAGGCCGTTTTTTTTTGTAACAAAGTTTCACACACTCACATTCCCATTATCACTAGACAAAGAGTCTGAGAATTTTTTATGTGTACCTACATTTTGAGAGGTCTTTAGCATTTTGATCCTTTTGGACCTGGGTTCCAAACTCTGGCTGTTCTCTGTCCAATCTCAAAAATCATTCCCATTCCGAACCCTGGCCACTTGTTCAACAACAACGACCCCGTGGACTTGGCCACTTTTAGTTTCATACCATCACTTGCCAAAAGCTGATCTCAATTTTCCCCAAATTTCTCTACAATGACCACCTTGCTTTGGTGGGAGTTCATTCTTTTGGCGATCTGTTGGCCGATTTGCCTCCTCTACTTGTTCTACATTTTGTTCATGACGGTGAAGAAGTTCGGCATTCCAATCACCGTGCGGGAACAGTTGCGGCTGAATGTGGGTTTTGGAGAGTCCATGGATTTATAGCGTAAAGACAACTCTAGGGTGTGATGAATGTGTCCCTCTTTCTCCACACCGAACTCGTCCTCCGCCCAATCGCTTTTGAGTGGTTTTTCCCGATCACCGCATTGCCTCCATGGTTTCCCCGGGTTCTCTACGCCACGCAGGTTTTCCATCAATCCGTCCAGCAAATTAGCTCCGCTTTCAGGTGATCCTCAAAAACAACATCTATCTGATCTACATCCCGTCGGCGATCAATCGTTTTACCGCTTTCTACTATCCAATCAGGCATCAACATGTGAGTGAATTGGGACGAGACTTTCTTTCGAGACTTCCTTTCGAGACTTGCGAGATTCAGATCTGGAGTTGCACGAGATTCCGGGTGCTTTTCTTCCTCGTGTGGACGATCTCCACGATTTTCGCTTTGCCAAGCATTCTCTCGGATTCGGCTCAATTCATTCGAACTCACGACAATGGACCGCTCGATTTGATCGCCTTTGATCAATTGGTAAGCTGATGTTGAAGAGAGGTCAAAGCCCAGAAAGTAGATCATCGAAGCTTGCACCAGCAAAATCTGGGAAATTGGGTTGGACAATAAGTAGTGAGTCACGTGAAAGAAAGGAAATTTTGCCGTAAAGTTGGCCAGTATTGACCACTAAGAGACGACAGACTTCCCTCATTTCAAAGCACTTTCATTGATGGGGCATACTTTCCTATTTCTTTCTTAACTTCTTTTTTCGATTAGTGCAAATTTGTCAAATGAGCATATTCAACATGTTATGCTATTTGGGTCCTGCTCATCTTCAAGCCTAGCTCTAAAAAACAACAGTAGATGGTGATGACTCCCTCTCCAAGATGTAATCGATGATTACACAAGTTTGAAAATGGAGAGAAATCTTTGATCTAAAGCGACCGCTCCGAGAGACCGGTTGGGGGTGTGATTGGGAGTGATTGGGAGTGACTGGGAGTGATTGGGAGTGACTGGGAGTGACTGGGAGTGACTGGATAGTGGGAGTGCAAGAAGTTATAGCAAGCAAAGACTTAACTCTCGACTAGACAGTAATCAATTGCAGAAGCTGGCTGAAGCCCTTGAGACAAAAAGACCACATCTGAAAAAGGCCACATTGCAGCATGACAATCCTCGCCTACACACTGCTAAACTGACTCGTTCTACAACCAAGAACCTGGACTGGGAACTTGTCCCCCACCCAGCATATTCCCCAGATCTAGCTCCATCAGATTACCATTTATTTCGCTCAATGGAAAATCCCTTAGTCGGAGAGGACTTTGAAGATGAAAAAGATACCAAGAAATGGGTACAGAACTAGTTTCACTCAAAATCAAAGATTCTTTACGCGAGAGGAATTCGCCTTCTACCAGTAAAATGAGCAGTTTATGGAAAAAGAAGGGAACTATTTTGATTGATTTAGATGGCTTTATTGAATAAGTATTTCTGCTTGAAATCGACTCATTACTTACCGGCCAACCCAATATTTCTCCAAGAACAGCATGATCTCTTTCGATTCCAGATCGGCGAAACCCTCTCGTTTCTCCTCTCGTTGACGGCCGTCATTGTGACAACATCGCTTTCGATCGCTTGTCTCCTCAAATATCGTTCCATGCACTTTAGAGTCAATCGAAATGTCAGTGATCTCTTAGATATTAACAATGTCTTAGATATTAACAATAGAACTCCATTTTTGTCTAGCCTTTGACTCACTGCAATAATACAGGGTGGCCGACGAGATTTGGCGCGAGGTTTTTGACTTGGATGATGCCGGATTTAGCAAAATCTATCTGAAACCTATAAGTATTTTACAAGAGTTTTGAGTTATGCCCTTTTCCGCCCCCTCCAAGAAAGCCTTTTTTCTACTCGTTTTTCTAAAGTTTCAGGTTAAATATCTTTTGCAAAATTGGCTAGAATATCCGAAATAAAATTTAGTCAAATATTAGGTTGTCCCATAAAAACCCAGAGATTTTTTGTTTTAATCACTACTCGCTCACAACACTACGTTTTGTATTCATCTTTTTTTCTTTTTCATGCCAAAACTTTCTTCTTTCTTGCATTAGCATTCATTTTTTAGGGGACGACACGGGAAGGGAGTTGCAGTCGATCGAATGAAGCCAACTCGAGAAGAAATTCACGCCCAACTGCTCCAACGATTTTCAAGAGGGATTTCATCGGCCAAAGCAGCACAAGAAATCAATCGATTTTATGGCAACAAAATCGTTGGAACGAGTACTGCATAGGAATGGTTTCACAGATTCAAGACGGGCAACACAAGGATCAAACGGAAGAGGAGAAGCGGCCGACCCCTGGAAAGTGGATCGATCGATTCTGAGGCACCGATTCCTGCGAAACTCCGATGGATCAACCGGAGAATTGGTTGGAAGTTACTGTGGATGGATGCCTGTGTAGCGATGACTGCGAAAAGTGGAAAGAAATCGTAGAAAACAACGCTAAATTCCATACGAAAGATCGGAAACAACCCAAGTCAAAAGAAAGCGGACATGCAACCATTTGTGGAGCGAATACCGACATGGTCGGCTTCGTCTTTCGAACATCATCACTCACGATCAAACGTGGGTTTTCTACGATGGTCGAGTGTTACAACGGCAGCGATTGAAGAAAGGGCAAGCATGTAAAATGCTGCCAAAACGGAAGATCCACGAAAAGAAGCGAATCTTGTGTGTCGACTGGTGTTCAACAGGCGTCCTCCTCTTGGAACTTCTTAAATCGAGGCAAAATTTCAACACCGATGTTTATCTATATCATATGAAAAAAGTGGAACAAAAAGTCGGAAGGTTACTCTATGAAAACAAATGGAACGGCCCCGTTTTCGTTCTTCAGGATGGCACAAGCTCCCACAAATCAGAAAGATCGATCGATTTTGTGAAGGACAACCTACACTGGAATATCCTTCCTCATGCACCGTATTCTCCGGACGTTGCCCCTTCTGACTATCACTTGTTCTTGTCGCTAAAGGATTTCTTACGCGGTAAAAAGTTCGAAGATGAGAGCGAACTCGAGGACGAATTGAACGACTATTTTCGCTCGCGCCCGCTTGGGTTTTACGAACAAGGGGTTGGCAAGCTACCCAAACGTTGGAGAAAAGTTATAAATTCATCTGGAAAGTATATCATTTGATTCTGATTCTTCGTTGTTTCTATGTGCTGAAAATAAATGAAATTCAAAATCTCTGGGTTTTTATGGGACAACCTAATAATTAACCAGAAATTAACCAAGTAACCAAAAGTAACCAATTTTTTGAAACCAAACAAATAACTTCAAAGTGCATCTTGAGCATTTTTAAACAAAACCTTGATTTTTGCCGTTTTTGAAGGAGTGCTGGTGAAAATGGTGGTAATGGTAGAAAATGTGGGTAAAAAGCTTTTTCTTCCATTTTTCTATCAAGTTCCAGTTGAAGTTAACCAAAAAAGACCTTAGCTAGTAATTGAGAACATCCTTTCAGCAGCCAGCTTCATATACAACACAATATTCTAGGGTGAACCTTTAGATCACTCTCCGCGCAGAGGCCTTCTTTGGAGGGCGCAGAAAAGGGAATAACTCAAAAACTAGGAGACTTCTTGTACAATAATTATAACTTTCAGAAGCTACAGAAAATTTGCTACCTTTTTGGATATAAGTTCAATAGGTTTTGATAAACCCGACATCATCTCCGAGTCAAAAACCTCGCGCCAAATTTCGTCGGCCATCCTGTCTATGTACTCCGAGTTTCTCAACTGAAGCCGCTTGTGAAACGAAGAGTAAACGAACGAACAACACCTGAGCAATGAAATACTCACACAAATACAAATCACTTTCAGCTCTACGAATGCCAACTCTTTCTCACCTCCCTCACCGCCTATCCTCCATTTCTCATCTACACGATTAAGTGGGTTTCTGCAAAATTGTGCAAAATCCATCGAAACCCATTCCAGAAGCGTCCTCGAATTGGTCTCCTCCTTCACCGGAAATGAATCGATGAAGCAAACCTATTTGATCACCTGGTAGCTAAACAATCCAAATTGTCCAAGAGAAACAATCGTCACAATTCCAGGTACTGGTTGCTGGACATTCAAATGCTTCTCCCGTTGATCCCCATTCTGATCTGTACCGGTTTCTTCAAATTTATCACTTCCGGTGTCAAGCATTTGTTCTCTTCGGAGCCAAGTGATGGCATTTCACCGATCACTTCTCCCGTTCCCCCTCCATCAACAACTAATGGTGGAAGACCGACCTCTTCTACCCAAGTACAATGCACGATTCCTGAGGTGGAAACAGTTACAAGAAAAAGTTCTGAGAATTCTCTCCGTGCAACTTTTGAACTTTCCGCGCATGATTCCACGGTTTGATTCTTGGTCGGTGAAAGAAAAGAAAAGAAAACCAATGTAGACTGCAAATTACTCTTTTGGCCCAAATCTAACTAGTTTCAAAGTACATATTGTTCCTGTTTATGAGGCAATAAATAGTTTCGTGCTGAAAATCTCTTTGTACAATGAACTTTTTGCTCTCAACAAACACTGGGCGGGTATTACTTGCTGGTCGTTGGGGGAATGGTAGTCCCTCAAACAGATCAGAGGTACATATTCGTTTAAATCTTTTTGTTGATATTCCAAACAATTATCTTATTAAACAAAAGATTAACAAATTAATTAAATGAGATTGAAATTAAATGAATTAAATAGAATTTTGCGTAAGCACAGAGTAAAAGTGGGTACTCGTAATTAGCGTTTCAGCGAGGTATAACGAAAATATATAGCTAAACAAATACAAGGAAAAATAAGTATCAATTCCCCGTCAAATCGATGACTTCGATGAATTGCAAGTTGTGCAGCTAAAATCAATGATAACATAGTTGTTAATGAAAAAAACTAGGAAACCTTCTGCTCTAACATTGTGATTGTGTCCTGATTTTGTCCAATTTGCCGATAAAGCTAAAAGAAACCTAGATCAGTACAATAAAAAGCCCCAACGCGTCTTCGTGTGGCTGCACTCTCCTCGCGTAGCTTCTTGTCGTATGCATCAATCTTCTGAAGAATTGCAGCAGCTAAACTTGTAGTCTTGTGTTTTTTATGAAAGTTTTTGTCAAGCAAGATAGGTAGTTTAAAATACCCTGCTTTCCCGCGAATTAGATACCCATGAAAAAAGTTTACCTTGGGAGCGATGCATGTTTCCACCTTGGTTCCAAAAAGGCTGAAAAAACTCAAATTTGTAAAAGTAAACAAAAAAATAAAGGTATGCTTATTTTTATGTGCAAATAGTTTTTTAATATTTACCCCTTCTTTGATAGTCCCCTCAAGATTGAGTCCCGAACCATGAGACAACGGCTAAAAAAAGTATTTCAGATTTCCAAAAGCACTTTATCAAATTAAGAAAATTATCACCATTACGCAAAGTCAAAGTACTTTCGAAAGCAAGAGCATAAATGGTTCTCGTAAAGCTGCTCACCTCTTTTTTGATAGCCCCTCCGATATCCTTAAATGAACTTGCGGATACGGATTGATCAACACCGGACGACATCTAAAACAATTGGCAATTAAAATATTTTAAACAGTTTGCATGCTTCAAAACCCGGCCCTAACAATGCACACCTGTAAAAGTTGTAAAAGTAAACTAAAAAATAAAGGAAATTTTCTTTTCTTTCTTTTTCACGAAATTTCTTTCAAATTTTTCAATTTCACTGCCGAGGCTAAAATACTTCTATCTGGACCTAAATCCACCATTCTATGGTGTATCAAAAGATATTAGATATCTAGACAAAGCTCAAATATACCTAAAAATTGTGTACTTACTGCCCCTGTATAGGTAAAAACTTTATTCTTAACCAACATTATGACAAACCCTAACAAACGATAACAATAACAACACACCTCGAAAGGGTATACAACGCCAAAAAATAAGCAGGAAGCTCCTGGCATTGGGAAATGATGTGAACGGTCAATTTGAAAGTGTTTAGGCGCAAGACAAGCAAAATTCGACAAAATGACAACGTAAACGGGGCAACTAGTCAATTCACAGAAGTTAAAAAAAGCCTTTGTAAATTGTCACAAACTCAAATTTGTTGACCAAGTAGGTGAGAATCGTGGAAAAATGGGCCACCATGAAGAGACATCGGATTGAAGTAATTGGAGAATCCGCTCATTGGAGTAAGTGGTGGCATTGCCGATTGTGGCTGCTGCTGACGAGCTTCCATGGGGACCGGAAGAGAAAAGGCCTCGTAGACAGATGGACTAAAGCCAAAACTTTATGTTAAGATATTCTAGGCTTTAAAAGTTTACATATCTGCTTACTAAAAGAAAAAAACTTACTGAAGCTTGTACTCATGGGAGCTGCTGCTGACAAAAGCTGGCGATTGTGGCATAGCTGGCAACGTGATTGGACTTGGCGATGGTTGTGGCGACATCAGCAAAGGACGCATCGGTGACATTGGATAAATTGGTGTCATCATACGAGTATTCACTAACAGAGACATATAAAAGATTAGATCCAAAAATCGCATACTGTAGATGCTCCCCGTCTTGTGAGGCTTGTAAGTTCCATTGATGATTGCCAGTTCCATAAGTTGCTTGCGCTTGAAATCATCTGTACCCTCTGGCTGAAAGAATACAGTAAAATAAGGTAATTTACACAATCCCTTACTGGAGTAAGTAGCTTCCTGACGATTTTGCTAGCGTTGCTCAGCTTGATTCGCGCACGATTTTCCGTGTCCTCACATTGAATCAGCACGTGCAGCTCATCTTCCAGGTGTTCCCAGTTTGGCTTGCCGCGGTTTGAATCTTCCTGAAACTTAAATACCACTAAAATATAGCCAACAAGAAAATAAGTGTATACCTTGCGGCGATCCCTCATTGAGCCACGTCCTCTGACCATTATTTTGCACCCAGTCTCCTGCTCCAGCTGTTTAGCAGTCATTCCACGCGGTCCCAAGATCCGACCAACGAAGTTGTACTGAACAAAGTTGATTTATACAACCAACGAGAAAAGCTAACTCACGTCAGGATAATCATTCTTTGGAACGTAGAGCTTCTCAGTGATGGTAACGATTTCCCCGACAGCTTCAGGTAGAGCGAGTTCACCTTGCACAAAATCCGTTTGAAAGATTTGCGCGCGGACACGACTGATTTCTGAAAGTCCAAAACTACAATATAAACACGCTAAACAAACCATCTTCAAGAATTCGTTCCACATTTGGGAAAAGCGATGGAAACATTGTCAAATGCTTCTTTTCCTTGAGCAGCTCAGCAAAGTATTCCATACCGCCTTCGCTTCCAGAGAAAACATCAGGCAAAGCCAAATCAAAATACATAACATTACAAGACCTTATACCACTTACCAAAATCACTTGAGCTACTACGAGGACGAATTCCAGAGCCGGGTTTCTTGGGTGATGTTGTTTGAAGGGAGCTCTTCGTAGAAGTGCCGCTTTTGGCAGAAGGTGATCCGTCTTCAAGACTACGCGATGGCTGAACCAGAAGCGATGGACTCAGTGGCAGCTTTGGGTAATGCATCGATTGGCGAGTCGACAGCATTCTAAAAACAAAAAGGGTTTTGATCAATTAATGAAAAGAAAAAGAAAAAGCCGAAAATTAGATAGATGTCGAGCCAATATTTTGCCCCATTTTATGCTGTTTTACTTATTAGACGGGGCCAAAATGTTAAACTCATAGAGGAGCCCTGGTTGAGTTCTATGAGTTTAACATTTTGACTCATAGTGCTTAAGCCTTAGAAAACTTGAAACAGCAAGCGAAAATTTGTGACAAATTTCGAAAGAAAATTGTGTGAAAATGCGAAATGAATGGCATTTTGTATGATTTCTATCGTTGTTACTGTATTTTCAGACATTTGTCGCTTTTCTCGTCGGGTGCATTTTAGCATTTCAACTTTTTATTAACTTTTTATTCTTTTCCTTCTCGAAGATTTTGCATGACTTCCGATAGCATTTTGTTGTACATCGCCGCGTACGGATTCAGTGCAACCAGTTGCATTTTCGCGAACGATGAACCCAAAGCGGCCGCTTTCTCGTAGTCAGCCTAAACGTTTCAGTGAGATAAAATTCAGGCATTGCTCCTAAATTTATTATTTGGACCATTGGGTGGATTCATACAGCTTGTTATATCTACTAGACTTGCTTACCGGTCAGCCTAGTACCAATTAATGCCTCAAAGTCAAGCGGATGCAAATGCGTGTAGTATTTTCTACCGTAACCCATTTCTACTCTGCACTAACTTTGACCGATAGCAAGTCTACTGTCTATAGCAGTACACGAGTTAGCCGCGATCATTGTGCACTGTCTTATTGGTTTACGAGTTACGGTAGTCGAGCCACGCTTTGAAGCGTCTGCCCAACTCGACAGCCGAGAAAGTTCGCAAGCTACAGTCCGTTTCATATTTCTTTATCCACCCCCCAAAAAGAGGTTTTATGGAGAATGGGTGGAGGTATCGAGCTATTTTCTTTTGCAATAGAAAGGCCACATTGTAAAACCCTAAAAACACCGTTTTTGGGTTACTGGATTTTCTCAACAAAAAAAAATTAAGAAAGAAGATTCTGCGACCGTTTCACATTTCTTTATCCACCCTTAGGAACTTTGAAAATCAACGCTTATTTGATGTTACTATTCATTTTTTTGCTTTTCTTAAATTTTTTTTTAATATTTTGTAATCATTTGTTGTCATTTTAGGAAATGGGACGTTGGAAAGTGCTTTCCTATTACGAGAAGGGACAGATCGATGCCTACATGATCGACAAGAAGGGTATTCGAGAAATCGCAAAGCTGTTGGGCCGCAATCACACAACAAGAACGTGACCACTCCTAAAAAGAAGACTGGGCCCAAACCTCAGCTTACATCTCGAGCTAAGCGTCACATTGTGAATTCAATTCATGGAAAGTCTATCAATGAGGTCAAAAATGAGCTGAAAATCGATGTTCTAAGACAACTATCTGGCGTGCCGTCAAAGAAAATCCTCATATCGATCGTGAACGCCTAAATCAACAGCCTGCCTTAAAGCAAGAGCACAAGAAAGCCCGTCTAGACTTTGCCGCAAAGCATATGAGCTTTGATTGGAGCAAGGTTGGGAAATGCTGTACACTGAAACAACGGTTTTTATTTAGGTAATCTTTTTTGATGAAAAAAAATGGAATCTTGACGGACCAGACGGTGTTTCGCATTACTGGAGAGACCTGCGACAGCATCCACTGATATTCGGAACACGTAACTACGGAGGAGGAAGTGTGGTGTGTTGGGCAGCCTTTTGCGCCAATGGAACGGTCGCTTTGAAATTTGTCTCCAGCAAAATGAACAGTCAAGATTATACTGAAGTGCTCAAAGTTACTCTTCTGCCATTCATTCAACAAAATGTCGCGACTGCCTACACTTTTCAGCATGACAATGCTTCAATTCATCGCTCCGCTCATACAAAAGCCTGGTTGACTGCGCAGGGAATCAACATCTTGGACTGGCCAGCACGATCCCCGGATCTTAACCCCATTGAAAACCTGTGGGGCATCCTTGTCAGGGACGTTTACAAACATAAGAGACAATTTACGACCGTTTCGGAACTAAAAGCATCAATTCAGATTGCCTGGAATCGTATTGACGCCACGGCTCTCCAAAACCTTATCAAAAGTATGAATAAGCGAATCTATCAAGTTATTAACCGGTCCGGTGCTATATCAGATTATTAGTTGTTATGTTCACAATTCTTGATGTCTTTTTTATTTGTTGTTAATGCTAAATAAATGTTGATTTTCAAAGTTCCTAAGGGTGGATAAAGAAATGTGAAACGGTCGCAGAATCTTCTTTCTTAATTTTTTTTTGTTGAGAAAATCCAGTAACCCAAAAACGGTGTTTTTAGGGTTTTACAATGTGGCCTTTCTATTGCAAAAGAAAATAGCTCGATATCTCCACCCATTCTCCATAAAACCTCTTTTTGGGGGGTGAATAAAGAAATATGAAACGGACTGTAGCTTTCTCGCGAAATTTTCCTGTATCTTACGGTTATAAGCTAGTGCAATTTTTTACGAATTTTCCCCACCTTTGCCCCCTGATCATCCCCATTTAGTCGTCGGATGAGAGCTCTTTGCACGAAAGCCTGACATCCCGATTTGCCCTTTCCCTCACTCAGCTCAAGTGCCATGTCGAGATCGGACATGGCTTCTAAAAACTTCTATACTTTAACCATTTGTATGAGTAAGTCCTTTTCTTTATGAAAACCCAATAGTACTGACTTTCCGTTTCCGAATTGAGGCGATGCGCTTGAGCTCGGTTGTTGAACGCTGATGGATTCACCGGACAAACCTGGAGCTTTTAATTTAAAATCTTTGTGTCAATTCTCAAAAACCTGAATAGCTTCATCGAATTTCTCCAGTGCTTTTGCAATATTTCCCCCTTCGGCGAGAGCAATCGCCTCCTTTTCGAGCTGCCGACTTTTTGCGTATTCAGGGTGATCGATTTGTTCTAAAATGAAGGTGTTAAAGTTTATCTATAATTATGCAACTCTGCATGCACTGGCTGCTTAGAATCACTCCAACTCCAACAACGCTAAACTACGAAGTTGTGTAATCAACCTTGGGCAACGTTGAGAACCAAGTTAAACCTACCAAGTCATTCAATTAGTAAACTAGAGAATTTCTGAACTAGACGACAGTTAGAACACCAATTTCCAAAATATTAATTAAATTCTTGAACCAACCATCCTCAGCGACTTTCTCTTCAGTCGGATCCTCATCGGGCATCAACGGATTGAGAATACGGTTCAGAATTTTTCGATCGTGTGCTGTAGCCATCTAGAATATGAGATTAAAATACGGTACGGTAATCTACAGTCTCGAAAATTGGCCTTGAATTGAATGCAAATTTTGAAAAGAAACAGGTACTGAATTACGGTATGGTTTGTTCGGTATAGCTGTTCTTGAATACAAATTTGGAATATTCTCAGGTACAATAGAAGCAATAATCTTAATCCAATAGCTCATGCAAGTACTCAACTTCACTTTGAATTTTACAAAGAGACAAAAGAAGATGCAAATCGCCTAAAATCGGACAAGTTTTAAAAAAGCTACTTTATCTTTTAAAGCAATTAGAAAAAAATCGAAATCAAATCAAAATCACATGGATCTCTTTCCCAACTACAAACTGATCAATAGTTGCCAAAGAGACGGATAAATGAGGCTATTTCAAGGCCATAAATCATCCCACAGTCAGTGCCAAAAATGGCGTAATAAACGATTGGGCAGATACATATTTTAAGGTTTTAAAATGATTTACAAAAAATAACTCAGGTATCAACGATGAAATATTGAGTTTTCCCCATTTTTTTTTGAATATTCTCGTAATTGCTTTCGTCACATCGACAACCCAACAAAAATAGAGACAGAATTTGTTTTCGAAAGGAAAAACCTAAAAAAAATCAATTCCCATGCACAGCTTGGAAATATTGGGTACAACATTGAACTCTTGTACACCCCAAAGTTTTCTGAAGACTATTTTAGAAAACTACCATAATCTAACCGCAAGTTTTCATCCGATCAGCCCAGCTTTAGTTCGGATTCATTTCTTCGAATGTCTTCTTCAAATGTTATTGCTAATTTATAAAAATTTGAAATTCAATAAGAAATTCCTCTTAAAATTTAAAAATGAAGAAAATGAGAAGATTTAAACCTGTTTAATAAAGATTTTCTAGATTTTTAAATCTTTAAAATCTATTTCGGAAATGAGGAAATTGGAACAATGTTTAACGAAATCAATAATCCTCAAAATCAAAATTTAAAGCTTCAAATTTTAAATTTTCAAAGGCTTGAAGAATCATTCTTAATCACAAAACACGCTTTGTATACCTTGTATTTTATTTTGTCCCTATTATGGTATTGTATTGTAAATTTTATAATTTATAATACCCCAAGAAATTTATTTGAATCCCAATAGCACACACATCATCAATCTCAAGAAGCAGAAAAAAAATTTGAATAAGTTTTGCTGGTGGTTTGTCTTCTTTGGTCCTTCTTTGCCTACTCGGTATGCTGCTGGCCGTCGGTCTTGGGTTCTAAAACAAAATGTCCCAGGATGTTGGTGAACATATTAAACAATACTAAAGTCGTATCATATTCTGGAGTATCTTCGATTTTGAAAAAAGTAAAATAATATTATAATATTAAATATCGATAACAATGATAAGAATATATAACTTAATAACAAATCATTTAGTAAATTGGATTTAGGATTTTTGCAACTAAATTTTAACCCGGTTTTACCAACATATTCAGAATATAGAGATAGAGACATATTAAGTGTATAAGTATAAGTGTATAAATTCTTTACTTTTCTTTTGCTCCTCCTTGTTTTCGGACGTCTCCTCATCGAATTGACGCTTGTGATCTGACCTGCCCACGTCCTTTTCACCTGAATAAAAAATAAATCATTGAGGAAAAAAAATTAGATTTTTTTATTCTGTAATCTCCAATTTTTTTCACCACGTGTTACAATTAAAATTTGTTAATTAAGAGATAACCTGATGATGTCCCAAGAGTTACATCCGGCACGTTAAATTCGGAATTCTCTCCCTCGGAATCCTTCTCGGGCTCGTCTCATTTTGAAGCGAGTAGCGGTTTCTAAAAATTTTTAATAAGAACTCGATGATTTGTTTGAATGACATATATATGGTGAATCACACACAAAAGCATACTCACAAAATGTTTTTGTTAATTGAAAAACATCACAAATCACTGACCATTTGCTCAAAGTTGATCCTCTTCTTGTAATCGTATTTCAAACATCCTTGCAATATGTCTTGATGTGATGAACAGAGCTAAAACTTTATTTCATTAAACAAAGTGCTTTTAATTTGACCTTGTGTTTGGGGATAATGTTTCCCAGACCAATTGTACCATCTTCGAAAGACACTTTGCAGAATTGATCCAACTCCTGACAAAAACGACTTCGATCATTCTTGTTGATTCTTTTCAAAAACTAAAAATATCAACTTTGAAGTACCCTAAATGATTCATTTTAATTGCTTACCTTTACGCGAAATGTAACTTCATATAGAATAACTCCAAAGGACCATATATCGGTCGCAAAGGAGGCGAAGGGATTCTCTTTTTCCAGCACTTCTGGCGGCATATATCTAAAGCAGAAATACAGAGCTGAGATGGTAAATTACCGAAACGTGGTGATAAATTCTTTCGGAAGATCAATGATTGAATCTTGAAGAGTAAGCTTTTGGCCAGGTTTCGTCTGGTATGATACTCCGAAGTCTCCTATCTAAAGAACTACATGATCCTGCTGAATTTTATGTTGTTTACTTTTATGCCTTCTTTGAGGGTTGTTGACTTCAGAAGCACATTCGCCGGCTTGAGATCAAAGTTAATGATGTTCAGGCTCTGCGTCACTTCAATTCCCTTTGAGCACTATTTAAAAAGATTTTTCTAAAACAATATGCTGCATAGAAAATATAAACTTGCCAAACAAGCAGTCGAATATCTTCTATTGGAATAGATGGCTTGCCATCGAGAAAATTCTGAAGTGAAGGTCCATCATATAACTCCAAAATCAGATAATGATAATCCTCATTTTCGCCAACACCAATGTACTAAAAGCATTGATTTTACAAAAGAAAATATAATTTTTGATACCTTAACAACATAGTCACTCTTAATTTGCTTCAGTAAATCGGCTTCTTTACTTCCTACATCCTTGTTTTGTATCTTAATCGCCACTTCCGTTTCTACACTTTCGGTCTTGATCGCACGCCATACTTGTCTAAAATTGCAATGTAATAAAAGTAAAAAAAAATTGTGTTCATGCTTTAAGTTTATAATCTAAAACTTATTGTCATTTATTTTCTATGGTACTCAGATGAAAATTAGGATCAACCACCAGAGTGTACTTGACTTAAAAAAATCAAATATCTTACGGACACAGTTATTTATTAAGTTGAAACGTATGAAATGTCAAATACTTTCCTATGATCGATATGTTTCATTTCACCAAAGATTTTTTTTAATTTTTTCATAATTTATATTAGAGAAATGAAACATATCATGTTTAAACTTTGGGCGCTTTTTATGGTGTGTCAGCTGAGAATAATCTTCTCAAACAACTAAATCATTATGTTACCGCTAAAATTCGCCTATCACCATGAAATTAGCTTTAACTAAATTTAACTATTTAACTAAATACACTTAACATTTACTATAGTCAAAATTTTAAATTAGTCTGTGGCCAAATAAGTGTTAAAACGCGATCTCCTTTTAAACCTCAAAATTGAGTAAATGAACCGGTTTTGTGCCAGAAGGTGTGCTATTGTATTGTGGGTTCCCACAGAGAAAGAAAGTACTTTTAAGTACATAAAGGTACATTTTAAAGTACATAAAAGTGAAAAGAATCCTTTTATTTAAGTTAATTTCATTAAGCGTTTTCCCAAAGAAGATGTCAGACAAATTATTGTTGAGCAAGTAGATTAGTTTATTCATATATTCAGCACTTGGAAACGACCCGAAAAGAGGGACTGACTAGGGAACGGTCAATTTTTGCATTTTTATTTTGATGTTTCGAGCAGTAAAGTTGTATTTTGAGAGTATCTTTAGCTTCGATTGCTTTCTTTCGCAAAAAAAGCCTATTGCTATTGTCACAATACCCTACGAAACATGAGGAAAGTGCAAGAGATAGAATTTTTCTGAAATATTTGTTGCAAAATGCAAATTATTTGTTCCTTTGCAAGTTTACAAAGCCAAAAAAGAAAATGGCAGATTAAGCAATAGCCAGTGTTGCTTGAGGCAAAATTTATTCAAACGATAAAATCACGAAAAATATCACAGGGTCATCGAAAAGCATGAGACTAGCCCTGAATTGGAGGGAGCTACGCCAAAGAGCGTTTCAGAGATGCAGGGGCGAGTTGAAGGATTCGTTTCAATCACATTACAGTACAAGGATAAAAAGAAATACAAACAAGGATCTAAAATCTTTTCATTTATCGAAGAAAAACACCAAGTGATCGATTAAAAAAAGTTATATCCAAATGATTTGATCGTAAGAAGAGGAAGACGGACAACTCTCATTTCATCCAAAGATCGCAACTAAAGTCTAGCTATTTCCTTTACCGTCAAAATAAACACACCCAACTCCATTAGACGTGAACAACGTGGTTGATCTGTCCTTCTCGTGTGTTCACCACTGATTGTCGCTTTTCATCGATCGCCCATTGACGGTCCACGATGTACTAGAATGCAAATTGTTAGCGTTTTGACATTCCCAACAGTGATTCACCTTGTATTCAAAATGTCCCCGAGGTAATTGGATCTCGACCACCCACCCATAACGATCGCGTCGAAGAGGAATCTTTGATTCCCAGTTCACGAACGAACCCGAGACAAAAACCTAAATGATAACACAATAATGAGTTAGATTAGGGTCGATCGTTTTGTTAGCTAGTGCAAGGTACTACCGAGGTAGGATTGGTGTCGTGCCACCGGAAAGTGACTGGATAGAGTGGCTGATTCTGGCAGTGTACACATCCGGCTTGCAACGAGGCTGATGGCCACATCTGTACAAGCGCTAAAAAAAAAATTCGCGACTGTTATATTTCAGTCAAAGAACTGCTTTTAGTAAGAAAAAAACTTACCAATTGCTGGATTCTTTCCATCGGTGTCTTTGTTGGGCTTCGAGGCTCCCCTTCCTGTACCAGACAGTTCTTGAGTTGATCTTTCTTCAGAAGTGTCATCTTTGCCGCGGTCCTCTTTCATCGAGACGGTCACTTCATCTGCTCCAGCTCCTTGTCGCCGCTGAGTCACAAACTGAAAATAAAAAAAATGGCAGCTTTAGAGCTTAGAGCGAAGTCATGGTTTTTACAAAAGTAAACCTTTTTCCTATGTGAATTCTTGCGCAAATCGGACGGCATCGATCCATCAATTGACTCTTGTGACCAACTAAAACTAAATTAGCTTTTGAGTTTTAAAGCTAAACTTGAATATTTTAAGAATAATTAGTACCTGCTCGAATCGCTATAGCTCGTTGAATACTTGCGCCTAGCTTCCCCTCCGGCTGCTTTTCTAAACATAACCCAATCATTTATAAAAAATTCACAAAACCTCTTTTCTGGTGATAAAGTCGTTTTCTTCTTCGTACTTTTCCTCGGCGATAGACGCTTTGTGGACTTGTTTGGTGAACTCTAAATAAATATTGTTGTAGATGAAGGAATTTATTTCTAGAACTATACTAAACTATGCTATAGTAAAAATGTAATACCGTAGTTGATGATTTGCTGGGTTCACTAGTGGCCGTCTCAAAGTTAGTGGCAGGGTTTGACGAAGTTGCGAGGTTCGGGTTAGTGTTAGCTGAGGTGGGAATCGTCGTGGCACTCAAAGATGAGGATGTTGACTGAGTTTGTTGAGCTGGTTTTGGCATCTGTAAAACAATTTTACATGGTTTTATAATTAAAGTTAACCTCTTTTTCCTTTTCTTCAATCTTGGCACAAACATCGGTCGAAGCATCGACAGCCTTTCCTGGGTCAACATCTTTCTCACTCACATGACGACCCAAAGGCAGCTTTTCGGGATCCTGGATAAAAAAGCAAATATATAAAGACAAAAACCAACCTGACACTTTGTTTCAATAATTTGCATCGAGAAAAGGCTCTCTTTCTTCACCGCAGCTACAAGTGGCAGGTTATCAGAGGTTACCTCAGCTTTTGAAGCAACTGCGGCTGCCTTGTTCTAAACATTTGCATATACATACCAATTATCTAAATTTTACCTCTTCCTGACTTCTAATAGCTTCTGAAATTGAAGCATGATGTGGCAAGATTGGCGATGGGGTCTGCTCTTCTAACAATTGAAGTTAGTATATTGAATTATTAATTACTTTGCACGGGTTTTGGCGGTAAGAGCATTTTTGGCGTTGTTCGATACTAAAAACAATTCGTTTATCTTTACTGACTACAAATATCATTACCTGATTTTTGACGAGGCACATCTCAACAGGCTCGTTCATTCGGTGAACCCGATGCGGTTTCATACCCAAGTTGAGCCCATCCGCTTTGATCACCGGCAACAGGTCACTCTAAATGAAGCAAATCAGTAGCTGCTAGCAAAGAATTTTCCTCAAAGTCATTGAGTCTAATCCTTTGGTTAAACAATTTGAGTGTTCAAAAACAAATATACGTCAATGGACAATAAAGGCTTACTGGACATAGTTTTCTTGAAGTACAAGGGGCCTTCAAACGCGCTATTTTCACCACCACAAAATCGTGAGCATAGAGAAGCAGCGTGTACATCAGATAGCAGAACATCAACGCGACACCCAAAGCAAAACCTAAAGAAATAGCTAGATTTGTTTCAAAACCACCGCTGGTGCAAATATAATAAGAGAAAAATGATAAATTTATTTAAGCTAACGACTAATCAAAACAAACAAGTCATAAAACTCACAAGTTTTTAAAAAAGTCACCGGGTTCTCGCGAACAAGACTCGTGTCCTCGATTACTTGTTCCAACTCGTGCACATAATCCGTGAGACGATTAAAATGAACATGTACAAAAATGATTTGAAAAGCAAAAACTCACTGATGATTGTGGTGATGATGGGTGACATTCTCGGACGTGGCATCGGGATGGATCTTCAGTAACGACTTCAAAATCTGAAATAAACAAAATATAATATTTCAATTTGAAACAAGCAAAAACCAAAACCCAGTTCTATAGGTTAGAAAGTAACCGTATCCATTTATTAGAAAGGATACTTAAATGACACTAGCGCAAAAAAATGGGTGCTTGTATGGTTTACATGACCCATTTTTTTCTAGAAATCGACCATTTTGGGGGTTTTAAGGTGTGCTGAATTCGAATTTCGCCATCCCAGGTTGGGAAAATGCACTCCAACCGAGTTATAACACTTTTAAAAAACGTGTTTTTAAGCGTTTTTGATGTTTTAGCCGAAGCCGGAGAAAGCCGGAGAAGCAGCAGATCGCTGAGCCAATCGTTGAAATCCTCATTTGAGAGCTGCATCTTTTCAAAGAAATCCCGTAGAGTGTAATCTCTCAGATCATTGATTTTTGCCATTTCTTGCGTTGAAGATAATCACAAAGTTTTTGGTTATTTTCAAGGCCTTATAAAGACCTTAAACGTGTTTGAACAGGTTAAACAAGCCACGCCCATTGGGTTAAGCCGCACTCTTAGTAAAATTTGCATTTAAAACATCAAAAACGTTTAAAAGCACATGTTTTCCAAAAATTGTATAACTCGGTTGGAGTGCATTTTCCCAACCTGGGATAGCGAAATTCGGATTCGGTGCACCTTAAAACCCCCAAAATAGTCGATTTCTAGAAAAAAAATGGGTCATGTCAACCAAACAAGTACCAAGAAATGGCCCTTTAAAAAAAACAACCTGTCGCAAACCTTCGATCGTCCAGCCGAGCATTCTCGCGGATGGAAAGAGGCTCGTTCCAAAACGAACAGAAAAAGTCGTCGGCGAGCGTGAAGAGTGAATGTTAAATGATTTAACGGAGGAAAAAGCTGACGGCCGAATATTACATGCTAATTTGTCGTTAATGCTAATACGATAACGCATCCACTGTTTTTTTTGTAATTGTTTTTAAAGCTGTTACCGTATCTTTATGGGGTGTACCAGTTGTAAAATGTTTGCATTGCCATTCTCTTATCCCAAACCACTGTTACCCTATATTTTGGGTGCACATAAGGACATACAGAGTTGGAGGGCCCGCCCCTTTTACCTTCCCTGTCCCTTTGGGTCTGCAATGCTCAAATACGACACAGAAAAAGCATCCCTTCACAACTAAAACAAGATATTCTATATTTCTATGAACTTTAATCTCCATTTTTGGATCAATGACGTTGTTTAACTGGGCTACAGTATGCTGACGGTCAATCGTCTTTTTTCGATTTTCTTTTTCACCGTATTTTTTCTTTGTGTGAAAAGTGAACGCCGATGTGGATATGTGAATCGAAAAAGCGTAAACTCGACCTTTGATGAGGCTGAGATTTTAATCACCGCCACGGTCAGGGAGATTCATCTTGATTTCGAGACAGCCAAGCCACAGGTGATTGAAATGCGGCTTGTGAGATGGGCTTCATATTTTAAATTTGTATAAAATACCGTAAACTTTCTAATAGCTCTTGAAAATCTGGGTTACTGTAGCTAGGGTACGACATTGACTTTTGAATTGAAATGAAACATTGAAATGCCTATTAAGCGCTTTTACACTGAAAATCTATAGCCAACTTTGCTTTTTACGCAAAACAAAACTCACATTTTCATTGTTCACACATTTTTCACTCGCGGGATTTTGTGAGGCTTTGTTTTAATGGCAATTCTTTTTTTTTAAAAGTAGCCTTTTCTTTTTCCAGGAAGCCCGTCTCTTTGTGCGTCGTGTCTTCAAGGGAAAAGCGTTGCTCGAGGGACGAGAAGAGATTTACGTGAAAATTGATGAGCAGCTAGTCGATGGGAAAAGGGTACTAGATTGTTACAATAAACAATATCTTTTCCAAAACATTAGGAAAGTACCATAACCTTTTCTGTTTTATAAGGATTTATGAAGTTTACCGAAAGAGATAAAAAGTAGATAGATTAGATAAAACTACAAGATTACAGTAGTTATCGAAAGTTATCGAAAGTTGACCATTTCAGAAAGTGTATTTGATGTATTTGAGTAAAATTTAGCATTGCCGACGACGATGGGGTGCGGGTGATACAAAAATCTTCGCGATTAGTGTCGAAAAAGTGGGGGTTTGAAAGAAGAATTTGCTTTTTTAAATTTTAAGACAAAAAGGATACAGTAGGTTCTCTCTAAAGCGCACTATTTAAAGAGCATCACTCAGAAGCATTTCAGAAGCGTTTCCATTCGAAAATCGCTCCTTTACCGGTGACTCTGTCAATCCTCGATGCCCTTCACTCGATCGTTACTCGTGAGTTGACCTCAATTATTATTATGGGTTTATTTCGAAACAAAGACGATTGATTGTAAAATGCTAGTCAAGATCTTATCAGTATTCAGTGAACAAAGATAAAAGGATACAAATTTGAGTTAAAACATTTTATTCTTAGCCTCATTGATTAAAATATTACCGTAGTCTGTAAAAAAACTACCGTACTCTAGTAATCTTTTTAAATTTAAACCTGAAACTGCCTATCTTTACGATATCTTTTTCTAAAACACATCTTTCTAAGCATGCTTTCTAAAACATTTTTAGAAAGCGCTAAACACCCAATCAATTTTGTCTAAAGTCAAGAATTCCAATTCCAAATGTGCGAGAAAGCCAATTAGAGCTGACTGGGGTAAATAGGTAAACGGAGGTGAGTATTTGTGTGAGGAGAAAGCGAACACCCCATGTGCTCCCATTCATATCAGAAAGAGGAAAAGAAGTGAACGGCCTGTTGTCCCTCACCTGGCCAAGAATCTATTGTTTGATGTTCTCCTAGAGGAAATTTTGAAGCTAGATTAAGCCAGATTTAGCTTTTATGATAAAACTGAATTGCTGAGCTTAGCGCCAAACAAAAATCATTTCAGGGAAGGAGATCCGACGACGTCGTCAACAGAAACCACGTAAGAAAAACACTCTTCAGTATACCGTATTCGCTCTAATAGTAGTGCACCCCGGCGAGCCGAGTTGGTGACTATTTTACGATTTCCAAGCTTCTGCAGAAGCTCAACACTCTAATCCCCCACTAGATCTCATCATCAGCTACATTTTCCGACCCCACATCGATAGGTTCTGATAAGCGGTTCTCGAGATTTCGAGCGATTTAGGCAAGCTTATGGACTAGTATTAGAGACTAGCTTCTTTGAGATCAGCTTCTCCTTTAGTTACCAGCTTCTTTAAGCTTTGTTGGATTTGTTACGGTAGATTTGTAGCCGAGTTGATGCCTATTTTACGGTTACCAATTTTTCCCAGAAGCTCAACACTCAAATCCCCCACTAGATCTCATCATCAGCTACATTTTCCGACCCCACATCGATAGGTTCTGATAAGCGGTTCTCGAGATTTCGAGGAATTTAGGCGACGCTCAGGGTGCACTACTATTAGAGAAAATACGGTATCTCAATTTTAGTACTATGCGAGCAAAAAAGCTGTCCATTTGGCTCGAAATGTGTGCCAGCAACGTAAGTGGAAACAAAAGTTTAAAAAAGGCTTAACAAAAGCTTACGTAAGAGCTAAGAGCAAAAGCAAAAGCTCTAAGACTTTCCAAATAAACTATGGATTGTATTATATGGATCTTAAGCTTTATAAGAAATTCCGAAAACCCTTCTGATCCGATTGGATGTACTTGGGTAAATATCTTGAGGCTCATCCCAGGTGGTCATGTTCTTTTTGGGGCTTGTTACTGTGCCATAATTATGTCTCCGAACAAATATTGGCAACAAGTGAACGGGGATAGAAAAGGGACAATGATACACAAAAATGACAGATGGCCGATGAATTGCTAAGGTTTTGTGTGACTTTGAAACATCCCTATCAGAAAGTTTCATAAATTACTACTAGTTTTAAAGGCAGTACAATATTCTAAATATGAAATTTTGTTATAAAACTAAAATAGGGATTTTAAAGGCTTACCCTAAACAATTCAAGAATAATTTTTAAGAACCCAGGAACTACAGCTAACAAAAAAGAAAAGAAAAGCAAAGATTTCCAACAAAAAACCAATTAGTCACAGTTAGTTCAATTGTTTATTTGTTGGTTATTTAAAGTTTAAAGTCAATTTGAAGTTATTGACGGGATTTGCAGAGGTGAATGCGAGTGTCGAACGAGTTGTCGCGATCGGGCGCAACCCGTTTGTGGGAGTGATCACGTCACTTATGCATCGCTTTGTCATTTGGCGGTCAGTTTTCAATAGACTGATAAGTAGATAACTTTTTTAAGATCTCGGACGGCTTTAAGACTAGTTTAATAAAGTTTAAAACATGATATGCAAGTCTAGTCTAGTCTAGAGGCTAGTCTAGTCTAGAGGCTAGTCTAGTCTAGAGGCTAGTCTAGTCTAGAGGCTAGTCTAGTCTAGAGGCTAGTCTAGTCTAGAGGCTAGTCTAGTCTAGAGGCTAGTCTAGTCTAGAGGCTAGTCTAGTCTAGAGGCTAGTCTAGTCTAGAGGCTAGTCTAGTCTAGGGCAGTCTGGGCTAGTCTAGTCTAGAGGCTAGTCTAGTCTAGAGGCTAGTCTAGTCTAGAGGCTAGTCTAGTCTAGAGGCTAGTCTAGTCTAGAGGCTAGTCTAGTCTAGAGTCTTTTTTCACTTTCAGGTTCGTGCATGTCTCCTCAAAAAGAAGGATCTTATGCTTCGAATTGAGCGGACTGGCGCGTGTGGTTGGTCTTACAGTATAGAGTAAAGAAGTAAGAGTAAGAAAAAGTAAAATACAAAAATAGTAAATAGATAGTAATCTTTGGGTAGTAAAAGATATTCAATTAAGTTTTTGGGGGAATTTAGTGGATAAGTCTTTGATCAGATCAATTTTCAGCCTTAAAAAAACCTTTCATCTTCAGTTTTTATCCAACTCCACCAAATTTTCCCCTCTTTCTCAGTGATTGTCTGTGTGTGGATGAGCTTGGCATTGACCGAGACGAGTTCTTTCTAGAACCACGCAAGGGAAAAAGGATTGGAATAAGAGAAGAAAGCAAATAGGGAAACAACCTCTTTGCTCGATCACAGCTATGAACTGGCCACATATGGAAAGTTGAAAGGAAAAGGGAAAGGAAAGGTGAGAAAAGGAAGGCACATCCTTTCCCCTCTTCAACTGATCGAAAGGTGTAACCCCGACGATTCATCCAAATTTTCACACTCGCTTGAAAATTCTGAAAATGTGAAACATTGACTAGCAGGGATTGCAAAAACGAATTTCTGCAGCTAACTAGAGAAGTCAAGATGTCAAGAGTCAAGACAGGTCAAGATGATCTTCTATAATGACACCTAGCTCATCTTGCCCACTTTTTCATCGAGATTCCGAATCTGCTTCCAAAATCGGCAAAACAGCTTCCTGGAAAAAGTTATGAGCATTTAAAGAAACCTGCAAAGCTGACTTTATGCAAAAGTGATAATAATAAAAGCAAAATGTACTCAACTTTTGCTAGTCAATGATTCACTGGTTGAATTTTGCTTGTTGTTATTGAATGCTAAGCCAATCTTAGCCATATATCTGCTTTGAATTGGGAAAAGAGAGGTCCCAAGGGTACTCTGATTGAGCAATGAAATAAGAGGGGAGAAAAGAGAGTTCTTGACTTTTTCCAGGACTTTCAAAAAGGAATGGTCTTTTCCCATTTCACTCTTCAAATCCTATTCCTTTCCTACATTCATTTCTATATGTTCTATGGGATATTCGTCTTTCTCTGTCTTTTCCCAACGAATATTTTCGGTTGTTTTAAGTTCTCGAAAGGTGATACTTTGATTTGTCTTTTGGTCAAGTTGGTGCTAAATACAGGGTGGCTGAAAATTACGTGCGCCAAAGAAAACGCCATAATTTAATTTTCTTTCAAAGAACACGTAAAAATATTTATTTATATAATAGTTGTAACAAAAGCATTTAATAATTATAAGAAATTTTCGAAGTGGCCTTCATCCGCTTTGACTTTAATTCAACAAAGGCTTTAATTCAATAAAGGCTTTAATTCAACAAAGGCTTTAATTCAACAAAGGCTTTAATTCAATAAAGGCTTTAATTCAACAAAGGCTTCAATTCGCTTCTTTACAGAATCGACGGTGCCGGGGGAGATAATTTGCATCTAAGTCGTTCCAGATTTTGATCAATTCTCGACGTAAATCATGCAAATTGTTGACAAACTGTTTCTCAATTGTTCTCCCATAAAACCCCAAACCGAAAAGTCCAACGGATTGAGATGTAGAATTCACCAATAAGCGAATATTCTAGTTACGGTAATCAATCGTTTCAGAGTTAAGGGATTGCAGGGCTTATTGATTATAAGCTTATTGCTTATTGATATTAGTGCCAAATAAAAATCACAATATCTACAGCTTTTCGTCTACCATAATTCATTTTCTATTTAGCACTAAACAATAAGCAAAAGATTACGATAATGATTTTGTGTTACAAAATGGATTATTGTAAGAAGAAAGTACAAGACTTTTACTTGGAAAAGCTTTGCTTTAAGCACAAAAACTGGTAGCCAAACTGATAGCCAAACTTTAAACCATTCATCAAAAATTTTTAGAAAAGAAAAACCCGTGCGATGACTTGAGGTGTGGGCCCGGAGAGGATTGCGTTATTGAGCAGGTTGGCGAGGGTTTTTTTGGGGTAAAAAGTAAACTCAAAAGTCAAAAGTCCAATTATCAATTCAAGTTTATAAAGCTTATTTGAAAAATTCAGAAAAACGATGTCCTTTCGGCACACTGCGTTTGCCCGTTGCACTGTCCGAATTTCGGGGACTCCGTGGAAAGTTCGCCCGTTTGCTCCGTGCAGGGAAGGGATTATAAAGTAAGTAAATAGAATCTGATTTAATGATATTCAATTAACAATCGAAAATACTTTAGTTTCAAATTTCAGAGCATTTGCCATTTGAAGCAAGATGCTTGCGAGACAAAGTTGAACATCACCGTCAAATACTATGGGAAATGTGGTAAGAGAAGTTAATATAAGATAAATAAATCTTCTATTCTATTAGATAGATATATTTAAAGTATATTTTACTTTATAGACCCCTGTGACGGTCATCTTTGCGCAGCGGGAACCACGTGTAAAGTTGGTGTTCATCGACGAGCCGAGTGCAGGTGAAAAGTTGAAATTCGATTTTAACTGCGTACATCTATCTATCTAAACCTTAAAAATATATTATATAATTCTATCTATAATTCTATCTATAATTCAAATTCAATTCAAATTCTTTTCCAGATGCTCACAACAATGCCCTTTGAATCGAGAGCCTGTTTGTGGAACTGATGGGAATACGTGAGTTTGAAGTTTAAAATATTGAAAGCTATCTAAATATGTCTAAAGCTAGAATACTGTAGCATATTGTTTTATGATAAAATTTACTGTATAATAAAAGCTTATCTAAAATTTGAGATATGAGAACGAGTGCGTGATGAAAGTGGCGGCATGTCGAGAAGATCGGACAATCACCGTTTGGAAGAAGGGCACATGCAAAGGTAAAAATGGAAAGGGATATCGAAACATCAAGATAATTATTATAGAAGTATTCATGCAAAAAGATAATTCATTATTTAACTTTAAAACTAAATAGGAATGTTCACGGATTCAAGCTATTGGTAAAGTAGATAAGTCTGGCTTAGGTTTAGGCTTAGGCTTAGGCTTAGCTTTAATGTTATTTTGCAGAAAACTAAACTGGACTTAGCTAAGTCCAGTTTTCAGTAAAGTATTAGACTGTCTAGAAAGTCTTTTCTTTCCTTTTCGTTCCTTTTCGTACTTCCTTTTAAAACCAACAAATGCACGAATTGATCTACGCTTTCTTTCATTAGAAATGTCAATTAGTTTCCTGCAAAATAACATTAAAACGGGTTTTAAATATCTGAATTTTTAGACTAAAGGTAGTTGTATAGCACCTTTTCAGATTCCGGGAATCCATGTGCGGCTCTCTCTTGTCCTCCCGGTTCTCGTTGCTCGCTCAGCCCATCGGGTGCTCCAAAGTGTGAATGTGATGCGAGCTGTCCGCAAATCGTGAAACCCGTTTGTGCATCGGTAAGTGGGGACTAACAATTGGATTATTGGTGAAAAAAGAAGTTTTAAAAAAGCCGCATTGAGAGTTAAAGCTCAATGTCAAGAAGTTTAGGATGGAATCACCTATACGAGCGAGTGTGAGATGCGGAAATCATCGTGCGAGGCAAAGAGACGCGTTTACGTGCGACATACTGGGAATTGTGGTTGGGAATTTAGTGAAAACCAAAATTTACCTCTAGTCAACTAGTCAATGAAGAAGATAGGCTGAGCGTCGTCTGATCGTTAGAAATCGTTCCCTAGTTAGTCAACTGTCAACTTTAGTACCATCAACTTTAGTACCATCAACTTTAGTACCGTCAAATCTTTCCCCGTTTAGGTGTCGGTGTTTGTTCGACGTTCACCGGTTGTCGAGCGCCTCAAGTTTGTGTCCCAAAAGGGGATCGCCCGAAATGTGTCTGTCCAGAGTGCGGAGATGAACTTAAAGAGGTTTGTGAGTAGATTGAAAATCATTTTTCTGTCTTTGATTTGTGTTTAGACACTAAATTCTATTTGACTAGTCTACTTTTTCAGGTGGATTACAGTAAAAAGTGTCAGTAAAAAAGTGAAAATGAGAATACTACATAGAATACTCGACTTGTCTGTTTTCTCTTTGACACTAGCTTGAATTTCTACTCTTAGGTATGCGGGAGTGACGGGCAAACGTATGCAAATGAGTGTCGTCTCCGGCAATTTGCATGTCTCTCTGCACAACACGTTTTTGTCAAGTACAATGGGATCTGTGGTAAACAATATGTCAATATGTCAACAATATGTCTAAATACGATACTTTTAAAGTCTCTCACTCAGCTGAATATCTTCTAGTTTCTAGCGAATTTCAAACAAAAGGGGCAGCTAGGGAGCAAAAAATCTAAGCAGAAAAAATCAACGCGGAAAAAGGGACAGAGCTTAGGCTTTCATAGCTGCCCATTTGTTTGAATTTTCGCATAAAATTAAAACATATTCAACTAGAGCTTGGGGACAGTTTGAAAATATACTAGATACCGTATTTTTTTCTAATATTATGAAATGCCCAGAGGACACATTGTGTAGTCGTTGTTTTTTGCGGATCTCTGGACTGATTTTGTTTTTTCTAAGTTTTTTTCTAAAAAATAGCTGCCTAATTTAGCTTTCAAAACTTTCAGAGGGTTGTGAAAAGCTGCGTGACAAGTGCGAGTTCTACTCGGTGTGCGTTTCGGATGGGAAAGGTGCGGGCAAATGCGAATGTCCGGTTGAATGTCCACTCAACAATACGTCAACAGACAAGGATACGGTTGGAGAAGTTGCAAATTCTATTTACCAGGCTTTTATCTCAGCTAGAATGTTTTAGAAAGCTTACAGCAACCATTATCGTCTTTTTTAGAGTGGAGCCGTTTGTGGGACGGATGGAGTGACCTATTCATCGGAATGTCATCTCCGCCGAAGCGCATGTCAACGACGCAAATTCGTCGTCGTCGCTTTCTTCGGGAAATGCGGTGAGTTTTAGGGGAAACTGAGGATAAAGTTTAAAATATTCGATTTAGAAAATAGTTTACATGATTAGAAATTGAGCATGGGTTCAATTCACTAATTTCTCAGTTCAGCCAAATGATCTGATTAGGCTGGACCATTCAGCTGTCAGCCCAGTCCAGTCAGTCAGACTGAAAAAAGCTAGTACTATAATATATGCAAATTCATGGTCTAAAAAGCTGATTATCATGAGAAAGCAATAAAACAAAAAAGATCCTTACAGTATTTTATGGCTGACGATTTCAAAATCATTAACCTTCTAGATGCTTGTCAAAATGTCGAATGCGGCTATGGGGAAGAGTGTCGAGGTGGTGTGTGCACGTGTAATTATCATTGTCCATCCGATCCACCACCGGCATCAAGGTGAAAACTAGAAGAAAAGCTCAATCTTAGCAGCAGAAGAACCCGCCTAACGGTGGTTTTCATGGATGTTTTGGGAGCGGTGTCTCCGTTGCCGTGGCGCAGCGAGAGCGCGCTTGTCTACAGCCCACATGAGTCGGGTTCGTCCCCCCGTAGTGCCACTCAGTTTGGAATTTTTGAATTTTTATCTAAAATGGCACAACTACAATGTATTCTAAAGTTCTAAAGCTTTATTGGCCAAAATAGTGCCGAGACAGACAGACAGACGGTCCATACAACTAGACGGTCCATACAGCTAGACGGTCCATACAGCTAGACGAACGGACGGACAGACACTGCTCTTTTATCTATATTGCTCAGAAATTTTCAGAGTTTGTGGAGAAGACGGGATTCTTTATGGATCGTCGTGTCACCTTCAGTTGGCCGCCTGTCAGAAAGGGGCACCGATTCTGACGGTTGACGCGGCTTTGTGCCATGCGCAAAAACAAGTCGTGAAAGGTGAATATGTTGAATATTCTTTCACTCTTTCAAATAATTCATTTTCTAAACTTTCGATAACTACCATAATCTTGCCGAAGTTTTCATCTACTTTTTTTGCTAACTATGAAAGATTGGCCACGTTCTTAAAAACAATCACCAATTTCGTTCAGAAATCAGAAAAAAATAGAAAGATTGGATAAAACTAGAGACAAGATTACGAGATTTTTTGAAAGTTTACACCTTTTTAGAAAAAAAGATTACTTGCAAAGGACACTAGTTAGGGTATTGACAAAAAAAATCGAATGCCTTTGTCGAATTCTAGGGAACTCCTCTAAAAACTACCCTAGATTTAAAAAAGGATCACAATGTCCCATTTAACTGTAAATGTACCTAAAAATTGTTTAAAAGAAGAAAAAAGAAAATCGATATCTACAAGTCCAGTTCTGACTCGTTCCTGCTCTCGAGAGACTTGTGGGTTTGGTGGAGTGTGTAGCTCTCTTTCGAAATCCCATTCTTCAATCGAATGCCTTTGTCTTCATCAATGCTCGGGCACTCTATTGATCCCCGTTTGTGGATCCGATGGTGTTTTGTATCGAAATCAATGTCATCTCAATCTTGAGAGTTGCCGTTTTCAGCGCGAAATCCTCGCACAACCGCATATTGGATCGTGCTCGAGAGAGAGTGATTCACTTCTTGCATTCTGTCATTTTTTTTAAAAATCTTTCCTTTTATCCTTGCTTGCCTCATAAGATCTTATGAGGTCAATACAATAATTGACAATAATCCAGTTGTCAATTATTGTATTGGCTTACCCTTAAATATCTATCTGTATATGTAAAAGCTTTAAAAAAAGAGTTGAGTATGTTAGAAAGAAAAAGTTTATGTAAAGCAGCAAAGCAAAGCATTTTTATCGCTCATCGGGGCATTACTAGTATGCAGATTTTTGAAATAGCAATTGTAAGAGCTTGCAATTTGAATGAATCTAGGTCTAAAAAGTCAAGATTTACACACTTTCCAAGCTGTTCCTATCAGATTTCTAACTATCACCATACTTTACTATCAATTTCCTCTAAAACAACTTTTCTTAGAGAAAAATAACCTTTTCTAGATGGCTGTAACTGCAATCGAGTGGGCTCCTATGGACCAGCATGCGATGCATCTGGACAATGCCGGTTGGTTGGCTTGAGCCAAAAAAGACAAATAAGCATTTCCTTGAGCCAAAAAAAGACAAATAAACATTTCCTTCTTTTACTATATATTCTTACCTAAGCCATCAATTGAGTTATACTTCTGGAATTGAAAAATTTGCATACTTATGAGATTTTCATCAATTCATACTTCGAATCAAACTTTAAACAAAGGATTTGCATGTAAAGAGTACTCAAATTCCATTCTAAAACGAAACAAGAACCATTTCAGACTTTAAAAGTCTTCAATTTCAGTGACAATTGATCGATTTAGCTTTGATTGATCGTTGATAAGATTGATCTGAAAGTTTAAACACTCGTCATCAATTTAAGTATCTCAGCAAGTCAATGTAATTGCAAGATCAATATCAGCTACAAATTCCAGCTGCCGCCCGGGAGTTGGCGGAACAAAATGCGATCACTGTGTCCCGTCCTTTTGGGGTATTCACCTCATCGCCAAAGGGGCGCTCTCATGCGCACGTAAGGGTAAAATTCTAAAAAATAACACGAAAAACTCTCTAGCTTGCGGTTGTTCGGCATTTGGATCGGCTCGTCCAGACTGTGAACAGAGTACAGGGCGATGCGAGTGTCTCACAAATGCGGAGGGAGAGAAATGCGAGAAATGTAGAGACGGTTTTCTTCTCACCGCTCAGGGATGCGTACGGCCGCATGATTTCCAGGCGCCAAGGTGAGTGCTAGTTTAGAAATCTAGACTTATGAAATTGCTAATGTAGTTAATTAAAGCCATGGTAGTTTCAGTTCACTGTAAGGTTTTGTGAATGTGCACTAGTGTCGATGGTAATCAGAGGTAGCTAGGCAGGCCAGTTAGACCAAAGCCAGGCTATGGCAGGCTATAGCTAGACTAGACCAAGCTAGACCAAAGCTGGACCAGCTCGACTAAAGCTGGACTAGCTAGACTAAAGCTGGACCAGACTAGACTAAATCTAACTCAACTCCAATTTTCCAGGACTTGTTCCGAGCATCGATGCCTTCACGGGGCTCGCTGTGTGCATGCAAGGGGAGAGCTGCCGAGTTGTGCCTGTGAGATGGGATGCGATGAGGCAAAATTCGGTAACTTTCATTTTCCTAGTACAAATTTCTCAAAACAAGTACCGTAATTGTGATTGCTTGTAGAATTAAAGAATGAAAAAAAACCCTAGGTATTGCGACGAATATGAGCGTTTGTGGGTCGGACGGGCAAACGTATGAGGGACTGTGTCAGTTGCGGCTTTTCGCCTGCAAACACCAGATCGATTTGGTGCCCGTGAGCCTGGGGATTTGCGATTCAGGTGGGGGAATTTATTAAAGTTCACAGACTTTTTTTTGAAGTTGCACCTTGACTTCTTCTCATTCAGAATTCTCCAATGCTCCCTCGTTGGATCGCTCGCAGCGCCAAAAGTCACCAATGCTTGAGAGACAGCCAGAAATCGTCACACTTGGATCTTTCTGTACATTCAAGGTTGTTACGTGAAAGTGTACTTTTGTAGCTACTATTGTAGCTACTATTGTAGCGATTTTCCTTGAACTACAGTACTTTAACAGTTATTATGTACATATCCAAGACATCTTTCAGACCGAGTGTGCATCAATCTCGGCAGATTGTATGACTCGAGCCGGTAAGAAAGGACGATGTCAATGCGGGAATGGGACGATATGGAATGGGAAAACGTGTGTGGAAGAGACGATTGGTGGGGAAAATTGACAGCAAATATCGAGCAGCACTGAGTTTGGCCAATGTACCTCAATATGCCAATCTTTGTACCAATTGAATATTCAAATGAAAACCGACTAATATCTTGCTAAAATCATAAATCATCAATTTCAGCTCTTCTCCCATTGAATCTCCAATTCGATGGAAAGCAAACGGCCAAATTGAAGAGAGTCGACGAATTGCCGACAAATTTCAACTTCACCATACAGGTGAATCGAAAAGATTGCATTGTTACAGTTGAATTGGGTCCAAACACCTGTAAGCTAGATTGGGTTCAAGCCTGAACCTGGCCTGGCTTTGCTCTACAACTCTTGGCTCTTAACTTTGGAAGGTTATATAAAAAAGTTGAAAGCTTGAATTGAATAGACAATTGGTAACGTGATAGGAGATATCCTTAAGATTTACCTCCAGAAAAACCAGAACGATTGACTCAATTTTGGTCAATCTATTGAACGATTGGTCAATCTAGGCCTTCTGAAGTCAATCTAGGCCTTCTGAAGTCAATCTAGGCCTTCTGAAGTCAATCTAGGCCTTCTGAAGTCAATCTAGGCCTTCTGAGATCAATCTAGGCCTTCTGAAGTCAATCTAGGCCTTCTGAAGTCAATCTAGGCCTTCTGAAGTCAATCTAGGCACTATAATTGTGGGCCACCCTGTCTATTGAACCCAAGAAAAGCAAACAATCTGGATAATCTATGAATAATAATTTGCTGAAGAATCAATGAAGTCTAAAACTATATAGCTTTCTCTGTAACGAGCTCTTTTTTAGTTCTCAGCGGCCGCCTCAAACGGAGCTCTCTTGGATGTGTTGATGGTGAATGGAGAGCGATTACAAATGCGAATCGATCAACGGAGGATCTTGTTACAGTAAGTTTTATTTACATAGACATTATGCAAATGTGAAAATCACCATTTCCCGTTATCCAAGCATGAAAACGAGAATCAAAATGAGCGTGACGCAAAAAAATGTGGCGAACGCGACGAGTGCCACCATGAAAACAGAGACATGGTGACCTGAAAAATGAAAAGCAGTAAAAATTAAAACAGTTTTCTAAAATTTGGTCAACTTTCCGTCAAAAATACGATAGTTTTTTTTGAAAGTTAACACATAAAAAGGGTTTAATATACTACACAAGCAATCGTTGATCTTTTAAGCTTTGTTTATATAATAAATATTATACATCAAAATATTTCCATATTTCTCGTATAATTTATATTTTTCCCCCCACCAAACGACTCGGCTTGTTCAGGGTCCATACAGCAAGGCAACCACGTGCACTGGATTGGACGGGGATCTTCCTAGAAAAAAAATATATATAATAGAAATTCTAATTCGAAACCTATCGAAACCTATTTAAAAAAAACCCCCCACTTCATCATAGTCATATGAGTTTTCGGTGAAAAGCGAGCGTTTCGATGAAGAGTGCGACTTTTCGGTCTCTTGTCTAAAAGATTTTCGTTGAAAAATAACAAAACTCTTCACAACCTATTGTTTACGCTAAATAAAAAGACTTTTAAAGAAATTCAATTTAAAAGTTTTCTTTTAACAACCCCTTCCATCTAAACGATCGTTTACAAAAAAAAATCGATAAATTATTACCTGGATAAACCCATGATAAAGATCGGTAAAGGAAAAAAATTAATTATCAAATCAGTAGAATTAATCAATAGTTGAGCTTTTTTTCTTGAATTAAAAAGCTTATCTTTACAATTTCGCCTCCATCGCAGGAGTGACGTCATTGAAATCGAAAGGGGGAAAACAGTGAGAATGTTATAAAATTTGAAAAAAAATATAAAACTCGAGTTTATAATAGACAAAGTCTTTTCAAAAACTTAGTTGACAATGAATAACAATTATCTGGGGAGTGGGACAAATGTCCGGGTGCGCAAAAAAAAAAGGTCGCATTTGTCCCACCCCCGAAATTATACTTTAAAAGTTGATTAAAAAAACTTAGTTGACAATAAATAACAATTATCTGTAATCTAGTAATGATTCATTTCCTAAAAAGCACTAAATTTCCTTTCTAGGGTTCAATCCGAGATGATCAAAATGCGAAATCCGATCGAGTTGCACTCAAATGTGAGCGCGCAAATTTTGTGGCTATCAGCCGGGAAAACGGTGCAACTTCAAGTAAACCAGGTACAGAATGGAAAGTTTTCGAAAAAGGGCCTTGTTTCGAGTGTAGTTTCGGAAGAAAAGTAGAATAGATAGCAGTAGCTTGGATTTTTTTTACGACTTTTTATACTTTAAAATTTCTAGGAAACGATTTCAACTCGTTTCGAAGAGACACAGCAATTGACCGGGAAGATCAAAGGGATCATGCTGGGTGGAGCCCTGTGAGTCATCTGGTAGAAGAAAAGAACGGGCTTTAAAGCTTTATAGATCTTGATATATGATAGATCTTGATACATAAAATTCATTGTAGACTTTTATACAGTTTGTTTGTTAGATCGGAATCACGTTCATTTATTGGCTGCATTCGTGGGGTCAGTTTGGCTGGGAAACCGTTGAAACGAGAGGATATCGATGGAAATGAAAGTGGGATTTATGAAAGGAATTTTGTGCAAGAACTTTAGATTCTTTAGATCTCTGCGATTGTGAGACTGGTTGTGGGATAGTTGAGAAAGGTGAGGATTGAATGGAAATTCGTGGATAATGTACAGTAATCAATACTGTTGACTTGCATTGGCTCATGCTAAGTTTTAGCTGTAGAAGTAAAATCGAAACCCAAGAAACAACAAATCGAGCATCCATTTTGGCCGCTGACTTTCAACGGGACGGGCTTTGTCGAGTTCGAGAATCTGCGAATCGATGTGAGAAATCGGGTTGAGGTGAGCTCATTGTACTATTGTACTACTCATTGTACTATTGTACTACTCATTGTACTATTGTACTACTCATTGTACTCATTCTATCATACTATTGTACTACTCATTGTTTTTATCTACAGTGGCTTTACTTTTGGTTCCAGGTGACACTCCAAATCCGCCCACGCAGTTCCGACGGTCTCTTGTTCTATTGGGGATCGCTTAAAGTAAGAAAAGTTATTAAGAAAGTCCAGAAAGTCTTTTCTGGACAGCTCTTTTCCTTTTCGTATTTTCGTTGAAAAATAACAAATTCACCACAATTAACCTATGGCTTACTCTAAATAAAAGTGTTTATTGTTTAACGGAAATACGAAAAGGAACAAAAAGACCTTCTGGAAAGCCTAATAGATGTGCCAGAAAGGAAATGTTTACACGCGAAGCTCTGTCTTTGCTAAAACAATATTTTCAGGATGGTCGCTCATCTGGAGATTTCCTAGCGTTGTACCTGGTCGCCTCACAACCGCATTTCTTCTGGAATCTCGGCTCCGGGATCGCTTATGTCAAGTGGGTATTGGCTTACGATTGTTTTTAAATTGATGTCTTTTAGAAAAGGTAATCATGTCGTTTAGAGCAACGCCGATCTCAAATCACAACTGGTCGACGATCGAGTTCGGGCGAACGGGAAGAGATGGACACATCAGTGTTGATCGCGGTTTCGCCAATAAACAGACGAGTTTGGTGGGTGATCGCTTTTCAAATCATGGCTTAGCTACCGTAATCTGGTTAGTAGATGCCACAGTAACCCAAATAGTTTCTAATATTGCTTTAAAGCGTTTCGTCGCTACTATAGATGTTACAGTAAGCCGTAGCCCAGTTTCTACTGTCGCTTTAAGCTTGTCTCTACCGTAGTCCATAGTCGATAGATGTTACAGTAGCCTACCGTAAATACTGTAATAGTGCCCCGCCCCCATAATGACGGTGCGGAGTGTTGCGTAGTCTAGCTTTGAACGGGTTTTTCTCGACACTGGTTTAAGCTACAATGCGTGCTTAGGTATCAAAAAATAGCCCTGAATTCCAGCTATTTTTTGATACCAAAGACGCATTCTTTGAAAGTATGGGTGCTTTGAAAAAAATGAAATACTAAATGAAAACATTTGCGACTACGCGACTGTACGAGGGGGGTGGGGTACTATTACAGCATTCACGGTAAGTATTCTATTGTAATCGTAAAGATTAGAGCATTTAGATTGATAAATTGAATTTAAAAATATTCAATTTATTAAAAATATTAAATTTTCACCATAAAGGCCTAGCTTGTTCAAAAAAATTATTCAACTTATCCATCATTTGAATGTTTTTTTTGTGAAAGAGATCACTCATTTTTGTCTTTTTATGTTTCTTTTCATTCATTTTGATATAATGACGACAATTTGAGTGAATGGAAATTTTCATAGCGCTCACTTCAATCCATTCATTAAATATGCACACGTTTTGTTGATCTCAATGAGTTTGAAAGCCTTCGAGAAGCCTTTAGAAAAGTTGTCAAAAGTTTTCAAGCAAGATAACGATGTTAAAGGTTTATAATTTCGTAACTTATCCAAGAATTTCACCTTTCTTTGCTTTATAAATAGAGTAGAATGACGATAATTGAGTTAATTCGGGAAAGTGAAAATAGAATTTATTATGTGAAAAGGGTAAAAGTTACCATTTTGCTTTGTCATAAATAAAAATAGCTTTTAAAAAATGATGAAATAAGCGCTTTAAAATATAATTTAGCTAACGTAATTCACGTAGAAAAGTACTCAAGTTCATAGTAGAGGTTTTAAAATTGCTTTAACGCTTTAAACGCTTATTGCTTATCGCTGAGTCGACTACTTTAGTCGAGTACAGTTATTTTACAGTTACAGTAACCCTAGGAATTTCTTTCGTTAAGCTGATTTTGATAGAAACTAGTCAGAAGATTGAGAAGACAAAGATCAAACAAAGATCAAACTCTGACTGACTCTATGCCGGGTTACGGTAGCTGGGAAATAAAGAAATTGTAAAAGATCAAGTTGAACAATAAATTTCAGCCAAAAAACACTCATCTCGACGTGTCTGGCTTTCCGCTTTTTATCGGTGGTGTCACCAATTTCGAGAAAATTCCCCCAAAACTTCGCTCACTCAATCGAACGTTTTTGGGAGAAATTCGTTTCGTTTCGATCAACGAGCAACCGATTCTCATCACAAATGTGAGTTCCACAAATTGCCCGTATTCTCTCTAATGATCAAAACTGGTAGTAGATGCAAAGCTAGATTCAAAATGCAAAGCTAGATCCAATAACTACCATATTCTCTTTAATAGTAGCGCACCCCCGTCGAGCCGAGTTGATGACTATTTTACGGCTTCCAAAGTTTTCACAGAAGCTCAACACTCTAATCCCTGACAAGATCTCATCATCAGCTACATTTTCCGACCCCACATCGATAGGTTCTGATAAACGCTTTTTGAGATTTCGAGCGATTTAGGCAAGCTTATGGACTAGTATTAGGGACTAGCTTCTTTGAGATCAGCTTCTCCTTTAGTTACCAGCTTCTTTAAGCTTTGTTGGATTTGTTACGGTAGATTTGTAGCCGAGTTGATGACTATTTTACGGTTTCCAATTTTTCCCAGAAGCTCAACACTTTAATCCCTGACAAGATCTCATCATTAGCTACATTTTCCGACCCCACATCGATAGGTTCTGATAAACGCTTTTCGAGATTTCGAGGAATTTAGGCAAAGCTTAGGGTGCACTACTATTAGAGAGAGTAAGAAAACAGGCTTTACTGGTAAAATTGGTACTGGTAAAACTGGTAAAACTGGTCGATGATCAAAATGCAAAGCTAGATCCAATAACTACCATATTCTCTCTAATAGAGTGAATATGTCTAAGTGTCTAAATAGGTTACAGATAGTTGAATATTCTAGTATTTTTAGTTATATTTTTCAGTTTTCCCACCGTATTCCATTTTCTTTTCTGCACTAATTTGATAAACGATAAGTCCATTTTAGAGTAAATTAGAATTACAAAGTAAACTGATAGTTTTTAAAAGAAATTACCGAATTTCTCTAATAGAATGTTTGAGAGAATATGGTATTCAATTATTCGGCAAGACTTGACAAGACAAGACTTGACAAGACAAGACTTGACAAGACAAGACTTGAGCAAGACAAGACTTGAGCAAGATAAGACTTGCGGCTTTCTTGAAAATTTTGTTCTTATTTTTAACTTGTAAAGATTAATCCACTTAATCCGCGAACTATTATCGTATCTTTATGAAAAAAAAAATGTGTTTAACGGGTTTCCATTTGTCATATCAAAATGACCAACAAAGATTTGTAAGGTTTCAAATCTAGAGAACTATGATTCATTTTATTTTATCAACTCAAGAAACAGCTTAAAAGTTGTTAAATAATTAAAGTCACTAGATTTAATGATACTTTCTTTTACAGTTAAAAGTAACATTAAAACCATTGTGTTCCTTAAACAACAACTTAAACAAGTCTTAAACAACAGTGTTCCTTAAACAACAGTGTACCTTAAACAGTGTTCCTTAAACAACAGTGTTCCTTAAACTGTGTTCCTTAAACAACAATGTCCCTTAAACAACAATGTTCCTTAAACAACAGTGTTTCTTAAACAACAGTGCTCCTTAAACAACAACTTAAACAAGTCTTAAACAACAGTTAAACCCAAGAGCTGAATATCTTTCTTGAATTTTCTATTAAAGCTGTAGACTGTAGACCATTGTTCTGTTCGTCTGTTCATTCAAAGAATCTTCTAGATAAATATTTTTTCTCATCTCAATAGTGCAGGTGGGATTTCTCTTTTTGACTGAAGATTCTAGGGAAACAGGTGAAATCTCATTGTTAAACTTTTGGCTCAATGTATTGTGGAATTGTAATTACAACAACAATCATCATTTCTTTTTGTTTACAAGATCAAAACTAAAAGTTATACAAAACGTACCAGCCAAGTGAGATTTGAGAGATGGGAAAGTTGTTGAAATTTTACAAAAATGTGATCAAATAAAAAACTGTACAAAGAATTCGTTTTCAAAATGGAGAAATCTCTTAGCCGAGTCGATAATAAGCATTGGCACGCACTTTGGATAACTTCTCGGCTCGTTTACCTAAAATTGAGTGATTTGAGGCTTCGAGTGATTACTTTTTGAAACTTGTGCTTTGAGTGTTTGAGAAACGCACTCTACTTGGCGCACTCATTTCTCTATTAGTTTCCAGGTAAATTAGTATTGTGTTTTAGTATAAATTTGAATAAGACTGTTACCAGAATGGCTCTATTTACTAGTAACTAAGGATGGAAAGATTTTCGGGTCCAAGAGCCATTAACAGCCAGTCTAGCAACAGATCTAGGCTGACTAGAGCTATTAGAAAATGGCTAGCAAATCTAAGCTATTAGAAAATAACTTCTAACTGGATAATAGATTTGGGAGATTTTTTGCAACAGTGGTCTGTGCATTAGAAAAGATATCTCTTTAGTATAAATTTTAACAAGACTGTTACCAGAATGGTTCTACTTACGAGTAACTAACGACTACTTACGAGTAACTAACGACTACTTACTAGTAACTAAATTTATACTTGATGTCTGCCCATACAGCTATCACTCTACCTTGTTGCTCTCTGGGCATATTCATGTGAATTTGTCGCCAAACGTGTTGATAGTAATTCCTCTTTGGCATCTCGATATCGTAGACACTTTGACCATATGGAGGATCTTCTAGAAATAGGTAATTAAGTAATTAACAGTACTAGAACTGTTTAAAGATCTAATTGCACGATCTAGATACATATAGCTTGGCTTGCATTGATCATTGATTGATCTTTCATTGATCTTTCATTGATCTTAAACCTAATGAGATCTTGAATCTTGGATCTCATTTGGTTTCCTGGTTTCCCTGGTTTTCTAAAGAGATTCAGTGCAACAAAACCTTATAAAAGGTTCTCGAATCAAAGTATTGTACTATAGTACTATAGTACTATAAGGGACTATAAAGGTACTATAAAACTGTTGTAAAGTACTGTTCGATTGCATTGATTCTTTGAAAATATTTGGATTCAGTTAGTTAGTTAACTGTTAACTAACTGTTAACAGTTAGTTAACAGTTAAAAGTCTTAACAAATGGTTGTCCCATAATGGAATCTCCTCCCACAATGGAATCTCCACCCACACGTCATCCACCCATTAGTCTCTCATCTCAATTCTACGTGCCTTTTTCTTTCCCTTTTCTCAAAACTTTTCCTTCTTACATCGAAATTTGGCCTTTTCTTCCCAAATTGGTTTCCCATTTCTTTAACGTTTTTCTCAAAAAAAAAGAAAACAGTTATTCATCGAAATTAGGCTCACTAAAAGTCAACGTTGGGGTTTTGAATGGGGTTTTGAAGTCGTTTTTTTTGAAATCGATTTAAAACGTCATCGTCATCACACCAAATTCCCAAAAAAAATGGAATAAAGTTTAAATGAAGCATCAAAGTTGGGCTAAGCTTAAATGATTCGTATTCTCGTATTCCAAAAATGATTCGATTTCGGAATTTTTGGTGACAAGCTTCAGAGAAAACTCATTTTTCTCGCGTGAAACTTTATGTGATCCCATTATTCACGTCACTTTTTTCCCCACAAGAAAAATGAGGTTTTAAAAGAGAAAAATAGTTTTTATAAGCTCTCTATAAGCTAGAAATTTAGTGCTGAAAAATGAAAAGTTGTTCAAAAAAAAAAATTTTGATTGATGATTATTTTCAGAGTCAATGAAAACCCATTCCTAGTTTTGTGCTCAATTTATTTACAAATCGATGATACTATTAGAGTATTTTGAAGGTTTAGAATAGTTTTCCAAGAGATTATTGTATTATTTCGAATTTTCCTTTTTTTTCTACCGAATTCGAGTGATCTGACGATTGAGGTGAACGAGAAAAGAGTGATGAGGAGGAGGACCGGAAGTCGAGATAGTCGTCCAAAAAGATACATATCTAAAGGGAAATAAGGATTAATGTTGAAGGAAATGTTACAAAAGAATAAAAAGATGCAAATCTAAAAGAAAATAAGGATTAATATTCAATGAAATGTTACAAAAGAACAAAAAAATCTCTTTAAAAAGGAAATATGTAAGTAAATGTTTGAAAGTAAATGTTTGAAAATGTTTAAATGTTAGATTGGGTATTCAGTCCAGATTACCTAGCTTACGGTATTCAGTCTAGATTGGGTATTCAGTCTAGATTACCTAGCTTACGGTATTCAGTCTAGATTAGCTATATTTCCGTATTTAGTCTAGATTACCTAGCTTACGGTATTCAGTCTAGATTGGGTATTCAGTCTAGATTACCTAGCTTACGGTATTCAGTCTAGATTGGGTATTCAGTCTAGATTAGCCATATTTCCGTATTTAGTCTAGATTAGCTAAATGTAAGTAAATAGACAAAAAGCTGAATTCGAAAAGCTTTTCAGAACAAGCTTCACTCAAATTTTTGTTTCTATTTTCAAAAAATAGCTTGAAATGAATGTTTTTAGTATAAGTGAGTAACTTGAAAATCAAAAGATCTAATGAATCAAAAGATCTAATGATCTAATGATCTAATGATCTAATGAAAATAGCTAACTCTAAGCTAACTCTAAGCTAACTCAGAATTGTAGATAGAAAATTCGAACAAAAATTTATTTGATCTTTTGCTTTGTACCAAATAATGGTTTTTCAAAAGTCTGAAAACAATGAGCTTCTTTTCAGCTGGTCAGAAAGCTGGTCTCTGTCAGAAAAACTCGTAAATTCAGCTGCTTCCGATTCAAATTGCAATTCACAAGCTGTGCCCCTAGATTTGTTGTGCAAAGAGATAGATTGTCTTTTGTTTTTTTTGTCTCTCCGTCTATTGCACGACCAAAAAAAATGGCTAAGCTCTCAATCTTAATAAATTCTATCGAGAAATTTTTTGACACTTTTTTTGACACTTTTTTTTGGAAGCCGATTTCTCGAGTTTCGAGGAAGTGAATGCATTTTTGATTGGCTTTAAAATGGCAAAAGCAATGGAGGAAATCATAACAATTGTACTTGTGAGGGGAAAATGACGTATATTGACTGAAAAAGTTAGAATAGAAAATGGGTTATGGTAGAGATATTCAAAAAATTAAAAAAAAATAGTTGTTTGGCATAGTATAGAGTACAGTACCTTTTTGAAAGTTGTCACTATTATTGAACTAAAGCAAATCAAAGCAAAACAAAAAGCCAATGATTGGTTTGACTTTGGCTTGGCTTTTTTTGACTGGACATGGGGATTCTGGAAGTGCTAAATTGCAAAAAAGCATAGCAAAAACCATGGAAGGATTCGAAATCAAGCCAAGAAACGTCTTAGGTCCGTAGACTGGGCCACTATCCGTTAGACCAAAACGCTAAAACGTTTCCTGGCTTCCGGCTGACCCAGGTAGAGATGATGAATTTATCCGGAGACTAAAGCTAGGCATGGTTAGGCCAGATCAATTGACAGGACAGGATCTTGGCCTATCCTGACTTCTGGCTGATCCGGATTTTTGACGAAATGGGGGAGCAAAGCCTAGGCCAATGTCTAGCCAAAGTCTAGCCAAAGCCAGGCCAATCTAGGCTTCCGACCTAACTCAGAAAATAGATTGTAGAATTAAAAAGTCTTTTCTTTGCGGAAATTGACAACTTTAACGTAGGAGCTTCTTTTATTTTGCGCAATTAATCAAGAGAAACATGGGAGGAAGCGAGGAAGTAAGCGGATAAGTAAGCCCAGTACCCCAGAGACTAACGAAAGGCCGTTCCTTTGCCAAAGTTGATTGAAAAGTAGCTAAATTCTCATTGTCTGAATATCTTGAGCTTAAATAATCATAGAGATCTCAAGATATTCAGCCAACCGGCTATCTTGAAATGAGAAAAGCAAAATTCGGTTTAGATCAACAATTCCTTTGGCTTTATACTCGAGAAAAATAGAACGATCAAATTATGAAAGGTAATTAAAGAAAAGGTTAGGCTTTTCTAAATATGTAAAATGAGTGTTTTGTTTGGTGGGAATGTGGAGTTCTGAATGGGCGAGGGGGCGTGAGAAGTCTCTTTCATTTCATTTCTCTTCAAATCCCATCCAGAAAGACCCACCCCTTTACTCATTTACTCAAAAAAAGGCAAACTTATGGCCAAGCTGAAATAAAACTTGATAACTGTTATATACGTATATTATTTACGTATGTTTGACTGTTGTAATGGTATAGGATTGGTATTTCAGATATGATTGTAGCAATTTATCTAACAAAATAGAAATCAATATCATAAAGGAAGAAGAAAAATAGAAACAATTGAAAATGAGAAACCCTGAGACTGACAACTACGCGTCGCTCCAATTGACGCGGACAAAAGGCAAAAAGAAGTGCAAAATAGAAAACACTTTGTGAGAATCTCTTCCCAACAATAACTTTAATGGTTCATTCTTACCAGACTCCACTAGTAGCCAGTCACAGCTGGAACAAGAGCTGTGACTGGCTGTGACTACAGAAATAGCTTGATCACTGGTCATTCTAAAAAATAAAAAGAGCTGTGACTGGCTGAGATGGGGCTTGTGACAAATTAGAGCTATTTATGCAAAATGTTAGTATTACGGACTAACGGAAAGATTCAAATTATGCTCATAGTCAGACTCAGATTCCGTTATCTGGGTATCTGGGCCTGGGTTCTCTGACACTTTTTATGAGTCAGATCAAGCAGGTTCATGGCAAAAGTCAAATCACGACCATCGTCTGGCATCATTGGTTACAGAAATAGCTTGATCACTGGTCATTCTAAAAATAAAATGCATCTATGAGCTTTAAAAAGTCATTCTTGAAATCAGGCTTTAAAAATTTACTGGCAAGCATTTTCCGAGAGAACATTAAGGGTCGCGCACTAAAATTTTATTTTTTTTTTTTAGCTAATTTTATTTTATTTTTTTATTCTATTAATTCTATTGATAAATAAAGTTGAAATCTATAGTGAAACTTGCTTTAAAAACAATGTAGAAAGCAAAGCTACGAGTAGAAATGGCGCAAAAGTAAGAAAAAAATAGCTAAAGTTGTAAAAAAAATTATTTTTGGCGGTTTACGGTATTTAGTGCATTTTATTGCGCGACCCCTAAATGTTTTCTCGGAAAATGCTTGCCATTTTAAATTGCCATTTGCTTGCCAGTAAATTTTTAAAACCTGATTTCAAGAATGACCTTCCTAAAGCTCATAGATGCATTTTATTTTTATAATTTTTGCTATTTGCCGAACTTTTGAAGAATGGTGACTAATCGGTATCATCATTTTTTTTTTGCTTTTAGGGTTTCCGTTCCTAAAGCCATAAAATTAATATAAAAAAGAGAGCAAAATGGACTTTACTCTTGAGATTTGTAACAGCTACTACAAAAATAAATAGATTTGCGGGGAAGTTCTTTTAGTGGGGAGAAATGGGATGAAACGTACTAAAATGAGATCAAATTTGATTATCGTGGGTGGGAAGTTTTAATTGGTGGAGGAAAAAAAAACAAAAAGAGAGAACAATACTATACACTTCATGAGAATTGAATAATGATGGGGGGGAAGAGTTGAAAGTATTGGGTTGGTGAATTGAATTTCTGTCGCAAATTTTAAATATTAATTTTATCTTATTGCTAAATGTTAATTTTGGCGCGACGTCGCATTCCAATTGACGTCGCCGCCATTTGGAGGTAGTCGATAGGAGTGCCGCGTCGTCGTTTCTTTTCATTTCAAATTTCTTTTCATTCTTTTCAAATTTTCATTTCATTTGTTTTTTTTGTCAGATTAATTGAAATTATTGTTTTACGCGATAAATTTTGTGTTTCTCTTTGAAATGAGAAAGAAATCTATTGGGTTGGTGAATTGAAAACCGCCGGACTTTGAACTAAAATTTATTCAACATAAAACCATGAATTGATTCCAAATAATTTCCATTATTATTGACGACTTCTGCCCCATTTTACAGGCAATTTGCGGATTCCTCTTTCGTAGTAAGGTTTTGGTTTGTGTGTGAGATGTCAATGTCAGACTATAAACCCTTGTAGAATCGCGTAGAATAGATATTTTTTTAAAAACTTTTTGACCAATAAAACCAGCCAACTTTAGGCTTTTGAATGACACTAAAATCAAGAAAATCCATCATCTCTACTCTGAGAACAAGCTATTTATAGCCGTTTGTAGTCTCGTCCCATGGAACGGGACTACAAACCTGGAAAAAAAAACGTTAAATCTCAGCACAGAGAACTTGATTTGGCCTGATTTTGGCGTCATTCGAAAGCCTAAATTTGACTCGATTTTTGGGTAAAAAGCTTTGAAAAATCTCTATTTGACGTGTTTCTACAAGGGTTTATAGCGCTCATGTCTAGGTTGAATCGAGGCATTGTTTGTTCTCTGCCCAATAGTGTACTCTGGCTTTACATACTGTACCTAGCACATTATCTAACCTCAAGTATCGTAGCCTAGAGTGCTGTAGTCATAAAACCTAGAATACTGTATACCTATTGTATTCTAAAGTATCGTAAGCCTCTCATAGCTTGGAGTATCGCACGTACTCAAGGCTACGATAACCGTAGTCTTGATGAAGCCTAGAACCTCTCAAAGTGTACCTCACAAAAACTCTCGTAATCTTGTTTCTAGTTTTTGTCGAATCTTCACAAGTTGAACTTCTGCAAAAAAAAAGATATTTCAAAAGTGACGACTAATCTTTAGAAAAGATCTCTAATCGAAAAGTCACAAATAATCTAAAAATGATCGAATAAGAGGAATAAGTCGTCAATTTTTTCAGGGATTTACAAATTTGCATTAAAATTTTACCTATTTGATCTCGGGAAAACGTCATTAAACTTCCCGTATCGAAAATAAACCACCTTTAAAAACGGATTTGTTTATCAATTTTGGATTAGAATTAGAAAGATTGCATTTCTAATTTTTGGTTTTTCTAATTTGCAAAAAGTGGGATCGAAATCTGAAAATGACAGTTGGTTTCATTTCTTGAAATGTTCATTTATTCGTTGGAGGTGGAGAGACAAAGAGATTGGTGACGTAAACAGAAAAAGGAGACACCTCCAAAAATGGCATTCGTGCATAGGCTAGTGGATGGGGTGGTGGAAAAGGGGAAAAAAGTGGGGGTTTTGGAGGAAATGTCGTGTGTTTTTGAAAAGCCAAACATGATAAAAAGTTAGGGCTCTATATGTGCGCTGATTGTTCTATTCAGCAGAATCAAATTAGGATAGGATTATGGTAGGAATTGCCGTCAGGGATACCGCAGCCCAGTGCAGGTTAGGCCAGAACCAGGAAAAAGGCAAGGATTGAACCTGGATCTGGATCTGGATCTGGATCTGGATCTGGATCTGGATCTGGATCTGGATCTGGATCTGGATCTGGACCTAGACCTGGATCTGGATCTGGATCTGGACCTAGACCTGGATCTGGATCTGGATCTGGATCTGGATCTGGACCTAGACCTGGATCTGGATCTGGATCTGAATCTGGACTTCTTTCTAGCCCTGGTCTGGCTTAATCTAGATATTGTCTTAGAATAACCCAGATTGGCGCAAGTCAGGTGTAATAGAGCTTTTTCCTTCTGTGCATAGGTTGAAGTGTTTTTGAAGACTATTATATTAAAGTTGATACGATGTGATCATTTTCTAAGTCTTGTTTAATGACTTTCCATTTCAGAAAGATCACTGGCACGGCGGAGTGGGACGAGTTGAAGAGGAAGAGATTGGCTGTAAAGGCGTCGATTGTGGATATGGGAGATGTCTTCAAACAACACAATTATCTCAACCATTCTGTGTTTGCCCACAGGGGAAGACTGGAGACAAATGTGCACAAGGTGGGTCCAATTTGGAATGAAATATGGTGTAGACACGGGAAAATAAATTCCAATCTGAACCCAATTCCACCGTCGTTTTTCTTGGCCGATTGCTCTGGAAATTTTGTCTACAGATAGAAATCGATGTTTTTCAGCTTGTAGACAAAATTTTCTAGCAATTGGCCAAGAGATGGTTGAAAACGAAGATGGAATTAGGTTCGGATTGGAATTTTTTTCATGTCTAGTATGGTTTAGTATCGTAGAAGAGTGTGTTCCACTTAAATAAAGCGTTTTCAAACTTTTTTCAAATCACCACCCCAATTTTGAAACATTGAGCTGGTAAAGGTCGGCTTACTTCAAAGCTGCGCTCTGAAAGAGTTCTAAAATCGTTGCCAATTTGCCAAAAATTGCCAATTTTGAATAGTTACAGTAATTTTTACCAGATGCTTTTGTTTAAAGATTGATGTATTTAAGAGAAAAGCTAAAATAAGCGATCCACCTACGTACACACCAGATTTTCTCCTTTTTACTCATAGTCTATTTGTCGTGACGAAGTGTGGGAGTTTTCTGTGTTTCCAAAAACACCAAAGACAAGCACTCTTCATTTTTTTAAGCAAGTGCACATTTAAAATTTCTTTTCTTACATGACTTACAGAGAGAAATCTTGAAATAGAAATTTTCAAGAGAAAAAAAAGGTAAAGAAAATTTTAGATTTAACGAAAGTTGCGCTGAAAATCGGGAAATCAATGGGAACTGGGGTGTATTTAAATCGAGTTTACACAAGGTAAGGAAATAGAAACATTTTATTTGATAGATCATTATTTTGTTAGTTTTCTCATTTGATCATTTGATCATTTGATAATGATCGCCATTTGATAATGATCGCCATTTGATAATGATCGCCATTCTCATCATTTGATAATGATCGCCAAATTTGCTTAATAAGCGATATGATATGAAAATGTCTACCCTGAAGCCAAAAAACAAGTGCTCTTTTAGTGTTGAAAGCTCGACCAATGCCAACTTCTCATTGGATTTCCGAACGAAAGAACAAGAAGGAGTACTTTGGTGGGAAGGTGAGTGAAAACGGCTCGTACTTTGTGCTCTAACAAACGCACGCTTCTGGCATAGACCTTAGGTTCAGAACATTCAGAAATGTCAGCTGTTCATTTTTAATACTTGAAATGAAGTAAACTTTCAATATTGTAACGTCTCACGAAAACTTTCGAAGATTTCTTTCAGGCGCTTGGACAGGCGACTCGTCAAGCCGGGATTTCTTAGTGATTTTCGTGAAAAACGGGCAAATTCACGTTGGAATTGATCTGGGGAAAGATTCGCCGAGTTCTGCGTCGAAATTCAAAGCCGTACAAGTGAAGGGGAAAAGAGTGGATAATGGGGAATGGCATGCGATTCAGATGAAGAGGTAAAGCTAAAATTGATCTCGATTTATCTAAAATTGACAAGTTCAGAATGAAAACCCGTTTGTTGGTGGAAGTCGATGGGGTGGCGAAGATACAAATAGTGACCACTGAGGGCAGTCAAGAGTTGGACACGAATGGACTCGTGTATTTGGGTGAGTGGGCAAATTGGGCTAACAAAAGTTTCTGACGGTTTGAAATCAAAGCGGATTACGGTAGCTTTAGAAAGCTAACAGGCTTGTAAGGCTATCTGATTAGAGTTAGATTTTGATAAAACTAGGAAAGATTACGGTAGCTTTAGAAAATTAACATGTATGACTTTGAATTCACGGTAAAAGAATACTAAAAGTTCCGAAAAAGATTGAGAGTTAAGACTCTGATAGCTTTAAAAGTACAGTAATCCTTTACTATAGTAAACTTGCTTTTTACTAAAGATAAAAGAATACTGTAAGCATGGAAAAAGATAAAATAACTCTAAATCTAGGCGGAAAAGCGGATCTCCCCACCATTTTGCCTATTCGACGCCCATTGGAGGGATGTGTGCGAAATGTGCGACTCGATCAAATCCCCGTTGATCTCATCGCTCATTCACTGCCCATTCAAAGGAGTCTTGTGAAATGTTAGAAATTTTGTTTAATCTAAAACATTTGAACTCTAACAAAAACTTCCATTAGGTCGCTTGCTCATTTTTTTTTTGTTTGTTGCTTTTTTTGCTTTATTTTTGTGCATCGAATAAATATTGATCTCTGGTTGAGATTAGGTAAAGACACTAATAAAGCTATTGTTTTCTAAAAGACACGTATTTTAGTAAACTACCGTAATCTAAAACGCCAAATTTTCATTTGATCAGCCTAATTTTGGTAATTGCTAATTTCATTCGATAAGGAATCACAAGGCTCAGTGAATGATACAAAAATTGGGCTGATCGGATGAAAACTGGCGGTTAGATTATGATAGTTTTCTATTATCTTCAGCTTCAGAAAACTTTGGGGTGTACAAGAGTTCAATGTTGTACCCAATATTTCTAAGCTGTGCACGGGAATTGATCTTTTTTAGGTTTTTCCTTTCGAAAACAAACTCTTTCTCTATTTTTGTTGAGTTGTCGATGTGACGAAAGCAATTACGAGAATATTAAAAGCAAAAAAAAAATGGGGGGAAAACTCGATATTTCCTCGCTGATACATGAGTATAAATTTTGTTCAAAAAACAACGTCACAAGCATGCCAAGAAGGCTGTAGGAAATCATTAAAACCCAAGGAGGCCCATGTTGTATCCAATATTTCTAAGCTGTGCATGGGAATTGATGTTTTTTAGGCTTTTCCTATTGATCATGTTAAGTTTTCATTCAAGTATCAAAATACTTATTTTGGCCAATTTTTGCACACATTTTTTACTTATGAATTTTTCTATGAAAAAAAACGTTCAATTTAAAATTTTTATCTACTTCTAGCAAGTTTAGTTCTTGTAGTATCTAAAAATTTAAACCCGTTTGAAAATCTTTGAGTAGAAGGTCATTTTTTAATCAATATCTGAAATTTTCGAGAAGGTGCCAATACTTTTTTTGATCATTGTATTGAAATAACATTGAAATAACAAAAAAAGCTTTGTTCTGTGCTAATAAAACTTTAAGATCCATCACAATATTGATATCTAAAGAAAATGTTTCATTACATATTTCCGATCAATTCTTGAATATGCTCTTCTAAATTTCTTCTTTGCTTTTAATTGCTTTTAAGCTCGAGAAAGTTCAAAAACATTTCATTCGTGTTGCTTTGTATAAAATAGATTTTGATAAATACTCCTCCCTCCGATCTAAACATTGACTCAAGCTCTTCACTCTTGAAACTCTACACCAACGCCGCCTTATCATCGATTTAGTGGAATGCTTTAAAATTGTTAAAGGCATTCATCCCGACCCCCTTTTTTCTGGTCTCTTTGAATTCGGCTCGCTACGGGGCGCCTCCAGAATCTTTCATCTTCTAGTATCCGCCTTTTCTCCTACGCCAACCTTCCGTTTCCTCTAAAAGCCCCCACAGTTTCTTTTTTAATCGAGTTATTAAATTCTGGAACATTTTACCCCCTCATGTTCGTGATATTTCCACCTTGCCTAGATTTAAAGCCGCAATTTCGGCAATTGATTTGACTGCTCTGTGATTCTTTCTTGAGGTATCTATTTATCTTTTGGGTGTGTTTTGAGTGGTGTCCTGGGTAATTATTGTGATTTTGTTTTGTCGCTATTCAACTAAATAAAGCATATATATATATATATATATATAACGCCGCCTTATCATACATTTGATTGAATGCTTTAGAATTGTTAAAGAGATTCACCCTAATCCTCTTTTTTGAAACTTTCTTCCGTTAAATCTAAGGCAGTCGGCTTCCCAAAAGGGCACACTTTTTTTGTAATGTAATCCTATTTCGTCTAAAAGTGGTGAAAGTTATTTTTACAAATCGAGTAGTAACATTGTGGAATTCTCTCCTCAATGAAATTCGCAATCTTTCATCTCTAAGCTCGTTTAAATCCGCTATTTCTCGGCTCAAACTATCCAAGTTACTAGATCTGTACATGATATTGTTTTTCCCATTCTTTTTCCCATTCTTCCGATTAATTGCAAACTGTGTCATTTAAATTTTAGTCTGTTGTGCATCTTTTTGTTACGCTTTATTACTGAAATAAAATATATATTAAAACATTTAAAAAGCTAAAAATATCTGCCCAATCTTTTTTGTCACTGACTATGGGATGATTTATGGCCTTGGAATAGCCTCGTTTATCCCCCTCTTTGGCAACTATTGATCAGTTTGTAGTTGGGAAAGAGATCCATGTGATTTTGAGTTTTGTCTAATTACTTTAAAAGATAAAGTAGCTTTTTGGAACTTTGCCGGTTTTAGGCGATTTGCATTCTCCTTGTGTCTGTTTGTAAAATCCAAAGTGAAGTTGAGTACTTGAATGAACAGTTGGATTGAGATTATTGCTTCTATTGTACCTGAGAATATTCCAAATTTGTATTCAAGAACAGCTGTAAACCATACCGTAATTCAGTATCTGCTTTTTTTCAAATTTGCTTTCAATTCAAGGCCAATTTTCGAGACTATAGATTACCGTACCGTATTTTAATCTCATATTCTAGATGGCTACAGCACACGATCGAAAAATTCTGAACCGTATTCTCAATCCGTTGATGCCCGATGAGGATCCGACTGAAGAGAAAGTCGCTGAGGATGGTTGGTTCAAGAATTTAATTAATATTTTGGAAATTGGTGTTCTAACTGTCGTCTAGTTCAGAAATTCTCTAGTTTACTAATTGAATGACTTGGTAGGTTTAACTTGGTTCTCAACGTTGCCCAAGGTTGATTACACAATTTCGTAGTTTGGCGTTGTTGGAGTTGGAGTGATTCTAAGCAGCCAGTGCATGCAGAGTTGCATAATTATAGATAAACTTTAACACCTTCATTTTTAGAACAAATCGATCACCCTGAATACGCAAAAAAGTCGGCAGCTCGAAAAGGAGGCGATTGCTCTCGCCGAAGGGGAAATATTGCAAAAGCACTGGAGAAATTCGATGAAGCTATTGAGGTTTTTGAGAATTGTCTCAAAGATCTTAAAGTATTAGGGTTAAGGAGAAAGTGTTTGCCGATTTTTTGGGAGAAAGCCTTAAACTTGTCCGATCTAGACGTGTAATAGCTTATTCAAAAAGCTAATTTTCCAGCGGATTGGATAAAAAACCGAAAAGCATGGTTTCAGCCTAGGTTTTCGTACAAAAATGAAAACTTCATTTTTTTGGAATTTCGGATCTGGCTCAGTAAAAATTGATATACCAAAAAACGGTTTTTTTCATCCAATCCACTAAAAGATTAGCTTTTGAATAGCTATTACACGTACAGATCGGACAAGTTTAAGGCCCTCTCCCAAAAAATCGGCAAAGACTTTCTCCCCAACCCTAACATAAAAGCTCATTGTCAGGTTTGTCCGGTGAATCCATCAGCGTTCAACAACCGAGCTCAAGCGCATCGCCTCAATTCGGTAACGGAAAGTCAGTGCTATTGGGTTTTCATAAAGAAAAGGACTTACTCATACAAATGGTAAAAGTATAGAAGTTTTTAGAAGCCATGTCCGATCTCGACATGGCACTTGAGCTGAGGGAAAGGGCAAATCGGGATGTCAGGCTTTCGTGCAAAGAGCTCTCATCCGACGACTAAATGGGGATGATCAGGGGGCAAAGGTGGGGAAAATTCGTAAAAAAAATTTGCACTAGCCTACAGTAATTCGACTACCTGTATCAAAATGGGTACTGCTAGCTACAGGAAAACATCGCGAGAAAGCTAACTTTTTCAAATGTCGAGTTGGGCAGACGCTTCAAACCGTGGCTAGACTACCGTAGCCCATAAACCAATAAGATGGTAACATAATGATTACGGCTAGTAGATATAACAAGCTGTATGAATCCATCCAGTGATCCAAATAACAAAGTTAGAAGCAATGCCCGAATTTTATCTCACTGAAACGTTTAGGCTGACTACGAGAAAGCGGCCGCTTTGGGTTCATCGTTCGCGAAAATGCAACTGGTTGCACTGAATCCGTACGCGGCGATGTGCAACAAAATGCTATCGGAAGTCATGCAAAATCTTCGAGAAGGAAAAGAATAAAAAGTTAATAAAAAGTTGAAATGCTAAAATGCACCCGACAGGAAAAGAGGGACAAACGTCTGAAAATACAGTAACAACGGACGAAAAACACAGCAAATACCATTAATTTCGCATTTTCACACGATTTGCTTTCAAACTTGGTCACAAATTTTCGCTTGCTGTTTCAAGTTTTCTAAGGCTTAAGCACTATGACTCAAAATGTTAAACGCATAGAGCTCAACATTTTGTCTTAATGGCTAAAACAGCATAATATGGGGCAAAATGTTGGCTGCACATCTATCTAATTTTCGGCTTATCTTTTGCTTTCATTTATTTTATCAAACCTGTTAACCTTTTTTGTTTTTAGAATGCTGTCGACTCGCCAATCGATGCATTACCCAAAGCTGCCATTGAGTCCATCGCTTCTGGTTCAGCCATCGCGTAGTCATGAAGACGGATCGCCTTCTGCTAAAGCGGCACTTCCACGAAGAGCTCGCTCCAAACAACGTCGCCCAAGAAGCCCGGCTCGAATTCGTCCTTGTAGTAGCTCAAGTGATTTTGGTAAGTGGTATAAGGTCTTGTAATGTTATGTATTTTGATTTGGCTTTGCCTGATGTTTTCTCTGGAAGCGAAGGCGGTATGGAATACTTTGCTGAGCTGCTCAAGGAAAAGAAGCATTTGACAATGTTTCCATCGCTTTTCCCAAATGTGGAACGAATTCTTGAAGATGGTTTGTTTAGCGTGTTTATATTGTAGTTTTGGACTTTCAGAAATCAGTCGTGTCCGCGCGCAAATCTTTCAAACGGATTTTGTGCAAGGTGAACTCGCTCTACCTGAAGCTGTCGGGGGAAATCGTTACCATCACTGAGAAGCTCTACGTTCCAAAGAATGATTATCCTGACGTGAGTTAGCTTTTCTCGTTGGTTGTATAAATCAACTTTGTTCAGTACAACTTCGTTGGTCGGATCTTGGGACCGCGTGGAATGACTGCTAAACAGCTGGAGCAGGAGACTGGGTGCAAAATAATGGTCAGAGGACGTGGCTCAATGAGGGATCGCCGCAAGGTATACACTTATTTTCTTGTTGGCTATATTTTAGTGGTATTTAAGTTTCAGGAAGATTCAAACCGCGGCAAGCCAAACTGGGAACACCTGGAAGATGAGCTGCACGTGCTGATTCAATGTGGAGGACACGGAAAATCGTGCGCGAATCAAGCTGAGCAACGCTAGCAAAATCGTCAGGAAGCTACTTACTCCAGTAAGGGATTGTGTAAATTACCTTATTTTACTGTATTCTTTCAGCCAGAGGGTACAGATGATTTCAAGCGCAAGCAACTTATGGAACTGGCAATCATCAATGGAACTTACAAGCCTCACAAGACGGGGAGCATCTACAGTATGCGATTTTTGGATCTAATCTTTTATATGTCTCTGTTAGTGAATACTCGTATGATGACACCAATTTATCCAATGTCACCGATGCGTCCTTTGCTGATGTCGCCACAACCATCGCCAAGTCCAATCACGTTGCCAGCTATGCCACAATCGCCAGCTTTTGTCAGCAGCAGCTCCCATGAGTACAAGCTTCAGTAAGCTTTTTTTTTAGTAAGCAGATATGTAAACTTTTAAAGCCTAGAATATCTTAACATAAAGTTTTGGCTTTAGTCCATCTGTCTACGAGGCCTTTTCTCTTCCGGTCCCCATGGAAGCTCGTCAACAGCAGCCACAATCGGCAATGCCACCACTTACTCAATGAGCGGATTCTCCAATTACTTCAATCCGATGTCTCTTCATGGTGGCCCATTTTTCCACGATTCTCACCTACTTGGTCAACAAATTTGAGTTTGTGACAATTTACAAAGGCTTTTTTTAACTTCTGTGAATTGACTAGTTGCCCCGCTTACGTTGTCATTTTGTCGAATTTTGCTTGTCTTGCGCCTAAACACTTTCAAATTGACCGTTCACATCATTTCCCAATGCCAGGAGCTTCCTGCTTATTTTTGGCGTTGTATACCCTTTCGAGGTGTGTTGTTATTGTTATCGTTTGTTAGGGTTTTGTCATAATGTTGTTGGTTAAGAATAAGAGTTTTTACCTATACAGGAGCAGGTGAGACACAATTTTCGGTCTATTTGAGACCTTTGTCTGATATCCAATATCTTTTGATAGCATAAAATAGTGGATTTAGGTCGAAATATTTCCCTAGCCGTCCGACTTTGATAATCGGATAAATTTGATGGTTTTAAGACCCATTTCTTTAGGTGGAAAGACGAAGAAATTCCATTGCCATGTGTCATTGACTATTTACAGCGTTTTTCAGGTGTGAATTACATTCAATATTAGGGCCGGGTTTTGAAGCATGCAAACTGTTTAAAATATTTTAATTGCCAATTGTTTTGGATGTCGTCCGGTGTTGATCAATCCGTATCCGCAAGTTCATTTAAGGATATCGGAGGGGCTATCAAAAAAGAGGTGAGCAGCTTTACGAGAACCATTTATGCTCTTGCTTTCGAAAGTACTTTGACTTTGGGTAATGGTGATAATTTTCTTAATTTGATAAAAAGTGCTTTTGGAAATCTGAAATACTTTTTTTAGCCGTTATCTCATGGTTCGGGCCTCAATCTTGAGGGGACTATCAAAGAAGAGGTAAATATTAAAAAACTATTTGCACATAAAAATAAGCATACCTTTATTTTTTTGTTTACTTTTACAAATTTGAGTTTTTTCAGCCTGTTTGGAACCAAGGTGGAAACATGCATCGCTCCCAAGGTAAACTTTTTTCATGGGTATCTAATTCGCGGGAAAGCAGGGTATTTTAAACTACCTATCTTGCTTGACAAAAACTTTCATAAAAAACACAAGACTACAAGTTTAGCTGCTGCAATTCTTCAGAAGATTGATGCATACGACAAGAAGCTACGCGAGGAGAGTGCAGCCACACGAAGACGCGTTGGGGCTTTTTATTGTACTGATCTAGGTTTCTTTTAGCTTTATCGGCAAATTGGACAAAATCAGGACACAATCACAATGTTAGAGCAGAAGGTTTCCTAGTTTTTTTCATTAACAACGATGTTATCATTGATTTTAGCTGCACAACTTGCAATCCATCGAAGTCATCGATTTGACGGGGAATTGATACTTGTTTTTCCTTGTATTTGTTTAGCTATATATTTTCGTTATACCTCACTGAAACGTTAATTACGAGTACCCACTTTTACTCTGTGCTTACCCAAAATTCTATTTAATTCATTTAATTTCAATCTCATTTAATTAATTTGTTAATCTTTTGTTTAATAAGATAATTGTTTGGAATATCAACAAAAAGATTTAAACGAATATGTACCTCTGATCTGTTTGAGGGACTACCATTCCCCCAACGACCAGCAAGTAATACCCGCCCAGTGTTTGTTGAGAGCAAAAAGTTCATTGTACAAAGAGATTTTCAGCACGAAACTATTTATTGCCTCATAAACAGGAACAACATGTACTTTGAAACGAGTTAGATTTGGGCCAAAAGAGTAATTTGCAGTCTACATTGGTTTTCTTTTCTTTTCTTTCACCGACCAAGAATCAAACCGTGGAATCATGCGCGGAAAGTTCAAAAGTTGCACGGAGAGAATTCTCAGAACTTTTTCTTGTAACTGTTTCCACCTCAGGAATCGTGCATTGTACTTGGGTAGAAGAGGTCGGTCTTCCACCATTAGTTGTTGATGGAGGGGGAACGGGAGAAGTGATCGGTGAAATGCCATCACTTGGCTCCGAAGAGAACAAATGCTTGACACCGGAAGTGATAAATTTGAAGAAACCGGTACAGATCAGAATGGGGATCAACGGGAGAAGCGTTTGAATGTCCAGCAACCAGTACCTGGAATTGTGACGATTGTTTCTCTTGGACAATTTGGATTGTTTAGCTACCAGGTGATCAAATAGGTTTGCTTCATCGATTCATTTCCGGTGAAGGAGGAGACCAATTCGAGGACGCTTCTGGAATGGGTTTCGATGGATTTTGCACGATTTTGCAGAAACCCACTTAATCGTGTAGATGAGAAATGGAGGATAGGCGGTGAGGGAGGTGAGAAAGAGTTGGCATTCGTAGAGCTGAAAGTGATTTGTATTTGTGTGAGTATTTCATTGCTCGGGTGTTGTTCGTTCGTTTACTCTTCGTTTCACAAGCGGCTTCAGTTGAGAAACTCGGAGTACATAGACAGGATGGCCGACGAAATTTGGCGCGAGGTTTTTGACTCGGAGATGATGTCGGGTTTATCAAAAACCTATTGAACTTATATCCAAAAAGGTAGCAAATTTTCTGTAGCTTCTGAAAGTTATAATTATTGTACAAGAAGTCTCCTAGTTTTTGAGTTATTCCCTTTTCTGCGCCCTCCAAAGAAGGCCTCTGCGCGGAGAGTGATCTAAAGGTTCACCCTAGAATATTGTGTTGTATATGAAGCTGGCTGCTGAAAGGATGTTCTCAATTACTAGCTAAGGTCTTTTTTGGTTAACTTCAACTGGAACTTGATAGAAAAATGGAAGAAAAAGCTTTTTACCCACATTTTCTACCATTACCACCATTTTCACCAGCACTCCTTCAAAAACGGCAAAAATCAAGGTTTTGTTTAAAAATGCTCAAGATGCACTTTGAAGTTATTTGTTTGGTTTCAAAAAATTGGTTACTTTTGGTTACTTGGTCAATTTCTGGTTAATTATTAGGTTGTCCCATAAAAACCCAGAGATTTTGAATTTCATTTATTTTCAGCACATAGAAACAACGAAGAATCAGAATCAAATTATATATTTTCCAGATGAATTTATAACTTTTCTCCAACGTTTGGGTAACTTGCCAATCCCTCATTCGTAAAACCCAAGCGGGCGCGGGCGAAAATAGTCGTTCAATTCGTCCTCGAGTTCGCTCTCATCTTTGAACTTTTTACCACGTAAGAAATCCTTTAGTGACAAGAACAAGTGATAGTCAGAAGGGGCAACGTCCGGAGAATACGGTGCATGAGGAAGGATATTCCAGTGTAGGTTGTCCTTCACAAAATCGATCGATCTTTCTGATTTGTGGGAGCTTGTGCCATCCTGAAGAACGAAAACGGGGCCGTTCCATTTGTTTTCATAGAGTAACCTTCCGACTTTTTGTTCCACTTTTTTCATATGATATAGATAAACATCGGTGTTGAAATTTTGCCTCGGTTTAAGAAGTTCCCAGAGAAGGATGTCTGTTGAACATCAGTCGACACACAAGATTCGCTTCTTTTCGTGGATCTTCCGTTTTGGCAGCATTTTACGTGCTTGCCCTTTCTTTAATCACTGCCCTGGTAACACTCGACCATCGTAGAAAACCCACGTTTGATCGTGAGTGATGATGTTCGAAAGACGAAGCCGGCCATACCGGTATTCGCTCCACAAATGGTTGCATGTCCGCTTTCTTTTGACTTGGGTTGTTTCCGATCTTTCGTATGGAATTTAGCGTTGTTTTCTACGATTTCTTTCCACTTTTCGCAGTCATCGCTACACAGTCATCCATCCACAGTAACTTCCAACCAATTCTCCGGTTGATCCATCACGGTTTCGCAGGAATCGGTGCCTCAGAATCGATCGATCCACTTTCCAGGGGTCGGCCGCTTCTCCTCTTCCGTTTGATCCTTGTGTTGCCCGTCTTGAATCTGTGAAACTATTCCTATGCAGTACTCGTTCCAACGATTTTGTTGCCATAAAATTGATTGATTTCTTGTGCTGCTTTGGCCGCTGAAATCCCTCTTGAAAATCGTTGGAGCAGTTGGGCGTGAATTTCTTCTCGAGTTGGCTTCATTCGATCGACTGCAACTCCCTTCTCGTGTCGTCCCCTAAAAAATGAATGCTAATGCAAGAAAGAAGAAAGTTTTGGCATGAAAAAGAAAAAAAGATGAATACAAAACGTAGTGTTGTGAGCGAGTAGTGATTAAAACAAAAAATCTCTGGGTTTTTATGGGACAACCTAATATTTGACTAAATTTTATTTCGGATATTCTAGCCAATTTTGCAAAAGATATTTAACCTGAAACTTTAGAAAAACGAGTAGAAAAAAAGGCTTTCTTGGAGGGTGCGGAAAAGGGCATAACTCAAAACTCTTGTAAAATACTTATAGGTTTCAGATAGATTTTGCTAAATCCGGCATCATCCAAGTCAAAAACCTCGCGCCAAATCTCGTCGGCCACCCTGTATTATTGCAGTGAGTCAAAGGCTAGACAAAAATGGAGTTCTATTGTTAATATCTAAGACATTGTTAATATCTAAGAGATCACTGACATTTCGATTGACTCTAAAGTGCATGGAACGATATTTGAGGAGACAAGCGATCGAAAGCGATGTTGTCACAATGACGGCCGTCAACGAGAGGAGAAACGAGAGGGTTTCGCCGATCTGGAATCGAAAGAGATCATGCTGTTCTTGGAGAAATATTGGGTTGGCCGGTAAGTAATGAGTCGATTTCAAGCAGAAATACTTATTCAATAAAGCCATCTGAATCAATCAAAATAGTTCCCTTCTTTTTCCATAAACTGCTCATTTTACTGGTAGAAGGCGAATTCCTCTCGCGTAAAGAATCTTTGATTTTGAGTGAAACTAGTTCTGTACCCATTTCTTGGTATCTTTTTCATCTTCAAAGTCCTCTCCGACTAAGGGATTTTCCATTGAGCGAAATAAATGGTAATCTGATGGAGCTAGATCTGGGGAATATGCTGGGTGGGGGACAAGTTCCCAGTCCAGGTTCTTGGTTGTAGAACGAGTCAGTTTAGCAGTGTGTAGGCGAGGATTGTCATGCTGCAATGTGGCCTTTTTCAGATGTGGTCTTTTTGTCTCAAGGGCTTCAGCCAGCTTCTGCAATTGATTACTGTCTAGTCGAGAGTTAAGTCCTTGCTTGCTATAACTTCTTGCACTCCCACTATCCAGTCACTCCCAATCACTCCCAGTCACTCCCAGTCACTCCCAATCACTCCCAATCACTCCCAATCACTCCCAATCACTCCCAATCACACCCCCAACCGGTCTCTCGGAGCGGTCGCTTTAGATCAAAGATTTCTCTCCATTTTCAAACTTGTGAAATCATCGATTACATCTTGGAGAGCAAGTCATCACCATCTACTTTTGTTTTTTAGAGCTAGGCTTGAAGATGAGCAGGACCCAAATAGCATAACATGTTGAATATGCTCATTTGACAAATTTGCACTAATCGAAAAAAGAAGTTAAGAAAGAAATAGGAAAGTATGCCCCATCAATGAAAGTGCTTTGAAATGAGGGAAGTCTGTCGTCTCTTAGTGGTCAATACTGGCCAACTTTACGGCAAAATTTCCTTTCTTTCACGTGACTCACTACTTATTGTCCAACCCAATTTCCCAGATTTTGCTGGTGCAAGCTTCGATGATCTACTTTCTGGGCTTTGACCTCTCTTCAACATCAGCTTACCAATTGATCAAAGGCGATCAAATCGAGCGGTCCGTTGTCGTGAGTTCGAATGAATTGAGCCGAATCCGAGAGAATGCTTGGCAAAGCGAAAATTGTGGAGATCGTCCACACGAGGAAGAAAAGCACCCGGAATCTCGTGCAACTCCAGATCTGAATCTCGCAAGTCTCGAAAGAAAGTCTCGAAAGAAGGTCTCGTCTCAATTCACTCACATGTTGATGCCTGATTGGATAGTAGAAAGCGGTAAAACGATTGATCGCCGACGGGATGTAGATCAGATAGATGTTGTTTTTGAGGATCACCTGAAAGCGGAGCTAATTTGCTGGACGGATTGATGGAAAACCTGCGTAGCGTAGAGAACCCGGGGAAACCATGGAGGCAATGCGGTGATCGGGAAAAACCACTCAAAAGCGATTGGGCGGAGGACGAGTTCGGTGTGGAGAAAGAGGGACACATTCATCACACCCTAGAGTTGTCTTTACGCTATAAATCCATGGACTCTCCAAAACCCACATTCAGCCGCAACTGTTCCCGCACGGTGATTGGAATGCCGAACTTCTTCACCGTCATGAACAAAATGTAGAACAAGTAGAGGAGGCAAATCGGCCAACAGATCGCCAAAAGAATGAACTCCCACCAAACCAATGTGGTCATTGTAGAGAAATTTGGGGAAAATTGAGATCAGCTTTTGGCAAGTGATGGTATGAAACTAAAAGTGGCCAAGTCCACGGGGTCGTTGTTGTTGAACAAGTGGCCAGGGTTCGGAATGGGAATGATTTTTGAGATTGGACAGAGAACAGCCAGAGTTTGGAACCCAGGTCCAAAAGGATCAAAATGCTAAAGACCTCTCAAAATCTAGGTACACATAAAAAATTCTCAGACTCTTTGTATAGTGATAATGGGAATGTGAGTGCGTGAAACTTTCTTACAAAAAAAACGGCCTCAAATGTAATTATTCGGAGTGAGAGGGAAAAGCCTGAAAAAGTGCTAATTTCAGGGGTGATGGGGTTCACGCGAAAGATTTCACAACGTCGGATTGGCAAAAAGACATTCAGCAAAGCCACTCCGAATCGTTGATTAGCGTAATTGTGTTCATTTTTGAATGTTTAGCTGGTTGCCAAGTTTCCCCATGGAGGAAATTCTAGAAAGGTTTCCTCATTCAGAAATCTTTTTCTGGCTTAACAATTATAGTTTCTGCCCGCTTCATCGAGAGTTTAGGATACAGTTGTCGAAGGGCGGGAAAGTCCAGTCAGTGACGTCCGCAAGCACTTTCCAGTAAAAGCGAAAGCAATGCACATAACCCCGGCCTCCACCTCGTGCAGTCCTCATTAATTTACATTGATTTTTTAATGCGTTTTGTAAAAGAAAATACAAATTTTATTATAAACACCAGCCAATTATAATTCACAGGGATCCTCCTTAATCGACTTCCTCCATTCGGCTCTTCTCCTCGTCAGCACCCTCGACCTTTGGAACCTAAAACCAAAAATAGGCAATAATTTTACAAAGACAAGCTACCTCAGAAGTGGAAGGAGTTTCAGCAGTGGTTGCGTCCTCATCATCATCCCCGATGTCGAGACCAAGCTTGATCATGCGATAGATGCGAGTGGCATGGAGACCGGGCTCCTCAAGAGTGAAGCCAGAAGAAAGCAGCGCGGTTTCGTAGAGAAGGACAATTAGATCCTTCGAAGTCTTCATGCTTGTGTTGCTCTTGTCAGCCTCGACCCGATCACAAAGATTCCTTAAGTGGAGAAAACTTTTATCGTGGAAATTGCAACTTACACAATGATTGGATGTTCGGGATTGATCTCGAGGTGCTTCTTGCCTGCCATGTAACCCATCGTTGCTGAATCACGAAGAGCCTGAGCTTTCATGATCCTGAAATATAATTTATTTAAGAGAACTAATAAAACACACATACCGCTCCATATTGGCAGACCATCCGTACTCCGAGGTGACCACGCAGCAAGGTGAATTGATGAGACGGTTCGAGATGGAGACTTTCTCGACTTTCTTTTCGAGCACGTCCTTGATGTACTTGCAAAGTCCTTCGAACTTCACCTAAACAGAGACTTTAACTTGCTCAAAGTAGAATACACAAACAAACTATACTAATGCATAAATATCCCCACCTTGTTCTCCTCAAACTTCTTTTTGTCTTCGTCCGACTCGGGCAGCTCAAGGCCTTCCTTGGTCACGGAGACAAGCTTCTTTCCATCGTACTCCTTGAGTTGTTGGACGCAATATTCGTCGATGGGATCAGTCATGTAGAGGATTTCGAAGCCACGGGAACGGACACGCTCCACAAAAGCTGAGTTGGCAACGCTTTCCTTCGACTCGCCAGTGATGTAGAAAATCTGAGTCTGGTTTTCCTAAAAGTAAACATAATTAGATTTCAAAAATAGTCTTTTAACCTTCATCCTTGAGACATAGTCTTTGAGCGAAGTGGTTTCTTCCGATGAGGATGTTGCATAACGAAGATATTCAGACAGCTTCTTGCGATTGGTGGAGTCTTCATGGATTCCGAGCTTGATGTTCTTGCCAAAATGCTCGTAGAACTTCTTGAAATTGTCTTTGTCTTCGGCAATCTCATCGAAGAGCTCGACACATTTCTTGACAAGGTTCTTCCGGATGACCTTCAGAATCTTCGACTGTTGCAACATCTCACGTGAAATGTTAAGAGGCAGGTCTTCGGAATCGACGACTCCTAAAGAAACTTCATTATTGCAGTTCCACTAAATGCAATTTCGAAAGCTAAAATCAACGTACCTTTCACAAAGTTAAGGTACTCAGGCATCAGCTCCTCACAGTTTTCCATGATGAAGACACGGCGCACGTAAAGCTTGATCGAGTTCTTCGATTTCTTGTTCTCGAAGAGATCAAATGGAGCACGTTGAGGCACGAAGAGAAGAGCGCGGAACTCAAGTTGACCCTCAACACTAAATTCATTTGTTCATAGATAAAAGCAGTAAAGGAAAACCTGAAGTGTTTGACGGCTAAATGATCCTCCCAATCATTGCTCAAGCTCTTGTAGAATTCCCCGTACTCCTCGTTTGAGATGTCATCGGGGTTGCGAGTCCAGATAGGTTTCGTCTTGTTGAGCTCCTCGTCTTCGAAGTACTTTTCCTTGATCTTCTTCTTTTTCTTGTCCTTCTTGTCCGCATCCTCATCTTCGCCGACATCCTCGACCTTTCCTTCCTAAATCGATGAATTTAACCAAGATACAAAGCTTAACCAACCTCAGATGCCTCTTCGGGCTTTTCCTCCGCTTCTTCGTCCTCCACTTCTTTCTCACGTTCTTTCTCCACGAGCAACTTGATTGGATAGCCGATGAACTGCGAGTGCTTCTTGATGATTTCTTTGATGCGGCGCTCCTCGAGATACTCGGCCTGGTCCTCCTAAAATAAAGGAATTTTCTCAACGATACATGCATAAATAAATACCTTGATGTAGAGAACAATCTTGGTACCACGAGGCACTTCTGGGTCGTTGACGGCAGTGACGAGGAAGCTACCTCCGGCCGATGACTCCCACATGTGGCAATCGTCGTCGTTGTTCTTCGAGGTCACAACTACCTTATCCGCAACCAGGAAAGCAGAGTAGAATCCGACTCCGAACTGGCCAATCATCGAAATGTCAGCTCCAGCCTAAATTAACAAAGTTAAAGCAACCCAAAACCAATACTATGCTTTAAAATCAACCTGAAGAGCCTCCATGAAAGATTTGGTTCCAGACTTGGCGATGGTTCCGAGGTTGTTCACAAGATCAGCCTTTGTCATTCCGATTCCAGTGTCGATGATGGTGAGCGTCTTGTCGGCCTTGTTGGGGACGATCTTGATGAAGAGCTCCTTGCCCGAATCGAGCTCCGATGGCTCCGTTAGAGCTTGGTAACGGATTTTGTCGAGAGCATCCGAAGAGTTGGACACAAGTTCACGAAGGAAGATCTCCTTGTTACTAAAAAAGAAAATAGCGGACGAAAAAGGAAGCTAAACCAAACCTGTAGAAAGTGTTGATGATCAAAGACATCAACTGAGCGATCTCGGCTTGAAAAGCGAAAGTTTCGCCATCACCAGAATTACCAGCAGCAGATGCAGACATCTAAGAAAGTAAATATACATAAGTGATGAAGCTATGAACGTGGACTGTTCAACGAGAAAAAAAACGCAAACGCAATCAGGTCGGGGAAAAGTTGCAAATGAAAACTGGTTCAACTTCGTCGCTGCTTGGTGCTTTTACGTACGACATCTAACGACAATCTCGCCAAAACTGGGTCATAAACTTTTGCTGAGTTAGCTGAATATTTTATTGCTGTCGAATTCAAGTATATAATGACCAAAATCTTTGAACGGATTTGGGGGGTGGCTACATTGCGCCAAATTTTTTCCACAACTCGCCATAACTTTCAGCTAACAAGTGGACCAATCTTTTGACAATCGTGGTTATGGCAAGTTGCGCAAATGACCCAGTTGCGCAAAAAAATTGGCGCAAAGTACAGTCGTCAAAAAAGTCTGGGCCGGCCAATGTTTTCTGATTTTTCTCCCGTTAGCTCGCATTCAAATAAATCGATCCCAATTAGTTTGTAGTATTTTGTGCCTTTAGGATGATATCCTTAGATTTTTGATTTCGCTCTAAATAGAATTTTTCAAGCTGCTCTTGCATAAGAGGGTAAGGTCCTTTTTCTCAGATTTTGTTCAAAGCTTCAAAACTGCCAGTAGCCTTTCATTTTCACGAAAAAAAAAATGAATAAATAAGTAATAGACGATCCAATGCCATTATAATTGGAACCACTTTTGATGGGATCCATTCATTCTTGAAATACGGATTTTTAAAAATCATGCTCAAATAAGCTTTTTCGATCATAGAACTTAGTTTAGTTCAAAGGATAGCGAAAAGCTAAATGGTTCATTTTAACAACCTTTGAAAATGCTACATAAAACTATTTGTGGTCAATATATTTGGATGTGATCTATGGACCAAGTGAACACTGACCTTGCAAGATTTTTTTGACGACTGTAGCCACCGCGAGGGGATTTAGCTTTCGGCCTTTGCGCCATCTTCTTTTTGTTAGAGCTACACAAATTCCTAATGTCTTTGTCACTTACCTAATTAGCTACTTCGGTGCAGTACCCGTCTAATATGCAGGTCCAGTCTGATGAGCCTGTTTTTATTCAATTGTTAAATTTCTGATCTTAAGTGTCCATATTACGTTTGAATTTGATATTTGCTAAAGCCCTTTATTACCCATTAACATTTACCGTAAACCCGTCGATGCACAATGAAAAGACTCATCAGAAAAACAACAAAATGATATAACGACAAATGAATTGAAAGTCCACAAAAGCGTACAGAAAAAGGAGATCTTTGTGAAATGATCGGTGCTGGAATTGGAGGCAAGAGTCGACATGAAATGAGATAAATAGCCGCTTCAACTGAAAATAGGAACATTTTATTACAATTGGAAAATAAATCGTCACCTGTGAATAGATAAAATGCGACTCCGACTTGGTTTTGCGTGATTGTACCATTATAAAGTAGGGAACATCCTTGAAAAATTTTGAAGCCTAAACGTTGAAAATTTATCGTTGGAATTAGTCTAAGAACTCCAATCAACTTCGAGGCACAAAGAAGTTTAAAATAACAAAAAATTCTACCGACGGCCATTATAATTAGATTCGAAATTGTCCATTTTGCCCACATCCAATCATACACATACATCTCTTCGGTGTTCACAGGATTAGACTAAAATTATCGTTTTTAAAGCTCGAAATTCCAATTTACTTGATTAGTTGCTATTTTGATGCCTAGATCGTGAAAGCGGGTGGCATTTGGCAAAAAAGTTGACGAATTGGCCTCGACACATCGACGTGGTTGAGAGTGAGAGATTCTAAAAATAATAATGAAATCCAATAGATAAACAAAATATTCATTCCCTTTGATAATGGCAAAAGCTCACCTAAAGCAATAATCGCGCTCCACTTTCAATTGAGAATGCTGAAGAAAGAGTAGCGGCACGTCGACGAAAAATTTCAATGTGACAAAGCAGAGAACAGCGACTGGCAACTGGAGAAGGGAAAACCGCATTGCTTAATAAGAAATTAAAAGAATGAGAGATTTTCAATGATATTTAGAAATTCTAACTTTAATATGCAAATTGGAAAGTGTAATTCAAATCTCACCTAAAGCTTCTTTTCTTGTGCTTGCACCCGCCATGTGTGAAATTTCGTTCCCTCATAAAAATGAGAAGCCTCAGGGAATATCGGAAAAGATTCGATCAAGTTGCCTAAAAATGGATTGGTATTGTAGTTTTGTAAATAGGCAACCATTTCGCATTCTCCCGCAAGTGAAACGAATGACTTCTTTAAAAGCGTCAACAATGTAGGGTGAACGAGCCACCGTTCCATGAGAATACGGATCGATGATCATCAAACGTTGCTCGTCACCGATACTTTTCCTGAACAAATTTTTATTTGTTCAAATAAAGAATGGCTTACCTTGACATTCGTCTTGCTTGCCCTTGCTCTATATGAATGGCCTCCTTCGTAAAGTTGAAACGAGAGTAGTAGTCAAAGTATCTGATCAACAATTCAGAAACGTGCATTTTGTTATTCGACTGATAATCTAGAATCGGCTTTAGTTTTTCCTATCTTAAATGTAAAATTACCGAAAGTCAAGTTCGAGATTGGGATTGCGAGTTGTCTGATAATTTGCTCAATCGGTAGATCACGGCCGACCAATGATGGGTGTGTTTGACACAAAACAGGAAGAACTTGCCACGGTGTAAGTGACTAAATTATTAAATAGATTACGTATTTGATTACCACTAATGCACAAAAGAAACCTGTTCACTTTGCAAAAAGTGCACAATCGTCATCACTATGTGATAGTTGCTAAGAAGACCCGCCTTACTATTTTTAACCTAAAGGCATAGAAATTTTTAGAAAATCCAGCCAACTACAAACCCCGCACTCCTCAAATAAGCGTCGAATGTAAAGCAGCATTTTGCCGAATCGTTTATCCGCCTAAAGCACATGAGTGAAATAACAATCTTCAAAACTCACCTTTAAGTAATATCGAACGAGATTCGAATTACGAATGGCCTGAAAATCGTTATCGGGAATCGAAATGTCAATTGATGATCCATCGGTGAATCTAAAAATATACAAGTGGCTCAATAAAAAAAATGCTTGATCAAATAAAGTGCTTAATTTGTTCTGACATATATTTTCATAAGGACTTACTCAATAACTAGCAGTGGTATCTTCAAGAAAGTTAACGGGATAACTCTCGACACTTCTTTATTGAGGATTTCGGGAGAATTTCGTCCAATGAGGGCCGACAAAGATTCAAATAAAGCCCTACAATAAAAAAAAACAATGTAAATCGCTTTGAAAACTTACCCTCGAAGATCTTGATTTGAGTGAATGATTTGCATAAAAGCGTCTCGTTCCTTCTTACTAAAAATCTTCTTATATCTGAATTACTTTTAAAATAAACTTCTTTACAAACAGCACTGAATCATAATCGGATTGCTGATATCCTAGCCCATAAACGAGAGATCCAATTGGAACGAGTATGACTTTCTCCGTATTGAGGCATCGCTGGGAAAGTGATTCGAATTTCTGCAAGGTGGCAGGTCCTATTTTCTAAAAAGCTTCTAATAAAAATTTTTCCATATTCTCCTAAGCTTGGCATAGCGAACAGTAAAAGTTCCCAAAAAATTTGAAAAAACTCAACCTTGTTTAGTTGTTCTTTTTCCTCAAAGGCAGCATCGATTTTGGCATCCAGGGTCGAGAGTAGTTCTCGATGTCGATGTTGAACGATATCCACAAAAGTACTGCTTCGGCTAACTCCAGCCGCAGCTACAATTAACTTGGTACCAATCTTTTAACACTACCACTCACTACTAAAACTAAAACCGTACTTACCACTTAATCTTCTCGCTGTGTCACAACATATCCAAATTTTGTGCGTTAATCGGCCAAACATCAACGGATTTTAAAACTAAATCATACCTGTGTTCAACTGTCAAACTGCTTGCTCGTATTTAAAATTACGAAAAAGTCATTGCAAATATGATACCAAGAATAATGATGCAATTACAGATTTACTAACATAAAAAGTTTATTCAAAATGTACAAGTTCAAACACAATACCCGAGAAAGCACAAAATTGAATACTACGTTAGTTTCCCAGCCTCAATCCGTTCTCGTTGTGTTGCAAAGAAATTTGAAAGCAGAGATGCTCCAGATTGAACTCGACACGTCGAAGTTTCCGGAAAATAGGCGTCCCGCAGCTCAACTTGATCGGAGATTGTATCTCTATAAATAAAACTAATTTTTAAGCACTACTTGTAAGGTTTATTCATGTATTTAGTCTTTTAAAAAATTACTTTTAACTTACTTTTTAACTACACTTCCATTGCTGATATCGAGTGCATCCTCGTGAAAGTTGATCCCACTGAAGTAGTCGATTAGTCTCACGTAAAGAGCGCCAAGCGAATCCATTGATTTCTCAAAACTTTCAGCTCCTTGATACTAAAACGAGCTCATTAAAGTCAGTAATTAATTTTAACGCTCTATTTCTAAAGCAAAATTTTACCAAGCGATTAGTTGCGACATCATAAGCTATCGTTTTCCAGTTGATGCCCGGTTGAAGATCCGGGAATGTCGATAATAATGGTGGATAGACAGCACAATCGAAAAATGGCACCTAAAAGTTTTCAGTTATTTGCAAAATTCTCCGATTTACTTGTAAAAAGTGAATTAACAAAGAAGTGACGTGAAAACTCGAGAATCTTCCTTCTTGAGATGCTAGCAATCCGTTCTCAGTCAGCGTTTTGAAGAGATGGATTCGAAGCATGAATAAACGATGGTCTAACTAAAAGGTTATTGATTTTATATTAGTGATTGTTAAAAAAAACTTACATTATTTGCTACTCGAATAAAGTTCGTTGATTTAAGAATTCTGGCATCATGAAATTGCACATCCAAGTGATCACCCGTTTTTAGCACCATTCGGACAATGGGCACCCGAGCCCAAGGTATGAATTCCTAAAAAATTAAAGCCATTATCCGATTTGTAACTGACTAGTTAGTTAGACTTAGACCTTAGGAAGCCTAGTTTTTTGAGCCTCAAAGCAGATTGTCAATGAAATACTAAATACTTACTGTAAAAGATCCACGGACAAGGTTGGAATTAAGCAATTTTCGATGACACCGGGCAAGCTGTTTTCTAAATAAAATAACAAGTTCAAAAAAGAAGGATTTTGCAAACCTCTTGAAATTTAAATCCTTCTCATAGCGATCAAAAAAGCGTTTCTCGTCAAAAGGAATTACGACAGCGTCTAGATCCGAATTCGATGTCATCAAACCTAAAAACGAGTTCTTTGTTTTTCAAGCGCAAATTTTACCAGACGCAATGCTTCCACATGGTACGGCCTTCAATTCTTGGTGCGTCAATGCGGCACAAACTTGTGACATCAGTGATCGACGCTGAAACTTAATAATGAGAAGCAAATAAAAAAATAGGTAAGAACAACGTTTTAAGAATAAAATTAGTACCTTTCAGTGAATTCCTTAACAAAAACTATTTTCCAAAGATTTAAGCAAAAAAAAACAAAAAATCCTCACTTTTTGCAACAGCTGTAGATCCACACGGTACTCCTTTTTGTAAAAACGTTTCTCGAAGTCATGTAGTTGTCGAGGGAATTCGGTACGAAGAAATGGCAACAATTCGCCGCATTTGCTTCGGAAAGGGTGGGTTGTTGTGGAAATGATTTTGTCAGCAATCTAAAAACATGAATACATTAAAAAACATTCGGCAAAAATAGCTCATCCAATATTTTAAGGTATTGGCTAAATTTTATTAGGTAGATTAACGAAAATAGGTAGGTTATTTTACAGCAAAGTTGTGCAAACTCTCAAAGCTAGATTGCTTATCCAAAAAAAAACATTTACCTGAATACTTGCCGGCTGTTTCAAAGGCATAAATGGTTGATTGCGGGTCGAGTGGGGCGGCGCTCTGTGTAACGACTCGTACTTGTTCGAAAAAGATCAAACTTTAACGGATTTCAACACAAAAAAACGGGGAATGGACAAGCATTTTGCACAAATTCCTATCTTTTGCTTAATTCCAAGATATTTTTAAAAATATCTAGCCAAATATGAGGTGAATTTCATTAAAATTTGTGCAAAATGCCTATCTACAGCAAAAACTTACAAAGGAAATCGAAACTTGAAAACAACAATGCGAAATTTTAATTAAATTTTCATTTAGCTAAGCTTTTAGCATTTTGATTGTTTAGCATTTCGATTGTTTATTTTTGAATTTTTGTTTTATTTTTATTTTCTCTTTATTTTATTAAAGTGTACTGTGCTTTTTCAGGTAAAAACAAAAATTTTTCTTCAAAAAAAGTAAAGCTCTAGGCCTGGTACTAGGTGATAAAATCAGTGATGGAAAGAATAAAATTGAAAAATCTAATAAAATATAATGGTTTAAAGGATGAACTGGGGAGTGGGACAAATGCGACCTTTTTTTGCGCACCCGGACATTGGCGCACCTTTTTTGCCGCACCTTGCCCATTAGCGCACCTTTTTTCGCGTTTTAAAAAAGCTCTAAAAAGCTAATATTAACCAATTTCTATTCCAAAAGTTGTTTTTTAGGGCGTAGAATCGAAATTTTGACATAACAGAGTGTGTGGAACCAATTTGAAAGACAAAACGGCTAGATCAAATTGCAGAAAATTGTCGATGTTTCTCTTTGTATAACTTCGTCCGTTTTTTTCCACAAGCTCTGATATGTCAAAATTTCGATTCTACGCCCTCAAATTACCTAGAAAAACAACTTTTGGAATAGAAATTGGTTAATATTAGCTTTTTAAAGCTTTTTAAAACGCGAAAAAGGTGCGCTAATGGGCAAGGTGCGCAAAAAAAGGTGCGCAAATGTCCGGGTGCGCAAAAAAAAGGTAGCATTTGTCCCACTCCCATGAACTGTGTGAACTCAACAAGAACAACAAGCTCGAAACTGTCAAAACGAGAGTCTAAACGATGAAAATCAAGAGATAAATTAGAACAAAGTTCAAAAAAAGTTCGTTTTTGATTTTTACGATCCAAACTGATTGGTACCGTCCTCGATTTTCTTGAACTCGTAGCCACCATTTCCGTCCATATGCAAGTAGTACTCGTGGTGGACCTGAAATCGTTTTTGTTTCTCCATTTTGAAAGTTTTCCCCGCTTACCCATAACGATTTTCGGTGAGAAACGGTGAACAGGGTGATGTTCTTCTCGCGACACAATTTATACATGGCACCTGAATTTTCGTGTTCACTGATTTGGGATTTAATCGAGAATTTGCTTTGAAAAGTCTTTATTGCCAAGGCTAGACCGAAAAGCCAAAAACTAAGGCTAGTCAAGCCAAAATAAAGCCAACGGACTTGAGTTGGCTGGCTTGGCCTTAGTCTGGATGAATCTCACTAGGGTAAGGCACGAACTGGCAGTGAGCTTTCGTTTCAGGATCTAATGCATCTTACTAAATCGACTACGGTGATTTTGAATCCGAAATCAGAATCTGCTAAAGCACGCAGAAAAATTGATTTGAAATTTCAACGGCTTTTTTGCTGCAGCCTTGGCTTAGTGGATAGTGGGCTTGATTACGGAACGTAGATTTTTTTTTACTCTTGGGTTCGAACCCTGCTGGTGCTAAATCTTCTGTTTTTTTGAAGTTTTAAGATTTCTATAAAAGAGTATCAATTCGATTCTGATTTCGAATTGAAACAAGTTCTGCTAGTTTTATTCTGGCACTGGATTGGTTGAATTTTCGGAAACTTGAATCCAAATCCAAAAACCCAAAAATCTTCTTACCTTCAACATCAACAGAGACAGCCGATGTGCACTCATCGAGGATCGCGAACTGCGGTCGATGATAGAAAAGACGAGCCATCTGGAAATGATTGTGAATGTCACTATGATATTATAGAGTGTAAAAAACAGGAGTATTTCACCGTTTAGACGGACGTTAAACTTTAGTTCACTATTGCTGTAAATGATCTACCGCAATTCTCTGTTTCTCTCCTCCCGACAGCACATCCATCCAATCCTGCACAGTTTCCCATCCTCCTTCTCTACTCAAAATGTGTCCCAATTGCACGTGTTCAAGCATCATCTCCAAATCCTCATCAGTCACTCCCTAAATGAAGTGATCTTATTGTAAATACTGTAATAGTACCCCACCCCCCTCGTACAGTCGCGTAGTCGCAAAAGTTTTTTAGTATTTCATTTTTTTCAAAGCACCCGTACTTTCAAAAAATGCGTCTTTGGTATCAAAAAATAGCTGAAATTCAGGGCTATTTTTTGATACCAAAGATAATGACGATGCGGAGCGTTGCGTAGTCTAGCTTTGGACGCGTTTTTCTCGACACTGGTTTAAGCTACAATGCGTGCTTAGGTATCAAAAAATAGCTGGAATTCAGGGCTATTTTTTGATACCTAAGCGCGCATTGTAGCTTAAACCAGTGTCGAGAAAAACGCGTCCAAAGCTAGACTACGCAACGCTCCGCACCGTCATTAGTGGGGTACTATTACAGTATTTACGGTAAGTGTATTCATTGCTCCGAATCTCTCCAAACACTATTTGCTTATTTATCAATTTAGTCAAATAGAAACCATTACGATGAATTATTCTATTAATTATTTTTCTACCGTAATCGATTCCTATCTTGTAAAAAGCCTTTATCAACAACAAACCTTTCTAATCATATCAAACGGTTTATCCGGATAGATCACTTGATCTCTCAGCGTACCCAAAGTCATATACGGTCTCTAAATTATCAAAAAAAAACTCTCATTGCCTTTATTTTCTTTATTTTCACAAACCTGTGGCACATAAAAAAGATTTCCCTTTGCCGGTTTCGTCAATTTCCCTCCAAACAATGGCCACAATTCGCCCAAAACACGGAATAGAGAGCTCTTTCCACAGCCATTCGGCCCACAAACGAGCACATTTCTTCCAGAAGGCACCTGAGTAAAGTTTTTTGTTTAAAAATTGTAAATCTATGTAAATCTATTTTGTGGTAATCTATTATTTTAAATTTTTAGAGTTAACCTCAAGGTCAAGCGATCTAACGAGCACATCTCCATTCGGGGTCACCAAGGGGACTCCTTGAAAACGGATCACATTGTCCCGGATGATCAATTCACCTAAGAATTGAAAAGTTTTACAAAAGTACAAAAGTAAGTAAGATAGTACTGTACAAGTTATCTAGTACGTTCGTTTGTGTTTAACGTTTTAACTTTTACCAGATCCAGGCACAAGTGGAGTATCGAGAGTGGGTAGGTGTGGAGATGAGAGTTTTGACTCGGAGATCATCGTTCTTTTGTAGGAACCTAAAGGGTAAAAGATGCTGAAAAGCTCAACAAACACATCCTATCGTACTCTAATAGAACGCCAAAATAAAAGGCGTACAGTCGCGTAGTCTAGGGAGTAGCGTTCGGGTATTTACAGTATCACTATTGTTTTGTAAAGATTACAAACCTCTACTTTACTTGATTCTTGATTGATTAGGCTTTAAGGTAAGGCCAAGCCTGGCAAGACAAGGTCAGAGTTCGGCTTTTAGCAGAAGTCAGCAAAGTCAACCAGCAAAGCAGACCAAGATCTGGTTTCCAGTCTGGCCTTATCTGCTGCTGCTGCTTGCTGCTTTTAAAGCAATCTCGTTCTTGACTCTATCCAAACAAACCCTTCTCCAAATCATCCAACACATTGATAAGTCCATCAACTCGAGAAGTGAACCCAGCCAATCGTGTCATTTCTCTTCCCGCTAACGCCAATCTTCCTAGCGCTTCCGCCAAACGGAACATCATTCGCCCCGAGTTGTAATAGTCCTAAATATTGAGTAACCAAAACTTGAAGTTTCTTTTTCTTGAATTAAACCATACCTGAATGAGCTCATTTTTGCTTTTCCCCATCATTCTCTGATCGTTTTTGTTAAAGAAAGCCCGGGAAACGGCGAACCTAAAGATAATAAATGAATAACCTTAAAACCGACAAACCATCCAACAACAGTAGCAAAATATTTCGCAACAATGTTATCAATGAATCCAATGTTGAATCTAAATTTAAAAAATAAACTTATTCATCTCCTTTTTTTTCACCGGAAAAGGATCACTTTTCTTAGATGAGTGACAAGGTTGTCAAAAGATGAAAGAATCGTTGTTTTTTCGCGCTCTTGTCCCTGGAAATACAGTAATCAGAAGATACAGTAAATCAGAAAGAGATTCTATTTGTTGTTTTTTTTTTGATAATTTCTATTAAAGATTCCTTACCTGATAGAAAGCGATCTCTTCACTATTCATGATGAGACGCGAGTTTACAAAACGGAATTCTCCCTCGAGCGATTGCTCCTCAACGGTGAGACGGCCAATCTAAAAAGTTGAAAGTATGACTACCGTAAAACTCTAATAGAAGCTCTCTATAGAAGCGTCGCGTAGTCTTACATTCAAAGAGCCCCTCTAAGCAAAGAAGCGTCTGCACTCTAAGCATGTAAGCCAGGTTAAAGTCCGCTCAGGTCTCGGTCTGGACCAGGGTCTTCTAAGTGCCAGATCTAGCCAGGATCTGGCTTCTGCTGGATTCTGGCTGACCCAATATTTCGCCCTGGAGGATCTGGAGACCAAGCAAGATCAGTTGAGACCAATTAGGACCAGGTCCAAACCTGAGCTGGCTTTAATCTTCCCCTCAAAAACTCACCGGTTTCCTGAGATTCGTGAGGAAAATGCCCGAGGCAAGAAGATAGAATCCGAGCATTCCGGGTGCTTGCCATCCCAGCGCTCCGCCCAATCTCGCCACATACAAAGCAACATCGACAAGTGGCTGAAAAGTATTTCTTTTTTTGCTTGCTAGAACTCGATAGATCTAAGAAAGCTTTCGAAACTTAAACAAACCTTCGAAACATTACTGTAGAGTTCGACTAATCCCTCGCAGAACTTCTCGAGATCCTGAAATGAGTGAATTCGGAGATTTTTTGAGGAGAAATACTTGAGTCAATAATTGATCAGCGTTCGCGATTCGGTTATCCAAATTTGACATTTTATAGAAAGTGAAGCCTCTGAAAATCTTTTATGATATCTTTTTTACGATATTTTTATGTTTTTATGATTTTATGATATTCAATCTTTCCTACAGTAATCTTTTAAATACCGTAGAGCTAAAAATTGACTGTCTTTTAATCAATTGGCTGTCTTTTTATCTTTTCGAATCAACAAACTTGAGATATTTTTGATATAAATGATTCGTCAATCGTTGTCGAAAACGGAGCTTCAATTCTGAAAGGGAAAATTTCAGTAAAGCGTTCACAACGGAAATCGCAGGCATTGCGAAGAAATAGTGAAGGACACCACGAGCGAACTCGGGCACATCTCGTTCGATGATCGAGCTGAAAAAAAAAGGGGATCCAATGTGAAGAATTCCCGGTGCCAGTCAGTTGTATTTCATTGTTTTCATTCGAACGTACGCTTCGATCTTCGTCGAGGTTGTGATCATCCACACATCGGCGTACGTTCGGCACAATAAAGTGATGGCAATTAAAACAAGGTAGAACGTCTGAAAAGTGTCACTTTCTCTTTTATTTTTATTTTTCAATATGAAATGTCCAATTTCAATTCAATTTCAATTCAATTTCAATTCAATTTCAATTCAATTTCAATTCAATTTCAATTCAATTTCAATTCAATTTCAAATCCAATTTCAAATCCAATTTCAAATCCAATTTCAAGAGCTCAAAAATAGACATTTTTTTTATTGAGCTTTCATTCGATTTTCAATGTTATTAAGCTTTTTTTTGACTCTATTACCGTAAATACTGTAATAGTACCCCACCCCCCTCGTACAGTCGGGTAGTCACAAAAGTTTTTTAGTATTTCATTTTTTGCAAAGCACCCGTACTTTCAAAAAATGCGTCTTTGGTATCAAAAAATAGCCCTGAATTTCAGCTATTTTTTGATACCTAACCGAGCATTGTAGCATAAACCAGTGTCGAGAAAAACGCGTCTAAAGCTAGACTACGCAACGCTCCGCACCGTCATTATCGGAGTGGGGTACTATTACAGTATTTACGGTATTTACTATTATTTAAATTCTACTATTCCTACGATTCCTACTATTATTTAAATCCTTTAAAAGTCTAAAAGTTGAACATTTTCCTATCCGAGAGTTGATAAATTCAAAAAAAAGTGACAAAAAATGAAAATTATCGTCTAAAGGAGGCTTTTCTATTGAAGAGGAATAACAAACGATATTTCTTGCAGTTTTGATACATTCTTATTGATTGATAGTTCATCCAAACCTCAGCACAGAAAAATCTCGGCAATAAAATCTTGAGTATTGAGCGAAGTCGACGAATGAACTCTCCATTCACATGTGCTTTGTCGCCATTGCCCGTTTTTCCGCTCTTCGTCACCACAGCTCGTTTTTTATTTCTAAAAAAAGTGGTTTATTCTGGCTTTTCATTGATACAGAGGCCTTATAAACGGATTTTTTTCGTGATGGCGAAAAAAAAATTTCACGAATAGGGGAGTCATAAAAATCAAAAAATTCTTACAAAAAGTCTAAAAATTGAGACACAAAAAAAAACAATTTTAACACCAGGAATGCCATCACTTAAACTTTTGCCATGCCCTCTTAAACTTTTTCAAAAAATCCGTTTGTAAAGGCCTCTTTCTTTTGGGACATCCTGTAGAATGTTTGTCTTTTCACGGAAGAGTAAGCACACTGCAAAGTGCACATTGTGGTCAAATTTTGTCATTATGATAGACTCTAACCGTCTATCATAATGACAAAATATTGTTCTGTGTGAACGCTTGTATCGATCCTCGAAATTCTTCATAAACCAAATCAAATCTGCATTTGTTTTTTCCCCACTGACACTCACCTAGAGGCCGATTTTCCATAGAATCTCCAAATCGAGGCGATCACGGCTAAACCGGCAAAACAGGGCACCGTTTGTCGGAAGGGTACACGAGTCGCCTCGTAACCCAATTTTGAGAGAACCGTCATCTATTAGGCACATATTAAACGGTCTAACATTAAAGCTTAATGAACTAAAGTCAAGAAAAATGCAAAACGTAAAAAAAATCCCAATTTTACTTGAGAAGAACACTAGGGAAATTGCCTCGAAAGTGAGATGTCAGAAAAATAAAATTTTTCAAGACAAATAAAAAGTATTTAAATTAAACCCAAAACTGAATATGTTCAAGAAAATGGTTTAAAAATTAATTCTGTTCATTTGAGAGAGAAAAAGAAGCTTTGAAGGGAGTGGGTACGAAAGCACAAAAATATGAGAATCAATGCTTATAGATTTCTCGTTTTTGCCATCCTTTCTCATTCCCATCTTTGGTGGGTGACAATTGGAAGAGAGAAAAGGAGTAAATGGAAAGAAAAGAGATAGGGATTGATCAAAATATAAGAAAGAACGGGACTGATAACATCAGACTACAAAATGATATCGCTCATTTGGAACCCCTGCACTCCAAGCAAAAAGTATGCATGGCATTTGATTTTTAGAGAGTCGTTTCTTTGATTTGTGTTCATAGAGTTTATTAAAAAATCAAAAATGACAACAAAAAAAACTTTTTTAAAAAGCTAAAAACCGCTTAAAAACAATCCCAAAATCGGACCTAACACATCTGACAATCAGTTTGCCTCTAGACTAAAGCGTTTCCTAAAAAGTGCATTTAGGCAAAGCTACCGTAATCCTGTCTTTATAGAAAGCTACTAAATTATCCTGGTTATCTTGGACTCTCAAACAAGAGGCAAGCTTTTAAACTAAATCTTACAAATAGCAGCCGGAGTACGGTAGCTTTTTCAGGCTGGATCTGATCGGTGACTTTTTAAAGCTGCCATAGTTCTCGAAACGCTTTAGTCGAAAGGAACACAGTCCATATCTAACTAAACCTAGATACCTATTTGCCTACTTGATAAGATTTTTCTGTTTATCGACAAGTGTCTGAAGTCGTTTCGATTCAGCCCTCAATCCCTCGAGTTTCATCATTTCGCTTTTCGCTCGACGCGCACTTCGCTCCTTTTTGTCGGATTTTGCCTGAAACAAGCGTCTATTATGTAACTTAGCTTTCATTTTGATCCACTCTACCAAAATAAAATTTACATTATAATTTAAATTTGCTGTTACAGCACACGCTTAATGTAACAGAAAGAGTTTTCCCATCAATACATTGATCCGGACTACAGTAGCTCATTAATACCAGCGCTTCTAAACATTTATAATGGGGTTACTGTGGCACTAAAAGTTACATTCTATTTGTTCAACAAAACTAACTTTTGGATCATTTGCATCCCTTTCGGCCATTTGATTCGCTCCTTTCACCACTTCAGTTTGCTTCTCGATTCGTTGATTTATGTGCTCGTTTTGCTTTTCAAGAAGTCGATTGAATTCCTCGCGATGTTCGTCCTATAAATTTGAAATTTTTAACGCTTAAACGCGCAAACTACCTGGATCTTAATATTGAGCTGTACATCGTATCCATGCACTGGATAAATGACGTATTCTTTCGACGATGAAGGTTGTTCCTAGATTTCATTTTTACGCACGCGCAAAAATCATTTACAAACTTGTAACAATCGCAAACCGCACAACGAATTTAACTCATTAAACAATGGATGGATTGGTGAACTTTCGTTTGAGCGAAGGAACCCTAAAGTTAAAATTGTTCTATGAAATCAGTAAAATAGCTACCATCAAAGGAAATTGTTTTCGGAAGATTAAGTTGAGCTCTCAGTGACCGTATCGTTGACACAATTGACAGAGTGAATCTCATTTGAGTATCCAGAGCAGGATTGACACGATTTGGTTCTTGCTAAAAACAAAGATTTTACTTTGGTAGAATATAGATCATATCGATCAACTATCGAATAGATTTAAAAGAAGCCTCAAACAAAATACCTTTAAAATAAAGTCGTAAAAATCGCAATCGTTCAGTGTTTTTGTTCGCTCATACATCGCTTGCGCAGCAAATGGCATAAAAATCGAGAGTTGGGCAAGAGACCTCGGAAGAACGTGGTTCAAAACAGAGCACACTTCGTTGATTCTTGCTTGGTCCTTTGACCAGAGGTATTTCTTCGTGGTTTCCTAGAACAAAAAGATGAGAGTACTTTTTGAGTGTTTTTAACTATACTAACCAAGTAAACATCACACAAATCGCCAATGAGAAAATCGAAGAGAGCTAGGAAAGCATTCGATAGCGACAGTTTCTCCATATGATCGTTGATTGCGATGAGTGTACCGTGTAATCGAGATAAAAGCCATAAATCCTAAAAGAATATGCTTGAAAGAGCAAAAACAAACCACATACTGTCTCATTGGTGAATATATCGGTAAAATTTCTCGTACTAGAGTTGTGCAAAATCAAGACATAGTTCGTCAAATTCCAAAGTTTGTTGCAAAATCTAAACTTCGTTGCTGGTGCTATGAAAAGGATAATAAGATTACCTTAATCCCTCGTCAACTAATTGAGACACGGCTATCGGAACATCGGTAGCAGAAACGTCATGCCTGAAAAACAAAATTTGAGCGATCTTTTCAAATGGTTTAACAATTTTCCCAAAAACTTGTTGATTTTACCGTAGTAGGGCAAACCGCAAAGCGTCTGCTCCAGATTTGGGGATTCCATTCGGATAGTTCTTCCGTAAGTCTTCTTTTGCCAGCCCTAAATTATGAGCTATTTTGGCAACAAAAAAGAATCCCAACCTATTTCCTGTTTATCCAAATTACTCTCGTCCAATCGTTTCAGCATTTGCTCAAGAGAAATTCCATCTAATACATCCAATGGATCGATAACATTGCCAAGCGACTAAATTTGAAGTATTATTCATGTCTATTGTTAATCTTAAAAGAGTAAGAAAAAAAAACCTTGCTCATCTTTCGCCCACTTGAATCTCGCACGAGACCATGCAGGAACACGTTAGAGAACGGGAGCGTCCCATTTGTCAAACTAAAGAGAAAAAAAAATGAGCCTGTAATTAGTTAAACCAACTGTAGTGTCATGGCGATCATCCGAGTAACCCAAAATCCAATAATATCGTGGCCGGTTTCCATGATGTTCAGTGGTGGGCTTGTAAAGTGAGGAATCGTTGTTGATGTGGAACTTGAGCACCAACCAGAGACAACAAGCGGCACCAGAGAAGAGCTAAAATGAAGGTTCTATAAGCGTGTATTTTTGCATCGTATTTGTTTATGGACATCAAAAATTGACTAAACTCACCTAAACCATGTGTCCAGAACGTCACTCTCTTGTCTCAAATCCTCCACGTGACATCCTAACGTGGTGGCTGCTTTATTCGAATCGCGTGCAATTGTCCACTCACTATGCCATAATTATTTCAATTTGTGGTGATCACTTTCAACCTTTCATCGGTGACGTCTCCCGTAGTGAAAGCCGGAATTCGATGACCCCAGTACAATTGTCGACTTAAACACCACGGATCCGTGTTTTCCAACCAGTCGATTACTCGCTGAGTTTGGCCCATCGGAGCGATTTTCAACTAAACAAGTTGATGTACTACGATTTTCCGCGAACTTTTCTTACTTTTCCCCTTTCAATAGCTTGAAGTGCTGCCAAGTGTAGCGGTTTTACATCGAGATTCCATTGTTTCATGAGTCTTGGCTCTATCACATCGCCGGAACGAGAGCAAATCATAACCTCAAGAATAAAACTGTTTTAAAGAGTTAAAAAGTTTAAAAATTTACCTGCGCATTTTCGTGTTTCATCTTTGTGCCGCCTCGATTCAAGTCTTGCAGTAATTTAATAACCTAGAAAAACAACGTAAAATTTACTTTTTAAATGCATTCACCTCATTTCTCGCATCGAATCGATCTAAGCCGTCAAATTTTGGATAAGTTCCCGGTGTTATCAATCCATGTTCATTAATACATGAGCTGAAACATCTGAAAATATTAACAGCATAATCAGTAGTTGCCTTGTTAGGGTTGTAATCTCATCAAGATGTCTCGAAACAATATCCGCATCCAAACGATCGTGTTCTGGTGTCAGTTTGACAATACCTAAATTTCTTAAATCTTAAAGATGAGGAGAAAATGGAAAAATATTCGAAACAGTTGTATAACGCAAACCCTACCAGTTCCTTTATCAATTAGAACAGCACGATCAGCGATTACTGGCATTTGTCTGTCTAGTAAAGGGTGCTGAACCAAGGTGTGAATCAACTAAAAGTTCTTGATCGATATAAATCAAGAGTACAAACATGTGCATGTCGAGGATCATCCGGATGTACAGCAAGAGCCACATCAGCAAAACAAGTCTCGGGTCGAGTCGTGCCCACTTCCACAGTCCTAAAGAAAGTCAAAGTAATTTTTAAAAACAACATACCATTTGTTATCCATCGTGCCGTAACAGACTTTGTACATTACTCCAGCCTCAATTGATCGAGTTCCTCCGTTTGATGATGGTATAGAAATTCGACCTGCTTCGACGCGATTTACTTCCTAAAAGTTTATTCTTCAGACATTCAAAAAATAAACTAAAAGATCTATATTTAAAAACATTAATGAATCACCTGGTCGGATAGGGCTGTTTGAAGAGATGGACACCAATGTACAAATTGTTTTCCTCGTGCAATGAGACCATCCTCGTGTAAACGGCAAAATGCCTCACTAACGGCACGGGAGAATCTCTAAATAAAAATCTTAATTTTAAAGATCTATTGCCCATTACCTCATCCAATGTGTAATACTGGCTTGTCCAATCGAGAGAGGCACCCAATCGTTTTAGTTGCTCGGCTATTTGATTGGAATTTCTTTAAAAAAAAAAGCACTTAAAAAATCATATTTCACAAGATTCACCTTTTAGCCCATTTTTTACATTCTTCAACAAATTCCTCTCGCGAAAGATCAATTCGGCGGAGTCGTTTCTCTTTCCACAACATCTTTTCGACAACTGATTGCGTGGCAATTCCGGCATGGTCGAATCCCGGAATCCATTGAGTCTGAATGACAAATAATATATTTCGTTTTGAAATAAAAATTACATTTTGAGCAAACCTAAAAACTCTTACCGAACGCCCGAGAAGCCGTTGTTGCCGTACAATCGCATCTTCGACAGTCACCGTAAGTGCATGGCCAAGATGTAGTTGGCCGGTAACATTCGGTGGAGGAAGCACCATTCTAAGAAAACGAGTAGATAGGTAGGTAGCCAATTGGCACAAAACCTAACAGCACTCTCTTATCTTCGACTGTTTCAAATGCACTCAAAAAATACCTGAACGCCACATTGTCTCTTTTAAGATGTGCCTGCGCGGCTCGTTGCGCTTTGTCAACATAATTGGCATTAACCAGCGAGACGTCAAATTTACTACTAAAAATAAAAGTCTATGAATTTAGCACTTTCTCAGACATGAATTTAGAACTTCGAAATAGCTACAGTAACACCTCTAAAGTCTTAATCGCCAAAAAAAGTTTACTTTGATCCAGGTTGAGTTGAGCACCCCCTATCGTGTAAACGAGCAAGCAGCTTTTGCCTCTTCCAGGCCATTCTGTACCTCATCTAAAATGTGCAATCAACTTCCACACCTGATTTTCAATGAATTTTTTCCACCGATACCAACTTGTCATTGATAACTCGCCATTTTTGAATCTCTCAATAAAAATGTTTACTTCAACATTCACAATAACAATGAAAGTACAGGGAATAATCAAGGTAGTAAATTTTAGCAATAACTAGAAAAATATTAAGTGCACATAAGGGAATTAGTCAATCATGATGAAAAAAAGATGAAACCCGAATAAAGTTTTGAGATAGACTGCCAATTTGACAGAACTTTGATCTACACAGTGGGGGTGAGTAATATGATGAAGAAAAATACAAACAAGCACCAAATGAGTACATGAAATAAAGACCACCAAGAGACTTACAATTCCTACAGAACAAAGACAAGTCAAGTATCAATTTAAACGCATTTTGAAAGGCATTTTTCAGTGAGTTGATCGTTTTCTTGCCTCGGCGATTTTCGATTTGATCACTGCCTCAATCGCTTCAGCGCATTGGTAAATAGCGGATCCCTGAAAGGCATTAATTAGCAATAAACTATAGAAATAACATAATAAACTTGGAATATTTTGAGCGTACAATTGTAATAGCTAAACAAACCTTCTGATTGAAAAGCTTTGCATTCGAGACCATCAGCTGTAAATCGGCGTGCAAGTCGATATGGCTACTATAACACTGACTCCGAAGTCGATTCTCAATGATTGACAAATCTAAAACAACATTAATAGACAATTAAAATATTTTAAGGATTACCAATTGGATTTTTCACAATTTGATGATAATTTGGGAATTCGTCAACGTCAACGGTTTCTTTGAATGGCCATGCGTTGCGATGTTCGGAAACGGCTTCAAAAAGACCCCAGAGAAATGAGTTCCTAAAGAAATAATAATGTAAGAAAAATTTAAAAGGGTAACCTGGACGAATGCCGTTCAAATTGTTGATTGCTATGCTGTTGTTGTTCCATATGGCTTTGACAGGAGGGACAAAGATAGCTCTCAATTTGTTGAGCATCTCTGAATCATCGACAGTTTAAATATTTTTTTATTAATGTTCTTACCGTTCTGTGATACCGACACATTCGGGATGGTACCATCCAGTGCAAGAGTCACAACCAACGTAAAATCTAAAAATATTTCAGTTGTATCGACTCAACTCAACAAAATTTACTTTTCTTCGTTGTATGGAGTGCGACAGAGGCAAAAGAGCTCGTCCTTGGGTTGGATGTCAGAAATTTCAAAGTGTTCTTGACCCTCCGTCTAAATATTTGAATAAAATTTGCTTAACCTTTAGAAATCTACCATTTGTTGATCGTTTAAGACGTCGACCTCCACCTCTTCCTCCTGATCCTCGTCCTCCGTCATTTCATCAGGATGAGATCCAGGATCATGTTTCACTTCACCACGTCCAGCATCATCAATTTCTTCGCTTTCTTCATCTTGTGGTGAGCGGCAATCATGACATACAAAGCGGCTTAAACGACGAGCCTAAATATCAATAGATTTAAGTGTAGTTAGAAAGCAACAAACCCTCTTCTCACTTAATCCAATGCATTTTCCGTGGAACCATTGTTGACATTGACTGCAAGCAACATAGAATCTAAGAGTTATTAATTAGTTATTGCATAAAAGATGCCCATAATTTGTTGCACATTTTGAAATCCTTACTTTCTGTCATCAAACGGCTGTCGACAAATGCAATGCAACTCGCTTGGATCAATCATATTGCGAACATCATTTCCCTCTTCCACCATCTTTTTCATCCTAAGATAGGTAATTTTTGATTGTAAGTTATTTTAAGCAATACCTAGCCTCCGCCTCTCGCCTTCGTCGCTCACTTTCGGCCTTTCGAGGTCGTCCGCGAGATCTGGCCAAAGGAGGTGGAATGTGCATCAGGACTTTTCCTTGTTGCTCATCATCATCATCATCGGAACTTTCCTAAAAAGTAATATTTAGTTCGTGACCGCTCTAATATCAAAATTCTGAGGTCTAAAAGTCAAAAGGAGTACCTGTTTGCTGCTTTCTCGACGCATTCGCTTGGGCGACGGTTGACGATGAGAGGAGTCTTCCTCTTTCACATCCTAGAGTTTAAAATTTTTAGACTTAAAAGTTAATTCAATTTACCTTGTCGGCCCAATCAACCGAGTCACCACCCAGGCTAATATCGGCTGGATTCATAGCCTGTTGTTCCCTTTGATGCTCTCGATGACGCTGCTTGTCTTTGTCGGTAGGAAGTGGACGTTTGGTGAAATCTAAACACTTTACATAGTTATGAATGATCTACAATGCTAACCATCAGAGTCACGGAGAGGATTAGGTAATTTTGAGCGGAGTCTTTTAGCAATGGGTTCATCATCCTGTTTGCATTCAAGCAAACGCTTTTTGGGTGTTAGAAGAATAAGCTGAGGGGTGGGTTCTTCGGGTTGTTTCCACACTGGGATCTCAATGTGTAGCTCTCCAAGATATGGATTTGATGGAGATACAGCCATCAGATCAAGGGAATAGTTACTATTCAACAAGTCCTTGAGTGAAATATCTTCACACTCCGATCTGGAATCTTCATCATCTTCTAAGATGAACTTATTGAATGGGGCGAATTGGCCGCGTTCATACTCTTCATCGCTGGGTTCCTCCAATTCAATAACCTTTAGGGGAGAATCTTTACCCGAAGCATAGCCAGAATCTTTCGAATCCTCTTCAACAGAGGCAAAATTTTGCTCAATTTCTGTAGATAGACTTGAATTCGAATGATAGGTACGCAAAGGGTGGAATGGGGAGAACATTGATGGGAATGAATGACATCGAGGCATCGATGTAATCGGTGAGCATATAGCTCCAACAGTCATTTTTGTAGAAAACTGACTAAAATAGTCGTGAGTCTGAACCGAAGAAAAATCAAATGCAAGAATGAAGCATTCGAAAACACCGGGTTCCAGCCCTTAAATAAGGGGTGGGCGGAGAGCACAAAGAACTACCACGATTAGAGTGCCTCGGGGTTTCCCCTCTTTTCCTCTTTTCCCCTTTCTCCTCTTTAGAACGTTCTAGAACCTCCCCCACTAGACCGGATCTTTCTGTGATGTTCGCTCGCTGTCTCTTCCTCTTTCCCAATGCCTCATCGAGCATCCATCTGTACACACCAGGATGTTTACGCGTAGAGGAGGGTCACCCCAAAAATGATGTCACTTTCCGAAGGAGACAGCATAGTGGAAGAGACGCAGTCAGCTGAGAGACAAATGGTGCCGAACCAAGAGAGGGATGAAAAGAAAAAGGGGCACCATTATGGGGGCTACGAAAATGACGTCAACTAGATATTACAGTCAAGAGAAACCCCGAAACCCCGTAAACAACATTCAGAGTGAAAATGTTATTGCGAAAACATGCAAAAAACGAATTGCTCTTTGGGGTGTGTCTGGATATATCCAGGACAACATTTGAAGGGTTTCATTTCGAAATCAACCGTACGTTTGTTTGATGGTCGTCCTCGAGCACGGCGCCACGGGGCCAGCATACCAAGTGAAGTTTCAGCTTGCGTCTCAAGTTGACTAAAATTTTCTTGAATAACTATATGATTAAACAAAGTTTCCTTTCTAGCTCTAGTCTAATAAATAGCAAACAATTACCTCCGTCTTTTGTTAATTTCTTTGCGTAAATAGTCCAAATGTTCGGATAGCATAATCTCGTTGTGCTTCAGATAAACCTTTCGAGCCCTAAAATTTTTGAAGTCCAATAATCGATTAGAAAAGCAAACATTTTGTATTTCGGCTTATTGAGGTGCATCTTATACCATCCATAGTGCTTATCCCATCGACATACTTGATTTACAATGTTTTCAAGTACCTGAATTATTTCAGTTAAAATTAAATGCGTACTGTGTTATACTAATTTGATTGTGCGTTCATCCGCCGTATCATCAGTCGATGGTAGAAGGTTTCGACAAAAGGGAACCGAATCTTCGACGGCGGCTCCTTGTGATAAGCTAGCTGGTGTGAAGTCAAGAACTAAACCAAGAGAACAAATATTAAAAATATAGAAATCGCGAACCTGAATTTGAGAAAACCCCTTTCGTGGGTAGTCTGTTTTCTTCTTCAAGTAGCATCTTTTCTTCTTCTCTAAATCAGAATGCACAATTTCGGAAATTTGTTGATCAACCCACTTTGCAATTGCATCCCGTATAGCTCGTTCCTCTGCCACATTTCCCTCGAAGTCAAATTGCAAATTTCGATTTATCAAGCGCCTAAAGATATACATATTCTTGAAATTGAATTCAATAATAATCTTTATTAAGTAGTAAGCAACTCAATTACCTAGAAAAACGATCATAAGTAGTTCTTCTGGGTATATATTCGCGCAACGGTGATGGATTTCGAATTGATGACTGAAGCGTTTGAGGAAAACCGTATCGCCGAATCCCGCTCTAAAACAAAAAAATAGGCTAGACCCAAGAAACTAATCAAACCATTCGCTGGGCGAAACTGATTTGCGGACGTAAGTTTGCAATCCTATTATTGGAGTAGACCCCACCGTCAGCGTGGCTAATATACGAGTCTTCAAATAAGCTTCGGGGGGTCTAAAAGGGACATTTACAGTTTTAATTTCATTAAAAGAGCGCACGTGTTGCTGAAGTGTAGAAGTTCTAAATTGTCCACCGGAGATTGAACGAATTGTTGACCCCGATGTAAGCATTCCACTATGCATTCCAGTCGCAGGCATTCGTTGTAATAAGCTGAAGTTAATTTTTTTAACCTCAAAGACTCGATAAAATATACCGTGGAGCCATACTTTCTCGATGCGTTACAGGTCGGAGCAATTGTGTAGAACCATCGGGTCGTCTAATCATCAACACTTTCTTCCGCTCATTCTGTACTCCGTACGGAAACGACATTTGTGATGCGGGAGAGGCACGAATAAGCCGGCGGCTGTTGACTTGGAGCTGCGGTGGTCCGGTGTCATATCTGAAGGTTTCAAACGTTCAAAATCAATTGAGCTGCTAGTTTATGCAGATCAATCAGTTTTTCATCTGCTAATCTAACCTCGGAATTATCGGCGGCGTTTCGTGATCCGCATCGTTTCCCATCTCCATTTATTAAATGCAACCCTGGAAATGTTCAACTTTGTAAACCGGACACAGTAGTTCAAAAACAGGTGGTCCAACAATTCTAATTGTCTAATGAAAGTGTTCCTCGGTTAAAGACCTCTTTTCAACTTGGACTTTTATGAGCACCATTTATTCAATAACATTTCCCATGTTAAACAATAGCAACAAAAAAATGAAACACACATATAATTATGAAAAAGGAAGAGTAAAGCACAGATAAGGGGCTGCAATTGAGGTCAGTTCGACGATGTTAAATCAAAATGACTACAAGATTGCTATGCACAAAATACACGTATGTTTTATGGGATTTACACGCAAATCTGGAGAAAGGGCTTTTAAAATTTACAACTGGTTTTCCAGTTCTCGAAAGTATTAAAGCAATTAAGAGTTTAAAGTCTTCAATAAAAGGACAAAATAAAAAATTATTAAAACAATGTTACAATTTCTAATTATTAGAAGTTATTCTGTTCGTTCTTCGGCCGTTGTGAACGAATGCACCCCATTGGGCAACAAGGCGGGACTCGCGAGCCGATTTGGTGTTTGATTAACATCGATGGGTCTCATCTAAAAAATCAATTAAACAAAAGAATGTATTTAAAACACCTGTTGAGAGGGCTGAGACAAGACACGGAATGGAGGTGTCGAAGTGCGAATGAAAGTACCCGGACCGGCAACCACACGATGCTGTGGTTGGATAGGTGGGGGCGCTTGGACACGATGAATAATCCTAAATACAAATTTCTCGTTTGCTAGAAACAGAATATCAGCTCTGCAAAATTATTAAACCTAAAAATAAAACAAACCTAGGTCCACCGATTTCTTCTCTTGGGCCGCTAACCGGTCGCAAAATTTGAGTGGTTCCATCAGCCTTCCGGATCATTATTAATCTTCGTCCACCAGAGCTTGGAGGCAAAATGTTTCCGGGAGGTGCTCGTAACATGGTTCGAGGTGGCTGTGAAGATTCGACAATCCGTGATTGATTTCTGAAAAATTAGTTACTTTCTCCAAACAATTTTTGAAACGTACGAAGAAGTTGGTAAATAATTTTGAGATGAACATCCATTGACTTTTCCATTCTCCAAAACTCTAGGCTCGAACGGTCTTGATGAGACGATATTGCCTGATGAGATTGCCTCCTGAAAATTTTATCCTTGTAACCCATTAGAAAAACAAATTGGTGATATCTACCACAATTACCAACAAAATTGGAAAACTTCTATATTAACCCCCACATAAAAAACAGTCGAAAACAACAGCACTAAAGTAAACAACGACGTAAAACAGAAATACAATATTACGTAAACATGCTAACAACAGACATACAAGATGCAAAACGCTGACTCTTAAATCTAAACAGTTCATGATAAAATATCTATCAAATCATCATTGTCATCATTTGCGACAACTTCTTCCTTCACTTCTACTCTTTGTTGAATTGCGGCCAAATCACTTTCATCGATCGTCGCCAATTGCAAATCATTGTCCAAAGAGGGTTTGAATTCGTAGGTTTGTTGATCTTCAGTTATACAATTCACAGGCATGCACGCTACTTCTTTCAGATTTGGGTCGTTTTCAAAAGTTCCAACGTCGAGATAGGGAATTTGTTCGCCTCCTTGACTCATTGAGTGGTATTGCATTGATGTACCATTATGGCTGGCGTTTTCGTTGCAATCATATGGCAGATAGGTGTCCACAGCTGATGACCATGGATTGTAGTATATCATTGGCTCTCCAGACGCATAATCAAGCCCGTTCAAGTAAAAAGCTTGCGGCATTGGTGGGGGTGCATTAGTGAAAGTTGACGTGCTAGGAGCTCCCCTCCTCGTTCCCACACGACAACCACCCCGCCCACCATAATAACCTCTCACCTTTGGTGGCGCCCTTCTCACAGAAAAAGTCGGTTCGCCAATGCCGTTCGAAGGTTGTTCGTTGTTCTCGGTTAGTAGAGTACGTTTTGGTTCAGGTTCACCCGTCTAAATAATTCTAATTAACTAGAGTCAGAAATCCTTTTGCTTAACACATTCGCGACGACGCTATTTTGGGCATACAGTCGCGTAATCGTTAACTGTTTTACTGATAACTTGGTGAAAATTCAAAGATAAACTAAATTATTCTAGTCATTTGATAGCCCTGGAGCTCCTCTTGCAAAAAACTAGTAAAGTTACCGAAAACTTTTTCCAAAATAAATAACAAAAGTCATTAAAAGCTAGAGTTGATGCAAAAAATAATCGTCATTAGTAGGCAAACCTCAAAGTGTCCTTGAGGGTTTGTCAATTGATGTTGTTGCGGAGTAGAGTTTTTCTAAAAACTTAAGTTTTGAATCGAACCCGAAATTTACATCGACATTAGGTAGATCGGCCACGGCTCGTTTGTAGTCTTCAAGGAATTCACCCTGCAAATTTATGGTTTTTAAAGCCATCCAAAAAAACAACCTTCATAATATCCTGATCAAGTATTCGTTTTCGGACAACCTTTTCCTCGATAATGGTGTTGGTGCCATCTGGATTCTTCCTTACCTAAATACGCCTTTTTAGTTAATTTCTTAAATAATATGTTACCAGTATTTGCCTGACAAACGCATTTGGATTTTGGGAATACGCGGAGGTGGTCGGTTGTGAGGTCAATGGTCGGCCATTATTCAACGGTCTTTGATTTAAAAGAGGAGCAGAGCGGTTAGCAACGGGCATCTAAAAGTGGCATAAGCTTGACCTTTTACTAAATCTAATACCGGGCGTGGAATATATGATGATCCTCCTCTAGCTGTTGAATAAGGCGCAGGCGAGTGCATCGCTCTCTAAAACGGATAAGATCTCCAAATGGTGCAACAGAAAAATTACAAACCGGCCTGGGATCAGAGCGCAAAGACATTGTCGATGGTGGAGGCGGCAATCCACGTTGCATTGGTTGGCTCCGAAGCATCGTTTTATCAACAACCTAAATATTATCTCATTTGAAGTCTAGGCATTTCTTTAAAAATGTGTACTCACTTGTACAGTTCTCCTGTTGCGATTCCGCCAATAGTTCGTAATTTCCCAAAGCTAAGCAATATTTGTGTAAAAAAGTCCAAGTATGCATGTCTTACCTTTAATTCAACACCATCAATCCATCTAGTTTCCACGCGCTTTGCACCACGAGCTCGCAGGTCTGACTTTTTCACCACAACTGACTTTCGCTTGCGATCTAAAACAAGCAGCAAATGTGATGCGTTTGTACAAAAAAAATAGCATTTCGTGCAACATTGCAAAACTTACTCCTACTACTAGTTCCTACAGTGCCATCATCTCCGTCATCTTCATCAATCATTGTGATTTCAACTTTCAATTGGTATCTAAACAGCAATGAGTTGTGATAATATTGTTGAGCAAACCTCTCATAAAAACCGTCTGGAGGCATTTCTTTGTGACCAATTACAATTCGGCTTTCGTCTCGATCCAACAAATGTTGTATAACTTGTTGTGTTCTTTCTTCCTAATTGAAAAGCTAATATACATCTCAATTGGCAAGTTTATACATCTTTTGTTTCCGTTTGTAGATCCGCCCATCTAACACAGGCCCACAGTAGCCGAAGTTGAAGAGCCACTGACTGCAACGATCTTGCATGCAGTGTTGACCACCTAATGAGCTCATAAAAGAGAAAAAAGCAAAAAAACTACTTCCAACATAGCTCTAAATGTGGTCGCGGGCATGGATAGTTCCAAACATGGTGATTCGACTAAAATTGAAGATTAAAATCCAAACATTTCCAAACAGAACCTTGAAAGTACGATTGAAGCCGGGGTAATACAAAGCCGAGTTTAGGCCGCCTTGTCTAGCCATTTTGCGCAAATATCTAAAAGAACTTAAACTTTCAGAAAATTTTCGAAAACACTCACAAAGTTGGAAGAACAAGAAGACTCGTCGCCTTGTTGGCTCTTTGAAAGCGGAAAGGACTAGGAAGTGGAAAAGGCGAATCTTCTCCGAGTATTTGTTTCTAAAGTACAATTGTTGAAAAGCCAGCAATCTTTAACTGACCACATCAGGTTTCTTCAATACTGATTGAGGATTACGCGAAGAGACAACTCCAGCAGTTCCGACAGTAGCAGATATATCTAAATTTTCTAATTTTGAGTGAAGACCATGCGTCGAGTTACCAGGTTTAACATCTTCTTGTTTCACTTGCAAGCCATTTTGATCTTTAACCTGAAATCACAGTTTAAGAAATCAAAACAAATTTTTGCCAACCTCCTCATTTGTTACAGGGGGATCAATGAAGAAAGAGTTCAGACTAAATAAAAAATACTGAAATATTTTATTTTCAAACGTACATGTCAAGATCTTTGACATCGCCATCATTTTGTTCCTGATTAGAGAGAACAGCCCCCAAATCTAAAAGTGGCTAATTCGATTAATTCTGATTTTATCGTACCACTTTTTTCATTGGCACCCCATTTTACAATCTTTGAGGTGATTAGTTCTAGACGGGCTTGTTTCTTCAATTCGTCTTGCGTGCTATTTTCACCAGCATCCTCGTTCATCAAAAATGTCGGTGCTTTCATCCAACTGAAACAGATAAAAAATAATCCTACTGGAAAAATACTTTACTTTCTTTTGTGAGTTCGGCTTTTCCAAATCCATCCGCCTAGTGCACCTTTTCCGTTGATTCGATATTGTTCATCCTAAAAGGTACTTAAGTTAGCTAGTGGATTTTTTCAAACCTTTTGCCGCCATACTCCATGTTTAGGTGGGCCACCCAGTTTTGCAAATTTCACAAAAATAAAATCTTCATCTTCGGGAGCTGCCGTTACCAAATTCTAAACATTTTTGTGTTTTTACGATAAAGAAATGCTTACTCTTTCTTTTTTTTTGCGTTTCTCCTCATCTTTTGTTCTTGCTTCGCGGCTTTCCATGGTAGTTTTGATAAATCTCGTCATGCCCAGTCCATTCCACCTTGAAAAACTTAGAAAAGCAAACTTTTAAAATATACCATTGCGAAATAAACACAGGCTTTCGTAATCCACATTCTAGCCAAAGTAAAGCTTCGCGCAAATGACGAACTGATCGTGTCGCAACAATCTAAACAAAATGTTTTCAGTAAAATTCTCGTGAACAAACTTTAAGCCAGTCCGGCTCAAATTTAGGCCATAAACGATGATACAGTTCAATTGGGATCTTTTTGGACAATGCAAGCATCTAAATCTATGATGTACGTATTCATTATTTTTTCAAACAAACCGTGTCTTCAAGAATGTAACACGTGTTGATCTTGCTAAAGCCGGAAGCAGCTCTCTTTTCAACCCACTAAAAGCTTTCATAAAGCAGCTCTTAATTCTCAAATACTTTGAATGCGCCCCAATCCTCGAGAGAGAAACGTAGACACAGATACTTTTTACGATCACTCTCCCGTTTCCTTTGGGATAGAGGTTTTGCTAGATCTTCTTCACGGTGATTTCTGAAGGAGAAAATGTGAAAATTCTTTAATTGTTTATCTACCTATAGTTCACAAAGTAATGATCATCAAATCCCAAACGGTATCCAGAAGAGACATCACTAGCTGGGTACTTCTGCGAACGATGAAGCAGCACTTCGTTTTCTAGAAACAACATTTTTAATAAAAAAAATTCGTTATACCTGGCAAATTTCCACTCCAAAAAGCGCTTGTCAATCGACCTCTAGTAATTCCCATCATATTCTCGAGATTCTCGGTCATGCTCAAATTTCCCGACAAGACTTCCGCCTAAGTTATCATGGTTAATCTAGGTATGTTAGGTGCATTTTACCTCATTTTCATCCTCATCTCGCAACTTTGCGGTCTCCCGATTGTAACAATTTGTTAAAATTTCAGAGACACGATTTGCTAAAAATCAATAAAATCAATACGACTTCCGACACAAGTTTTACCGTTGTCGAGATGTAAAACCGCTTCTGGAACCGTAATTGTCGAATTTTTCTCATACAGAGAACGAACTCGTTCAGCTCGGCGAAGGCTCGTCACCTCAATAGTGATAGCCATTTGTTCAATGATATCATTAAAGATTTGCTGAAAACAGATGGACTTTGATAGTTTTGCGTCTTGTTTCTTACATTCATTTTGTCCACTAGCATCTTTTCATAATAGTCATGATCCAAGCGAGAAAGCAACTCGTGAAACTGAGGTAATGTTGAGTAGTAAACGAGATCATCTGGCGATGAGGGATCTTGCCTAAAATAGGTAACTCTTTACAAAGTAAAAAAGGCAATTGCTCACACAAATAGTCTCCTGGCGGTGAACCAGTAAATTCGAGCATGCCGATCTTTTCCAAGAGGCTCAATCCGAAGTGGAGTTCTATCGCCCAACTGTCCAAATGACAAGCAATCCGAAATTCCTTTTGCCTAAAAGCATTTCCTGAAAATCGATCTCATAAAACTACCTGATCTTTTTGACAAATCGGACAGAACCACTTTCCTTCTGGCAGATCAGGACTGTCTAGACAAGTCGGGTGGTAAGCTGCTTCACATCTAAAACAAACGAACTAGCAACGTTTCCCAAATTCACCAACCCATCACACATGACTATATCTCCCAACTTTCCACATAAGCGACATATTGATTCGGACTAAAAATGCAATAAAAGGTGAAGGACGCTCAATCACATACCACGATCTTTCCTTCATTTTTTATGATCTCTTTAAAAACGGAGCTCTCCAGGAAACAATCGCGCAACCATTCAATCACCTGAAGTTTCACATTAGATTAATTGATATTCTGAAATCTACCGTCAATCTTGTTGCCGCTGAAACAAAGGGGTAATCATGCACAGAAAGTGCTTCGATCACATTTTGCGGAAGATGTTTATCTGATTGAACATAAAGTCGTAACACCTAAAAAGCTCGTATGAAATCAAATTATTAATGTTGCCTCCGCATATGAGAGATGATCTGCAATGAGCATCAGAATGTTCCAGCAAATGTTGGTGTCCTTTTCGGCCAATTGGACTTGCTTGTCGTCGTCCTCTCTATAAAATCAGTTATAAAAAAATAAAACACAGACCAACCTCCAACATAAGCGCATTAAAACAAGATGCAACTCGGCTAAGAGCATCGAGTTTTCGGAGGATAAAAATGCTGCACAAAAATCTTCATAGAGACACGGTGAAAATTGTAGATATCTGCTATAAACACGAAAGAAGTCGTAAAGCTAAAATAAAAATAAAAACAAATGTTACGATAAAAACAACCTCTGTTACACGAATAATGAGATCAATTGGTACATTTAAATCTTGACTAGAGTCAGGAAGCAATAATGGCGGTATTTCATCTGGGTCAAGATCTGCCCAGGGCGCTATTGAAGAACTCTAAACAAAGAATATATATATAGTGACGAATTAGGATTCAACCCTACATCTGCTTCGTCGTGTGGAAAGCTCATGTTATTGAAATCAATGTCATCTCGCTCGTCTTCCAGCAAATCTTCCTCTAAAAATGTAATACATTTAAAAAATTAGATAAGTTTCGAAGTTTTATAACACATACGAGAAATTTTATCCTCTTCTTCATCATATTCGCTTTCTTCGCTATCATCGGCTTCACTGTAGTAGTCCTCGAAATTTTCTTTCTTCCGTCCAGATTTTCTGGTTTTGACGACAGGCCTAATATTAAATTTTTCAAAATAAATGAGGAACTTTGCTTACTTTTTCGGGGCGACCATTGGCTTCGTTTTTGGCTCCACCACAGTTGATTTTTTGGACCTGCTAGTTTCTCGTTCCAGCGAAGGCAATTTAAATTCGCCAGCAGAAACCTTTGCTTTGGCATCCTAAAATATCAAACGAATCATATAATCTACTATTGTTAGTTTTTTCAAGTAATAAAAGATAAGCCTTCACCTTTCCTTTTGGACGAATTTCGCTTTTTGCTGATCGAGTTAGCTGAGAGTGTTCAATTGATGCATATTCTTCTGGCAACGAAGTGCGCTTGCCGGCATTGGATCTGAATTTTAACATGACTTTAAGAAAAACTATATTATACCTTCTAGGACGACCAGCGGCTGACATTTTTTCTCGAGACTCGCAACTTCATATAGTCAATAGCCTGAAAAGCACGGTATTAGTACTGTTATATTCATTCAAAGAAAGAAATTTCTAAAAGAAAAGGAACTTTGTACCAGAATAAACGAAAAGGGTGTGATACATGAGCAAATGCCGTGAAAAAGTTAAAAACCCTCACCAATACACAAAATTTAGTTTTTTGGTTTTTTTTTGTGAATTTTTGTTTGCGATCAATGTTTTGTGCTTGAAAATGAAGTTCAGAAATTGTCTGAAAATTCAAATCTCGACCCATTAGGAGATGTAAATAACAAAAAAGCACTTTCGAAACTATTCACTTGACGAAAAATGTTCGGTGAGAAAATTTTCACAAAATCACCGAATAATTCGTTCAAGATTTCATAGCGTACATCACTTTCCAACAACAATTATGCAATAATAACAGCAACAAGCCTAAAAGAAACAAACTTTAGACGATATGTATCTAACTGTCTGGAGGAGCTAGACAGCTAGCATTCTTTTCGGGACGTGACGCAACACTCTTTCTCTTTCCCCGCCCTTGAAAAGGACATCTTTTAGTGTGCAAGCCAGCTTGCACTGCGCGGACGTTGGTGTGATAAGTTTATGTAGGTCGCAACTAAATCTCCGGATTATCGAAAAATTAATCCTCAAACAGCGATGATATGAAAATTAAATAAAACAGTTGTTTCCCAACAAGTCAATCAATATTTCCCTAGCCCATAGCCTAGTCTGCGACATTTCGTAATGTTTGTTCGTTGACTTTTAAATAGCATTGGCTGGTAAATAATTAGTCTACAAAAATATCTGGTAGTACGAAATAAATGTCTTCTCGGCAATCCCAAATTAGAAAAAAAAACAAAGAATCGCAGCACGCTTTGGATTCCGGTTTAGGCTGCCTTTGTTTCTTTTATGAACGATGCTGATTTTAGCTTTTTATCCAAGGATATATTGCCTGATCTGTTAGACTAGCCTACAATTATATTTTATCTACGATGCTGCTTTTTATTTTTACTTACTTCCTTTATACGATAGGTGACGGAAATAATTGATTTTGGTTTTTATTTTGGAAAAATTAGAGGCCAACACTCGACTGATCAATACAATCTGTGCTCGTGATCCCACACTGGCTTATTGTCAATCGCAAATGACCAAGTTGGCTCTGACTTTGTAGGAAAAAAAATAGAATTGAATAGAAAGCAGCGAGATCAACCGCCAACTAATCATAAGAGAAACGATGAGGCATTTCAATCACATGAGGATCTTGATCGTTTTCTAGTCCGATTTTCTACAGAAATAAAATCAGAAACTCACCTGTCTAGGTTGATGATTTCGAGATTTCAACCCTCTCTCCAGTTGAAGACACTACTCCTTTAGCTCGTGAATTCAAAAGCACAACTCCACTACCTAGACCCAACATATTGCAAGTTCCGAAAAGTGATGCTGGTTTTAATTTAGCTTAAGCTATACTCTCTTTCCAAATCTCCAAAAGGATCACAAAGAAAGTCGCTATTGTCCTCTTAACAAATACACCTTCCAAGTCACTTGTACTCCACAAAAGAAGCTTCGCTATGATTTGCAGGTATCCTAAATTTTGCATTGCCATTAGCAGATCTTCAGGTGTTTTGTCAAGACTATGCTGATATTTGCGGTGTGCCAAATACCAACTTATACCCCTCGCGAACTGGCAGAAACAATAATGACGGACGGCCAGAAGTAATGCTTTTCGAGATTCTAAAACCACAAATTTGATAGGGTTATGGTCAGAAGCAGAAAAACGGAAACTTCGGCCTTGGGACCAGCTTTGCCTTTGGAACGGGGATGTTACCAGGTACAAAAACAACAGAAATTAAAACTTTTTGTTTAGGGTTCTCTGTTGTTGGATCTCAGGGAGCGGATATTGGAAAAGAAAATATGCCCTTCTTGAACCAAATTGGAGGCATCATGATGAACAACGGGGTTGAAATCGGTGCTACCGGGAAAAAGATTGGACAAGGACCGGGAAGAACGATCGACGCTCTCGACCGGGGGTTGGCAAAGATCAAATTTTCCACAAAACACTTGCAGATTCCCAACGGGCAATGCTCTGTTCGGCCAAGGCGATCCAACGGCGGCAGACCGAAGAGCGACGGGCGAATTTTTGAGATCGTTTGGTATTCCAAATGTTGCAGGACTAGGAAAAAGTTACCGTCAACAAAAGTTACAAAAACCAAACAGCTTTAGTTCTCAAAGCTCTAAATCCACCCCGACCGAATCGTCTACCATCAAGAGGCTTGGGATATGAGCCTGGTTACGGAGCGTTAGACAAGAAAGCGCCCCTTGCCTTTGGAAAAGTAATACAGAAGCGTTTTATTCCAAAGTTTCGTTTTTAGGTTGACCATGACTCGGTTAATCTCCCAGGAGGTCTTGGCGATTTTGAAATTAACAAAGGAACTGGAATGGGCTTTGGAAAATGAGCTTGGTAATCAAATCATCATTGAAATGCAATACGATCGAAATAAATCCTCCAAACAAAAGCTTTATTACAGCTATTAAGACATGCAAACGCAAAAATTCAAAGCAAAACGACAGGTATATCACCCGTATAATACATTATTAACACAGATTCGGATATCAAATAAAGCACAACAAATTTAATTCTCATAAATAAGCTTTAATAAACAGGAAAAGCATCTGAATGAAAAACGTCCACAATGAGACCCAAAACAAGGTGTCTGCTAATGAAGTTGCTGTAGGAATGGGCACGGTGTGAAGCTAAAACAATGCTTAAAAACCGAAAACCAACAAAACGTACTTGGACCGTCTGATCTGCAGAAAGAGATACCAATGCAACCTTCCATGAAGCGGCTGGACCAGGGTATTTTTGGAGTTTGCCTAAAGTAGTTTGTTTGCAAAACATTAAATTCTATTTTCTAACCGTTATCATCAGCAACGATGTCATTTGCCTGTCGTTCGATGAACTCCAGTCCGGTCACAAAAATGCCTAAAGACTTGATTCAATTTAATGGCTTTCCGTCAACCATGTGTGTCGAAGTTCCAGAGAAGCGGCTTTAGGTCATGCGTATCGAATATGCCAACACTTCCTCCTAAAGTCCCGACACCAGTGTAATCACCACAAGAAGAGACGGTGAGACTCGAAATTGCCTAAAACCTTTTTTAGTAAACAATTTACATAATATTTTTACCTGTTTAGCAATTTCCCGTAGCATGATAATCTTCTCTTGATTTCGTTCCTTGCTAAACACCCACAATCCAAGGTAACAATTTGATTTTGAAGTCCTAAATAGCAATTAAAATCCAAAACAAAAGACAAACTACCGTTGAATTTGATTATATGCAACCACAAAAACATATCGATTGCCATCATGTGGAACAAATCGGAGACTCCGAACCTAAAGGATCATCAGTGTTAAAGCCTTCACAAAAAAAGCAACTCTGTATTTTCCTTGGAAATCATTTGGTAAAGGCACTTCGAAAATTTTTCGACCAGTATGTGTATCCCATAAAAATGCCTAAAAATGATTGCAAAATAGTGTATAAAAAAACCCCACTAACCTTGCCATCACCAACTGAGGCGACAATTGAACCATCCTGCGAAAGATCAATGTCGTCAACATCTGATAAATGAGCCGAAATGTCTACAATCGGTTCGTGTCGAATTCTAGGGTCCTATGAAATAAGTTAAAAAACGTTTTTTAAAAAATGCAACTCGATTCGAATCCAGTGCTTTGATGTCCCATATTCTGATGTGTCCATCGGAACCGCCTGTAGCAAGACGTTGCCCACCACGACTTCGGTCAAAGCGCACGCATTTCTTAACGCCATCTTCTTTAAATTTCGTATTTTTTCCCTACCTGGTACGCATTTTCTACTCGTTCGTCTGTTGTTAGTCTCGCAACTTCGCGTATTTTAAATCCGAGGTTCTAAATCGAAATAAGAAAAGTTAGTTTTAAATTTTAAAACAAACCAAGTTTTTAGAAGCAGTAGCATTCGCATCAACATTAAATCCAATGGTTTCATAGATATCGCAGTACTAAAATAAACAAATAAGCAATCGTTTGTCCAATAATAAACCTGATCATGTCCAGCTGCAATACGATAAACGCCGGCTTGTGGTGGCCCATATGGTATCAAATCCAGGTTCATTGTTGCAAAAGAACCCGTGCTGAACTAAAAACAAAAAAATAGCATTTTTCTTGAGAAAAGACAGATATTGTGTTGTCAGTTACCTGTGTTGTCAAATTGGCGGTGACTGGAAAAGTTCCTTTTGAATCAAACATAAGCAGAAGTGCCTAAAATCTTGCTTAAACTCTTAAACGACAACTCCGACTCCTACCTCCATATTGTTTAAGACTCCAGTTTTTGCGGCTCCTCCGCCACCAGCAACAAACAAATGTCTAAAAGTAGAATAAGTGAATTAAAGCCTTTAAAGTTCTACCTTGGACCCATTCGCTTCACAGAGTAAATCGGAGCCTTACACGAGGCAATGACCGGAGGCGGTTTCTTCTTTGATGACAATCCAGAGCCCATTTTTGAGGAAGTTGCTGTTTTCGTAGATTTGAAATTCGTAACACGTAAATCCCAGCAAAATCAACAAAGGTTTATGACGTTGAAAAGAAAGGGGGAAAGCTAGATAAACTCCAAGTCAGCAGAAACGCCGAGTACAAATGACAAGTGAAGTATGCGAGTTAGAGGAGAATTGTTGAATGTGAAAAACATGTAAAGGTTTTCGTGCTATAAAAATTGTAAAAAACTTTATACTTTATATTTTTGCGCTTTGATGGTTCTCTTTTTAACCTCTACTTAACTTTTCTACTTTAAATGCTTACTAGACTTGATAATAGACCGTTTAGTAAGAAAAAGTCAAACACGAATCTTTTCGAAACTTTTACGCAACTGATTTCTTGTGCTCACTTCAATGCTTTATAAGAAATTTATGGTAAAGCTATTCAATTAAAAAGTTGGCTTTAAAGGGCTTACATAATTGTAAAGATATTCGGTCGAAGAAGTTGCTTAAATAAGCAAAATTAAATTTCTCCATTTACAATTTTTGTGGTTCTGTTCGTTGCTGAATGCTTTACGTAATGAATTTTTAACCAAAAGTTTCTGTTACACTATAAAATTGTTCCTTATTTCAGCAATTTCGCTTGATGTTGAGCAATTGCTCCCGATTTCTTCAATGTATCCCGTCGCCATCTGTGATTTCAACGGCCTCGGCTGCGGGCAGATGGTGGCCTCAACCAGAGTGAGTGTTTTTCGGTTTAAAGGATTTAAGGGTTGAACTAGTTGCTATATTTTAAGAGGAGTAGAAGATGTTTGCTCAAATAAAAAAATTAATGACTCCAACTATGGCCACTTCAGGCGGCGATCGTTCTCAACAGATAAACCAGTTGCGCTGGAAAATCGAAACGTAATCATTGTCGAGACACCCCGAGGAGAAATACAACTTGATAAAACAAAAGCCGCTCCGCTATTCTACACACCACGCGGGAATGGAAAAAAAGACTCTTTCGCTTTGGTGCCGTGGAAAAATGGAGAACAAATGGCCAACTATCCGCTATTTGAAGAATCTATCCAAAGAAGCAAAATCCCTTGGAATATCTATGATGGACTTACAAGCGAAGAAAGAGGAGTTTATCTTGCACATTTGCGAGCAGTCGAAGAACGAAGATTAACGTACACATGTCCCGTCACAAAAGCAACGGTGATGACAATTTCTCAATTAATATTCAACGGAAAATGTTGTGGAAACGCTTGTCGACATTGTCCATACGAGCACGAGAATGTACCCACCGATAGAAAAGGAGAAAAGATTTGGAATGGCGTTTATTTTGTGTAGTATAAATTTTTGATTTTTTTTGTCAAAATTGAGCAAACATGGGCTACCATTATTACTTGACATTATTACTTTGGTGAAAACTAAACTTTTGTTTTAGTTATGAAATGTCAAAGCATCGGTCCCGACCCCCAACAGTGGGAATTCATAGACGAACACGTTTAGTGGTTGGTTTTGTTAATGTTTTAAAGTTCTATTACAAGCAGGTTTTATCCGTGTAACCTTTTGCTGTTTAGGTTGTCGACAATTCAACACTTGGAAAGGAGGCACATGCGAGCGGTAAACTGGCCTATTGCATTGACACATATAAACAAGGAAAGCGTCAAAAGCACATGCCCAAAGCAGTACTTGGTGATAAGGTTGGTGTTTGTTATCTAAAAGCCTCATTGAAATTTTGATTATACCTAAGAAAATTTACAATAAAAGATGCAAGATACGTTTGTTTAACATAAAACTTGCATTCCCATAAATGTACATTTCTAGGTTCTCGTCGCGATTCGAGGACAGATGAGAAAAGCATTCGTTGTGGGCGCACACGTTCATAAAGATCATCTGCAACACGGAGTTCCCAGCACTGATACGAATAATATTGGTAAGCAAAGTTATGTGGTAGTTGGCAGTTTTTGAAAATCCTACTTTATTAAACAAATTTGATTTTAGTTCTACTTGATGAAGAGGGAAATCCACTTGGAAATCGCGTCGTGAAACCCATCCCAGCAAGGCTCCTAGACAAACGAGATCACGCCCAATTCGCCAAAGTTCTTGCATTAGCGAATAAGTTTATTTAGTGACAAATTGTTAGTCTGGTAATTATCTTTCGTTATTTCTTTTGTTTTCTTTGTTAGGAATTTTTTCTTGACTGATAAATTTTTGCGTGATCTTGCAGGAAAAAGACAGCCCTCTTTTATTGCACTTTTTGATGGATGTCATTTAGCTGGATGTGTGTAAAGTCGACAATAAGTTATCAATCAAGATGTCGGGATTGGATGGCACGTGCCTTTTTTACCGTCCATCTCATTTTCAAGCCACCCATATCACTAGAATATTTTTTATTTGATATGCAAAAAAATGCTTCAACAAAAAAAGGTGAGTGCAAAAGTAAGTGGAATGTTACGAGTTTTCGAATTTCTGCTGTATCTGTGAACTTTGGTTCCAGGTAAAGTATGTCAGATTCAAGAGAATATACAGTACCGAGCAAAAGTCTTGCAACATCACTTTTTCAAAAAAATGGATGAAATTTTTTCATAGAAAATGCCACCCGTTCGTAGGGCTTTTTTTTTGTTTTTAATTAGAATAATACATGCACACTTTATTTACAAAAACAAATTTGAAGTTCAGCGTAAAAAAAAAGTAAATGACAAAACTACTAAAAAATACCCTAAAAACTGGGTGCAAAAGTCTTGCAACATTCTATGTTTCTCATTTGTATTGTTTTGAAATTTATTAATTTACACTAATTTTTGTTTTTTTCAGATGCCAGGTACCTACTTGACGTCTCCCGAAAGAGAAAAAAATCATGAAAGCAAGAAAAAAAGGACTTTCTCGAGCCGTTGTCTCCGATCTCTTCAAATGCGATCCTTCGACCGTTTCTCGCATTGTTTCAAAAGCAAAAACAACTGGACTTATGCCCCGAAGAAAGAAGAAAGGACGGCCAAGAAGAACAACAGCAAAAGAGGATCGAATACTTGTGATGGCTTCCAAGAAGGATCCGAACATGACATCAACTGAGGGAGCTCGGCTGATCAAGGATGTTGCAAACAAGGATATCTCTCGATGGACCGTTTCTCGACAATTGACTCAAGCAGGACTGTATAGCCGGAGGGCTGTACGAAAGCCTTTGATGACCGCTGGCCACAGGAAACAACGGCTTCTATTCGCCAGGACGTACCAAAGTTGGACAAAACAGGATTGGGCCAACGTGATTTTTGTCGATGAAACAAAAGTGGATATCTTTTCTTCAAAAGGCAACCACTTGATCAGACGACCCATTGGAAAGCGAATACTTCTTAAATATGTGCGACCTACAATGCGAGCTGGCAGAGGATCAATCATGTGTTTTGGTAAGCCTTATTTCTAATAAATACATTAATTTGTCTTTTTCTAGGGGCAAAAAATGTGGCAGGTCCGCTCGTCCTCGTCCAGTCAACCATGAATGCTCGCCACTATATGGAAATACTAGAACGATGTCTACTTCCATTTGCTCAGGATCACATGGCTCCTGGATGGTTTCTCTACCAGGACAATTCGCCGGTCCACAAGAGCAAGCTCATGATGGGTCGCACGGTGAATCTCTCAAATGGAGGAAAAGCTCATCTCCCTGGGTGTTTTGCCCTTATCCCTAATGTTTTGTTGGTCAAGGTGCCCCTTATGTCGCCTGATTTAAATGTTATTGAGAATTTATGGGCTTACGTGAAGGCAAAGTTGCGAGGAAAAGACTTTCACACAAAAGCTGACTTATGGTTCTACATACGAAAAGTTTGGAGCTTAATTCGCCCAGCAATTCTTCACGAATCAGTCGACTCAATGCCTAAACGACTTAATGAAGTGATTTTGGCAAAAGGTGAACCGATTGAATATTAATTTTTGATGTTTCTGTATAATGTTGCAAGACTTTTGCACCCAGTTTTTAGGGTATTCTTTAGTAGTTTTGTCATTTACTTTTTTGTTTTACGCTGAACTTCAAATTTGTTTTTGTAAATAAAGTGTACATGTATTATTCTAATTAAAAACAAAAAAAGCCCTACGAACGGGTGGCATTTTCTATAAAAAATTTCATCGATTTTTTGAAAAAGTGATGTTGCAAGACTTTTGCTCGGTACTGTAGTCACTGGAATTTTTGGATTTAGTCGATTCTCAAAAGATCTTACCTGACAGGAAAAATTTACAAGTATGGCAACTCATAAGAGTTTACAAGTCTACCATAACACATTACAGCTAAACATCTTTCCCAAAACCTAATCTCTCATTCAACAATGTCAAGGATAACCCAGAGTCTATCTGCCCGAAGTTTTGTGGTGGATGTGTGGGCATCGCTCCGCCCCCATGGGGTCCCCGCGATGTCCCTTCCCCTTTTGCAAGTCCTCCCGTTATCCCCTTCCCTTCTATGGCCTCCTCCTCCCCAAGGGCATCCTTCCCCTCCCTCCATCCCTTCCATCCACATCTCCTCACTTAAAATATCTCGAGAGGACCCAGTTTTCCCCATTGTCTTCACCACGCTTTTGTCTCCCATACATTCTTCGCACCCATCCACCCATTTTTGAACTCCTCTGTTTTTTGAGTCGAGCAAATGCTCATCCGAGCATCGCACCGAATTTTTCTTGGTCACAAACTTTGACCTAAAGGATTCGGCTTTTAACTTTCATTTACTGTAGCTAAGACCAGTTACAACAAATCAGAACTGGATCAAACCCCGCAAAATTTGCATTTGAAGTGATTTAAGAATGCTTTTCTTAATGTCTTAATGATAGTTTAAATGTTAATTCGTTTATTTAAATTCCAGAAGAGCGCGCGGGGTCAATGTTCGAGCCGTCGTTGCTCTATGCGGCGAGTGAGCGAACGTCGGTCACTTTCGATGATCAAGACATTCGATCACAGATATCGGTAGAAGAAAAAAAAATTCAATTTTGTCACTACGCTACTAAAGGCTTTCATTGCGCCTTTCTGCGCTACGTAAAGAAAATACTATTATTTTGTGCAGATTTTTGTTAAGCAACGTTTATTGTTAGTATCGTTTATATCGGTAAACGCTCTGCTAAACAAATGAAAATAGATATGACTCAGAAAATAGATGACTTTCAAGAGAATGAAATTTCTCTTGAAAGCTATCTAGCTAAAAGATCCACGTTTTAGCGAGGGCTAAAACGGGTTACGGTCGAATGTACAATCGTATTTGATCTGCTTATCAAATAATCTCCAATCATAAATTCCATTTCAGTCAGGGTGGAATGGAGATGATGACCAGAGTTACGCGGAATTGATAAGCACCGTGCCGGCACATTGTTTACAACAGCCACAAGCTGAGGTTCGAGGGGAAATGAACTATGACTGATCTATATCTATATCTATATCTTTATCTATATCTATATCTATATCTTTATCTATATCTTTATCTATATTAACTAACTACGCCTTTACACTCTCTATATTCAGGTAGAAATGACACTAGAACTACACTGAACTGGTTGCTCAATTGAAAATAGATATGACTCAGTTTTCTGCAAAGAATTTGCTGGTCATAAGCCTTAGAGCAAATCGATATGCTCAACAATAACAAATCAAACAGAATTGCTCATTACTTTCATACCGATTTCAGGCTCTCTCGCGTGCTTTCGCCTCGAACTCCTCCCTTCCATTTCTTCACATAATTTACTCATTCATTTTGCTGAACAGTCGTGTGCAATGTCTGTCCGAGCATTTCTCCCAAATCGACGACATCACGAAGATTCTCGCATTGAATCCACGGTACAACAAGAATGCGTATCCAACACAGAATATAGGTGGGGATTTGTGTTCGTGAGACAGCAATGACACCAAGATCGTGCCAAGATAAAAATCCAAACGGTTTTCAAACTGATCAGTGACTTTGAACCTTTGAAAAGCTCCAAAGCCTTTCCGTGAGCTAAATCATTAACTTTAAGGCCGGCTACAATAGTCTAGAAGTGGCACAAGTTGTGGAAAGTGGGTAAATAAACCGTAAAGTTTTTACAAAGATCTTCCATGAATTTGCCAAAACTCCGAATTTCTTTCGGCAATCCAATCCAACCCCAAAAATTCTGTGAATCAAAGATCCGAACTTTGAAAACTTGCTTTAACATTTATTCTCAAAGTTCACAAATCCCCGAGTTGCAAAGTTTCGGTGGGATTTTTCAGAAACTTGGCGGTTTATTCTAATGGATTTAGGCGCTAGATGAGAAAATGGGAAAGGGGGAAGAGGTGAAAACTAATGAGTTCACAGCAGCGATTCTCTCCATTTTTTATTTTTCCGAATTCAAAAGAGATTCTCTCTTGTGTGAACGGGGCAATTTGCTCTCCCGCTCCTCCAATCTTTATTTGAAAAAAGAAAAAGAGAAGAAGACCCAGTTCTCACCCCCCGTTTTTTCCAAATTCTCCTCTTTGATCTTCAATGGAGATCGGAGATCGAACATTAGCAAGTTCTTTGATTGGAGTCAACAAAATTCGGGCAAATAGGCGTTAGATCAACAGCTGGATTTGATTGAGTCAAAACAACTGAATGATGGATGAGGGGCTAAGCAGACGAATGAAATATATCCGGGTCGGCTTTCGAACCCGCAACCCCTCGCTTGCCGGGCGAATGCTCCATCAATGAGCCACACCGATACATATCCCATTGCCGCCACGAGAGGGCCTTATGCCTTACTGCAAAGATTTTCCGGTCAATCCCAGTTCAGAGCTGACCAATACGGTTGACAAGGCTTGTTAAAAGCTAGCTTTGGACCTAATTTTGGCCCTGGCTTGGCTCAAGTCTTGGACTCAGTGCGTAGGCGTCTCACGCAGCACTGAGAAAGTCTATTTGTGAGAGTTGGCTTTAAGCTCACCCCCTATCAAATCTCAGCCTCGAATCAGATACTATTAGGGTCCTGGTATTCATGTATCTTCCGTTCAACTTAAACGGAGACTTTTTTTATTCATGATTTTATTTAACAGATTTGGATTCATTTTTAAGTCCTTTTCCTTTTTCCATACTTTCTTGTCAATCCCCCTCCCATTTCCAATATCACGTGGTGTCAAAATTCTCTCCCAATTCCCTTTTTTATCCATTTAGCATCGGATTGGATGACTCGGTCAACAAAAGAAAAGGAAAAGATTCCGAAACATTCATTCAGATCTTTGCATCCATTTCAAACAAGCAGAAACAAAGCTAAAAGCTTAAAAAGATCTCCTTTCTTGACTCGAAAATGTAACTCTCTTCTCAGCCCCTTCCTCAGGGATTTCCGGTTATGCTTGAGGTTTTCGCAAAATGTTTCGAAAACCTAAAATTCGGATTTTTGATAGAAAAAGTGATCTCTGGGATTTTTGCTGATTTGGGAGATGCGATTAAAGGAAATTTTTTTTGAAAATGTCTTTTTTACGGCTTCCGGAAAACAAGCGATGATTGAATGTATAATCCACATCAAGAAAGCCTAAAATGTTGGACTTTTGGTAGAAAAGGGAAAGCTTAGAAATTAGTTTTGAGAATTGCGTAAATGACTCTTGATATTTGGCTGATATCAGTACAGTAGTGAGGTTACAATGCTATGATTGGTGTTGGTAAGGGAAATCTCTTAATATGAGAACTGACACAGCAGGCTCAGGCACTTACTGATGGGAAGCTGGCGCTTCAAACTACAAACGCTTCTAACTTGTTTCAAATCTGCCGCATTGACATGACCTTGAGATTCTCTATTTTTTTGAACTATAGATCATGTCAATCCGGCAGATTTGAAGCAAATGAGAAGCGTTTGTAGTGTGACAGTTCGTAATTTTTGTAGTTTATAGTGTCTTTAGCATAGTGCAAGTGCAGTAGGAACCAATCAAAGTGCAATAGGCTCGAGTACAGTGGAAATGCCGTAGCTAAAGCTGGTACCAAACACGACTACTAGTATAACAAGCTTATCAGCGAAAGTCCAATAAGAACCAAGCTCAATTTGATCAAGAAACGGTTTACCGACTCAAAACCAATCAAATCTGTAGTATCGTTAATTTTTACCAGTCCCCTGAAGTGAAACGCACTCATTAAGTACAAAACTAGACCCTGTAGGTAACTTTTCTTTGTTTCTTCGCTTTCTTTTCTCTGTTTTGCTCACCTATGCATGTGTGGATGAGTTAAGTGAAAAGAAAACCAAAAAAAACGAGGGATTTGTTGAGAGGGATGGCTTTTCCCCTTAAAAGAGCTCAACAGCGTGGGAATAGCTCGTCACATTTCTGTGTTAAACGAAAAAGATTGGGGGATTTGCACACGTTTCGACGAGCATTTCAAGCGAGGCTCGCGAGAATTCGAAATTTTCAAATCTCTTCACAGAAAAAATTTCCGCTAAAGCAATGCTCGAGTTATCGGGGTGGGAGGGGGAAATTCATAGTTTTTATGGACTTTCATCGAAAAATGAAGGGTTGGGTGGGGAAGCGTGAAATGCGAACGGGAAGTCCCCCAAGTCCTCCACCCTCAATTGCTCTCAAATGCCACAAATCTCAGTTTCACACAATCAAGGGGCGGGAAGTTTACTACAAATTTGTGAAGCTTTTAATCACTTGTACATAAGTCGTAACATAGTCAAATGTAAACTTGGCACAATCAGTGCGGAACGAATCTTTGATTGAAGCTAGACAACAACCTAATCTATCCAACTGCCGTTTCAACTTCTAATTGTAAGCAATGTAAACTTTGGAGTGTAATCTCTCTAGTTCGCCTACAGTATCCCAAAAGCGGCGCAAAAATGCAAAAACCTCGCACAGTATTCCAGACTAGACCTTTGACTTTAGTCCATGACCCAATGCGATATCTGCGAGTCTAATTTTTGTCACAACGATCCTCCTTTTTGATATAATCAACTCCTACACCAGGACATTTAACAAAGCAGCTCAAAAACGGAAGTTTGTAAAAGCAATCCCTCTTCACCGATACATCAATTCCCAGTCCATACGGATACAAATGCGCGTTTGTGGGAGACGTTTTTTGAAAAGAGAGAGTAAAAGAATGGATGGATGATCCCCTCGTTGCACTTTTTTTTCGAATCCTTTTCCCTTTTTGAGCAGGACTTGCGACGTCGCAAAAATTTTAAGGAAAGGATGGGGAAAGCTGTGAAGAGGATTAAGAAGGGATGGAGGGAGAAGGAGGAGAAGGCACTAAACATCCACAAACAGATTGCTCATTTTGTTAGAGGACAAGTGCGATCCCTTATTTCACGACGATGTCCTCAATGGGGGTGAGGTGAGGGGTGCATTTTTGCGCAAATGATAAGAAAAATTCTTGGGTTAGACCGTTTAGTGTTGGGTTTAATGCGTTATAGTAAAAAATAGAGTATATTCCTCTCGATTAATGCGTTTTCTAAAATGCACCTATTTGAGAAAAGTACCGTAGTCAAACTGCCAGCTTCCACTCGATCAGCCCAATTTTGGTATCATTGAGTGAGCATTATAATTTCTCATCGAATGATATCAAAATCGGACGTCCTAAATGTAACCTAGCCGTTTGACTTTTCTCAAATAGGTGCATTTTAGAAAACGTATTAATCGAGAGGAAAACACTCTACTCAAAACGGTTAATGGTGAATGAAGGGAAGGGTTTTTAGATTCTAAGGATTCTAGCTAAGTGGCTTCAACAACATCTAGATTTTACAGCAGTAATTTGCAAAATGCAAAACGCAATTCGGGAAACCTCCATCTTTCCAAAGCAGTCCCATATCGGCCAGCCAATCATCGAAATCCTTGTCACTCTTGATCGCGAGTTTGGAACATTCTCTTAAGAGGCTAAATGCCTTCAATTCAAGCCTAGCCGCCGCTGCTAAACCTGCTTGCGCCATACACTACAGAAAAACTTAAGAAAAGTTACAAAACTGAGAAAAAGGCGTCAAAAAATAGAAAAATATCGAAGCCCCATGTGTAATAACATCAAAATAACAAAAAAAAATCATAGTTTGAAAATATCACCAATCGACTTAGCATCATCAAAAAACCCCCCAGTGTAAAATTTCAATATCTCGAGACGAGTTTACACAGATTGAGAAACGAAACAAGACGAGTTTAGAAATTTAAACAAGAAACACGGGCGGAACAATATAACGGGAAGGGAATGTAGGGAGAAATATGATTTTATGCTCTTTCAGGATGCACCATTTTTGTTCTGTAACAAAAAGTATTCAGCTGGAGTGTTTGGATTATAGGGTGGCTGAACTACCGTAGGCTTGGGAAAGTGTATAAAAGGAGAAAATTTAGCACAAATTTTCATTCTGGTTCAATCGTTAGCAGAGTTTCTAGTTTAGTATAAGATTCTGCTCATTCGATAAACCATCACCCTGAAATTTCGGAGTATAAAATACTATTTTGTGCTATGAGCGCTAGAAATAGCGTAATGAAATAAAGCTTTCGAAGCAAAGCACAAAAGATAACCTTAAAACGCGCTACAAAAAGGAAGATAGATTTTGCAAAAGGAGGAAGAAAACTTAAAAAACGGACAACATTCACGATTGAATGCAGAAAAATGAAAAAAATGACAAAAAAAAACTATTTTGTGATTTTGTGCGGGTACGGTAGCGCATCCACGCTTTAGAAAGCGCGCCGCACCGCTTTCGCGCCAGTCCCTTAAAATCGCACGTCAAGCCATATTTCAAAGCCCAATTCAAAGTTTTAGGCCAATTCAACAGTAAGATTGAAATGCTAGAAAAAGCCAAATGCATATTTGGCTTTTTTTGCCAACCTTGGTTACTCGTCCTACCAAACCTGCCAACCTTGGTTACTCGATTTTTCCATTGAACAACAATCCTCGCTTCTATTTAGATAAACTAAACAGGTACTTGACCAATCTAAATCATTTTTACCCATCCTAGCAAAGCTGGCATTGCCTCAACTCAAAAATAGATTTCTTCCAATATCAAGCTCATGTCAGTTCAACTACTTCCCCGCATGAGTCGGCGTGTTGTTCCTCAGAAATTCGTTCCACTTGTCTTGCTCTCGCTGTGATGAGAGGAAAACACTGACCCTTTTTTTTTCTTATATACATAAAAGAGAAGGGAGTGAGGGTTCCCTGGGGACAAATTGCACCCACATCTCTCTCTCTTTGGCCAGCATTTTCATTTAAACTCGATCACTTTTATCTCAAAGGAAAACGCTTTGCTTGAGTAATCCGAAGAAGAAGAAGAAAAGGATAGGGTCAGAGTGGCCCATTTTAGTGAAATCTTTATGGGGATTGGAAGGGGTAAAAATAAATGAATTTGCAAAAGCAATAAATGCAAAAGCGTCGTGTTCAATGTAAACTTACTTCATAATATTTGTAAAGAATTTTTAGGTATATTATGATAGTTAAACAGTACGATAGCTTTTTCTAAAGTGAAAGCAAAATTATGGCATATCTTTACTATTGTGTTTCCTAAAACGTGTCAACTTTTGAAAACTATTGTGCTTGAAAAACCTTGCTGCAGGCTTAGCTCTTAATAAGTTTAGATACTTTACCTAAAGAAACCTATCTAAACGAAAAGACTTATTCATCTAATACCAATCAATTAATTAATTAATCCATCTTTTCAACCTCCACTTGCTGAAAAAAATTTCTCAGTGATAATTTGAAAGTGGTTGGACGTGGATGCTTCTTGAGGAGATTCCCTTCAGTGCGAAGGAATTATCCATTCATTGGGAGGTTGAAGAGGGACTCCCCCTTTCCCTTCATTGTTTTCTCCTTTCCAATACTTCACTCATCTACTCGTCACCCCTTCTTAGCAAAAAAAAAGCTTCTGAAAATGTCTCTAGAGAAACCAGTGAGCTTTTTCTTGGAATGAAAAGACGGGGAAGTTATGTATCCATAAGATAGTTGAGTAGAACACTTCTGCAATGATGGTCAAGATCTGACAGGGATCAAGAAGTGTAGAGTTGGCTTTGGCCAAACTAGACTTTGGCTTTGGTCAGACCAGGCTTTGGCTTTTGCCAAACTCCAAGCCATCTTTTGCTTTAATCAAAGATCTTTAACCTAAGACTTTTGTCGGTATCTTTTTACAATAACCTCAAACTATCGATGAACATGCTAAAATGTTGCTTTGATGATAGATGTGTGACTCAATCTCTTTCCCAAATCCAATCCAACTAGAAAATCTCTTCTCGTATCCCTCCAAACCGAGCCATGAGTGCAAATCGGATTCTAATTGAACTGGAGGTCTTAAAATGAAAGTTTCGTTCGTAAAAGAGCTCCATGCAAGAAACGAAAAATTTTATTAGTGTGGTCTTCGAAAAATCGAACAAAATAGCATTTGGATTTCGGGATTTGGCCTTAATCAAACCGAAAATGAACAGATCTACTTCTAATGCCGCTAAAGTTTTGTTTTATCTCTAGAACTTGCTAAATTTATCCTCAATTTGATCAGCTCAGCTCAGTTAAGAGAGTAAAGATGAGTGGGAAAAGAAAGAAAATCTCTGATGAAACAAAAAAGATCGAAAAGATGAGTGAAAATCGAATTTCACGCCTTTCTACTCACTTTCTAATTCACAAGTCGAGTCAATTTCCTCGAAAAAACAAAACATCATCGAAAAGTGGATTTCACGAGAAGCACGTTCACAAAAACATTATAAATAAACTAAACATAAACATAAAAAAGTTAAAAATGACCGGAGTGGGACAAATGCGACCTTTTTTTTGCGCACCCGGACATTTGCGCACCTTTTTTTCCGCCTTGCCCATTAGCGCACCTTTTTTCGCGTTTTAAAAAGCTCTAAAAGCTAATATTAACCAATTTCTATTCCAAAAGTTGTTTTTCTAGGTAATTTTAGGGCGTAGAATCGAAATTTTGGCATAACAGAGCGTGTGGAACCAATTTGAAAGACAAAACGGCTAGGTCAAATTACAGAAAATTGTTGATTTTTCTCTTTGTATAACTCGGTCCGTTTGTTTCCACAAGCTCTGATATGTCAAAATGTCGATTCTACGCCCTAAAATTACCTAGAAAAACAACTTTTGGAATAGAAATTGGTTAATATTAGCTTTTTAGAGCTTTTTTAAAACGCGAAAAAAGGTGCGCTAATGGGCAAGGTGCGGAAAAAAAGGTGCGCAAATGTCCGGGTGCGCAAAAAAAGGTCGCATTTGTCCCACTCCCATCAAAATGTTAAACAATCAAAATGCTAAACAATCAAAAGCTAAAAGCTTATTCGCATTTGTCCCACTCCCAAAGTGACTAAAAAAGATAAATTTTAAAAATTTCATTTTTATCTGACCACTTGTGAATCATTATCAAAAATGGAGTTGTCAAATGCAGATGAGCAAAAATTGGCATAACGTGATGAATCCAATGCTTGAACTCTAAATAGACGAGGGAAAAGCAGAAAAAAAAATTGAATAAGGGATAAGGAAAGTATTTCTATAAGAAAAAATTATCTAAAATTTGAAGAATTGAAACAATTTATAATCTAAAAGCAAAACAAAAGAAATAGTCAGTAATTTTGTTTTCAGACAAGCCAACTGATGTGAAAGTGCAAATGTACATCGAGGGAATGTCGTCATTTCGGGCACAAAGCATGGTTAGTTTCAATTTTATCGAGAAAAGCTCTGAAATGAGATCGAATAGATTTCGTTAAAATTTTTCGGAAATTTGTTAAATTTTAAAATTCTTTTCCATTTTAGGATTTCCAAATCGACATTTATTTGCAAGAGATGTGGGTGGATGAGCGATTGAAGCACAACAACACGAAAAGGATTCTAATAAAAGATCCCAAATTGTTCAGGTAAGAGAAGTGGCTTGTCGATCGGAGACTATCGTAAAGTCTAGGGCTTAAAACCATAACAAACTAAGCTTACCATAACAAAAACTAATCTACCATAATTCAGCTTGATCTGGCATCCCGATTTGTACTTTGCGAACGCGAGAACGGCCAGCTTTCACGAGGTGAGAGAATGAAGTGAATGAAAAATTAATTAAAATCAATTAATCAATCATTTTCCACTCAAGTCTATTCATCTGACGATTCGAGCAATTAATATTTTAACCAATTCAGGTAACTATGCCAAATTTTCTCGTTTGGATCTACCCCAATGGGACGGTTTGGTACGACTGTCGAGTTTCCGGGTCGATTTTGTGCGCCCAAAATCTAGGTATCCATTTTTCTAAAGAAACCAATGATCAAACATCATCAAAAGAGATCTTAGACCTTTTCTCAGCTCCCCAAAAACTGATCTTCTTATAAGATACGCGTTCAATGTTCACTTTTCAGCCAAATACCCTCTTGATCGTCAAATGTGCTATCTTCGGATACTTTCATGTAAGTTCTCTATGTTTATTAAATGTTAGATCACCATGCATCATATAAGCACAATTTAGAAAGCTTTCTCAGCTATGACACATCAGGAAAATAATAAATAGCATAAAATTACGACAATTGCGACAAGTTTCCCAGGAAAAACCCGTTAACTGAAAGACTTGAACAAAATAAAAGTAAGATAAATAGTAAAAATATTAATTTAAAAGATTTCATGGCTTGAGATCCGGATCGAAGCGACGGGTGAGACAATGATTACAGCGATTTCCAGCGATTGAGTGACTAAGTTGACGGATCTTCTCGTATGCGATTTCATACTCATCTGTGGTTGAAGGATCTAAATTAAAAGCTTAAAACTTTCAGATTTTATTTTCCTAGTTGAAAACTTCAATTGCCCCGGGATTTATCAGCTTCGTCATATCAGCTCTTACATAACTTATTCCTAGTTGAAAAATCTTAAACCAAAGCAAAATTTTGTGAAACTTACGGGTCGGAATGAACATAGATTTTGTCAGCACAGACGATCCTGCCGCCTTTTGATTTGCTGGAGGCACGTTCACTCCAGAATTTAACAATGATCCACGCATCGATTTGGAGCCGGCTATTGACGGAGTTTTCGATGGCACTGATGTTTGTAGGGGCTAAATATTAAATTTTTAAAAACAAAATATGTAAGAGTAACCCTTGAAACTGATGGAGAAGCGGTGGTTAATCCCGGGATTTTCCGTTTAGCCGTCTTCTCGTATACCCCACCATCAGCATCTAGAGGAGTCATTGTACAAATTAGATTAATTGCAAGGTTTTAATTACAAAAGCTAATTCTCTGCGTTGTTATGGAAACAATAGTCATAGAAAAACAATTATTTATCAGCAATCGTTCAAAATACTCACCTATACCGTTCCTTCCAAAAGTGAAAATGGTTGTTCTGAATCTGATGGTGCGCTGATTTCCGGCCGCATGTTGTTCAATGGCCCTTGCCGTCACCGTGTCATTATTTTTAATTTCCTGAAAAGAACTAAAGGATATTTGAAAGAAAAAACATACATTGTTCAGATTTTTCGACGGCGGTCGGAAAGTGTTTCGAGTGGCATAGACCGTTTCCTAAAACAAAAGAATAACAGTAATAGAAGCAAAGCAACCTCACCTTTTTGCCTCCGCAGTTGGGTGACTCGATATAGGCAAACTCTCCTTTCGAATCAACGCTAATAATCTAAAATTATCTCAAATCACTAAGAAACAAAATCGAACCTTTCCGACACAATCGCAAATTTGCGGCTTTTTGTGCCATTTGGCTGACATGGCTTTATGAGTGATCCCCGTGAACGACAAATCTGGGCCCTGAGTATTAGATATTGGATATAATCGGTTAAACAAGTAAACAAGTAAATTTGGCTGACATAAAACTATAACTTTCCAGCTTTTATAACAGTTTGTACAGAAACGCTACAAATCTTAAAAACCAGTTTCCATGACCACCCGCCAAATGCAATTTACTTCAATTTTTTCAATTTCACTCCAGGGTGAAAATTTTCAGCTTTAAACGCTAAAAAGTATATGACAGACGGGCGCACTGACGTTTTATAAATATTGGCTTACGCTTACGGATTTATAAGCTTACGCTTATAAATATTGGCTTACGGAAAACGCTCACTTCGTTCGCGTTTTTCGATGGCGACGCTCTTTCTTTCAAATGACTAAAACTACCATAACCCATGTTAAGCCTCGCCCCTTTTTAAAAATGAACCTAAAAATCAGATTCCCCATAGCTGAAAACGCCCGAGAGCAAAATATCGCGCGCAAAAGCTGAATACTTTGCCTTTTAACCGATAGAGCAAACGTAATTACGGACTGTCGCGTTTGCGCACAGACAGACAAACAGACAGACGTCTTTTCTGCTTTATATATAGTAGATATAAAACTAACAGGTTCCCATTTTCGCGCTGTCACCTGCACCAAATCGCCATTGTTTACGACTTTTGCGTGTTTCACGATTTCAATCGGCACATAAACCGAATAGGCAACGTTGCTGTTTTCTGACTAAAATGCGCGTAAACATTTTAAACAAAATACCCAACTTTTAATCTTAAAACTAAACCCTACTTTTAATTTGACGACCCAATATTTGTCGTTTGCGAAAGCGATTGCGCCAATGCCCGAAATCTCTTCACTCATAACACTGAAAAAGAAACATTAGTTGAGTTTTACCGTGTCAAAAAAAAATAAAAGATGAGCTGGGCTGGAAATGCATGAAAGTCACAATGCTTACGCGATGAAATTTGAAGAAAAGACTACACACACGCAAAAAAATGGCCGGGTCAGGTGAAAGAGAAAGATAAAGAAGAAAACGACAGAAATCTTCTTCCAATTGACAAAATGATTTAGACGCTTACGATAATGAGCAACTTATCGTTTCATGGAATGGAGATAATCCGATTGAAGTTAATAAGGTGATCAAAAAATAGGTATCAGTATAATATTTTGATCTCAGGAGATTCGAATGCCAGACATGCGATTACGAGACATTAAATGGCGTGTGAGAAATGATCCTTATGCTACAGGTTGGTCTTACTAGTACCAAGGGCTTTTTACACAAAAATCAACTAGTCCTGTTGAGCAATTCTTCACTCTTCACTTCCAGGTGTCTGGTCATGTGCCTTAGCCGAATTCTACGTGGATCGCGAGATTCTCCATCATGTCATCCAATCCTACATCCCGACAACACTAATCGTCATCATTTCGTGGTTCTCTTTTTGGTTAGACGTTGAAGCAGTGCCTGGTAAAAACCGGATCTTATTTGATTGATGATGAGGAAACAAAAGTTCAGGTCGAGTTTCTCTTTCAATCACCACTCTTCTCACATTGGCTACACAAAGCTCAGCCGCTAGGATGGCCCTGCCGCAGGTATAACGAATTATTTTTCCAATTCTCTTTTGGCGTCACCCCTTTGAATGCCGTGCGCCATTCACGTCCCCGCACAGCGCACTGTTGATCACTTTTCGTGAAGCATTATGGACGAAGACTTACAAAAATGAACTGAAAGCTAACTTACTAACAGAGATGCAGCAAAAGCCTGTTACTTACTTTAGGTACATTAAGATCTTTCAGGGTAATAAAATAAGCAAAATAAAACTCAATGGTTGAAACTCTTTGCAGGACATAGGCGCCGGTGTTGCAATCGACGATGAAGTAAAGAAATTCAAGATCTCTTTTTTTCGATATGCACCCTCGTATTTACACCTCGTGAACGCACCCTACCCCAACAAAAAAAAAACAGAAAACAAACTTTTGCCGAAAAAGCAAAAGCTCCTTTTTGAAACTTTTCCAACTATCCTTTACGTTCCACGCAAGCCAACGACCACAGCCTTTTTAAGTTTTTTTTTCTCTAGTTAATTTTTTCCTTTTACTAATGAACACACCAAAATAGGATATCCTTTTTCTTTTATTTTCGAATTTTTTTCAAATTTTCAACAGTGCGCTTAAAGAGGTTGTGGTGCTCTCCGAAAGATGAGAGATTCTTTTGCGGTGTTAGTTCGCTCCGAGAATATTCATTAGGCTTTTGTGATCAAGTTCGACTCTGTTATTGAGTCTAGAAAAGCATTTAGATCACACTCAAGATTCCCCCCACCGAAAACCAACTTGTTAAGTGATTCGTCCGATTTGCAGTGGCCAACGCCTACATTAAAATGCTAATCTATAGAAAGCCACAGCCTCTACAGCGCTATTAATGGATAATAAACTCAAAGAAAAAAACCTTCTATAGGCATCCTACGTGAAAGCTATCGACGTGTGGATGGGCGCTTGTATGGCTTTCGTTTTCTCGGCGATGATCGAATTCACCGTTGTCAACTATTGCACAAGACGAAAACAAACAAAGAAAAATCGCGAGGTTGAGTGAAAACTAAATCAAAAAATATATCCATTATAGGCTCGAGGTCTAACGCAACAAATTCAAGACCTAGTACGAGATTATCGCGAGAAAAGGGAGGCTGAAAAGAATGTAAGTATTTTCTGAAAGAATATAAGTATTTCTAAGTATCTTCTCACTTTTAAATGTTTCAGCAAGCCCCAAATCCCGTCTACGAATGCTCGTTGATCAACGGTGATTCGGGTTCAACAACGGTGCTTGCAAAGAGGCAAATCCGAGAAATGAATCAAGCTCCATATTTCTTTCAAAGAAACATCCTACCATCAACGAGGAGAAAAAAGCTAGAAGAGAGGTAACGAATAAGAGTCAAAAAAACTCTCATGTAAATCCATCATCAACGATTCTTCACTGATAACACTTCTTTTGATCTAAATCTAAATCTAAACTCAATCCAATACAAGAAACTAAATAACTCCCTCTTACCTTATCAACTTATATCCATCCAATCTCATAATAATTTCCATCAAAATCCAACTTACCCCACCCATTATTAGTCCATCAAGTCCGACGACAACGCCAAAGAAAACCGGGCGTCAAATGAGGCAAGAGAGGTAGGTAGAAAAGGATGCACAAAAGATCTCAGATCTCGATGTCCGGTAGACGAGAGAAATTCCCTCGTTATCGATAGCTTTTCCTTAGCGTGCCATTTTCAACATTTTTCCCTCTCTCACTTCCCACCTATCCGCGTTGCTCCCAATCAAAGCATGGCCGTGTTTTTTTTCCCCTCCCATCTTGCAAGCAACGATATGCTAACCTTTTTTTTACCCAGTTTGCGTGAAACCTCTCTAAACCGTGAACTAAAAAAAAAAAAGAAACGAAAATAGAAAATTCTCATTCTAAATATGGTCCTCTTAGCGCCACGGCTCGAACTCGCTCGAAACTCGAGGAAAGGTAAATACAAAATCGTGCATATAGAAACGCTGATATCTAGCCGGTTTTTGCGAAAAAAAAAATAATGACAATCCTTTTCCAAATAGCTACACGTTCTTGAAACGAATAACCAAAGCATTCCTAAATGCATGAATTTTCCCCCCTTTACCCAGCTTTTTTTATAAACGGTTCAACGTTTTGGATCTCTTTTTCTAAAGCATACGACTAGAGTCGACTAGAGTAGAGTCGTTATTGTCCCAAACAAATTCGGCTTTTTTTTTCGCTTGCTTAAGGTATTTTGTTCAAGCTTAATAAAGTTGGCTTCTAAAGAGCACAAAAAAGTGTGAGCAAGTTTAACAAAACTAACCACGAATTTAGTTTGAGACAATCGTAGATCCAAAAAAATCTAGTGAAATCTTGTTGATTGTTTTCAAAAAAAACAATAGGCATGGCAATAACGTCTTCCTTTTTTTTATTTAAAGGGCATGACGCAAATTTTCCTATTTGACGCATGAGTGAAATCAATAATCACGGGATGAAATCAAAAACCCAAATTTTCAGAATCAACCGAGTCGAGGAGAATCGCAAATACGCGCAAATGATCGACCGGAAGAGTCGAGTGTATTTCCCGCTTGCTTTCATTATTTTCAACCTTATCTACTGGGTCTACTATCTATACTTTGCCGATGATCACATTGACGCCATCGAGTAGAGATTCCTACCAAAAAAGAACAAACAATCAACCTTATGTGGACTTAACACCTCAAGTAAGCGGTTCTCCTCGTTGCGTGCAAAGTTGAAGTACATCGAAAATCAAAAAGTAAACTAGAACTACCGCTTGATCACTAAACCGATTATTTCTGTCCAAAGCTATAAAAGCACCTAACTTTAAGCTCACCTCACCAATTTCAGAAAACAACGTTCAACTCGATACGGGCGCTTTGTAGAATCAACAAAATGAACATATCATTTTCTCCTCGTCAAAGACTTTCTCTAGTTATGGTATTTCAACCATAGGATTCAGGTCAAAAAGTACGGTAATAAAAATTTATTATAAACTCTAAAAAAATAACAAAATAACAATTAGAATCAACAACAAAGGCACAAACGGTAAAAATTAAGATTCATTTTTTGAAGGCGCTTCCGTTGCATAACCCGCCGCAATTCCGGAACGTCCCTCGGTGACTTTAAGCTAAAAACACTTTTATAAAGAATTTTACGTATTTCATAAACCATTGTTAAAACTAAGCCTTGCATTTTCTTGAATATAAATCTTTTCAAGTTTACCTCTTCATCGATCCGTATACTATCGTCGAGGCCATGCCATGTGCGTTCCTTGAAGTAATCGCCTAAAAATAGAATTAAAGAAGTTAAATTTATTTTTATGGTTATTTTAACTCATAATAACTAGACCCACCAGCTGAATACAGAGCAATTTGTTTATCCGTTCCATCCGGCTCATCACTTTTTGCCGTCTTGCCTCCATCGACGCGAATATTCCCACTGACGAGACTCACCTCAACCCTTCCATCTTCCTCATGCTCGCCAATCTGATCTTAAACAAAAAGTACTTGTGAATCCAAAATTCAAACCATCTAGAATCTGTCCAAATTCGGCACTCCATCCCGCTTCGGCAGCCCAAGATTTTGTCGGATTCAGCGCCATCTCGGCCTAAATGAAAATTATACATCTATTTTTTGTGCTCGAGAATGTAAAATACCTCAAAAATTGAAACAACCGGCTTGAAGTAATCATTTGTCTCAAGTAGTACACCAAATGGGCAAGAGATCAGCACAAAAGCGTCGATTTCTGAGAAGTTTGACAGCTTCGCGACATTGATCTAAAAATAAACCATCAGTTTATGCTTTTTGTTCAAGTTTTTTTTCGCTCGGAAACCCATAGATGTATCTTCAAAGAAACTAATTTTAAAGACTCTCCGCCAAATAGTGAGTCATTCTTGTGTTTCACAACACTCTTCAAAGAAAAACTTAAATAGTGATCAAGAGAGTTAAATAATTTATGACATCAGCGTGATCGGATCAAAAAGGGTTCAAAAAAGAACAAGGAAAGACTTTTCGCGGCTCTTCAAGGACACAGCGATATAAATAAAATCGTTTGCGATTTCAGTGGATCAATATCTCATTTTGTTATTTTTTAAAAACCTATAACAAATGTACTCGCTTATTGTGCTAGCATCATTATTAATCGGATCCGATGCCCTATTCGGTTTCGGTTTTGAGCAGGTGAGTGACTAAGAGATATATCATCAAAAAAGCTATATCGCGCAACTCTAGACTGTCTCTGTTCGAGGACGTCTGATGTGCAATGGTCGACCAGCACAAGGAGTCATTGTGAAAATGTATGACAAAGATCTTCGTAAGTAAACGAAAAACAATGCTTAATACATCAATTTTCTAGTCTTTGATTCAAAGATGGGTGAAACGATTACGGATAGCGATGGTTTTTTCAGTCTTGTCGGACATGGTCATGAAATCACGTAAAATAACATCTAACTTCTCTCAACCGTCTAAAATTTTAGTGATGTTGATGCAAAAGTTAACTTTTACCACAACTGTGAGAGCAGCGTGTTGAGGGTAAGATTTTTGCTTTCATTTTTAACGTACAAGACCAATTTTAGTGCAAGAGGAAATTCTCCATCTTTATCCCCGATAAATATATCACTCGAGGAAGTCACCCCAGCATGACATACGATTTTCATCAGGTACGAAATATCGACGAATCTTTTCTACTATTTTTAGATGGAATTGGCCGGAAGATACCCCGACGAGAGCCACGATTGCTTACACAGACGGAGATAGTTTTTGTCCATTAATTGTCAAAACTCATTTCAATAAATTCTTACCTTGCCGACTGAAATCGCATACGCCTTCTTTGAAGCAGTCTGACAAAGCATCCGAAGTCTGGTGACAGCTTCGCGGTGCCCTTTGATTCCAACAGTTCCAACGACGATCCCAATCTGAATTTGGTCAATTAATTCGAAAAATAATCTCCCTTGCCAGAATTTTCAATGTGTTCTTAATGCAAAAAGTACCGTTCTTGCATCACGCAATTTCTCAAGCAGAAAAAGCCGACGTCGAAGTTGTCGCCACGATGAAGATCTGGAAAGATATCTTTAGATCCACAATTGGTTTACATATAAAGCTAATAAGCTCTTTTTTATCAATTTCATTTTTCATGGAAAACCCTCAATGAAATGAGATTAACTCCTTATCTTCAATTTGCAAAGTAGACAAAATGAAAGTGATAAGATCTCTCCGATCCAGTCACGGATACTTGAGTCTCCTCAATTTCGAGGACGATTGACCCGCCATTGTGTCCGCACACATGAGTCAAGGTTATCCAAAAGTGAAACAATACGACGCGAAGAAAATCGAAATGAGAGAGAAAAACAAACTGTCCAGATCACGATCTTCATCTTTGTTCTATTGCTTTTACCCCCTTTCACTGACTGTGAGAGGGAAACAAGTTTTTTTTTGTCGTCTAGTGAGAGTGAGAGGAATGAGTTTGACGTCTGACTGACTGCTTTTCTCCGATGCTCATTTAAACTCTGCAGTTTTTCTCAATGGAGTGGAGCCCAGGTCACACATAGTTGAGAAAGGGAAAGTGTGTAAGCGATCCGAGCAAAACGCATTATAAAAGGGTGGTGACATGGTGGGGACTCGCTCAGTCCAAGCCCAAGCAAGGAGTGAGAATGGCTCGTCTACTCGTGACTCTTGCCGCCACTGCTAGCGGTGTCGCTATTTTTGGAGCACTCGTTTGTGTTGCCTATTTATTCAATGACATCAACAATTTCTACTCAGAGTCACTCGAGGACATGGCTGAGTTCAAGGTTCATTTTAAGCTTTCAAAAATTTGTTTAAAAGATGCCATTGTACAACCTAAAACAACACTGTCAGGTTGCAAACACGTAATAAGTAATTTCAAAAAAATTTCAGGCCTATGCCAACGATGCGTGGTCTCAAATGGTCCTAACTACCGCTTCTTCTGGTTCTTCGGCGGCTTCTCGAAACACCATATTCGGTCGCCATAAGCGTTCGGGAGCTGCTTGCAATTGTGGAGAGCAACCCAACAGCTGCCCACCAGGACCACCCGGACCCCCAGGAGCCCGTGGAGATGATGGATCTAATGGAGACGCCGGACAGCCAGGAAACCCCGGACAAGCTGGACTCAAGATTCCAAATGACAGCTATGATGTCAAATCATGCATCGTCTGCCCAGCCGGACCTCCTGGACCACAAGGACCCGATGGTGATTCTGGACCAGCTGGACCCGACGGACAGCCCGGACAAGATGGAGAACCAGGAAATGATGGACAGCCCGGATTCCCTGGACAACCTGGAGACGCTGGACAAAATGGAACCCCCGGAAACGCCGGACAACCTGGAGCCCCAGGACAGAACGGTATTGCCTGAAAGAAAACAAAACTGTTTATTTTCAGGAACCCGTGGACGTGGACAACCCGGACAGAGAGGAGCCCCTGGACCAGCTGGAGCCCCAGGACAGCCTGGGCAAGGTAACAACAAGCAAAAGAAATACTCAAGTATCAACTATGATACTTAGATGGACAATCTGGACAGCCAGGAAACCAAGGCCCACAAGGACCCGAGGGACAACCCGGAGCCAATGGACAGCCCGGACCCGATGGACAGGTGATTCAATCAAAATTAGTGAACTTTAAATAGTTCTAGTTTCAAAATGTCACTGAATCTAGACTAAAACTTGTGCACAAAAGTCATCAACCCTAAACATAGAGTTGATTTAGAGCGGACAGCCCGGAACCGATGGAACCCCCGGCCCAGATGCCGCCTACTGCCCATGCCCACCCAGGTAAACTTGATGATATTGATATAATATTAACAATATGTCCTTTCAGGTCATCAGCCATCGTCGGTGGACCCTCAAGCGGAGGATATCGTCGCCGTCGTGCTTAAACATGCGAATAAAGCTTCTTTTCTTTCAAAAAAAAAATCCACGTTTCCATCTAGAGCATTTCACTTTTTTCTGCTACATGCATTTGACAATGAGTTCAGTTTCGGAGAATTTTATTGTCGACAAAATCTGGCAAGCGATGCTATTCACACACAGTCAAGGCTAACGGGAATTACGCAACCAAGAGGCGAAAAACAGCAAAAGAAACTTGCCTAGTGGGTTCCCCGATGGGATGGTCGATCCTCAAGGTGACAAATGAAAGAATCGCGAGAATTGGATGGAGGAAAGGAAAAGAGAGACACGGTTAGCCTTATTCCTTGCCAAAAGCGCCTAAAGGCAAAGAAAGTCCTAAATGTTCCTGGCAGCCTCAAATGATTTGTATAAAAGGGCTGCGAGGTGGAAAATTCTCCGAACTCCGTCAACATGAGCGTCAAGGTATCGTTTGGCTCATCCGATTTGGAATTTAACTTTGTTCTAGGTTATTGCTACTTGCGCATCTTTGGGTAGCGCCATTGTGCTAGTGAGTGCGGTGGTCAGCCTAGGGTATCTCTTCAATGATATCCACTCTTTCTACTCGGAGGCCGTTTCCGATATGAGTGAATTCCAATTGTACGCCAACGATGCCTGGACTAACATGGTAAAATTCATTTAAATTCTTAAAAACACTAGAGAAGCATTGAACACTACCTAAAAATAATTTTCAGGTTAACAGTATGGCTGGAACAACCGCCAGTAATGCCAAGAACTTCGATACCATTTTCGGACGACACAAAAGGTCAAATGCCAAATGCAACTGTGGCCCTAAACCCAACGGATGTCCCGCTGGTCCACCAGGACCTCCAGGAGAAGGTAGGAGAAAAATACTAATGTCTCATACTACCACTCTGTTAATAATAAGCATCCAACAATAATATTAAGCCGGCAAACCGGGAGACAATGGTGACATGGGAAAGCCTGGAAATCCTGGTATCAAAGGAGTCGCACAAGGAATGTCGGATACACCCAGTGGCTGCATCAAATGCCCACCAGGACCTCCCGGACCCCCTGGACCCGAGGGAGCCGCTGGAGAATCAGGCCCAGCTGGATCAAAGGCAGATGATGGCAAGCCCGGAGCCAAAGGTCAAGATGGACCCGACGGCGAGCCTGGTGATGCTGGAAAGAATGGAGAGCCTGGCAAACAAGGAGAGCCCGGAAAAGCCGGAGAAAATGGTTGGTCTAATTTCAAAACGTTCCTGAACCAACAATCAAACTTAATTTTTAAATCACGAAAAATTTAGGAACAAAAGGCAAAGGAGCCCCTGGACCCGCTGGAGCACCAGGACCAATTGGACCAGCTGGAGGAGCCGGAGCTCTGGGAGCAGCAGGACAACCTGGCAAGGATGGAACCCCCGGACCTGCTGGAAACAAAGGAAAAGACGGTGACAAGGGTCACGATGGAGAGGGTGGAGTGCAAGGAATTGTCGGAGCCCCGGGACCTGACGCTGCCTACTGCCCATGCCCTCCGCGGTCCACTGAGATCATTGCTAAGGCTAACGGTGGAGACAAAGCTACGGATGCTGGCTCTGGCTATGTTTACCGAAAATAACTCAAGAAAATTTGCTTTAATAAAATTTTTAAATGAAAAATAAACACCTGTCAAATGAAGTCGCTCCTTGATTTGGTTCATAGTGAAGTATCCCTGAGCAATGTGGGTAGGTGAGGAGAAATAATGGCAACAGCGGGCTCTTCTCATCGCCAATGAAGAGAATGGTCGAGGATTCGGTAGCACTTGCAACAGATTTAGGCAATACTCGTCCTAACACCATTTCCTAAACAATTACATCGTTATCGAAACACCTAAACAAAAATAAACCTCATTTTCTGAAAGTTGAGTTCCCAAAGTAGCTACTTTAGCCACAATTGTTGGGTGGCGTCCTGCCAATGAAAGTTTTAATAAGCAGTCATCTGAAAATTTAAAGCGTTCGAAATTTTCTATAAAAAATACGAACCTATTGCATAAGCATATGGGGCATCGGTTAAAAAGATAATTTGCTCTTCCGTGGAAATCTCCGTGATTTGATCGCGAATTGTACTCACAAATTGATCAACGTCAAAAGGAAGTCTCCCAAGAACATATCTAAAAATTATTGTTATCGTTGTTAAACTAAAATTTAAACCTAACTGGGATGTTCGTAGAAGGACTACTCAAGCAAGCATCGCCATAATGTACAATTGAGTCACATGATGCGTGTGCGGCTGCGATTTCATCGACACAACAGCTAAGCATTCATGTAATGATAAGAGGTAATAAAAATTTCCAATACCTTCTATATGACGTATCAGCTAGTATAAATGTCTTCGCCGACGATCGATCCTCAATTATTCTGCTCACACCACTTGCGTAATGTAGAAAGGCATCCGGAAATTGCAAGGCCACTCGTTGATAGTTATTCTCTTTGATCCAGGAAACCGTTGAGTCAACTTCGAAGAATAAATCAACACTCGTAGTCGATAACTAAAGAAAACTTTTAGAATGATTTGCATAAATTTTTCAATTTTCCACTTGCTATACTTTACTTGTAAAACCAATGAATGCAATTAAAAATCACCTGAAAATCTTGCGACACTTCAATGCCCAGATTGCTCTCTTTTATTCGATCATCGTTTGAAAAAAGAACTGGCTGGGGTCTCGTTTCACTTTCCTCCATCACCGCCTAAATTTATTTTTAAACAACAATAGCAAAACAATAAAAGGAAAACAGAACAATAAAAGAGATCTTAAAAATTCATTGCCAACTGAAAACTTTCTTTGGGATAAGCACACGAAGATCTCGTTGTGCAATCGCTTCTTCCAATTGGTCGAATTTCGGCAAACCGACCGCCTTTTTGGACAAACCGTCAATTTCCCCAAATCCGACCAGCGATGGCTTTGAATGTAGCATTTTTTGGGCCACTCGAACAATGTCTTCGTTTGTCACATTGTCAATCAAGCGCATCGTTTCTTCGGGTTTCCTCCGATGACCATGTGCAATCACTTGACGAGCCAAGTCCTCAAAAATTACTGGTCGAACCTCTAAGTTCATCATTATTTGAGATTTTAATTGCACCTTTGCGCGACTCAACTCATCATCGTCAACTCCTTCGCCCAATCTCAAAAATTGATCGGCAATCACAATGAGTGCCTCGTTGAGATTATCTGGTGGGCAAGATGCCTGGATACAAAATAAGCCAGCATCCGAATAGGAATAGTTGAAAGCCGTACATCTGTAAAGCCAATGACACCGATTCAGCACATCAACATAGAGCCTTGTAAACATCCCTTTCCCAGGCCCTCCAGCAGAGAATGACCCACCGCCACCGAGTAGTGCTTGTAGAACACAAAATGGAACAAAGTCTTCACTCCTATAGCCGGCTCCCTCAAATCCCAAAGCCACATGTGCCAAATGTGGATATGGAGTCCCAAGTCCAACTTGTGATAGATCACATTTTTTTCGAATCTCTCCACCAGTGTATTGTGTAGTGCTTTGATCGATTTCCGGCACTTTTTCATGAAGAATTGATTTGTCTAACGCCCAAGTCGAAGTTCTTTCATCGAAATATGTTTCCGCCAACGAGTAAAACTCTTTGTGCGGAACACCGACTCCAGCCAGGACTATCCGATTGGGAGCATAGTATTTTGAAAGATAGCCGAAAATTCGTTCTCTCGATATTTCCGAGAAAGCCTCCGGATTTCCATACTTTGAGAATCCCAAAGTATTCGATCGAAAAGCCGCCTGATGAATGCGATCATTCAGAAATGGTTCAATCTCGATTTGTTCCCCCAATTCTTTGCTCTCAAAGTCACTTGCCGAAAATGCATCCATAATCTCCTCTGGGTGGATTTTTGGTCGAAAAATCGCATTTGAGATGATCTCCAACATTTCGCTCAATCGATCCCTGTGACATGAAGTTGCATAAATGATTGTGTCCCTTGTCGATTGGCAATCAACCAATGCTCCACTCTTCTCCAAAACTGAAGCAATTTCCTCCCGCGAGCTGTGTTTGAGTGTTGAAGCGAATGCAAGTTTTTCGATGATATTGGTGAGTCCTTTCGGGTGAAGTGCCTCAAAACGCGATCCACTCTCGATGGCGACGCCGACCGTGCAAAACTCTCCAATATACTCCTCACTGGCTACTCGGAGTCCATTGCTGAGTTTTGACATTTGTGTGTCGAAGGGAACATATGCGTGAGTCGAGTTGTCCGTTGCGCTTTTCACCGTCGATGTTGAGTAGGGCAAAACGAGATGTTCTTTCAGGCAAACTTTCGTTGGATCCTTGATTGTGCTGTAATGGCGGCATGATCGAAGAAGCGCCTTCTTCAACATGATCTAAACACATCAACATTAGTATTAAACTCAAACTCAATAAAAAAAAGCTCAAAAGTGAATTGAAGAAACGGCTCATGAGGTAAGACAGCATATTTTATAATCTAAATGTAGAAAGGACTCTCAATACTATTGACGCCAAATTCGACAGGGACGTTTAAAAAAAGCAGAGGTGAACGTTGAAGTTAAGAGATTTCTCTCTTTTGAGTAAACTAATCGGTCCAAAATGAGTCTAAATGTTATTTAGTGAAATTTCGCCTAATCTAACCAAACCAAAATTTCATCAATAAGTATCAAAGTTGTTTTATTACGTCCATTTCCGCGCAAAAGATACTGGCCACAATCATTTTATTAAACCGCCAATCTTATGACAATGAGAATTCAGTATGGAACATAAAGCAAGTGGAGAAATACATTATAGAACACAAGTGGTAGATTAGAGTATTGTATGAATTCATTTCGTAGGTTGATCGGTCCAACACGACACGTCACCACGACTAAGCGGCCTTCGACTTCACGGGCTCTTCGGTAGGGGCGCTAGGTAAAACAAAATATTTGTTTGGAAACGACAAGATGTCAAGTTTTGAGCTTATTGCATGAAAAAGCTTACGTGTATTGATGCTCTTGGCAGCAGCTTCCTTCTTGTTGTGGCGCTGAGACTTCTCGCCAGCGGGTACGGCTCCCTTGGACACAGTCTTTCTAAATAAAAATGGTTTTTAAAACTTTGGATCCAGAAATTAGCGCAAATGTTCAAAAACAACTTACTTTCCGTCAGCGGCTCCCTCGTTTTCTTCTTCACTCACACCACTGTCCTCCTTCTCCTTGGCTTTTTTTTTTTAAAAAAAAGGGCCACCCCCAAGTTAAAAAAAAAACAAATAGGGCCCCCCCCCCCTCCCCCCATTTTTTTTTTTTTTTTTTTTTAAAAAAAAAACCCCCCCCCCCATTTTTTTTTTGAAAGGGGCCCCCCCCTTTTCCCCCTTTTGAAAAAAAAGGGAAATGAAGAAAAAAAAAAAAAAAAAATAAAAAAAAAAAAAATAAATTTTTTTTTTTTTTCTAAAAAAACCCAAACCCCCAACACCCCCCCCCTCTTTTAACAAAAACCGAACCCCAAACCCCACCCCCCAAAAAAAAAAAAAAACAAAAAAAAAAAAAAAAAAAAAAAAAAAAAAAAAAAAAAAAAAAAAAAAAAAAATTAAAAAAAAAAAAAAAAAATTTTTTTTTTTTTTTTTTTTTTTTAATAAAGAAAGAAGAGAATATAATTAAATAAATTTTTTCCCCTTAAATTAATAAAAAAAAAAAAAAAAAAAAAAAAAAAAAAAAAAAAAAAAAAAAAAAAAAAAAAAAAAAAAAAAAAAAAAAAAATATTTTTTTTTTGTGGATTTCGGAAAAAAAGAAGAAAGAATATAAAAAGGAAGGTTGACAGCTCCTTCCCCAACAACTAAAAATAATATAATATAAAAAAAAAAAAAAAAAAAAAAAAAAAAAAAAAAAAAAAAAAAAAAAAATAAAAATATTTTATTTTGGTAGTTAGTATTTATATTTGAAAGGGAGAAAAAAAAAGGAAAAAAAAAAAAAAAAAAAAAAAAAAAAAAAAAAAAAAAAAAAAAAAAAAAAAAAAATAAATAATTAAATAATTTATTATTAAAATAAATATATAAAAAAAAAAATAAAAAAAAAAAAAAATATTATAATTTTTAATTTTTTTGTTGGTTTTCTTTCCCGGGTTTGGTCCCCGGGGTATTTTTTGCCATCCTTGTATTTAAGGAGTTGTTTTTTTTTTTTTTTTTTTTTAAAATCAAAAAAAAAAAAAAAAAAAAAAAAAAAAAAAAAAAAAAAAAAAAAAAAAAAAAAAAAAAAAAATTTTCCCCCAACTCCTTTACCGTCCCATCCTAACAAAAAATAAAAAAAAGAAAAAAAAAAAAAAAAAAAAAAAAAAAAAAAAAAAAAAAAAAAAAAAAAAAAAAAGGATAGAGAGGTGTGGGTGGATTTTGTTTTTTTGGTTTTTTTTATTTTTTTTTTTTTTTTTAAATAAAATATTTAAAAATAAAGAAAAAGGGGAAAAAAAAAAGAAGAAAATAAAAAAAACAAAGCACCCATTGATCTATAAAAACGAATACTTGAAACTTCAGTAAAAACTGCTAACTGCTATGACTAATCTATAGGCTGCTACAAAATTACTACGAAATATGAATAAAGCCTACATAAAACTACAGTCGACTCCCTATAACGAAATTATATAGCGGAAAACTCTATATAACGGCATGGAATTTTGGTCCCGGCCGACGCTAAGCTATATAAAACGGCACTCTATATAACGGAAACATTTTTTGGTCCCTTCCATTCCGTTATAAAGAGAGTCGACTGTATTATGCACATGGTAACTACTATAAAATATGAAATAAACGATGCCAAATCAATTAAATTAAATAACGAAGTCAAAAAACAATAAAGACACGAAAAAAACTCACGAGTAGTTCAGAAGACATCGAGGCCCTCGTCGATCGGAAGAGATGGAAATGAGAATTAACAGTCAATTTTCGTTTTTATGAAAGTTTAAATGGAAATTTCCGATACTCGAACGTGAATTTGTTCGATTTACAATACCTTTTTGCGACCTTTCCCCGAGAAAATCCTGGGTTGGCGCTTTAAAGCGTGGTAAAACTACCGTATACCTCCTAATTTGCAGCTGTAAAACAAACGCGGAATTTCATTCTTGTTCTTCAGTTCTTCTTCACTTTATCCGCATTTCTCAAAAACTGTGCAACAGATCGAGATCAAATTTTGGCGTATAATCAATAAAACTTCGATACTTATTAGAAAAAATTTGAGAAAAAGTTTAGTTTTTTTCAAAAGTTCGTCCGAAGATCCATCTCATATTCCCCAATACTTTATTCAGGATACGAATGCGCAAAGGTTAATACACATGAATTGTACACATATATACGAAAAGGACCAATAGAAAGAAGAATGATATAATGTTTATAATACTTGGGTAGCACAGATAAAGCGAACTATACGGTTCAACTAGAACTACAACGTGCTGTGCGTGAGAGAGGAATCGAAGGTTAAGCATTAAGCACCATAAAATCAAGATCAACTAGAACTACAAGGTCACGTCACTTTCATCGTACTTCACCAGAAGCGGAATAATCGGATGATCCCTGAAATGAAAGAAGTTCTTATTTTTGTTTTTAAAAGCAAGAGCCCAAAAACAAGACAACTCCTCACTTGATGTGTACGACGCGAAGTGCCGATTTTGAGAGTGTCATACTGGGGAAATCGCTCCAGCGCGTATTCCTGAAGTCAAAGCGTTCGCACTAAACCATAAAAATTACTGGTGGCATTCACAACTTTGGGCCCTTTTCCCAAAGATGTTGACTCTTTCACCTTGTTCGTCGTTCGTGATCCATCAAATCCACCACACGCAATCAGCTCCCAGCCAGAGTCCACATTACTGAAGGGCGAAACGGCAAAGTTTGATCGTGTGATTGACATATCGCTCGTCTGGTGCCATTTTCCCTCTCGAATGTCGCAAAACTCGAGGCTCTTCAAGCGATTTGTTCCATTGTAGCCTAAACGAGCCAGTTCCAAATCAATTATTCAAAAGAATTCGAGTCTAAGATCAAAGCATACCTCCAACCGCAGCAATCACGTGATCATTGATGGACACAGCGCCGACTCCCGTCCTTCTGGCGTTCATTCGTTGACTCAACTCGTGCCTAAACCCAATGGAATCAATTAAAAGCTGCTGTAAACTCAACTTACCATGTGTTATGATGAGGATCATAGATTTCACAAGTGTTGTGAATCTCGACTCCATCGAATCCGCCGACACACACCAACTTCCCGTCTTGCATGCGCACAATGGCAGCATCCGATCTAAATGTTTAAAATTCACTTATCAAAAAATACTTTCTTACCTTGCTCGCTGCATATTTGCCACTCGACACCATTGATTCTCCTGAATTTTGTACACTTCGGCACTTCGCATCCTCGCACTCCCGTTGAAACTAAAACGAGTTGTTAGTAAGCTTCATAGCACAAAAACTAACCCTCCAGCTGCAAAGATATGATCTTTGTCGTATGCACAAGCGCTAACATAACATCGATGTTCGTTCATTGCTCCCCGATCTTCCCATTTCTAAACAAAGTTTCTTAAAAAGCACAAAAGTACCACACATACCAAAGTGTCCATGTTGAAAGAGCGAGTGTGTGGAAAATAGTCGGTGCCGTCAAACCCGCCAACCACAAAGAGTTGACTCCCAACAAGCACCTAAAACCAATCTCTTCTTAATCTCAGTCCAAAAACGCCCACCAATCCATGATATGCGCGATGTTGTTCAAGCATGGTGACCGGAGCGGGAATCCATTGCTTCGATCGCTCGTTCCACGTTTCAATGACATTTGTTGGACCCGTCGGTGACCAGCCTCCTGAAGTTTACGTAGTTAAAGAAAACTATAAACCACTCACCAAGTGACAGAAGAATGCTTCGTGGGACACGGGCTTTGAACACAAGATTGTGGGATCTAAACAAATCATAGTCAATGATAAAATGCTAAACATACTTGTCCTCGGCGTTGAAGCGCATGTGCTCATCGGCAAAACTTCGAAATGATGCGGCTTGTGCGTAATCTTGTGTCTAAACAAGGAGTTGATTTTAAATTTGTAACTTTAAGCGGACAAAAAATGCGAAACCAAACTTACCGCAATCCATCCTTTGACAGCGGCCGCTTCTTGGTTCGTGGCAATGTTCAAATTCGGTTCCAGCATCAAACGTTCCATTTCAGAGCATGTTAGTTGTTTGTACTCTTCAGTCTCCAACAACTAAATCAACAAATGTAACATTGACTGACGTTTAGCGATAAAATTGTTAAAAAGCTTACAACAGGGAAATCCTTGATCATGATGCTCCAGATTTGATGCGCAAGTGGAACGCTACGCCTTTCAATGAACCTAAAGTTAGAATATTGCAGTAATTGGCAGTAAATAAACCTGTAAACGGCGATGATTCGATCAGCGGTAAGTTGACGAATGAGTGTATCGGAGAGACGCATCACGAGCTCGTCCATTGACAAATATGTGGCCGTATCGAGCACCTAAACAAAGGGTTTAGAAGATAAAACTTGCAAACGATTTCAAAATAAGCACTCACTCGACAAGTCGTCCTGAGTGAGAGTTCATCGAAGTGTTCGCTCGAGTCTCCATTGGCGAGCTTCTCGCATAGTTGCACACATTGTGTCAAGGCTTCGGCGGTCACGTTCGTGAGGCTAAACAAACAAATATTGACCACTGCTAGAATCGAATGCTTACTTCACGACTCTATCCCGTTGTTCGGTCCAGGGTCCATCGAGCAGTGTCCGGAAAAACATCGAACACTCTTCCACCGATTTTCGCGGCAAGTAGACCTAAAGTATAAATGCACTCTTGCTCTGTGAGCAAAGAATTCAGCCAATACTCATACAAACCAATTTACTATCACCAAACCATCAAAACAAACTAACCACTCGGCTGTCAGCCGTTCTCACTTCGATTTGCTCGTTTGCTTGTTCATCTGCAGGAACGGGTAGTGGGAAACGAAAATTAAACGCTCGAGAATCGAAGGATCAAAAAAGAATTACCAATCAGTGAATTGATCGAGCAACCCTCCTGGGTCGGCGGTCGCACCACCGAGGACTTGCAACTCGTTCATCCTGAAACAAAAAATTTTTAAAATAAAAATAAAAATTTAACGAGAATTGCACGCAGGACTCTAAATTACCTCAGAAAAAGTCTCCGGACAGGAAAAGGCTCATTAAACTCCTTTTGAGCCCTTCTTATAGAAACATTACAGTGAAATACACTATCGAGACAGCGACTTCAAGCCTCTAAAAGTCGGTCTAATACGCATTTTCCCAAGCTGCTCCCCCTACGAAATTCGCGACCTACGCAAAAAAAACTACCCCAGAAAAAGTGGTTTTGAAAAAAAGAGAGTGGCCCACCCCAACCACACAAGTACCGTCAATTTAAGTTAGAAAATGGATATTTCGTGATTAAAAATGATTTTGGCTCTAGTTTTGACCTTGAAAAGTGCCCCAATAGTCGATAGCTTGAGCTCCATATAGTGAAGTACACTATACTAGATACGCGCACTTTGAAGCCCCGAAACTCGGCTTAAAACGCCTTTTCTGTCTTATTGTGTTTTTGAATCTATGTATAAAACTACCCCAGAAAAGTGGATTTGAAGAAAAAAAGTGACCCCCCCAACTTTATTAGTACCAAAAGTTCATTTGAAATCGGAAAGAAATGAAAAATACTTTGGCAACTCAATTCAACAGAAAGAGTGAAAAAGAACCCAAAAAAATTAAAGCGCTTACCAAATTGGAGAGAAGAGAAGTCGAGCCAGAAGAAATGATACATTCGAGTGTCGGCCGCGCTATTTATTTGATCATTAAATGCAAATTTCCCAAGTCCAATGTAAATTTTGCAAGCAGACAGACTGTGGGAGCTTATAAAAAAGCTTATAAAAAACGGTTTTGTCCAATCTAAAGGGTTAAACTTTACACCAAAGTAGGTCATTAAAGGTACCTTTAAGAATTGCGACCTTTTTCCAAGAAAATCCTGGGTTGGCGGATTAAACCCTGGTAAAACTACCGTACCCCTAATTTCTTGTAGAAAATCAAGGGCGAAATTTCATTCTTTTTGCGTATTGCACTGTACTTTGGGGAGTGGGACAAATGCGACCTTTTTTTGCGCACCCGGACATTTGCGCACCTTTTTTTCCGCACCTTGCCCATTACCGCACCTTTTTTCGCGTTTTAAAAAAGCTCTAAAAAGCTAATATTAACCAATTTCTATTCCAAAAGTTGTTTTTCTAGGTAATTTTAGGGCGTAGAATCGACATTTTGACATATTAGTGCTTGTGGAAACAAACGGACGGAGTTGTACAAAGAGAAAAATCGACAATTTTCTGTAATTTGATCTAGCCGTTTTGTCTTTCAAATTGGTTTCAAATTCAAATTGGTTCAAATTCAAATCTAATATTCAGGGCCCAGATTTTTCGTTCACGGGGATCACTCATAAAGCCATGTCAGCCAAATGGCACAAAAAGCCGCAAATTTGCGATTGTGTCGGAAAGGTTTGATTTTGAGGGGTTTCTAAGTGATTTGAGATAATTTTAGATTATTAGCGTTGATTCGAAAGGAGAGTTTGCCTATATCGAGTCACCCAACTGCGGAGGCAAAAAGGTGAGGTTGCTTTGCTTCTATTACTGTTATTCTTTTGTTTTAGGAAACGGTCTATGCCACTCGAAACACTTTCCGACCGCCGTCGAAAAATCTGAACAATGTATGTTTTTGTCTTTCAAATATCCTTTAGTTCTTTTCAGGAAATTAAAAAGAATGACACGGTGACGGCGAGGGCCATTGAACAACATGCGGCCGGGAATCAGGGCAATGTCAGATTCAGAACAACCATTTTCACTTTTGGAAGGAACGGTATAGGTGAGTATTTTGAACGATTGCTGATAAATAATTGTTTTTCTATGACTATTGTTTCCATAACAACGCAGAGAATTAGCTTTTGTAATTAAAACCTTGCAATTAATCTAATTTGTGCAATGACTCCTCTAGATGCTGATGGTGGGGTATACGACAAGACGGCTAAACGGAAAATCCCGGGATTAACCACCGCTTCTCCATCAGTTTCAAGGGTTGCTCTTAAATATTTTCTTTTTAAAATTTAATATTTAGCCCCTACAAACATCAGTGCCATGGAAAATTCCGTCAAAAGCCGGCTCCGAATCGATGCGTGGATCATTGTTAAATTCTGGAGTGAACGTGCCTCCAGCAAATCAAAAGGTGGCAGGATCGTCTGTGTTGACAAAATCTATGTTCATTCCGACCCGTAAGTTTCACAAAATTTTGCTTTGGTTTAAGATTTTTCAACTAGGAATAAGTTATGTAAGAGCTGATATGACGAAGCTGATAAATCCCGGGGCAATTGAAGTTTTCAACTAGGAAAATAAAATCTGAAAGTTTTAAGCTTTTAATTTAGATCCTTCAACCACAGATGAGTATGAAATCGCGTACGAGAAGATCCGTCAACTTAGTCACGCAATCGCTGGCAATCGCTGTAATCATTGTCTCACCCGTCGCTTCGATCCGAATCTCAAGCCATGAAATCTTTTAAATTTAGCTTTAAAGCTAGCGTATTTTTACTATTTGTCTTACTTTTATTTTGTTCAAGTCTTTCAGTTAACGGGTTTTTCCTGGGAAACTTGTCGCAATTGTCGCAATTTTATGCTATTTATTATGAAGTGAACATTGAACGCGTATCTTATAAGAAGATCAGTTTTTGGGGAGCTGAGAAAAGGTCTAAGATCTCTTTTGACGATGTTTGATCATTGGTTTCTTTAAAAAATGGATACCTAGATTTTGAGCGCTATTTATTGATCTAGACCAAGACTCAAACACTACACATTAACGACAAATTTATGCGTGAATCGGTAATTCTTGAGGTTTTTCTCGGTGAAAAGAAGATTTTGGTAGTTTTTGAGCTCGTAGATAAGGGAAATGATGCAGAGAAGGATAAAAGATGACAAATAGATGGTGACCATTAGCGGTTGGTCGAGCTAAATTGTTGAGTAAAGTTCTGAAGCTTCTTGCGCTAAAGCTGCTACATTTACCTACTATAACTTTTCTGTATATTGAGCCACAATTGGTTGCTTTGCGAATCCATTTTTCTAGCCAATTTTGGTCTTGAAAGCTCAAAAACTCTTCACTTACTTTAGTGAAACCCAAATGTCCGAGAAGTTGCGCGAAAATGCCAAAGAAAAGAATCGGCAAGAAAAGACACTGAAATAGTGTTTTTGGTTTTCTACTTTATCGTAAACTCACCTTATGAACAATGCTCACAATGAGTGGCGGTTTGCGATTAAAGAGAATTCCCAATAGCAAAAGAAATGAAACGAGACAGCCCACCAATAACATCACCCAAATCATAAAGAGGCCCACGCTAAAATGTGGATACAGTAATGATACCGTATAAAGTTTAGCTGAATACTTACCGTAAATACTCTAATAGAACGTCACCTCCTCGTACAGTCGCGTAGTCTAACTTCTTTTCAGAAAATAATTTTTTTTCTCAGCTCCTGGATTTTTCCCAACTACACTTTTGGTACGAAAAAATACTAAAATATCAAGGGCTATCATTTGACATCCAAGCGCACACTATAGCATAAAGCAGCGCGGAGAATGAGACGTTCAAAGTTAGACTACACGACTGTACGAGAACGGGACGTCCAAAGCTAGACTACACGACTGTACGCCTGTCATTATAGGGGTGGCGTTCTATTAGAGTATTTACGGTACCCTATCACCTCAAGTTTGGCTATAAACAAACTGTTTTTAACTTTTTAATCCTTCTTTCTTCCTTTCTCTTCCCCCCCTTGTCTTTCGCTCTTTCTCTTGGTAAGTTAAGGTAGCAGATAGCTCAGTGGTTAGAGCTATTGCCCGGAAAGCAAAAGATCGACGGCTCAATCCCCTCACCTAGTTTTTCTATTTTTTCTTGCCAATTCCTTCACTTCTTTATTACGAAGAAATATATGTATGTCTTGATAAGACATACAAAACTCACATAATATCAATCTCAACACTTGGGCTCTGAATTTTGTACGCATAAACGATGGAAATGTGATAGACGAGAATACTGTAAGTGAGGAATTGAAGGCCTGCAAGAATCCATAAACCAATTCGAAAATAATCGGTCTTCTTGAGATCATCTTCCATTTGCATCATTTTTGTTTGAGGGAAATTTTATCACAAGAGACACATCGACACTTTTGTTTACAAATTTGTAATCAGAGCTTTTAGGGGTGAGGGAAAGCTATACAAAAAGTGCTCTATTGAAATGATCATGAGGTTTGTTTTTTTTGAGATTTCATCTATTCTGCTTTACAGTAATTTGAAAGTAATTCAAGAGATTTAGGCTATATGCAGAGACGTATGGTAGCTGGACTTTCATATAACTAGAGTGTGTTCCTCATATACATTTCAAGTGTCCCCCTTTTGCCCCCCTAAGTGTCCCCCTCAAAGTGTCCCCTTTGTCCCCCTAAAGTGCCCCCCCCCCTAGTATCCCCCTATTTTTTCATATCAAATCACAACTTTTTGCTCTCCAAATGTGCTTTAAGTTTTTAAATTTTTCATTGATCATTGAGTTTAAAAAGTTAAAGCACATTTGGAGAGCAAAAAGTTGTGATTTGATATGAAAAAAAATAGGGGGATACTAGGGGGGGGACACTTTAGGGGGACAAAAAGGGGACACTTTGAGGGGGACACTTAGGGGGGCAAAAGGGGGACACAGGGGAGGGGGGACACTCGAAATGTATAGTTCCTCACGAGTAATGCGTTTTTTAAAACGCACACTTAGGAAAAATTACCGTACTTTTAGCGAAAATTATTGCAAAAAATTGGGGTAGGCTAATTTCCGCAATTTTATTTGCGCAACTCGTCATAACTTTCTTCTAAGTGAGTCAATCTTTATGATTTTGGTTTCATTTTGTAGATCTCAATAAGTGTAACAAAATGAAACCAAAATCATAAAGATTGACCAACTTAGAAGAAAGTTATGGCGAGTTGCGCAAAAAAATTGCGGAAATTAGCCTATCCCAAAAAGTTGGCGCAAAAAAATCACGAGCCACGACTTATATACGACTCTTTTTAAAGATATTCAACCGTTTAACTGATTTGGTGGCAAATTCCCGTCAAATGTAAAGATATTCAATTTACTCGATGTGTAAAGAGGATTACTCGTAGTTGCTCGACGAAAAAACGTCGATTAATCGAGTGAAGAATTACTCATGCAGATTTTACTCGAGTAATTACTTCCTCGCGAGGAACACACTCTAATCATAACCGTAAGCGTCGGCGTTTAGGCAAAAGTTTACGAGTGTTTTGAGGTAAAATCTCTAATCTTTCAAGAAATCTGATAAACCAATAAGGGTACATCAAAGGAGAGAGAAATGAGAATGGCTATAGATCCCAAGTTTTCAAGTTTCAAAAGAAAACTTAAACTTTATCCAAGGTCATTTTTCATTTTTTTGTGTTTTGCTCTTATTTCTTTTTTCTAATGTTCCAGACATCTCAAAAAATGACATACAAGGAGAGAGAAATGAAAGAGAAATGAGAATGACTCTCACACAGTTCATTATCGACAAAGTCACCAAAAAATTATGGCCAAATTGATTCTCGTTTCACTTTTAATAGTAAGTGATAGCAGCTTGATAATTAAAATAAATTGATAATTAAAATTTGAAGAGCTTTAAAGCGTACAAAACTTCAAGTGCCTTGAAGTTTTGTACGCTTTAAAGCTCTTCAAATTTCAATTGACACATAATTTTTGATTTCTTTTTAAATAAATTTTAGTTATCAATAGTTAAATAAGCGTCAATCGATCGTCAAATTTTCATAGACCTTTGATGTAGATCAAAGGTACATCAAAGGACCTTTGATGTAGATGTAGATGTACCTTTGATGTAGATGTAGATGTACCTTTGATGTAGATGTAGATGTACCTTTGATGTAGATGTAGATGTACCTTTGATGTAGATGTAGATGTACCTTTGATGTAGATCAAAGGTACATCAAAGGAGAGAGAAATGAGAATGGCTATAGATCCCAAGTTTTCAAGTTTCAAAAGAAAATTTAAACTTTATCCAAGGTCATTTTTTTTTTTTTTTTTCTAATGTTCCAGACATCCAAAAATGACCAAGGAGAGAGAAAGAAGAGAAAGAGATGACTCTCACACAGTCAAAAAAAGGCAAATGATCCGTTCACTTAAGTAGGTGAGTAAATAAAGCTTCAGACTTTTACTGTAGCCGAGATCCGGACAAGTATCTCGGAGGTGGAGAAAACGTTGCGACCCCAACTTGACGCATACAAAGAGGCGGTTTACTCAAAAAAGTGAGTCTATCAAAAGCTGGCTAATCAACCATTGTAATCATCAACCATTTGGACAAATTATCGTGCCTTTTTATTTTTAAACTAATTCAGTTTCAAAAAAGTCGTCGACTTCTACCACTCAAGCGCTGTGTTGGTGGAAACGGGGAAAGCCGTGTACCATACACCAGAAAGTAGGTGTTTAGAAAGCCAAAAAACTTGGGATTACGGTATTCAGTTAATGAAATAAAGTCTAGAAATCGTTGACGCAATCCAGAAATACTACACGGAGACGGGAGTGAACGTGAAAGCGCAAAGTTTGGTGAGTTTTGTTGACGAAGTTGACGTTTCTGGGTTTTCTAAAGCGTTTCAATGTGATTACTTTTTTTTGATCTGTTTTCGCACTCAGGTGTTCCTATTTGCGCAGATCACAACCTGCTTCCACATTTCTCTATCCCTTGCTATTGTCATCCAGTGTTTCCTAGCTTGATTGTTCCTGGTTCGAAGTCTTCGACTTGCTGGTGCTGGTGGTGGTTGCACTCTAGCCATCCTTTCTCTGACCGTCTCTGCCACTCTTGTGCTCCACCTCGTTGCTGGTCTTCCGATGGGCCTCTTCTGGTCTCGTGGTAGCCACTCTGTGATCCATATCGTCCATCTGTCGTCTGTTCTTCTGGCTACGTGGCCGGCCCATCTGAGTCTTTTTCTCTCAATCACTTCCACTGGATCTCTGAGTGGCTACCACAAGACCAGAAGAGGCCCATCGGAAGACCAGCAACGAGGTAGAGCACAAGAGTGGCAGAGACGGTCAGAGAAAGGATGGCTAGAGTGCAACCACCACCGCATATCCGTACTAATGTGATTACTACCGTAATCTTTCTTCCGATATTTGAATTGAATGAATCAAAATAATTCGAATACTGAAAGAAAGGTTACGTTAATTATTCATCTTTTAAAAAAAAAACCACAAATACAATACTTTCATTCAGATCGATTCGGAGGAGTTCTCGGGTGGCGGGAAAATTCTCTCGTACAGCAACAAATGGACGATGCATAATTCGAATGAAATCCTCAAAGGACCCTACTTTCAGGTTCTAGATATATTTAGCTGTTAAGTACATAGATTTCAAATCTTTTCGCAATCAATTTAACACCTTCACGATAAAGTCATTTTTGACTTCGCTGCTTGGAAGGGAATCACAGTCAGCTTGGGCTGAAGGGAATCACAATCAGCTTTTCAGTTTTACTATATTACTATACTAGTGTGCAGTATAGAGTTAATTCTAAGAAAGCTTGGATAATTTGTAGCAATCAGCAATCAGCAATCAGTAATTATTGAATTGGTGAATTGAAAACTGCGGGACTTTGAACTAAAATTTATTCAACATAAAACCATGAATTCATTCCAAATAATTTCCATTATTATTGACGACTTCTGCCCATTTTACAGGCAATTTGCGGATTCCTCTTTCGTAGGATTTTGGTTTGTGTGTGAGACACAAAAATGGATGGAGTGGAGACTCAAAAATGGAGGAATGTCCCAGTTTGAGCACTTTCTTCAAAAGAAACCCATTTTGGTGTCAATGGAAAAGTTGTAGAGAATCAAAAATTAGGCTTATAGCCAAATTTCCAAAAAGATACACTTAGTAGTTTCGCTTAAAATGCAAGTTTTGTGAAAATTCGTAAATTTTGCATTTCTTGAAAACCAGTTTTTGAATCGTTCTGAAAATTTGGATATGAGCTTCATTTTTGGTTCTCTACAACTTTTCCATTACAACTAAAATGGGTTTCTTTTGAAGAAAGTGCTCAAACTGTCACATATGACAATAGCCGGCAGTTTTCAATTCACCAACCCAATATATTGACTATTTTAACGATCATTTGATGCAGAATGAAATTACGCATCGAATGACACCAAAAACAACTTAAAATATAATATTCATGCAAAATGAAATATTGGTCAAAATACGGCTGAAAAAATGCCTCTGCTGAAATACGGCTGAAAAAAAAAAAAAATCTCAGCCGTTTCTTGGCCGATTGCTCTGAAATTTTGTCTACAAGCTGAAAATTTCGCTTTTTATTTGTAGATAAAATTTCAGAGCAATTAGACAAAAAACAGCTGAGAAAACGAAGGTGGAATTAGGTTCGAGTTGGAATTTTCTCATGTCTAGTAGATTTATTAAAAATTTGTTAAAAATAGGTCACGAATTTTAAAAATACCGACTGGGGCTACCAGTGGTGAATTTATCGCATACACGAAATATATCAATCACAATACAACGACACACACAATACTAGGCTATATCTTAACTTAACCCACGTCATGACAGACGGCTCCCTAACCCTAAGCTCAATGGGGAACTAAATAGCTTTTTTGGTGGTGAAGGGAAGATGACGATGAAGGAGTGGCTTGTCACTTTAAAGAACTGGGGCCACAACCACCAATTTGTTAAAAAAAACTTTAGATCTGGGTTTTAAACGACGAAAATCAATGGAAGATTTATCATGATGAATTCTCGATTGCTGAAAGAATTTCAAAAACGAAATAATTGATTTCATGTCGTTCGGGTGATAAAGATTGCAAAAAAATGAAGAGAAATCTCAAAAATGGAATTGATTTTCAGCGATTGGAAAAACAAGGGAGATTGATTTCAAGATTTCAAGCAAATTGTAAAAGTAGCTGTAGTTTAATGCCTTTATTCAATAATCATTTTAAAGAATCCCCTCAATTCAAACAATCTCTGGCCTCACCCGGCAACTCTGCGTCCAAATTTAGCGTACCAATGTCAAAAATCTAAATGATTTCCTCATTTTCTTTCAATCTCCAGCTTCGAAACCTTTTCCGGTGTTGCACTTTCCGAAATGAAAGCTTTAGGTACATAAATCACCACTTTTCTCCAACATTCCTGCAAATAATCTTCTCAACAACTCAAAAAAAGCAAGTTCTCATTCTATAAGCTGCAAAATTTAGCGCTTTTCCCATATTCCCACCTTTGTATCATCATTGCAATTATGCAAGATGTTGACCTTGGGATTTATCCATCCAATTTCCGAATCATTTCCTAAATTGAATTCAAACCATATGAAATATAGATTATTGAAAGATTTATTAGGGGGTGGGACAAATGCGACCTTTTTTTTTGCGCACCTGGACATTTGCGCACCTTTTTTTTGCTGGAAAAGGCCTTAGGAAAGGTCGTAGAGCTTTAAAAATGTTTTCATAAAAGGAAATCGTATGCGTAGATTCCGAATTTCGACAAATCAGACCTCGCTGACACGTCAAATTTGGGCTAAAAGGCAAAAACTGCGGAAAAGCGTTAAGTTGCGTAGTTTTTGCCTTTTAGCCCAAATTTAACGTGTCAACGAGATCTGATTTGTCGAAATTCGGAATCTACGCATACGATTTCGTTCTATGGAAATATTTTCGAAGCTCTACGGCCTTGCCTAAGGCCTTTTCCAGCAAAAAAAGGTGCGCAAATGTCCAGGTGCGCAAAGAAAGGTCGCATTTGTCCCACCCCCGATTTATTACCTTGGACTTTAAATATCCCATCTGCATTGGTGAGTGTCTCCATTAAAAGATCGTCCTGGAAAAGTCCAAAATCCTCTTCCCAAAATTTTATTCGAGCATTTTGATACGGTCGACCATTGCACGTGAGCTTACCCTAAAGCTCTGAATTTGTATTTAAAGCTGAGAGCACAGGGAAGTGCTACTTAGTTAGTCTGAAAGACATAGCGTCATAGTGACATAGACATATTTTCGTTACAAGTAACTTGTAACGAAAATATCTGTCAGTCCTTTAAGGTTTCGTGGACCCAGAAAGGGTGTGTTCTAGAATTGTAACAAAAACATCTGTCGGTTCTTTTTTGCCGTTGACAATTTAAGTTTTTTTTTGTGTTTTTCTCAACATCAACCCTCCGCTTTTGACTATTTTGATTATCATTCAATGCAGAATAAAATTGCGCGTCGAATGATATCAAAATTTACCTTAAAATGTATTAACCATGAAAAGTTATGAGGCAAAAGGTTAATCCCCGCCCATTATAGGAGATGGTTTAGGTTTTAGCCAATAACTTTGCATAGATATTACATTTTGAGTTAATTTTGATATCATTCGACGGGCAATTTCATTCTGCATTTAATGATAGTTAAAATAGTCAAAAGCGGAGGGTTGGTGCTGAGAAAAATTGGATAAAACTTAAATTGTCAACGGATAGATGGACCGACAGATGTTTTCGTTACAAGTCTATGACATAGTATCAAATCGTTGTCTATGACATAGTATCAATACGTTGTCTATGACACAAGTCTATGACATAGTATCAAATCGTTGCATGACCAACCGCCACCGCAGCGCTTTGCGTTGTCCCAAGTGCATTGATGATAGAAATTAAAATTAATAAAACAAATATAATAATATGAAAGTTTAAAGTAAACATTAAAAAAAATGATTTTTTAATGTTTTTAAGCAATGATTTTTTTTGGGTGATTGATAGAAAAGTTGCTTTTCATCGCTGTCATCGCTTGAGCTTGTCATCGATTGAAAACTGATTGTGAAAAGGAAAGGAAGAGATAAAACTCGAAATCTCATTCTCATATCTAATCCAAATTTTCTTTAAAAGTAAGTGCTAAAAAAAAAGGAAATGAAACAATTTGCAGTATTGTCTAAACAGTTACCAAACATTATTATATTCTTAATAATAACATTTTTATATTCTTATTCTATTTTCTCTAAACATTTGTAAATGTATCCACGATAAATTGATATCACTTTAACAATTCAATTTCCATTCAAAATCCCCAAAAGAATCATTCGCTTTTGTGTTGTTGGTCTGTGATTTTTTTCATAAAAAATTCACGCGCCTTTTTTGTCGTTTAGCAACGTTTCGTTTCATAGATTTTTCCCCATAGTTCAATCTGGAAAAACTTGTATTCCCTATTGTTTTTAACATTATTATATTCTAAAAATTATTCTATTTTCTCTAAAATGCAATCGGTTAAACAAACCGTCTCGCAAGAAGTCCAAAAAGAGCTCAAATCGGCAGAGAGTGGGGAAATTCTCGAGCCAAAATCAACAGCACCACAACAGGCTCCTGAGAATTTGCCTAAACCTATTACTGAGTCAAAATCAATCGATCAATTGCCCCAAGCTTCAGAAAACTTGGGGAAATTCGGGAAAAATGCTAAGCCAAAACCTGTAGTTTCGCCAAAACCTGTAGTTTCATCAAAACCCCAGAATCCGGATCAATTACCCGACGAGGAATCGGAGGAAGAAGAAGAAGAAGAAGAAGAAGAAGAAGAGGAAAAATCAGCACCGAAACCCCAGCCACCTCCAGAACCGCCAAAAGTGATTGCAAAAGAGAAACCGGAGGATTTATTCGATTTGGGTGAACCGATGCCTTCTGAAATGCCAATTTACGCTAATGATTTACCGATTTATGGGCCCGAGAATCGACCCGATGGATGGATGACACCACCGGCAGAAAACGCAAAGAAACCGGATATTTGGTTGGTAATCGATTGATATTTTATGGATGATGATTGCTGTTGATTCACTTTTTCATCAATCATTGAGCAAATCTAGTTTTTGGTCTATCTTTTATCTATTGACACAAAGATCGGTTTCTTTAGCTAAAGTGTCTAAACCGAGTGTCAAAATCATCGAGTCGTCACCCTTTTTGACTACCCGACTTTATGCTCTCAAAAACAACCAGACATAAGTCATTTTAAACTCTTTTTAATGTTATTTTGCAAGAGAAATAATTGAAAACATAGTTCAATTAGTGAAGAGTTCAATTAGTCTGACGAAACAAACAAACAGTTCAATTGGTGCATTTGTTGGTTTTAAACAAAAGTACGAAAATGAACGAAAAGCCTTTCTGGACAGCCTAAAGTACCTAAAATGCTCATAGTTTCACAATTGACATCAATAGCTTACTATTAGCTCTATTAGCTCTATTTTCTCCATATGAAAATTGTTTACCCAACCGTTAAACCCAAATTCCCGTGCAGGTTGAATCCAAGTGAACCGCCGACAAAAGCAACACCTGGACCGGAGGGTTGGAGATCATCTAGCCCAATTCCACCCACTCAGCAACAACCACCTCCACGAAAAGTGCCTATACGGACAAACAATGATCCGGTCATTCATCGATTTAAGCGATATGTAAGAGTGCCGAGACCAGTGAGAGCACAGAAAACACCTGGTAAGTGATACAGGCTGGATTTGCTTAAACATAACATTTGCTCTTTGTTTAGCCATTCTTTTATCACTTGTACAGGCTAATAGGTTTTACTTATAGATTTGCTTAAAGATTTGCTTAAACATTTGATCTTTCTTAGTCATTTGACATCAATTCTTGCCATATTTATGTAATTGTTTCAGTCTGAACAAAATTTCAGAGCCAACTTGGGAGCACAATCCTCCGCCAGCCGCCCCCTCGCCCAGCAGACCCGTTTTTGGACCAGAACCCAAACCACCAGGTACAGTTACAGTGCTTGTCGATGAATTTGTTCATTTACATATTTCATTTTTCATTCATTATTTGCACAACTTTCACTCCTGATGGCTAGATTAGAAGAAAATCGTTATCGAAAATCGGCTACATCGTTTCTAGATTATGTCTCTCCAAAACCGCCCACTCCACCACGACGATCCCCAATTCAACGACAAACGAGTGACGCCGCGACACTCACCGATGTTGAATCGCCAGTGGTTTGGAAAGAAAATCTAGATCTAATAGGAATCTCTTGCAGCGTAAACCCATTCGCAACACTCCGAGAAGGCGCTCACCGCCAAGTAGGTTGAAATTGAGCCATAAATGTTATGTTGAACCTATTCACTTTCATGGATAATAGATCTATTCACTGGATCAGTGAATAGGTCTATTATCTGTCACTAGGTGTATAACGTTCTTACAACAGAATGACTTCGAGCCGATTCTCAACTTCAAGCTGAGAATGGTCTCAGCTCGAAGTTGAGAATCGACTCTAGACCGAGTGCATCTTATAGACTCAGACATGGGGATTCTGAATCTGCAAAAATTAGGTACAAACTCGCACGCAAACACGAGGAATCTGGTAAATCTGGAATCTGGATGGTTTCTTTATGGCGGCTCCATAAAGAATTCGAAATTAAACCGAATTTTCTATGCCAGATTCCTTGCGAGTTTGCAGCTAATTTTTGCAGATTCAGAATCCCCATTTCCGATTCTTTAAGATCTCAAAGATGAGTCTCGAATCGAGCTGAGACCATCTGGTTGACAGATTTAATCTTTTTGTCTCCCATATTAGTTTGTTTTAGAAGTGTTGTTACCTCCATCACCAGCAGAACCTCCACAAACAGTTTCATTAGGTAAGTGTCACATTCTATTATTGTTATTTGAAAGCCAATGACAGTGTCACAATGGCGACAAAATTCTAGATCCCGACGATGAAATGTTTTGGCGATCATCATGGCAAGACAAGAATGCCGGTAAACAAGAAGTCTCTGGGCTGTTAGCGTGAGTGTTTTGATCTTGAGAAATTGATATTAAGATAAAATGTAAAAATGTGCTTAGATATACCGTATTTCTTCGAATAGAAGACCGGGTAAAGAGTATGCTCGCGTACTCCTGCGTAGCAGCCCTTTTTAAAATTTCTTTTCTGCATAAAAGCTTTCAATCAAGTGCTATAGAGCTGGAAAATGGCTCAAAAATCTGTTAGCTCATGTGGTATTTTTGAGCCATTTTCCAGCCCTATAGCACTTCATTGAAAGCTTTTATGCAGAAAAGAAATTTTAAAAAGGGCTGCTACGCAGGAGTACGCGATGATACTCTTTACCCGGTCTTCTATTCGAAGAAATAGTCGATAAAATCGATAGTCGATAGTCGTCGTAGGTAGTCGATAAAAATAAAGACATTTCCTGTCTGGGTTTTTTGAAATTTTCATATTTTCCAACACAAGACTAAATAAGAATCAAACTAAAGACAAAAACAAAACAGAAAACAAATGGTTTCAAGAATTCGGTGTCAAGAAGACGAATTCAGATACACAGCCGAAGACAGAAGCCCCATACAACAAGAAGAGATTCCACCGCCACCCAAATGTGTCTATCATCCGGATTGTGATGGGAATTGTCAGTGAAAATGTTTTTCAATGTTTGAATATATTGAAATGAAAGAGAAAAAAACTACACATTAAGTTTTTTTGGCTTTTTTCCTTCTGTTTGAATTTTTCTTCTGTTTAGATTTCTCTTCAAAACAATCTTTATACAACTAAAGCATAGACTGAAATACTTTTTGAAATTCAAAGTTTGTTCAACGGGATTTCTTTGCCCACTCCACCGCGAATGAGCACCGTTTTCTCGTGGGTGAAATTGTCAAACGAGTATTTTCCGTTGATCCTTCCCACTCCCGAATTGCCCACTCCACCAAAAGGCACATTTGAGACTAGAATTGGAGAATTTCTTGGTGAAGGCTAGACCTGCTTAACGATCTGCTTAACGATCTGCTTAACGATCTGCTCAACGACCTGCTTAACTGTCAAAAGCTTAGCCTTAGGAATCTCTTTGTTCAAAGCTTATTTCCTTACCGAATGCATGAGTCTGCAAGTCGTTCACACAGACACCGCCCGACCACGTTTCAGTGATGAATCTAGGAGTTTCGGTTGATATTTGAAAGTACTAGAGCTGAAGTACTGTTGGACAAGTAAACAAGTTGCACTTGCCGGTTGAAGATCTTGAATTATCAAGAATGAAACTTTAAAATGCCCAGCCCTAGGCCTGCTTAACGAGTTCGGGCAAGATTTTCAGACAGTCTGCCTCGCTCTTCGATTTTTTTACTGCCTCAAAGCTCCTTCAAGCATGAAACCGAGTTCCCCCGCAAGCCCTTATTTTAGGCTTCATTTTGATACTAAACATGGCTAGTTTCTGTTTTGCCATTCTTTAGCTTTCGATCAATCTTTTGCCGGACTCGATAAGCTTAATGAGTCCAGAAAATTTTTTGTCTAAAATGATCGAAATCTAAAGAATGGCAAAACAGAACCTAGCCATGTTTAGTATCAAAATGAAGCCTAAAATAATGGCTTGCGGGGGAACTCGGTTTCATGCTTGAAGGAGCTTTGGGCAGTAAAAAAATCGAAGAGCTAGGCAGGCTGTCTAAAAATTTTGTCCGGACTCGTTAAGCAGGTGTAGCCCAATCTTTGTCTCACTACATTATGCCATATCCAAAGTTGTTTTAAAAGCAACTTTTGGGTTAATTACAAGCCAGGCACATCCCTGCCTAATAGTAAGCTATAAACCTGACTTTTATTTAGGCTGGCTTTGCTAGGACTGACTTCAGACCTAGTCTGATCCGTCTTACAATACTACAGTATTCAGACTCCGATTGGAATACTCCTGAGTCCATAGTGTACTTGCACTTCAAAGATATTTAGCCTTTATTCACCAAATTCTTTATACTTGATATTGTTTGATATTGCAAAATATTGTAGCTACAGTTTTTTTTCTATTTGATCGTTAACTTTTTTTTTTTGTCAACTTTTGTCAATTTGTTGTTCTATTAACAAGAATTTTTTACCTTCTCGTCGCCTCGGGGCATTTCGAGAAAATGTATGCAGCAAGTGGCTTTTCTCTTTCCTAAAAGCCTTTAATATTCTCTCTGATCTCTTCATATTAAGTCTAAGGTTGAAACCTGAATGAAATGAAGCGCCTGATCAATTCCATCAACAGTGATGATTGGGAGGATTGGGCCGAAGATCTAAGCAAGATAGATTGAAGATAGTAAATCTGTAACTGTAGCTGCAAAGCCGAAAGCAAGCCATTTCTCTAGATCAATCTACAAATAATACCAAAGAAACGATTTCATTAAAAGTGAATACCTCATCTTTCATCAGTTCATCATCGGCTTCAATCTCGTAAACACTTGGAGGCAAAAATTTCCCAATCCGATCCTCTTCTCCATCAGCTTTCCATGCCAATTTCCCATTGGTCTTTGAAGCCAAAGCTTTTAAACGGCTAAAATTTAAAGTCTTTAGCAATTAACAGTCATAATTAACAGTTACAATTAACAGTTACAATTAACAGAAAAGCAATTACTAACATCCTATGAGCTATTCCTGTTAGACTTTTGATATAAAAGCTGTTTAACTAACAGCTTTTATATCAAAAGTTGTTTCCTAGCCACATTCTATGATCAAAATTTACATCTAAAGCAACTAAAAGACTATGGGAAATAGTTGGAATATATGATAGTTTGATCTAGTTTTGATTTCATTTCTATTCACTCACTCAAAATGTCTCTCATTGATGATTCGAGCGAAAGCGGCGTTGTCTCTCAGCTCTCCCTGTTTCTCGAAAGCTTCGCGAATCGCCGAGATCAGCTTCGGTTTGGTGTTTGATGTGGTTAACACCTAATACCGGATTCTCTCTAATAGTAGTGTACCCTAAGCTTCGCCTAAATTCCTCAAAATCTCGAGAACCGCTTATCAGAACCTATCGATGTGGGATCGGAAAATGTAGCTGACGATGAGATCTTGTGGGGGATTTGAGTGTTGAGCTTCTGCAAAAGCTTGGAAACCTTAAAATAGTCATCAACTCGGCTACAAATCTACCGTAACAAATCCAACAAAGCTTAAAGAAGCTGGTGACTAAAGGAGAAGCTGATCTCAAAGAAGCTAGTCCCTAATACTAGCCCATAAGCTTGCCTAAATTGCTCGAAATCTCGAGAACCACTTATCAGAACCTATCGATGTGGGGTCGTAAAATGTAGCTGACGATGAGACCTTGAAGATGATTAGAGTGTTGAGCTTCTGCAAAAGCTTGGAAACCGTAAAATAGTGATCAACTCGGCTACAAATCTACCGTAACAAATTCAACAAAGCTTAAAGAAGCTGGTGACTAAAGGAGAAGATGATCTCAAAGAAGCTAGTCCCTAATACTAGCCCATAAGCTGACGATCAGATCTATTGGGGGATTTGAGTGTTAAGCTTCTGCAAAAGCTTGGAAACCATAAAATAGTGATCAACTCGGCTCGCTGGAGTGCACTACTATTAGAGAGAATACGGTATGTTTAAAATTTACTGTAATCACCCTACACTAAAACTTTTTTCAACTGCTTTGAAGTTCTTGAAGTGAAAGTCTTCAGTCTTCAACTTTTCAATATCTTGTATTGTAGTGAGATTATAGTTTTGTAAATATAATTTTTAAAAAAAGCACTTACATAGTCAGGATTTATGCAAATCTGGCCACAATTCATCATTTTCGCTCCAACGATTTTCTCGGCTGCCAACTCGACATCGGCATCGTCAAGAATGACTGTTGGGCTAAACATTTTCATTGATGATTCAAGCGAAAGCGATTTCATTGATGATTTCTCTTCACCTTTGGATTTTTTGATTCAACTATCCAAACGAAAGTGTAATTTTGAAAGTAAAAAAAATAGCATAATAGCAATTCAGCATAATATTAAAGTTTAGCCTTAGCTTTAGCAGGATTAGCTGCTGATTACGGGGATTGGGCCGAAGATCTAAGCAAGATTGAAGATAGTAAATCTGTAGCAGCATAAGCTTTAGCAGGATTAGCTTCTGAACCAAACGGGGGTACTTACCTCGAGCCCATTTCCCTACTTAGCAAAATGATAGCAAAATGATACGATCTCTTAGCTCTGTTTCAACAGATTTAAGAAAAAAAGAACATAATAAACATAATAATAAAGAATAATTTTTTACAGTTTTAAAATTTAAATCTAAATTAAAATGAAAATTGATCAACTAACTTTTTCCCGCCAAGCTCCAGGGTGACCGGGGTCAAATGCTTTGCCGCAGCCGACATGATCACCTAGAAAATTTGGCATAATATTAGATAATTCTTTTTCTACATTAATAATCCAATCTAGAATTCTAAAATTTGAACCTTTGCCACCGCTGGGTTTCCAGTGTAAACGATGTGATCGAAGCGCTCACTCAACAAATCAGTCGTCTCTTGCACGGCGCCGTTCACCACCGCGAACAGCTCCTAGATTTTAGATTTTAGTTCATATCTAAGCTTTGGATAATTCTAAAATATCTCTTTTTTTCAATTTCATACAATTCTACCTCATTAAAACGTTTCTTTACTACTCGCTCGAAAGCTTCGGCTGTGTGCTGCGCCAACTCGGAGGGCTTCAGAATTACGGTGTTTCCTGGAAAATGGCTATTATCGTAATATTAAAATTATCTTTATCTTTATCTTTATCTTTATCTTTATCTTTAGCTCTTTCAATTTTATGTTATCGAAGATATAAGAGAAAGCCTGTTAGAGGCTCTATTCTTTATCATAAAGAAGAGATGGTTGGCCAGGTTAGGTCCAAAAAGTACAAAATATTACCTGAATCAGTCAGCTAGATCTAGACTTGCCCTGGCTCTGAACTAAACAAGCTAAAGCCTCTAGATTTGACTTTTGGCCTGGTTCTGATCAAGTCTAAGCTAACCTGACTATAACTAAAAATAAGCCTAAAGCTGGACGCTGGTCCTTTTATGCGTTGGGGCTGAGAATACCAAAAAATAGTCGGCGCCAGGATTCGAACCCACGAACCTCTCGCTTCCCGGGCGAACTCTACAAATGAGCTACGCCGACATGTATCCCACTGTCACCAGGGTAGGGCTTTATGCCTTATTCCAATCTGACTTGACCAAGTCTGTACTGGCCCGGCTTACAGGCTCTAGAAACCTAGAACATCCTTGCCTATCCAACTTGAGCGATTTATCCAGCTTTACCACTACAGTGTCATTGTCAAAACGGTTTTATGTTGTAAATAAGTTCAGTGAATGCTTTCTATATAAATACTAAGCTTTTTACTGTTAACTAAGCTAACCCACCGGCAGCCAACGCTTGAACAAGGGGAACCGAAGTGATAAGAGGGAAATTCCACGGAGAAATGATCAACACGACTCCAACTGGCTCTCTCACAATGTACAGTTGGTCACTGTTTGGATCAAGTAGGCCACCAGAGGGCAACTGAAAATTGAAGTTCAATTAGCTGGAGGACTAGAGCTGGAGGAGTAGAGTTCGAGTTTTAAACCTTCGTCGGAGCACTCCATTCCTCGAGCTTTTGCAGACATTCATCGATGGCTCGAGCTGTCATTCCCACCTCCATATGGCCATCCTAAAGTTAGGGATTTATGTAAAAATATAATAATCCTTTTAAATCTCTGTAAAGCCAAACCCTATGTAAATCTTGAAAAATCGCATTCGCCAGCTCTTCTCCATCCTCTTCAATCATTGCCTTTAGCTGGTTGAGAGCATGCTGAAAATGTTCCGGAATAGCAAACTAGCTGAGTTCTGTATCTTAGAGATCAAGGGTTCAATCTCAGCTAAATTATTGGTGCTTTTCTTTCCAATAAATATATATTACTAGACAAAAAAACCTTTCTTTTCTCGAGCGATCGCGTGGCACCCGATTTAAAATAGGTACGTTGCTTGTCGACCAACTGAAATTCATTAATATTCCGTTATTCATTTTAGTTATTATTTTACATTTCAAATTTGTAATCTTTTGATTAGTTTCCCGCTGCGTTGAGTGGCTTTTAGAGAAAGGAATTTTTTAAAAGAGAGATGCACTTACACTCTTATAAGAAGGCATTGTCGTTGAGCAAAAATCGAGACTTGAATTTACCCTGAACTCGAAAAAAATTGATAGAAAAGATAGAAGTTGATAGAGAAGATAGAAATTGATAGAAAAGATAGAAGCTGATAGAAAATATAGAAATTGATAGAGAAGATAGAAGCTGATAGAAAATATAGAAATTGATAGAAATTGAACAAAAAACTAAAGTTTCAAAGATTAAAGAATGAAAATTTCTTTAGGAAAAATATGGAAAAATGAGAAATTTTTGTGTCGTGTAGAATGTGATAAGAGAAAATTGAACAAAACAAACTACAATCAAAAAACAAAAAAATGATTGATTTTGTTAGAGAAAAGGATTTTAGTGGGAGAAAATTTGAAAAATTAGGATATTTATTGGAGAAAAGTTGAGAGTAAACATTGGAGAGACGAATTGTCAGCAAATCTTTTCTGACAAAAGAACAAAATGCAGAAACGTTTATCAAAAATCGGATCTTTTTTGAGTGAAAACATAACACAAAATCTCGTCGCTTACTCTTCAGTGAAGAAGTTTTTGTGTGTTGTGTTCGTAGCCTTGTAGTGGGAATAGATTTTCGAAGGAAAAAGAAACAGAACAAACTTTGGCACTCACTTGAAACTTGAACTGAACACTTGAACACTTGAAACCCATTAGAAAGAGTGTATTCAGCTGTTTTAAGCACAAAATTCACTAAGAAACTGTCCAGCCTAAATTAAAGCTAAAAACGGGCTTGCTCCAGGTCAGAGTTTTGGGTTTTCCATTAACCAGTTAGATAAAGCCAAAGCTGATCTTTAGGCAAGCTTGAAATTCCCTGATTTCTATAGTTTCTTTCTATAGAATCTCTATAGAATAGAATTTCTGTAGTTATGTATAAAATAGTTTCTGTGGCATAGTTTTTTCTAATTCTTGCTCCAATTAAGAAATTTTTTCTTAATTGAATTTCTAATTCTTGCTTCAATCAGCTTTGGCTTGATTTGATTGATTAACCGAAAACCCAAAAATTTGACCTAAAGCAGCCCCGTTTTTAGTTTTAATTTAGGCTGGTTTCCGTTTTTAGTAACTGCAGACTCTAGTAACTGTGCAGACTCTAGTAACTGTGCAGACTCTAGTAACTGTGCAGATTCTAGTAACTGTGCAGATTCTAGTAACTGGACATTCTAAACTCTTACAATATAAAGATAAAGCTTTTCTTCAATAGTTCTTTAAAGATTAAAAACAAAAGTTTTCTTAAATTGAAAATAAAGCTTGAAATGAAAAATTCGCTCCAAGAAAATATAAACCAAGAAATCACAAAATATAAACTTCACTACTAGAAAGATATGCCGGATTTTAAAGGATTCAAAGAAATTGAAAGAAGAAAAGAATTTTACCACCATCTCCCTTCAATTAGACTGATAAGTGAAGAATCGATTCATTTTGGGGTTTGTGTGAGAAAAGAAAATCTAAGACGTAGAAAATGTTGAAATCTCTATTGGTCAGCTTTTTCATTGTTTTTGTAGCCTCCGAATGCCCGAATGGAGCCGATTACAAGAGTGATCTTGGCTATTGCATTTTCCCGTATAATACAGGTTCGTTTGGCTAAGAATGTCGAATTAATAGTGATAGTTGTACTTAAAAAAAGTGAAACACATACTTTCTTCAATTTCTAACAATTGAGTGCACGAGAAAGGGTGTGCTCAAAGTTCAGCCACAAGTATTGATTAATACAGGTTGATTGGATTAATACAGGAAAGTAAAACTCAATAACCTCTGTGGTTTTACGAAAGTCGGTAATCGAAAAAACTGGATCCGTTTGAGATTCAGTTTCGTTTGTTTGAGACGTTTGAGACGTTTGAGACTCATTTGTGTTAGCGTGGATTGTTTAAGAATTGTTTAAGGATTGTTTAAGGATTGTTTAAGGATTGTTTAAGAATTGTTTAAGAATTGTTTAAGGATTGTTTAAGGATTGTTTAAGGATTGTTTAAGGATTGTTTAAGAATTGTTTAAGAATTGTTTAAGGATTGTTTAAGGATTGTTTAAGGATTGTTTAAGAATTGTTTAAGAATTGTTTAAGGATTGTTTAAGGATTGTTTAAGGATTGTTTAAGAATTGTTTAAGGATTGTTTAAGGATTGTTTAAACTCAAGTAACTCAAGCAAAAACCAAATTCAAACACTTTTAGTGAACCCAAATTTAATAACATAGCATATTTGTGCATAATAACCAACACTTGTTTCTAGAGATCGACTATGCATCAGCGGTGAAGGCGTGTCAACGAGTGAACGGGAATCTCATCTCTTTGCACAATCTCTTTCAGAATATTCTTCTTTCGGCTTACATAGATGAGTGTGAGTATATAATAAATACGAGGAGATTCAAGGCTCAACCGAATCCCAATCTTCCCTTTTTCTTTCACTGATAATGCTGATTCGTAGACAAAATTTTAGAACAATCGCTCAAGAAATATTCGATTAAAACAAAGGTGGAATTAGAATGGAAATTGCCCATTTCAAAGTAAAGCTTTCAAAGCAAAGCAAAGCTCTGTCTAAACAAAGCTCTGTCTAAACAAAGCTCGATCTAAGCAAAGCTCAGTCTAAACAAAGCTCGATCTAAACAAAGCTCGATCTAAACAAAGCTTACACCTTTATTTAGACCTTTCTACGCAATCTACATGGTTGGGCGTTCAATCGGATCAATTCCAGGTATCATTTTGTTTTTACACTCACAATCAGTGCGAAAACAGGCAGTCATTTCCACATCTTGAATTGAATTGATTTTCTTTGATCGAATTCTTTAGCTTTAAAATACACAAAGAATTGCGATGTGGTGGCGAACGATTGGATCAGTAGTCACGCTGATTACCCTAGCAATCCTAGCAAATATTTGGCTTAGTTAGTACAGGGTGGCGCAAGATTCTTTTGAGACAAGACACCTTTTTTTGGAAAAGTTACTGGCAAACGCCTGATCGATTACCAAAATGAACAAGTGTTATATAGAAAAATAAAGCCCTTTTCCTTGGCATCATTTATCTAAAAAGAATTTCCCGATTCAAATTCTACAACTCATTTTACAAACTCTTGAATGAGCTTAAGCTCAAGCTGAAGAAGTTCGGGAAGTTCTTTGGAGATAAATGATGTCAAGATGAATGGTATGATGGATTATTTTTCTATATAGCACTTGGAACTTTAATAATAAGTCAAGCATTTGCTAGAAAGTTTTCCAAAAAAAGTAGCTCAATAGGAACTATAAAGGAACTATAAAGGAACTATAAAGGAACTCTAAAGGAACTATAAAGGAACTATAAAGGAACTATAAAGGAGCTTTAAAGGAGCTTTAAAGGAACTATAAAGGAGCTTTGAAGGAGCTTTAAAGAAACTCTAAAGGAACTATAAAGGAACTATAAAGGAACTATAAAGGAAGTGTTTCCATAATTCACGGTATTATTCAGGTATGGTCTTGGAACGATGCCTCACAATGGGATTATGAGAAATGGGGAAAACAGGAGCCCATTGATGGGAATCATTGTGCAATGCTTTCTTTGAAAGGTGAAAGATGTCAAATCTTTGAAAGATGTCAAATTTCAATAAGATACAATAATGCAGAAGTAATTGACATCAATTTCAGATCAAAATTGGCACAGCATGGATTGCGCGGAGGATCGGGCGGCGTTTCTCTGTGCGATTCCCGCGACTCCGACCACACAAAATACGATCACATCGACAAGTGATTATCTTTGAAGATTATTTTAAGCAAAGAATATCTATAAATGTTTAAGATCGGCTCTAGTAGCCAAAAAATTTGACAGAATAAGTTTTCCAGCCGTTTCACCAAAGCAATGCCCATCGAGTTGGACTTATTTTGAAAAAACGAACGCTTGTTATTATGTAAGTGGATAAAGATCAAAGTATAAAAGATCTATGCCGGGTTACGGTAACTGGGATATGCTTTAGAATGATTTAGAATGATTTAGAATGATTTAGAATGATTTAGAATGATTTAGAATGCTTTAGAATGCTTTACAATGCTTTAGAATGCTTTAGAATGCTTTACACAAGTCATCAAGTTCGTAAATGTTTTTAGATTGGAGCAAATATGACATGGACAGACGGGGAATCGTATTGCCGAACTCAGAAATCTCACTTGGCGTCAGTGCACAGCGAAGAAGAGAATCTTTTTATTTATTGTAATGAAATTGATTTGATTCTTTGATCGAATTCTTTAGCTTTAAAATACACAAAGAATTGCGATGTGGTGGCGAACGATTGGATCAGTATCACGCTGCTTGGATCGTATCGGTTTCTCTATCTATCTAATAATAAGTTCAACCATTTTCAGGGATTATCACGATCAAACGTGGCTTTGGAGTGATGGAACGGCGTTTGATTATACGCCGGATCTGTGCAATGACGAGTTTGGACGACATTTTATGGTAAGGAGTTGATTAGGGAGTTCTTTTTAAGGTTAAACACCTCCACAAAAGCTTTGTTCCTTAGCTTGCTGCTTGCTTGGGCTTAGGCCTAGCTGGCTTCTTGCGTGGCTTGAGTCCTAGGCTTCGGTTGGGACAACAGACAACAAAAGCTTTGTTCCTTAACCCGGGGTGACTTCTGCTTGCTTGGGCCTAGCTGGCTTCTGGCCTGGCTTGAGTCCTAGGCTTCGGTTGGGACAACAGACAACAAAAGCTTTGTTCCCTAGCCTGGGGTGGCTTCAGCTTGCTTGGGTCTGGCTCGAGTTCTAGACTCGAATTGGGCCATCACTTCTCACAATCAGTTCTCAATATCCCATTTCGTCTCCAAATCATTTAATATCCAATTTCCGATTGACAACACGAAATGTTCAATGTGCGCGAATGGAACGTGGTTCTCTCCATTGATGGACTACGACAATAGCATTTATCCGTTCTTTGCCTGTAAATTACAGCTCTAAAAAAAGTGTTACAAAGAAAATAAATGTATTAGTTTATTCTTAAAAACATTACAAAGCAAATTGGGAACGTTTTAAAAGGTTTGGGTTTTTTAAACACATGAGCTATTGTAGGTTATTAGGTTGTTAAGTTGGAAATTGTTGGAAATAAGCTAAGTGGTCTATTTTTTTGGTCTATTATCTAATCTCAAAATATAAATAACTCGGGAATTGATCGCTGATAAGTGAATAGAGGGAATTGTTATCAGTTTGCACAAAATGACTCGTTTGCTGTTACCGACTTTGTTAATATTTTTTTCCTGTTTTCATTCTGTCGAGGAAAACAATTAACATGGCTGCATGGTCATCTTCGTTATGTGATGCTTTAGGAGTTTCTTTAAAGACAGTATCAAAGGAAAACAATTAACATTGCTGCATGGCCATCTTCGTTATGTGATGCTTTAGGAGTTTCTTTAAAAACACAGTATCAACCTATCAACACAGCTAATTTACGTTTTGTATGGGGATGAAAAACCTTTTCATCAAAAAAAAAACAAAAATTAACATTAACAAATTTATTCTCTAGATTGCTTTCAAGAATTTGATTTCTCGAAAATATTCTTCTTCTCGAAAATATCTCTGCACAAGCGACGTTTTGGAAAGTTGTCGATGATGGCCAGGTAAGCAGGATCGAGCCCAAACTTTCTGGAGTGATTCTTTCAATGAATCAATGCTTGTTTATGCTTTTGAGTAGGCTTTTGCTTCGAGAACACTCCAGACTGAGTAATCCATCGGATTTAAACCGGGGCTTGATGGTGGCTACTGCTTAAAGCTGAGGAAATCCGAGAAGTTTCGTTCACACCAGTCTTGGACAATTCGGGCTTCTTGGGCAGGTGCCCCAATCCGCTGAAAGCATCAAATTTTGTTTCGGAAGTGGTTTTGTGCCCAAGGCAGCACTTCCTGCTTCAAAATTTCCAGATAAATCAGAGCAAAGCGCGGCAGCAAACCGCTTTGTTGGATGCCTTAAATGAAGATCCTCGAAAGACTTTACATAAACTGGCAGAGAAGCTTCGAGTGTCTCATATGGGGACCAATCATCTCCATCCCATTGGCTTTACTTCAGAATTTGGCTTGGATTTCTCATACATTGACTGACGCACAGAGATTGAGCCGGATTTCTATCAGTGCAGCTCCAGATATAAGCCATATCTCGAGATATCTTTTTGCCACGTATTGTGACAAGGAATAAAAATGGGTACTTACTGTGAACTTTTGGGGGAAACGTCAATGAGTGGGAGTCAGAGCAACACCCGAATTGCACCAGAAGTTTATGCTCTAGGTTTTCTGGGATATAGAAGTGATCTGGAGTTTCTGGATAGTAAGACAACACTTAACTCTACTAAATACGCTCAGCAGCTCGATGAACATATTCACAGCTTTGGCCACTGATAGGCCTCACAATTCAAAAATCATCCTTCTACATGACAACGCGCGCTCTCATATTTCTTCAATGACTCGAGAAAAGCTGAAGATCCTTGGCTGGGAAGTTTTGGTCCATTCTCCTTATAGTCCAAACCTTAACCTTGTCCTTGTTCCATCAGATTATTATTTATTCCGGTCAATGAGCAACGCTCTCGTTGGACAGGATTTTGATCCCGAAGATTGGGTCAAAAAGTTGTTGATGGGGTTTTATTGTCAAAGTGTAATTTGTTGTCAAAGATCCGAATCTTTTTACGCCCAGAAGTCTAAGACTTTTTACGAGAAGAGGATTCGGGAACTGCGAGAAAAATGGGAAAAGATTATCAAAAACAATGGACAATATTTGAATTCACTTAAGCTCTTGTTGTTGATTAAAATTTATTTTAAAAGTGTATCATATTCAACTTAACAACTCCAAAATGATTTAAGTGACACAATTGTTTGGCGGGATGTGAAGATGAGAATTGGTCCCAGGGTTGGGGCATGGCTCGGTCGCTGATCGCTCATTACCTTTACGGATTCCAAAAGGGAAGCGCCTTATATACTGGGGCAGTTTGCCAGATGGCAAGCGATTACGCACAACGAACACCGCGTGATTTTTCTTTTTTTTTTGTAGATGATGGGAAGATATTTGGCTGCGAATTTGTACTCAGGGGTTTTCGGGGTCGGTGAATCGATTGACATTGTTTATTTTACAGTATATCAACTGTAAAAGGCTATCAACTAAAGGCTAATTTGTTGTCAAAGAGCCGAATCTTTTAAAGTTCAAAGAACTGACTTTGATATTCTCAAAGCAATCCATTCATGAGTTCTTCTCAAAGAAGAAACTCTTCTCATCCTTCACATTTCCCCTCTCAAATTACTCATCCTCGATCCCAAAGCATTTTGCAAAGTTCACCCGATTTTGGGACACATTTTTCTCTTTTTTACTAAAGCTTTTTATATTTGCACTTTGCAGGATACGTTTTTAAGAAAGACAAGAAAAAAAAGCCTTTCTTTCTTTCACAGACACAGCTTTTTCTGTCGAAGATCCTTTATTTCTCAGTATTGATTTTTTTTGCTTTAAAAATTGTTTCCAAATATTTGTAGTTATTGTAAACGAAAATTGTTTCCAACTGTTTCGTTTGATCGAATGGATTGATTGATGGAAATTGATTGATGGAAATTGATTGATGGATTGATCGAATGGAAATTGATTAGATTACGATAGTTTTCTTTTAGAAGAGATATCTTTTTAAGAAAATACAGTACTGGACAATGAAATATCATATTTGAAAAAGAGATCGTCACTTTCGCGCGTTTGTAACTCCCTTGTCTTTGCGTTTAAACTGTTAGTGTTATAGATTTTCCGAAAGCCCTTTTCAAGGGCTACACAATGGTAATATTAATATTTAAAAATACGGTAAAGACAAGGGAGTTACAGACGCGCGAAAGTGACGATCTTTTTTTGACGATCTTTTTTCAAATATGATATTTCATTGTCCAGTAGTGTACATTAATAAGCTTGAGAGTACGTTACGTACGTTTTGTGTACGAAAAAGACTACAAAAGAGTACGTTTTGCGATCAAGATTTGATCGGTGAGAAATTTCAGATCTTGAGAAAACTTGGATAAAACTTTAATTAGTTCTATTTTGACTTGAATACCCGATGTAAGAGGTTAGTGTAAGAAATATACACTACTGGACAATGAAATATCATATTTGAAAAAAGATCGTCACTTTCGGGCGTCTGTAACTCCCTTGTCTTTGCGTTTAAACTATTAGTGTTATATATTTTCGAAGATCCTTTTCAAAACCGTTTTATTCTTTTTTTCTAAGTGATTAGATTAAAAAAAAAAGTTCTTTTTATTTAACGATCAGCTGTTTTCATTTCGGATAGATGACCGGTGAAAAATAATGAAAAAAAAATGAAAAAAAAAATCATTGAGGGTATTGTAACAGTCTGTGGAAAGGAGGGCAAAGAAAAGAGGAGTTGATAAGGCGTTTCGATGACCGGTAGAACGGAGGCTGGGACTGGAAAAGGGAGAATCTATCTACAGCGATTTCCTTTCATTTAAAACTCTAAAACATTTATAATACCGTACTTTTTAGGTTTTTTAAATATTCGAACATTTTATTGCGATTATTCTTGAAGTGAAAGGTGAGTGGAATTGCTAGGTTAGCCCAACTCGGTTTTGAGTCTTTATTTTCAATTCTCAATTAGTTGACCAGTTACCAGTAAGCGCCAGTTTTTCCAAACCGTTTTCTAAGCTACCGTAATCTTGTCTCAAGTTTTACTCTATTTACTTTTTAACTTTCAATATCTTTAGCTCTTATAGAATTAATATAAAAAGTAACAGGATTACCAGTAGTTTTCGAAAGTTTTTCCGTCTGACACAAATCGAGAATAAAGCCTCTTTTCGAAGAGAAAGCACTTGGAATGATCTAAAATTGAAAAACAAAATGAAATTATCGGGGGTGGGACAAATGCGACCTTTTTTTTACGCACCTGGACATTTGCGCACCTTTTTTTTTGCTGGAAAAGGCCTTAGGAAAAGTCGTAGAGCTTCAAAAACGTTTTCATAGAAGGGAATCGTATGCGTAGATTCAGAATTTCGACAAATCAGACCTCGCTGACACGTCAAATTTGGACTAAAAGGCAAAAACTACGCAACTTAACGCTTTTCCGCAGTTTTTGCCTTTTAGCCCAAATTTGACGTGTCAGCGAGGTCTGATTTGTCGAAATTCGGAATCTACGCATACGATTCCCTTCCATGAAAACGTTTTTGAAGCTCTACGACTTTTCCTAAGGCCTTTTCCAGCAAAAAAAAGGTGCGCAAATGTCCAGGTGCGCAAAAAAAAGGTCGCATTTGTCCCACCCCCGGATTATCAGTAGTTTTCGAAAGTTAAACAAGTTAAACAAGTTTTAAAAAACCTTTTGTCAAGAGGAAAGCGTAGGTTGAAATTTTACATCAATTTGAAGAGTACTGAAGAGTACTTTCACTTTGCAATGATTACACAAAGTAATGCATTTTTCAATTTAGCAACTTCTAAATAAAATGCAAACTTTATACCGTAAATACTCTAATAAAGCAACAATTTCTCGTACAGTCGCGTAGTCTAACTTCTTTTTATAGAATCATTTTTTCTCAGCTCCTGGATTTTTCCCAACTACACTTTTGGTACCAAAAAAATACTAGATATCAAGGGCTATCATTTGACACCAAAACGCACACTATAGCTTAAAGCAGCGCGGAGAATGAGACGTTCAAAGTTAGACTACACGACTGTACAAGAACGGGACGTTCAAAGGTAGACTACGCGACTGTACGAGAACGGGACGGACGTTGAAAGTTAGACTACACGACTGTACAAGAACGGGACGTTCAAAGGTAGACTACGCGACTGTACGAGAACGGGACGGACGTTCAAAGTTAGACTACACGACTGTACGAGATAGACGCTCAAAGTTAGACTACACGACTGTACAAGAACGGAGCGTTCAAAGTTAGACTACGCGACCGTACGCCCCTCATTATCGGGGTTCCGTTCAGAGTATTTACGGTATTATAGTGCTCATGCGGTACTCAATCGATTTTTAAACACGAAACTTTCTTGGTATTTTTCCGAATGATTGGAATTTCCCAATCGCTCATCTCAGCAAATCTATTGACCCGACCACTTCCAAAATAATCCCCCCATTTTTTTCCTTAATCCAAATGTTGCATTTTGCTCCCGTAATTTCAACGAGACTTTTGCTTTTACGGAAAATTCGGAAAAGAGAAAAACAGTGATTTTTTTTATAATTTCCCGCACACAGACTGGCACGCGGCGTTGATAAAAACTGGGGGAAGAGGCGGGGGAAGAGTCGGGGGAAGAGGCGGGGGAAGAGTGGAGGCGAGGCGGGGAGGAAAACTGCTGACTTTGCCCATCTCAAACACAGTTTATTTAATTTTAATGATCTAAAGTTTTTTTTTGCGGTTGACTGGGTTTAAATTTCCGGAAGAATTTAGAGACTTTATAAGTTTATTAGCAAAAAAAAAAGTGTGATTGTAAATTGTGATTGTCAAAGTGAAAGATCAGAGCTTGTTTAGCGTCAAGGTTAGCAGAGAATTGGTACAAAAAAGCTACTTTAAACTATATAGGATTAATTGGATAATAGTTAAGCGCTCATTTGATTAGTGAACTTGTCCGCTGTGGTTGAAGACTTGTGAACACCGAAAAACTGGCTGGTACTCCAATTTGCCTGGTACAAATTTTTACTGACATTACGAGACTGCTGATCATTGTAAAAGCCACAATTAGAGATCCGCAAATCATTGAATCATTTTACAAACTCTTGAATGCGCTTAAGCTCAAGCTCAAGAAGTTCGGGAAGCTCTTTGTATTGGGTTGGGGAGAATGAGTCGGCGCCGAAAATGAAAAAAATGTGTAAAACTTCTATTCGACTTCGTCAAATAATATGCGTTTGATATGAGTAGAATGGTTAACTAATTCTCTACAAAATGACATTTAAAAGAAAATTCAAACAGCGCCTCCGCTCAAGAAAAAGCCATTTTTTCACAAAAACTACAAACTGTCATCTAGAAAAAACCATTGCTGGGATCTTCCTGCAAATTTGGCAACTTAAGTAATTGAATGTGCTCTATCTTTTTTATATAAACACCAAAGAAGGTTTATGTGAAAGAAACTGTTCAAATGATGAGTCGGACTCTTTGCCATTTTAACCAGCTGCGTTTGGAAGTTCATAAACTCCACGAAAGAAAAGCTTTGTGGAATCTCTCAAAAGTCATTTTGTAGAGAAATAGTGGATCCTTTTGATGAAACCAAACGTATGTTTAAAGAAGGCTTTATGTGTGCAAAAAGTCCCTTTAAAGTTTGGCGCCAGTAGTATTATAATGGGTCACGCTAGCGCACCCTTTCACCCTCTTCGTAAAAAACAAAAAAAGACGTCTTTTTCACCGAAAAATGACTAAATTTTGTAAGTTTAAGCATGATTTTACGTGTTTTTCAATTTTTGGGTGAGTTTAGAAAAAAATTTCTAGCGCACCAACCACCCATCCCAGGGTGTTTTCCATTTTTCGCGATTTTTCACGTTTTTCGACGCTCTAACAGCTCAAAAACCTTCAATTATCACGGATTTTTACGGACGAGTCATAAATTGCGCTACTCAAAAGTTAGTTCAAATAATCAAAGAATTTAAATAAAAAGCCCCTTATTAAATAATGGTCACCTTCCGAAAAGACCTCACTGCGCTAACCAACTTGGATCTAGAAGCATTAGTAAATCAACTAAAAATTCGAAACTTTCGAGGCGTTTTCATGCGCGATACTTTACCAGAAAAGATAAAAGAAATAGAAGTAAGAATATTCATACAAATTTATCATTAAATATCGAAATTTTCTTTAAGCACAAATGTCAAATCAATAAAATCAAACAATAAAAACCAAAGTTATCCTAAACGTTCTACCAAAACATTCAGATTATTCTTAATTAGGCACAAGTATTCATCAAAGTTTCTACTTGGTTTATGGGTAATACAATGCTTTTTAAAAAGTTCTTTTTGTTTGACGATTGCTGCATTTGCTCGTTCGAACGCATTCAGGAGATTCCACGATTTAATGTAGTCTTTTGCTGTCTGAATACGCAATTCTTTGCTTCCTTTCCAGCCTTTGTAGCCATCCAAATACTTGAGCACCGCGGCGGAATCAACAGAACCGTTAATCTAAAAAATGAATTAATTAGAAAAGTGATAATATAAAATCTTCCAATCATACCTGGAAATCAACGATGCTGAGTTTCCCTTTATCATCGACACCATAATTTTTTGAATGGAGATCCTTCACACACAAGACACGTCGAAGCAAATCGCGCTGAGCGTACAGTTCGTTGCTTATCTCCAATCCTTCGGTGTCTGCTCGACGAAAGCCAACAACTAAAACATAAATAATTATATGAAGCTAAAAATTTGGAAAACTTACCTTCTTTAGTTCCGATGTAAAGTCCCAAACCAGAGTAGTGTGTATTTGGTATGAAATGCACTTCCGGCCCCACTTGTATCAATTCGAACAGTTTGTAAATGAAAATTTCACGAAGATCTGCATGCTGCCAATTAGAAAGGCCTATGTGCTCTTTCACATAATATTTTCCAAGTAAGCTTCCATTTCGCAAAACATTGCAGATCAAGCCACCCTAAAGAGAATATTATAGAATTATAATTAATATTAAAACTTGCTGAATACCGCTTTCATCTGGTGACTTCTTTTCACATTTGATATCGAGTGTTGGTAGTTCAGCATCGTCAAGAAAAATCTTTGAGAAGTAATCATGGACCGCAAATTCAATATATCGATATTCCTGGTCCATATAACGCGAAAAATTTGCAGTGAATTGTCGGTATGGTTCAACGAAATTCGGGAACGTGACCAAAAACTTTGCTTCCACTAATGGTTTTAGCTGTTGTATTGCAAGATCCACATTCCGTTCGACGTCCTTAATTTGCTTTGTTGCCAATGCTTGCCGAGCTGCTTCAAAGAGTGTGAAAAATGCTGTCCAGTTGTTGGCCATAGAATGCTTCTAAAATCAAGCAAAAAATATAGTAAAATATTTCACATAATCTCAAATCTAAAATAAAATTTTAAAATAATTTTAAATATTCTAAAACTACTACATAACTTTAGAAAAAGTTCGCGGTGCTAGTCATTAGCTTATATTTAAATATTAGTTTATAAGTCAATTAATCAAATAAAAATATAAAAATTCAACTTACCACAACAAGTTCTTCAAAATCATTGATCGATTCGAGAGGATGAAGAGAGTCGGGTAGCTTATCGCCACGGTATTGGACTTGTTGAAATTTGGGTGGAATATTCGTCACACTCTCAATCTCCTTCACCAGGTCAACACGAGAAATCTATAAATAAAACAGAATTTAGATGAACCTAATGAAGAATTTAGATGAACCCAATGAAGTTCAAACCTGCGGTTCCAAAATAATATTCTCGAACAAGCGATCTTCTGCTTCACCAACTAGTCGGATCACAACAAAAACCATTCTGAAACCAAAGAATTAATGAAATAAGTAAATTGAATAAATAAAACAGTTTTAATACGAAGTCGTCGATGTGAGGATTTGGATGAAAATATGTTTATCCAATACCATCTCAATATAAGTACAAAAATAAGCTTCACTTTTCGGAAAACTTGGCTAGCTAAAATCCTTTTGAAAAACTGAGACATTACGCCAGACAATAATATACGGAGAAGTTGTTAACAAACTCAAAGTTAAGGAGAAAATAACAATGATAATCACGGATGGGAAATCACGAAATCAACGCAAACTACAGAAGAAAAGGAAGTCTCTTTCCTATTCACAAAAGTTAATGGAAGAATGCGATGTTGCCAGTTTCTCGCCTTCCTCTGCGTCTCTGCTCACAGACGCGTCACTCTCATCACCCTTCCACTCTAGCCCAACGCGTTTGCGTGTCGCGTCGCGTGCGCCTAGTTCAACTGGAGCAAATGTGTGATTGTGCTCGGTCAAAGTGAGGAAGAAAAAAGGAAGACTTTCTCGACTTTCTTTTCGAGCACGTCCTTGATGTACTTGCAAAGCCCTTCGAACTTCACCTAAACAGCGACTTTAACTTGCTGCAAGTAGAATACACAAATAAACTATACACTAATGGATAATTATCCCACCTTGTTCTCCTCAAACTTCTTTTTCTCTTCGTCCGACTCGGGCAGCTCAAGGCCTTCCTTGGTCACTGAGACAAGCTTCTTTCCATCGTACTCCTTGAGTTGTTGGACGCAATATTCGTCGAAGGGATCAGTCATGTAGAGAATTTCGAAGCCACGGGAACGGACACGCTCCACAAAAGCTGAGTTGGCAACGCTTTCCTTCGACTCGCCAGTGATGTAGAAAATCTGAGTCTGATTTTGCTAAAATTCAACAGTTAGATTTCAAAAATAGTCTTTTAACCTTCATCCTTGAGACATAGTCTTTGAGTGAAGTGGTTTCATCCGATGCGGATGTTGCATAACGAAGATATTCAGACAACTTCTTGCGATTGGTGGAGTCTTCATGGATTCCGAGCTTGATGTTCTTGCCAAAATGCTCGTAGAACTTCTTGAAATTGTCTTTGTCTTCGGCAATCTCATCGAAGAGCTCGACACATTTCTTGACAAGGTTCTTCCGGATGACCTTCAGAATCTTCGACTGTTGCAACATCTCACGTGAAATGTTAAGAGGCAGATCTTCGGAATCGACGACTCCTGAAGAAACTTCCTTATTGTAGTTCCACCAACTTAGTTTCGAAAGCTAAAATCAACCTACCTTTCACAAAGTTAAGATAATCAGGCATCAGCTCCTCACAGTTTTCCATGATGAAGACACGGCGCACGTAAAGCTTGATAGAGTTCTTCGATTTCTTGTTCTCGAAGAGATCAAATGGAGCACGTTGAGGCACGAAGAGAAGAGCGCGGAACTCAAGTTGACCCTCAACACTAAATTGATTTGTTAGTAGATAAAAGCAGTAAAGGAAAACCTGAAGTGTTTGACGGCTAAATGATCCTCCCAATCATTGCTCAAGCTCTTCTAGAATTCCCCGTACTCCTCGTTTGAGATGTCATCGGGGTTGCGAGTCCAGATCGGTTTCGTCTTGTTGAGCTCCTCGTCTTCGAAGTACTTTTCCTTGATCTTCTTCTTTTTCTTGTCCTTCTTGTCCGCATCCTCATCTTCGCCGACATCCTCCACCTTTCCTTCCTAAATCAATGAAGTTAACGAAGAAACCGATGTTGAGCCAACCTCTGTTGCCTCTTCGGGCTTTTCTTCCTCTTCTTCGTCCTCCACTTCTTTCTCACGTTCTTTCTCCACGAGCAACTTTGATTGGATAGCCGATGAACTGCGAGTGCTTCTTGATGATCTCTTTGATGCGGCGCTCCTCGAGATACTCGGCCTGATCCTCCTAAAAAGAAAAATTTATCAGCGCTAGATGCACAAAGAAATACCTTGATGTAGAGAACAATCTTGGTACCACGAGGCACTTCTGGGTCGTTGACGGCAGTGACGATGAAGCTACCTCCGGCCGATGACTCCCAAATGTGGCAATCGTCGTCGTTGTTCTTCGAGGTCACAACGACCTTGTCCGCGACGAGGAAAGCAGAGTAGAATCCGACTCCGAATTGGCCAATCATCGAAATGTCAGCTCCAGCCTAAATTAACAAAGTTAAAGCAACCCAAAGCCAATAAACTTTAAACGCTTACTATGCTTTAAAATCAACCTGAAGAGCCTCCATGAAAGATTTTGTTCCGGACTTGGCGATGGTTCCGAGGTTGTTCACAAGATCAGCCTTTGTCATTCCGATTCCAGTGTCAATGATGGTGAACGTCTTGTCGGCCTTGTTGGGGACAATCTTGATGAAGAGCTCCTTACCCGAGTCGAGCTCCGATGGTTCCGTCAGAGCTTGGTAACGGATTTTGTCAAGAGCATCCGAAGAGTTGGACACAAGTTCACGAAGGAAGATCTCCTTGTTACTAAAAAAGAAAAATTAGTGAACGAAAAAGCAAGCTAAATCAAACCTGTAGAAAGTGTTGATGATCAAAGACATCAACTGAGCGATTTCCGCTTGGAAAGCGAAAGTTTCGGCATCACCAGAATTACCAGCAGCAGATGAAGACATCTAAAAAAGTGAATATACATAAGCAATGAGCAATAAAGTGTTGAATGGGAAAAAGGCAAAAGCAATCAGGTTGAGGAAAACTCGCAAATGAAATTTTTTTTAACTTCGTCGTTTCTTGGTGCTTTTACGTACGACACCTAACGACAATCTCGTCAAAACTGCGCCATAAACTTTTAATAAATTAACTGAATATTTTGTTGCTGCCGAATACAACTATATAAGGAGCAAAAGGTTTAAAGCGATTTGGCCTTCGGCCTTTGCGCAATCTTCCTTTCGTTAGAGCTACACAACTTCCTTTTGGATCAAATTCCTCAATGTCTTTGTCACCTACCTAATCACCTGACTGGGTTAGGCTCGCGCTTCGCCTAACCCAGGCAGTTGCGACCGTTGCGGGCTGGCACGTGTGCTGCAAGCTCTCACGGGCGTCGCCTACGGTGCCGCTGTATGTGCGGAGCCGAAGCCTAGGTAAATAGCAGGCCCGCGACAAAGGGAGCCTCGCAGGAGTCAACGGCAGGGGAAACGGTCAAATGGGGGTAAACTGCAGTCTTGCCAAACTTATGTTTTTCGAAAATCAATTGTACTTCATCATTTTTCGTTGTTCTAAATAAATAAAATGAATCAAATACATTGTTTCAAATGTAAGCAACGTACAAATTCAATTGAAGTTACAAAAATCCTTACCAAAAATAATCGAAATATGATCAAAGCGAAATGTGAACACTGTAACACTACAAAGTTCAAGCTTATTCCAACCACTAATTTGAACTTGGGCTCAGGATTTGAAGACTTAAAAGATAAAAAAGACCAAGTACTTTTAGAAAAAACATTCTACTCGCCTGAAACAGGTTTTTGTGGAATAAATGAGCTCTCAAGACTAACTAAAAAGCCCCCAAAAGTTGTAAAAGAATTCCTAAATCAACAAGATGTTTACACACTTCATAAGCCAGCTCGCAAGAACTTCAAAACACAAAGAGTTTACATCAATGAAATAGATGAACAGTGGCAATCAGATCTCGTTGAAATGATTCCTTATTCAAAAGAAAATGATGGTTTCAAATATCTTTTAACTGTAATCGATTGTTTTAGTAAATATGCTTGGGTCGAAAAACTAAAAACTAAGAGTGGCAAAGAAACAGCTGATGCACTTGAGAACATCTTCTCTAAAGGTAGAAAGCCAAAAAAAAAGATGCAAACAGACAATGGAAAGGAGTACTACAACTCTCAGATGAATAAACTTTTTAAAAGTCTTGAAATTAATCATTTTTCAACTTATTCAGATAAGAAAGCATCAATTGTTGAAAGATTTAATAGGACTTTGAAAGAGAAAATGTGGAAAATTTTTACATTAAATGGGAATCATAAATGGATAGACACCCTTGATGATCTTGTAGAAGGTTACAACAACCATTATCATACTAGTATTAAAATGACTCCAAAAGAAGCATCTAATCCAGAAATGAGTTCTATTGTTTATACAAATTTATTTCCATCAAACGTAGAAAAAGAAAAAATAACTCCCAAATTCAAGGTAGGTGACTCTGTTAGAATCACAAAATATAAATCCGTTTTCGCTAAAGGCTATCTTCCGAATTGGACTACTGAGATGTTCAAAATTAGTAAAGTTAATCAAACTTCACCAATAACCTATGACTTAGTAGACCTTGGAGATGAAGAAATTGCAGGTAAGTTTTATGAAGAAGAACTGGCTATTTTCAATAACATCAAAGAAGAGTACCGAATCGAGAAAATAATCAAACGTAGGATAAGAAAGGGAATTAAAGAAATCTTTGTTAAATGGTACGGATATCCTGAAAAGTTCAATTCGTGGATTCCGGAATTGAATTTGAAGTCATAATTCCTTTCAAAAACCAACGAAGTCGGCTCCAACGGAGAACCAAAACTTCTTGCAATTAGATGCTTATCACTTTAATTCGATTATCTTTCACTTCAACAATATTCTCACTCAAAATTAAGCAATAGCATTTACTACTTTGAACAATATTTTTACTAAAACTTGCCTTTATGGTAACATCAGGTCTGCTTTGGATGATTCTGTCATTTTGCTTAGAAACATCGAAAACTAACAACGGATAATAATAATAATATACATCTTCTTCCATGAAAATATAATCTTTCACTGATTCGTAATAACTATTTCTGAATTCTTTAGCGAAATTGTATTGCTGAACTGCATTGAATTTATCAAAGTCAAACTTTAAACATTCATATGGATAACGCTCGGAGTTTAGTTCAACATAAATTTCTTCTAATCCACAATTGTCAAACTTGGCAGCATTTAAATAATTATTATCTCTAGCAGTTTGAAAAGAAATGACAAGGTATTTTATTTTATCATATTTTGTTCCAAGTTTCCAAGTAAATTCACGATTCCCATTTGGAATATTATAACTCTCAAATTGTCTTGAGATGAAAGGCATTTGGAGAAGTTTATTACTTTCAAAGGTGTTTAATAACTTATTTTGCATCTCAAGGCTAGGCACAATTTTTGGAATAATCCACTGTAATTTATTTATTGTCATCTTTGCGGTAAATTCTGCAGGATCAGTAGAAACAATTGAGTTTTTGTTTTCGGGTGATCTGTAAAGACTTAGAGTGTGTTTTCTTCCATAAATTATTCTGTTGTAACATTCTGCGAATCCGAAAACGTGTGTCAATGGGATGCAAAAAGTGAGACCCCCTTTTCTATTCTTGGTGTATTTGTTAATTTTATAAGTAATAATATCTTTCGTTTCTAAAATCCAACCAAAAGTATTTTGTTTGTTCATCGTCGAAGAATACGTTAAAAGTCCTTTCATCAAGCTAGCTCTTCCAGGATCTATAATATTTTCAACTTGCATCCCATCCATACTATAAGTTGCTCTGTCAAATAGAAACATTGGAGCATTATTAGTCAATGAGACTTCATCATCATCAGCTAATGCAGTACCATCAATTTTAGTTAAACTTGCTTCTAAATAGATGTAAGATTTGTGTAATAGTAGATACTGATCACAAGTTTCTATAATAAAATTAATTTCTCCATGTTGATTCAAACTCGAACCTGACGAAGGAAATATGCTAATCAGATTCTCTTTTTGAATAGATGTATCGCTCACAATAGGATTGTCAACAATGAGTATTCTATCAATTGCTTCTGACATTTTCACAGGAGATCCTTTACTTTTAATTTATTTAGAATATTTTTTTCTAATATTAAATACAAAGTTATTTGTTTGAAATTAATTGGAATTATTGAATTATTATCAAGTCAATATTTAGAAGTCAAAATTGCATGAATCTATTGGGATTTTACTTTTTCTATGCATTTTCATTCTATGATGTACTTGCTAAGAGTATTATTTGTACAGAAAATTCTCCAGTTCAGTACTTTAGATTACCGAAATTGCACAAATGTAATTATCATAGGCAATTATCACCACAAGCAGAAGTTGTAAAATATCAAGTTTTTAAACCCAACATCATTGAGTATGCATCAGAAGGAAAATTGTGTAAAAAATTAGTTAGTGAAGTATCAATGTACACCGATTTCTCAGGATATGAACATCTAGTAGAAAAGGAATCAAATCATCATTCAATCACATTAGCAGAGTGCAGAGAAATGATTGCATCAAAGAAATGTGAATACGGTGCACTTGTTAATTCTGGGACTTCTGGTTTTTGGAGCACAAATAATAAAGTTGAACTAGATTATCCAAATCGATTCACTAGTTTGTTCTCACCTAAAAGATATTATAAAGAGAATTGTGTTATTATTGAAACGAAGGTGTATTCTCACTTCAATCAAAGTCGTCCAACAAATGTTCTAGTTGACATGAAGAATTGTAAGTATCAAGATGGTTCTTGTGAAATAAAGAAAAATGAAATTATTGTTTGGGATGTTAACAAAGACCAGAAGTGTCAATATATTTCAATTGGAAAGCTAGATGGTGTCTACAACAATGGTTTATGGATTAATAGTCAAAACCAAATAGCATTAAGTTTTACATCCAACATAAGAGTAAAAGATTGTAATCTTGACTTATTGCTTAGTGATGAAGGTTTTGCTATTCTAAAGAAAACAAAAGCTGTCAACTATCAAATACCAACGAAGTCGGCTCCAAAGGAGATACCAAAACTGCCTACACCACAACCTTTAATCCAAACAACAACTGAAAACAAAGAATATTATGAACGGCAACGTGCTCAACAAGAAGAAATTAGACAACGAGAAAGAGAACAACGTGAGCAATACGAAGCAACAATTAAAGAATTTAAGCAACGTCGGGAAGAAAAAATGAAGAAATATCTAGAATCTGAGAAAAAAAGGGAAGAAAAGATTCGACGTGAACAAGAAAGATCTAATCGAACAAAGAGAGAAACAACAAATAATGATGAATATTATGAGGATTGTGAATGTGATGAAGAAGTAGCAAACACTTCACAAGAAAGAATTGAGAAAGATGAAGAATTACCACAATTACCCACATACAATGAATACCTAAAAACTAAACATGATTGTGAGGTTCTACCAAATTATGGTGAATTCATTAAAATTCGAGAAGCCTGTAATAATTTTCCAAGTTACACTGAATACATCACCCGGATTGAGAAATATGTACTTGAAAGAAGGAGCTTCAATAGAGCAAATAAAACTAGTACTAAGATCAGGACTAAAAGGGAACTGCACTCAGATTTTCAAACAGCTGGAGAATTTCAATATCTAGAAAACAAATCAAATAATCTACTTCGACATACAACTGAAGTAATGTGTGATATCTTCAATGAGCAGTCAGAGATTCTTGAAAATATTCTCAGAGAAAACCCTAGAAGATACATTCAAAAACAGTTAAATCATTCAGCAGTAAGAGTCAAAGTACTTTCTAATTCTTATAATGAAAAAAATTCCTTGGGAGTAGTTCAAGTAACATTCTGTAAAGAACTTGATGACTCTGAGATTGAATTTATTGATCTTACTCATTTTGATGGTTACAAATCTAGTT